GAGATGATAATTTATAAATAGCAGGATCTTTTATTATGCGAATACGAATACGTACCCCTTGTTTTTATCAGAATGCTTACATTACAATTTATTATAGTTTTATATCAAAATGTGTCAATATCAAAAATACATACTGCCCACATAAAAACACATTTGTATATTATTTTGACAGTGCAAAATTTAAAAAATATTATTACAACTGCATCTGGTGAAGGTATGGGAATTGAATATTTTTCCATCTTTTTTTTGCGATATTCATAATATTGATTTTGCAAATTCCAACAGACCCAACCAACCATCACAGCTTTGACAGAAATCAATGCATGCAAACACAGATGGGTTATATTGAAAGCAAGCCATTAAATCCTTTTTACCATACGTGTAAAAAATAAATTTAATCAATTTGAAAAACAAATGTGAGATCAGCATTCTGGATAGAATGTATACATACTAAAGGCAATCTGATGGAATTTAAGTTAAAGGGAATATACAACATTTGCAAACATCGAAAAATAAAAGTACCAAGTTTTTACGAAATACCATACTAGGATGTTGGTAAATGACAGTCTAAAGCATCCTGTAAAATTATGGCACCTGGAGTCAGGTCATTCTCAAGAAAATGGTATTTTTGTATACATTTCCAACAATGGTCGGCCGACCACCGTTGGAAAAACCTAACTACTTTTCAACTACTGCTCCAGATTTACAATTTTTTTCAGTCCAAGTTTTATTTGCTATTGGTTACGTCTTCTTGAACAGGTGCAGGCCAGCTGGACTGGTTCCCTTACCTTACAATTTTCCGACATCTATAAATTGATCCATTTTATCTTTAGTGGAGTCAGGGAACCAGAATACTTAAACATTTTTGTTTTTCTTGGTTTTTCAAGCATTTTTGGACACAAAACTTCAAACATGTCAGTTAAACAATATTTGATCTATTATACTAACCCCTCAAATAGTTCATTTCTGAAAATTACAGCAAAAGCCAATGATATACCGGTACATTCCCTTTAACTGTCTACTTGAAACAGCTATGAAACTGGGAATTCAGAAAAAAAAAACCAGGAAATTCCAAACCACACAAGACTTTGTACAGTGTTTTTCAATTTATAATGGCATTCATGACAAGTAAAAAATGAGGAAATCAGCGGATCCGAGGAAAAGTTGCAGGCCTGTTGATGTTGAAAGAATGATTCCAACTTCCTTTATTTTGTGCATACATTTTTATGTGCAAGCACAAATTTACTATAAAAATAAAAAAATAAAAAAACAGGCCTGGATCTGTTTTTGAGGAACTAAAGGGCCACGAGGTTTGTAAATATTTATGTTTAACAGAGTTGATGGCGAATATAGTCTTTACTGTGTCCTGGACTGATGTGGTAGAGCTAAGTACCAGATATGTGTGCTGGAAAGTAGCCAGCCTGGTAAAGAAAATAAGCAGGGGCTGACCAAAAACAAATCCCCTGCAAAGTTGGGTTTAAGATACTGAGCAAGCTTGGCTGTCATCAGATGCATAGTAGGTCATCAATCACTACAAACATCACAATGCATGCATTATGTGCATGTATCTGAAAACATGTCCATAGGCTGACATGTGCACATGATATTGCACACCAAGGATCTGGAAACGCCTGAGGTGTGACAAGATACAGTTTTCCAATTTCCATTATAGCACACCACCACCCACAAGCCTTGAGGGGTCCGTCCAATTATCACCAAGGACATGGTAACTAGTTCTACTTGTACATCAGAGTACAATTTCAGCCTCCCTGCAGTTTTCCCTGCAGGAATACAAAAGCTGACTAAGACATAGCAGATAAGTTCATCTGAACATTGCACTGGCAATGTAATGACTGGGCATTTGCTTACAAGTCAGAATCGAACATTTGTCATGAACGTGTCATTCTGACATGACTCAGCTCCATTCGGAGCAATCTTATTAACCTTAGGCTTTGTAGTGAAGGAAACGCTGTCATGTTTCAATTGAAGAAAGAAAAATCTCCATCATTTTCGATTTGGTAATTTTTTGTGTACACCTGCCAGCAAAATACCATTTGTGGATACAAACTTGTGCAACTTCTGCTGGTGATTACTCATCACAAAGATCGTCCCACATATTTCTTGTTAATGAGTTATAGAATTTAGCAGGTACCAGTTTAATCAATATCTCCGGATTCAAGGACGTGTTCTCCAGAGAGTGTAAAATAACAGTTTGATCCACCAACAAGCATTTCATGTTTTTCGAATTCCACTTTTTTTTTAAATATTTATTTTGAATAAGCTAAATAGAAATAAATACATTTTTTGTCATGTATTTAACCCTGCATTCTTTTGGTTTCCTTTTAATTTGCACAAAAAATTGCCACAAACACAAGACAGTGAATTATAGAAATTTTACACACTGTTTGCACTGTACCTCGCGTATTGTAAATTATTACTAGTAAGATGATCGGTGCACGACAACAGCTGTTAATTCATTCAGCTTAAATACACTGTGTATACACGTAGACTGGGTTCAGCAGATCAATCGATCTGCCGATTTTTTTTATTAGAGTACTACGCCTCATAAAATTGAGATTGCTGTTGCTGCCCCAGTCAACAAAAAATTGGACAAAAATAGCAAGGGGGAAAATGAGTTGAAAATGAGTCTTCAATGAAGAGTGCCTAGATGTGATCTCTATGTAATTTAGCAATATTATGATATTTCAAGCTCTCAAGAATTAACTAGTGAAAGTGATTAACCCTAACTCCCTAGCATGATTTACCAGGAACCATACCCATCCTGGCAAATTCCAACACCATATGGGAAACTGTGCACACACATATTTCTGACTTTGATTCTGGAGGTGTGCCAACCCAATGTAAAAGACTGTCAGTTTAGGGGTACTGTACCCATCCAGACAGATTCCAACAAATCATGCTGTTGGGGTTTGATGGGTTGAGTTCTGTTAGGGTTAAAGGATATAACTGTAAAGGATATACATGTAAACATTTTCCAACTGTCTAAATTCTTTGGAATATAAAACACTGCCAAAACTTTAAGATTTTGGAAGGTCCACACAATACATCCTGATTCTTAGTAACGCAAATTTTCTACAGTTTTGAAGTGTTATTGACTGGGGTTAAATGCAATGATGGCCACAGCTAGGCTACATTCTCTTCTAATTATAAATCAATAACGTTATACTCTTGCCTGCAGATCTTCAGTCTTAAAATATCATGATGTTCATGCATGCATGGGGTAAACTCATAGGTTCTAGTTTCTATTTCCTTATTTGCATGCCCTTCCTTTAAATAAATGCACCGGCTTCCTGTCGCCAGCTAAAAACCAAACCCAGGAAAAATATCGCCTTCCTGTACAGATAGGAGATGTGCATGGGAATCCTGTTCAAAAGTTGATTGAACCTACAACTTAAATTACATATCATCGGGTATGTATGCAGCTCAAGGTTTCTCTTTAGGATTGGGAAACTAGCTTGCGGAGTTTGTTAAAATGATTAGACTGATTGCTTTGCTGATAAATATGAGATAACCAAGCTGGAGCTATGGGTGTGGGTCCAAACAGTATCTTGGTTGAAGTTGAACATTCCTTTCCAGTTTCAGTTCCATCCTGTCTAACATTTTCTAGCAGTTTGAATTGAGTTTCTGTTCCTTTAACGGTATTAATTTGGAGATATTTTATATCAGGCTTTATATTACAAACACCTCAACAGACACTGCTTAGAATCAGGGTAACCAGATGAAAATTGCAATTTTTTTGCTGGATGCATTTCAAAATTCTGCTTAGATTAGTATTACACAAACTACATCAAAAATACTTGCACATGTTATAAAAATGTCCCAATTAAGGCAAAGCGCGTTCTTTTTACTTTTTTAGAATATCATAACATACGTTTGTGAACAAACAGCGTGTCAAATTTTAGCACACACTGTACTATTTGAACGTGTGAACATGCCCAGTCAGTAGGCCTACAATGTGGCCTGTCCCCGCTGTTCAAGGGTTTGTTTGTGATAACTGAAGCTTGTTCAAAACAAAACTGCTGTATTTTGCTGTTAGGATCAACATTTTTCATAATTCTGCTGGAAATCAGCTAGACTTTTCTGATATTCTTTTGTTTTGTTTTTGCAAAAGATCTGCTAAATCCAGCAGAAAATGACAGCTTAGAAAGACAGGAAAAATGTGATATCATCTTCATGTACACTGCACTGGTCACACTTTCTTTATTCTGAACAGCTGTGCATGTGATGAGACATCAACTTATCAAGGTGACATTATGCATGCGCTGGCGCAGACAAAACCATGTTGGGCCTAGACCTAGATGCAGACTCACATGCACAATGTAAAATTTGTCATCACTTTATATCTAAAACTGATGAATCAAACAATTACAAGTACTAGTCAATGAATTAATGGTACAAAGTAATTGTGCAATGGTCTTAGATTAGACCATTGTTTTTGTTAAGTACTTGCAAATAATGTACATTTTGAACAATGATGTTTTAAAATTGCTAACCTCAAAGTCTCAAACACTCTTGTACAATAACAATAACATGTATCCTACTGTATTTATCATTATGAAATAAGCCAATGCCAATGGTTTATAACAATGATAAAGACATAGCCTACTTTGAAATAAGAACAAAAAATTAGCACACAACAAGCATTTGAACCTTTGACCTGCAGTCATGGTAGTATGAAATACCAAAATCAAGACATTACTGAGGTAAAAGAAACCCACAGAGTCAACAAATAGCAGGAGCAATTGGGGAGGGAAGGGGGAATATTGGCATAACTGTGTAATTTCATTTCTGAAAACTGGGATTGAATTTGACAGTGCTCAGTTACCACCGGCACTACAGCACAACAGGATCTATTTCCTTGGAATCTGGCACTTATTATTATTATTATAATGAATTGTAATATATCTCAGATAGTCAGGTTTAATGTAAATTTATCTCAACACAACCAACACCACCAAACCATATTTATGTATACTTACTGGGGTTTCTTCTGCCGTCTTTTTCACTCCTGTGACGGTGACTTCACCCCCTTCTGGAGTCGAACCTCCGTCGTCTACCGGCGATCCTCCTCCGACCTCATCTTTGCCGCCAGTCATGTTATAAGACTTGTTCTTTTTACTCATTTTCCCGCCCATCTTTGCAATAAAGTCTTTCAGTAATCCACAGGGAAAGTCTCTGGTACTGGTAAACGTTGTTCAAAACAAAAGACCGCTTAAACTAAACAAAAAAATGGCGACGAATTTGAAAGACAAACAAAAACTGTCAATTCCTTCTTCTCAGCATGCGCGCACGTGGTACGGTTCTAATTCTGTGCATAGCAACACGTACGTTATGAATCGCCCTATGGGTTCTTCACGCAGCGTGCCAATGGCCGACGTGCCAGTCCAGTCATGCGTTAGCAATGTGTATCGTCTTCGATCACACAAGAAAGAGCCTGTACTTCGGACCCAGATTCCTCGAAGAAACGCCAGCTAGAAAACCTCAAATCGCGATTTTTGTGGTTTGCATGCTAGCAGTAGTAGGCCTAGTGGGTCTGACGGCCTTGGGTGTGTACTGCCTGGTAGATTTGTACCGGAAATTTCCTGCTTGTGGTAACCAGTCGGAATCTAACTATATATGTGTTCATGCGGCACACACACTGCACGCACGTAATGCATGCAGCATGATCGCTATCATTTCGTTCTTTGCCCTTTCGTTTTATATATCAAAACCATGATCAAAACTGTCTGCAAGGTATCGTACAGTGTATTCATAAACAATATTCTCCCGTCTAGCATTTCCAATAGCGAGGTTTTAAACATGAAATGCCTCACGATTTTAATCAGATGTATTTATTAGAGGTTCAGTCCTTTTCGTCTGGACTCAAAAATAGCTTTACCAGATGAGACGCGTGTCAATATAGGGCGTCACTGCACATGCAGCCCCAATTACATTTTTGGCACGTGGTGCTGACATTAGCTTAACAGTAACACTTTCTGTCAATGTCAAGATTTGGCCTACTTTGGCTGAAATGGACCCGCGAAAAAAAACCCCACTAAATTGTTATTTCCGCCAGTCTCGGGTGCTGCCTTCAATTCAAGATCAACGCACCATTCGGACTCGGTATTACATTCCTACAAGTACTGTTGCACCAGCAGATCAGCACTGCCTATACGCCCCTATACTGCAAGGGAACATTCGTTTGTCGACCCATTGTTTTAATCAAGTGAAGGGGACACGAAGCCCAGCAGGCTTACATAATTATAAAGAACAAAGAACAAAGGAATTGAATGAAGCAAGATTTGAACCTACGATTACCACCGGCTAGAGCGGCCGGTTCGGTAGGCCTATTCAAGAAGTCGGAGGTTCAAATATAGCAAATTCAACAAGGACCTAATTTTTTTTCTTCACTTTTCCCTCGTTTTAAGCAGAGACGAGTTCAGTCCTTTATGTCAACCAAAGCATTATCACTATCAGCCAAGCCTATATTTGGTATAATCTGTGCCAAGTGTGTCGGTCATTCCCTGTTTGAAGGAAAATAGCCCTCCATGTTTTAATAATGGATCATTTGCGTTTATCTTCCATGTTTTAATAATGGATCATTTGCGTTTATCCCCAAAGTAACTAGGCCTACCGAATTATTATCAAAAAAGCTTATTTGGATTAAAGATCGTACTGGTACTAAACACGCCGTGGACTTCCCTCTCTGGCTTGCTGGTACGGTCCCCTCTACACTGGCATTTAGAAGAATGATAATTGGAAACCACCATACAAACCGATTATTGGTCAACTGACTAGTCAAATTTGGAAATAGAGAGCGCTTTTGACGAAATCGTGTTTTATAATCAAAGGGTTGTGCATGGGTTTTCGCTGTTCTGTTGGCGAAATGTGTAATATCCACTAACTAGAGCTGAAACTTCAACAGGTTAGGTTTTGAAAATTCTTTTGATTTTGAGTGGTTTATCATTAGAAACCAAAAAAAATGCATGAAAAGCAAATGGGCCTTATGTCTTTAAGATAGATGAATGTCAAACTGCTAGCCTAGAGACCAGACATAGCCTATCTTGCACCTGGTATTATTAGTTATTTTTTAACAAAACTTGAATGGGTTGGTCGTCCAGCCGGAGGAGAGAGATCAAACGGTTGTACCTAATATAAGTTCAGAGTGGATTGATAGGGCGAAACGAAACTTTTTTTTTGTTGGGTCACTCTCCTGAAGCCCACTCCCAACCCAACCCACTTCCTGTCCCCGCTGAAAGCCGAGAGTCAGCTACCCCCGTCTTTCATGCAGACAAGAAGTTAATAGCGGGGCGGCTATAAATTAATAGGGGGCGCCATAAGTATCTTCGTTCAAAATACGGCTCTGCTTATGTCCGTAAATTAGCTTCACTGTGAAGTACATCACTATTGCCTAACCGGATCGCCGCGAATGTTACATTGGCGTTGGGGGGGGGGGGGGGGGGGGGGAACGCGCTTCGTAGAGGCCTGTGCCCATCTTGTACCCCCCCCCCCCCCCCTCCTGGCTCAGAATTTGGGAAGACAAAATGAACCTTTTTGTTACAACCCCATTGGTTTTCCCCCTTCACAAAGTAATGCCCCCTACAAATAGGCCCCCAGTTACACCTCCCTCTGATCATTACTCCCATGAAATTGTAAAGCAGCCTTTACACATACGATGTTGCCCATATTTTAATATTACATGTGCTGAAGCTTAACGGAATCATTTTCTATCTTGTTCAATATTAGCGGTCGACAAGGATTATCGCAATGAGCACGAGACGTGGACGAGCCGTCCCCACCAGAGATCAAGCGGCAAAGACACCGACCACCACTAAGCGAAAGTCACGCGACGAGGAAGAGAAATCGCCCGCCAAGAAGAAAGCGAAGACCCTCCAGACAGACGATGCTGACATGGCAACCCGTATAGTTGCCACAGTAACGAGGCATCTTCGCCAAGCAGCGGATCCGAAGCGAGCGCCGGCCATGGCCAAATACATGCGGAATCAGTTCGCATTCTACGGCATCGCGAGTCCGGAGCTGAAAAGCGCTTTCAAAGATGTAAGGGGTATAGACGTCATTTTACGTGAAAGTGAATCCATGAATCAAGATGTTCGTTGGTGAAAAGAGTGAGCGTGTTTTCCCATGAATCCCCCCCCCCCCTTTGGGTTGTCACATCACGAGACAGGCGGTATTCTATCCATGTGTCTCAACAATTGTTTCATTGCATTTTTGACAGTTTTCAAAATTTCCTAAATTTTCTTATCTTAAAAGAAAATGCCTTTATTAACTTCAAGTAACCTCAAGTTATTTTTGATCCAGAACCGTTCCTTACTTTCGTATTTGTTCCTGAAAAGAGAAATCCTTGAGTCTGCCCGGATTTACATAGGGTAGCTACGCTCTTTGTGACAAAACCTAATCTTGAGCACTCTCACTACACCACATCTCCAGTTTAAAGTCCTTAGATGGAATATTTCGGAGGACCACCAACCAAGTACCAAGTTTTGGGACGTTATTAAAATGACAGAAAGTAAATTAAAATCAAACACTCCGCAATTATTTGGTTTCTCTTCTGAAGATCCTTGCAGAAATTCCCATAATTACGATCTCGGCAAATCTCAGGGGTTTAATGCTATCCCTGTGGAATGAACCCGAACGAGAGTGCCATCATATTGCCTTGAAATTCGGCGAGAAGTACCGCAACTTGCTCGGAAGCACGGCCGGGGAGTGTCGCGAATCGGCGAGCTGCCTGGAGACTTTGATAACTACCAAGAGCTGGTGGGATACTGTGGACACCATTTCACCAAATCGTAAGAAAAGACAGACAAAAAATAATGTTCAACGCCGGTACTGAAATCGTACATCGTGAAGATATATCTGGAAGTTTTTTTGGTATACAAATTTGGTTGGGTGGGCCGTATGTTGAGCAGCAAAATAGTTTCGTACATGTTTACAACAAATCTAGAAGTGACGGCTCGTCGGGCTCAAGACTTGGGTGTAAAATCATTCCAATTTTCAGTTTTCCCTTTCCTTGTTTGGAAGCTTCTTGAATTCTACTTAACCAAAGACTGTGTTTACCCCCAACAGCTCATGACTCAAGGGGGATGTATCCCTTTGACAAGCTCTAGGCTCAGGCTGTACCGTCCTCAGTTCAGTAAAATCCTTCCAAATCTCTAGATGGACTTTTGAGGGATCTTAATGTAAATCGTCCTGCCGTAACGATCACCATAATTATGTGCAATTTCATGAGCACCTTGTTTATACAGAAGACTGGCAACTGTTCTAAAGCGTATCCTACACAATGACCATACATTTTTCACAATTTGGCATGATTTTTGAAATTTGTGAAGCGATATATTTTTTCACATCTGTGAGACTTTATCTTACGAAGCTTCCAGTATGTGATTTCCAAATATTAGTGTTAAACAACTTTCACTTCTGCCCATGTAACTCTCTTTTCAGTGGTCGGGTATCTAGCCACGGAAAAACCCACTGTAATGAACCCGATCCTAGACACTTGGATAACACACTCCAACATGTGGTTACGTCGGGCTGCTATACTTCATCAGCTGAAATACAAGCACAACACCGACCAGGACAAATTATTCAGGTATGGTCCATTCAATCTGAATACTATAAATATCTTCGTCCCTTCCCAAACTGCTTTTGGATCAATGTAAGGATTGGTCTTCACTTATTTGGTTAAACCCCCCCCCCCCCCAACTTCACTGCAAAAAGGGAAAGGAGTAAACCAAACAAAAGAATAATAATAATAACTGGTGCTTATATAGAGCTTTTAAAGTAAGATCAAAGCGCTTTATGTTATTATTACTCTGCTCATTGGGCCAAAGAAACATTCCAAATTCAATTTCAGCTCCCTGGGCCGTATACAACTTGATGCAGCCATTTCGGCGCAAAGCAGCTAAAATCAATCACAATAATGAACCATCTCTGCCCTCACAGGTACCCATTTACTCCTGGGTGGGGAGAAGCAATGAGTGACAAAGTGCCTTGCCCAAGGGCACATGCACCACAAGCCCAGGCTGGACTCGAACCCACAATCTGCAAAGTTACCTGCAGACCATGAGTTCAATGCTTCAGACCACGAGGCCACAGCACTTGTTTAGGGTTAGGGAAAAGAAAGCGACAGTACATGTAATGGCACCAGAAACCAGTCTACCCGCAAGGCAGATCTATATGTGAGCAAAAGCAAGCAAGCCAAACCCCTTTTATCTAGAACGTTGTCGTTACACTGAAAAGATGTTGGAAGGAAAACGTCCAATGTTCAAGAACATGTTCATCTTGAATAGATGGGTTCAAGCTGGAAAACGACAAAGACAGAGGGGTGGGACCATGTCTTGGGTCTCTGGGAGGTGCGGAATTTGAAAAGCTATTTTCGTAAAGCTCAGATCTGCTGATTCCATCTCATTTTTAAAATCTTGCTCATCCAGATACTGCCTGTTATGTTGTCATGAGAAGGAATTCTTCATCCAGAAATCCATAGGATGGGCTTTACGCAACCACTTCCGTATTGCCCCTCAGGCCGTCAAAGACTTCGTGAAGGAGAACGAGGACAAGCTTGCTCCGCTGAGCAAACGAGAGGCTCTCAAGCATGCCTGAAGAACACCATGGCAGCTTTCAGGAATTCACAATCACTGATTCTATTCTTGCAAAATGGGTACTATTTAAAATTGTGGCACTGAACTCTAGAAAGATTGCCCAAAACTTTCAGAGTCTATGCAAAGAAAACCTTGCTTCAATTAGCAAACATGAGGTTGTCATATAGAGCATTCTTAATTTGGATCTTTATGGCAAAATAAATATGATTTTGGTTTTCTCTCCAGTTGAATAACCATTAACCCTGACTCCCTTAGAAGCTCTCTTGCCCAGAAGCAGCCTGAATCCTTCAATATCCTCCAATGGCAAAGATTTAAAAACAGAAGCACCTGAATCCTTCAAAATCATCCACTTTTTGTCACTGGAGGCCTCTGCCTGGATCCTTCGAAATGCTCCACTGGGTTTGTTGATGGCATGTTATCACATAATCGGATTTCAATGCTCTTATGAGTTCATAAGCCTGTGTAACTTATTGAAATCCTCCATTGTCATCCTGTTTGTGGATTGGCAATGTCATGGCCCTACTAATTGGAGAAAAGAGGCTGTACAATAAACAGTGGTATAAGTGCTGGATACCTGCCCAAGTATACATGTATAAAGCAAGTAACAGCCTGAATGCTCCAAAATCATTTTTTGGCAAATCCAGCCAGAGTCTCAATCCTCGACTCCAGTTTCATCAAGCATCATATTGGGCCTAATGACCTGGATCCTCCATTATCCTCCAGAGGCAAAATCCTGTTATGCCCTCAACCCTGTAAAATCCTCCAGTACTTCGATTTTCAAAGGCCCTCGAACCCTTTGAAATCCTCCATTATGTAAAGAGGATTTTGGAGGAATTGGAAAGGTGTTCCAAACATTTGGTAACCGTTTCACAAACTGGAAGAGTGAGCTGAAATATACAAATTGTGCAAAGTAAGACCGGCTGAGGTTTCAATCCTAGCGGTATCTTTCTCAAAAGCCTTTTGAGAGAGATTTTAGCCTCTACATTCTGCAGAGACATCAGGACTACTGTTTTGACTATAAATTTATGAACATCTAGGCATACCAACTTTATTGTCTTCCCAAGTGATTACACAGTCATAGAAAATGTAAAAGAAGGTAAAACATCACTGAAAGAAAGTTGATTATATAATACATGTATTTTATTTCGGTTCAAAAGCTGGGTACAGCCCCTTACCCAAAGTATCCAAGTTTGCATAAAAAATCCCCTGAATTTCATATAATTCTGGTACATATTGAACTTTTGTGATCTTCCAATGCTCAAAATGTTACACTACATTTACTTTTATCATTACAGAAATCTTACCATTACATGAAACTGTTAATTACACAGTAAAGTGATTACTTGATGGTTAACAGACCTTTGTTCTTAACCAGTTCACGTCGGATGACGTGTATACACACGCAAAGGTTTTGCGGTATTCGGAACGGATGATGGATAAACACGCAGCGAGCGAGGCCAGAAATATCTGTCTGCGACCTGCTCGCAGTGAGCGAGGCCGGAAATATTAGGGTGTGCTACCCGCAGACGACAGCCTGAACCCGTCTGGCATCGGGGTTGGTGAAAAACAATCCCGCGCTTGGGTTCGGTCAATATCAAAATAATCCCGGTGCGAACTGGTTAAGGTCCAATGCAAGCAATGTACAAAATCTTTACAAATTAAAAAAAACAAAAACATTTTTTTTCTTATTACAGTTTTACTGTTAGAAATAAAACTGATAATATACCCATTTTCATACCAAATCTGCATTGTATGCTAATTAAATTTTTCCTATAGTATAGGTTTAATTGTTCTCAACAAAAGTCTTATAAGCCAAAAGTCCAGGAAATATGAAAAACGGATATGTAATTACTTCTCCAGAGGTAAAATCTTGTAACTGTTTATAGAGTTAGCAATAGCTACATTGAGGGTAGGTTTTCCTAAATATCAGGTGTTCAGAGTTCTTTTATTTTTTGAAATTGCACTTAATTATTTATAAAAGTATCTAATCTCATAAATTGATTTATTTTTCTAAACAATGAAGGAAAAAGTCATCCTTGATTAAATGAGACTAAATAAAATATTCATACTTACACTGTACAAGCTGTGTCGGTTTTGTGGTCAAGTAATTTGCTGTCCACTGTTGCATGTTGGGCATTTCTATATCATCTTGCATACACCTTGCCCCATTTTGCATCTTGCATACAGGATTTAGGCAGTGACCACACTAAGCGAGTTCGGTATTCCAAAATAGTCTGGTGTACAGCACGATTCGACGATTTTTTTCTTCGGAATAACCGCGGCACATAAATACACACAAGGCTATGGGGGACGTGGTAACCAAATCTGCATTCTGTGCAATTTTTCGCGCAATCGAAAAGAGATGGAACTGTCATTCACATAAACGTTTTGACACACAAGACACCTAAAAACACTTCACTGTCCAAAGTTTTTTTTTGCAAAATGTTATACTTCAGGACCAGATCTCTTCAATTTTGCTGGTACCCCGCTATGCTTTTGCACGCATACGATGAAATTGTTATCCCATAAACCAGTTTCCAGATACGTTGTGTGGACTTGCCCACGTCTACACAAGGTTTCCATCTCTCTGGAAAACAGGTTTAGAGGCATTTTGGGGTTAGGTTTATGTGTCGCAAAATGAAAAGAAACACTCAAGGGAATCATAGTAAAATAATTGGGTCGAAAGAGTTTTCACAGTGTGAGTAAAATGATTTTTTTCCACAGGTTTTTCTTAACTACACGAAAACGAAGGAATGTCCACACTAGGTATGTAACGTTAACATGTGTGTTCATGAGTTGCTTGACCGCAAAGCAGGCGTCAGGCAGCTAAGTTGCCTCTGGACCGCAAAGCGGGCCGCCTCTCGACCGCTGTGCTGCCTCTCAAACACGAAGAGGGCGACAGGCGGCAAAGTCACCTACCCCCACATAGCAGGCGAGGCAAAGCCTCGTAGTTTATATTCCAGAAAATGCAGGTTGTGAAGAACAGTGCCAGAGACCAAGGCTTATCTTCAACAACTCTTTGGGTGTAAAACAAAGTTCCTTAATAGATTGAACTTCAAATAATGAACAATTGAGGTTGAGATGTCTGTCAGTTTAGTCCCCCCTTGGAGGCACCATTCTGGGCTTTCCTTACACATAGTTAATGTCTTATTCTCAAGTGCTTGCATGCTACCACACACTCATAAGATCTTACAGATCATGATGATTATCCACCATCTTTTTATAAAGGTACCAAATAGCATAACTATCATAAATATTATCTGAAATCAATTAAGAAAGGTACCAAATAGCATAAAAATTAGAATGAATATCTATAACCAATATCAAACAGCTCCTATTGAATGGTCACCTGATCAGAAATTACTAACAATAAGGGAATATGTGACCTGTTCTGTCAAAATCAGACTTTTCTGGGCATAAGGTCGAAAATGATATTTTTTACATATTGTTAACATATGTTCTTTTTCCTTTTAATAGGTGGTTTAATTTTTGAAACTGGTCATTCCTGGGCAGAGTTATGCTATTTTGAAGTTCATTGTGTCGAAAAGTAGAAAACTAGAAAAGTAGAACGTCACAAAACAGTTATTTCTTTAACTGATATACCTTATCAAAATCATCAAAAATAGTATATGTAGAGTTCAAAATTAGGGTTTCAAACTTTTATAATATATTTTAGACATGTTCAGGATTACAAATATGCAAAAATTTGAAAATCGATAAAAATCACCCCCCACAGCGTTTTCAATTTCAACCTCTGCCCAGAAACATCTGCTTTTGACAGAACAGGTCACATATTGTTAATTAGTTTTAAAAAAAAACATATGATCTCAATGTAACTGAATCAAGAGTGAACTGGTACCACATGATTCTGAAAAATCAAATGAAAAAAAAGAAGAAAATCAGCGCGTACCTCAAGGAGTTGTGCATGGATATGACCTTTCAGAACAAGCCAGTGATGACCTCTGTCTCGGGGTCAATGTCGATGTCAAAGAAGCAAGGTCTTGTGGGAAGGCCAGGCATTGTGCTCATCTGTAATAAATGGAGCGAGAGAATGAATAACATGAAGACAGTATAGAAATGGTTTCAGTTGGATTTTCGAGATGACAAAATTTGAAAACTTTATCAAAAAAGTATATCTTACATCTCTGTCGGATTTTACAGGGTAATAATGTTCCTCCCATTTCACAATTTAAAGCCACTCAATATTTGTTTTATAACATACAGATCCTTGTCATTTGATTTACGGTTAAAATGAACTTCTACTTCAATTGAAAACTGGTGGGAAATGTATTTCTCTCTTTCAAACCACCCCTTATCGAAATGTTTGAACTCAACTCTGTAGCTACTGGCTCTTGGGAACAACACTCGATCAATGCGCACACCAGCGTGCATTTGAACACAAATACCGCGTCATGGAACAAGGATGATCCTTACTGTTGAATAGTAAATTCCATTCACCATGGACAAATGGGAATTTTTGAGCCCTGGTATGAATGGGAGCAATAACGAATGTCATGTGATGTGAGCTCCACCAATCAATGCCAAGGATCTGTATGTCAGTTATATAATGCTTACCGTTCCAACTAATGGATACAGGAATCCGGCTCCGACACTAGCCCTGACGTCTCTGATGGGTAAGGTGAATCCTGTAGGGGTGCCTTTCTTTGTCGGGTCATGTGACAGGGACAGGTGTGTCTTAGCCATGCAGATGGGTAGGTCGTTGAACCCTTGGCTGCGGTAACGGTTGACCGCCTTCTGGGCATCCTCAGAGAGTTCGATGCCGTCCGCTCCGTAGATTTTACGAGCGATTGTTGCGATCTTGTCCTCAATGGGTATCTTGAATGGATGAAAAGGTTAAATAACAGAGTTATCAGTCACATACGAGTCCTCCAATTTTTACAGATAAACTATGAAAAGGCCTCACAAGGCATTGCTTTATTATTGATCAACCCGTTACTTGTGATCTGACGTTTGAATGACTTATTATTATTATTATTATTTATTCAGCCAAATTACAAGGTACAACAAGCAATCCACAAAAGTAAACAAAACTAAACAAAAACAATCCAATCCAAGCTGGCCAAGATTGACAAAAGTATAATAAAACACTGTGACTCGAAAGCCTGTCAATCCTAACTTGAATGGTACATGTAACATACAAAATATATCAAAAAATAGGTATAAAATTCAATGAAAAATAAGACCGCCTTAAAAATATTACTTAAAAGATAATTAGATTCAAAAGATTAACAGTTACAACCCTGACCACAGTTTTCTCAAAGGCAAGAATAGCTGGCGTAAAAACCTAACAACTGCAGATTATGTGATTTCACATATGACTGACAATAAGTCCGTCGACAAAAAGTTAAAGATTACAAGTTTCTGACAGAGTTGATGTGAAGGGAAACTTTCAGCAATTTACCACCAATAATAGTTGTCATAGGGGTTGAAGTCTTTATGGAACCATTAATTAGCTGCAGTCACTGGTTTATAATGGATTCTTCCCTTGTAATGTTCCCAAGTTTCAATGTCATTAAGGTCAGTCGCCCTCTGTGTATCCTGATCGATAAAAGAACTTACAGTTACTTTTGTATAAATATTCCTGTCTGACAATTAAGAGCTTTAGTGTTTTTCTTTTCATCAGCAAAACCTTGAACCTTGTCTCGTCAGTTCAACAAGGTCGCAACAAAGTCGTATCTCGCACGAATACGCTCTGTGCAACAAGGTCTTATCTCGCATATCGTGATGTCCATTGACTTTGTGTGTACATCCAGGTTATTTTAAGCGAGATACAACTATTTTACATTGAAAACTCGCGTTTCACGCCCTTGTTGCACGGACACAACGTAACATACTCATGCTGTCTGAGAGAAGAAATTCACAAACTTGTTCGGTTATGACTTGAATCCAGGGCCTCGTGCAGAGGTCATATCTCTCAACAACCCTGCTTGGTTGAATGATTGGCCAATCAGCATACGTATACACTGCTTTTAAAATTAATTTAATTAATGGCCAAAAAAAACCAAGATTTGGAGTTTACAACTCCTAACGCATAGTTTCATTAACTGTACAAAACTCTAACCTGGAGGTCATAAAGGAACTTGAAGTCACTGGGTTGTTGGCAAGCTCTCTCTAAGGCTCTCGCTAAGTCAGCTGCCCCGGCACCACCATGGGTGAAATGAGTTGCGGCCACTGCATCAAACGCTCCAGCCTCCTTGGACAAACGCTGGATCAACTCCACCTCCTTGTCGGTGTCAGATCTACAGTCAGACAAACGTTTGTATCGTTAGACCAGTGCAGGTGTGTGAGTTGGTTTCTCATGGAATAGTGCAGGGCAATGTTGTGCAAACCCGACCCGAAACCGAAACCGACCCGACCCGAAACCGAAACTGACCCGACCCGAAACCGACTTCCTGTGGTGTCAGGTCGGTTTTCCATCATTTTAGTCGGGTCGGTTTCGGTTTTGCGTTTGCGATTTTCGGGTCGGGTCGGGTCGGTTAAGCCATTTTGGAAAAACCCGAAATAAACCGAAATGATGAACCGAAACAGAATGGAAATTCACATGGTGCACTATTTAGTGCAGAGTCACTGTGAGCGGTGAGACTAAAAATGGTTTGCGGTCTGTCTCAATCGGTCTATGACATGTAGGCCCACCAGTAGGTCACGTTGTGAGTGCGGCACGGCATGATTCAGTTACTGAAAGCCGACATTTTTTTACGCGAAGCGGGTCAGTTCAGGTGCAAAAACATTTGCCGAAGCATGATATTCGGGTTTTTTCGGGTCGGTTTGGTTTCGGGTTGGTTGGGTCGGTTTTCTTTGAATTACTGTCAGGTCGGGTCAGGTCGGTTTTAGGTGGACCAGTTCGGTTTCAGTTCGGATTCGGTTTATAAAATAAATGTCTCGGGTCGGTTTTTAGTCCCGCAATTTGACCTTGGTGATATATACATGGCCTATTTTCGAGTAGTATAATAGGGGGTAAATGGTGCCACCAACGTCACAATAGGTCCCCCCCCCCCCAAAAAAAAGTTGTGAGCCCCCCCCCCCCCCCCCCAACCAAATCCTGGGTGCGCCACTGGATGTACATCACTAGTGCAGGGACTGTGTCGGGTGCTATACATCCTGTTAATTGTGAATGCTAAGTGAGGGCCGAATTCCTGGCTCTGCTTACAATAAGTGAAGAATCTTCGCTCAACAGTGACTAATCAAAAATTAGACTGGACTTTCAAATGCATCAGGGACACATGCCTGGCACTCTCACAAAGAGTCTATGAGTTTATGCACATTCAGAATAGGGATCATTAGAAACAGTATGCGTATGGGATACGCATGCGGCTCGGCAATACTAAGGCCTAATAAATCACAATTTTGTGTGATAATTTCACTAGTAAGTAGTAAGTCAAGTCTGTCACGAGCCAATGTGGACAATGTGGCCAATTTTTGTTGCACTGAAAGGGTACAGAAGACAACCAGAACAGAGTTTGAAAAAGTCAAGATATCTAGTTCTTCTCAAACCGCACATAACTCGTTTGAGTGAGTTATTACAACAGCGCTGATGAAACTTCTCCATCTGCAGTGAAATTCGAAATTTACCTAAATCTGTTGATGGCCACAACGCATGGCACTCCAAAGAAGGACGCATTTTCAATCTGTTTACGCAGGTTGCAGAATCCCTCCTGGACCAGGTCCAGATGCTCTTCATTGTATTCTTTGGGCAAAGGCTGGCCTGCCAAAACCTGCGGGGATCAAAGAAAAAGCAAACGTATAAACAATTATATTATTATAGTCAAAGAAAATTAGGGTGCTGCGTAGCACTAATAAAATATTGGAAAAATATAACGAATGTGAGTGCTCACTAGTTGAAGTTGTCGCCAAATTTTCAGACTAGCGTCCTTCATCAGGACGTACGTTGCTGTGAGAAAGCGCAGTAATATTCAACGTTGATGCCGTGCGGGGTGAGCGCTCCAAGATAAAATATGAGATACTGCTCTGTTCCTTCTGCGTCTCATCAGTCTGCATTGTTAAGACGCAGACGCTAGTCCAAAAATTTGGCGACAAGTTTCACTGGTGAGCACTACAATTTGTAAAAAATTTTCTAATAAATTTTTTAAGTCAATTTATTTTGAGCAAAACATTTAAATTGTAACAATACAAAATATAACTTAGGCCTATTGAAGCATACTCTTGTGCTTCATCCTAAAAAAAGTGCTGTTTATTAACCCTTTGGTGCACAGATTATTTCGTTAGACGTACAGATTATTGTGATGTTTGGAACGGAATATGGACACGGATTTGAGAGTAACTGTTTTATTCAGGATCGCATGTGATACAGTTGCCTGGTCAAAGATATACAACAACAGAGGGCGCTGTTCAACTACACTACATTCACCCTCTTTCTTTAGATAAATGGTTACAACACTTAAACTTGGAAAAGTGTGCCAGTGGATGATTTAAATGAAAAGTTGCAAAAAGGGTTTCTGCTTGAGTTAACTGAGTTTGTTAAAACATTTAAGATAGTTTTTTATGTTGAGCACTGAAGGTCGAGTGATCTATGAGATAAGTTTGGAAGTAATAAAATGAAATAAAATTTTCCAAATAAGAATGAGTCGTACGTCTCCTTTAATTTGAGTGTTTGAAAAGGATCTAAATAAACTTTTCTTTTCTCTCTCTTTTTTTTTTTTTTTTTTTTTAACAAACTTGTAGAACTTGGAACTTTCTCTTGTTCCTTTTTTTTTTCTTTTCTTGTTTTAACACAACTCAAAATTCCTTTTTCTTTCTTGGAAACTTTCAACTTTAAAATTTTGAACTTTTAAACTGTTAAACTTTGAAACCTTGAAACTTCAGAAGGTTTTTTTTTTCTTTTCTAAAATTGGCTGAGAGTGTGATTTGGCCTATTTTTGTAGTTGGCATAGGTTTGATGCAAATGAGCAAATAAATGTTTGCAGTCTGCACAGAGTTCACTGAACATAGTCCTTGAATCGCACTGGAGGCTTGCGAACACGTGTGGATTGACGAAGACTGGACTTCAGTTTAGGACTATCCTCAAGAACTGCTGGAGATTTGACGAAAGATTGAGGATCTTGGGATGGCTGTGAATCAGTGACTAAAGGTATGTCGTCTGTAGGGTCATCACTGTTGTCATCTTCTAGGGTGTGGGGGTGAGGGGGTGGGGTTTGGACCTTTTTGAAGTGAGAGACGTTTCGTCTGGTTACTTTGTCTCCTCTTGTGGCTTCCACCATGTTTCCTCTTCTCATCGTGACTTGGAAGGGTTTGGGTTGAATGGTGAGGTGTGTTTGGATTGTTTGGGTTGACGCACAAGGACTACGTCTCCTGTCTGGATGTTTGACGGTTTGGCAAAGAGGCGAGTGTCGGCGAGTGTCTTCATTTTCAATTTCTGCTGGGCATCTCGTTCTCGCAAGGAGTCATCGCTACTGTATGGACGCTTGGGAGACTGGATCTCTGGTAGCTCACATTTCAGCTTTCTGGAGTTGAGTGCTTCGCTGGGGGATAGGTTTGTTGAGGAATGAGGAGTAGCTCTGTACTGGCGAAGGAATCTATGTAACTGTTGTTTCCAGCTTACACCTTCAGTCTCGGCGATGCGTATGACTTTTCCTAGTGTTCTGTTTAGTCGCTCTACTTCTCCGTTGGCTCTTGGCCGGGAAAAGATGATGAAAACCTCAGTAAGAAGTTGTGCCACGGCTGACTGGAATATCTCAGAGGCAGCGTTGATACCAAACATCAAACGCTTGTAGCGGAAGAGACCGACATGGGTGCTGAAGGTTGTGATGTTGCGGCATTCTTCTTCCAGTTCAAACTGGTGGTAGCCTGCTGTCATGTCTAGTGTGCTGAATACTGTACACCCATTGAGGTCTGTGATGATGTCATCAAGGGTAGGCATGGGGTGTCGTTCTCGTTGGACTGCGCGATTGGCTTCTCTCATGTCGACGCAGATTCTGATCTCACCTGAGGGCTTTGGAACGACAAGAATTGGGCTCACCCATGGGGTAGGACCGTCAATTCTCTCTATGATGTCTGCATCTTCCAGTCGCCGGAGCTCACGCTCGACATCTTTGCGTGTGTGGAAGGGTATGCGACGATGCTTTTGTTGCTTCGGTTTTACGTCAGGGTCGATGTGAAGAGAGATCTTGACATCTTTGATTTTCCCAATGCCAGAAAACAAGTCGCCATACTGCTGCATTATCTGATCATGATTCATGGCAGTGGCGGTTGGTGGTCGCTGTGGCTGATCTGGTTGGAGGTTACATGGTCTGCATTGAGGGAGATCAGCTTGAGTTGTTTGGCAGTTGCGAAAGATAGCAGGTTGCAACTGTGTGTGTTGACAATGTGGAACTCGGTAGAGCAAGAGTTGGGACCGACTCTTACTTCAGCTTCGATGACACCTAGCACTGGTAGGGGTGTATTTGTACCGTAGGCGAATACTCTGGAAGTAGCTTTTCGTGTCTTGAGTGTCTGCCCGCTACTTCGAAGGAGATCAAGGGATTTGGAGTCTAACACTTTGACGGATGCTCCTGAATCTATCATGGCAGACAGGGTAGTGTTGCCGATGGTCATTTTGCAGGTAGGTAGATTAGCAACATGAATGACGTAAGCGCTGCCACGTTGGTTGGCGAAGATGTAGTCATTGTCAGAGTCATCTTGTTCTATGACGTTGACTTTGGCTGATGCTGATCGACATACGGAATCAAAGTGTCCGATTTTTCCACAGTTTCGGCACTTTTTTCCTTTCGCTGGACAGGTTCCAGTATGGGGATAGATTCCTCCACAAAAGTAACAGGTACGGTTGGGGCGTGGTGGTTGATTTTGGCGTGGTGGTTGGCGGTGCCTGGACTTGGATCGGCCTCGGTTCTGTGATGCATTTCGCTGTCGGGGAGGGCGGGGCTTGAAAGACCTGCTTGTGTATGCCTTGTCACGTCTGCTTCTGCCATCATCGGACTTTGTGATAGCATTTGTTGTTTCAGCTCTCCCTGCTTCTACAGCGTCAGCTTCTCGTTCGCTTGTCTCGAGGGCACGACCACTGGAAAGTAAGTTTTCCAGTGTCATTGGTTCACGCAGAGCACGTCTTCGGAGGCGTTGTGATTGGCAACTGAGGATGATTTGTGCACAGATTTCTTTGTCGACATCCTGGAACTCACACGTCTGTGCAAGTTGACGCAGTCGAGTATGGTACGTATCGAGAGTTTCAGTTTTGCCCTGTTTGGCCTGCCTGAACTGATATACCTCGTGGCTATGTTATGGCGAGGATTGAAGTATTTTGTCAGGTGCTCAGTTGCTGACTTGTAATCATCTCCGACATCCTTGAGTGTTTCAAACACTTCATCAACATCTTTACCCGCATAGTGTAACAGTAGTGCACTTTTTCGATTGTCATCTTTTATGTCCATGGCCACCATTAGCCGTTCAAATCTCTGGAGCCATTTCTTCCAGCGAGGACCAGCATTAGCATCTTGATGAATGTCAAATCTTGGAAAAACAGGTAGCAGTGCCATGCTTTACGATAGCGATATTCAACGAGCACTGTGAAACTGTCGAGATAATGTTCTGTACAGCATTGGTGTAGCAGAGTTCACGTTGACCAGTTACGGTATGGATTTACAGTTCTGCTTTCCGATTATTTCTTCAAAAGAAACGTTCTATTCAACGAGTGTGAGACTCACCACGTTGACACTGGTTGATGCAATGGATTGCTGGATCAGTTTTTTGTTAGTTATATCCGTCCTCGTCGCCAATGTGATGTTTGGAACGGAATATGGACACGGATTTGAGAGTAACTGTTTTATTCAGGATCGCATGTGATACAGTTGCCTGGTCAAAGATATACAACAACAGAGGGAGCTGTTCAACTACACTACAATTATCACGTTTCTTGGGCGGTCACTAACAGCCACACTATGCACCAAAATGGTTAAAGTTATTCGCATCAACTAGCATTGTCTTGAACAAGTTCCTCAGAAAACACTTGCTGTTGCCTACCTGGTGGAGTTGAGTTAAACCCTCCATTAAATTAAAGCTTTAGGGCCATACCCATTTTCAATTAGCTTTTCTAATCAGAAGAATGTTACAGCAAAATAAAGCATTAGACAAACAAATTATATAAAAGGTTTAAAAAAGACTTTTTTACAATAATTAATACAAAGTTAAAAGAGGGTTAGAGCGTGGAGCTACGGAGTGGAAGGTTAGAGTTTGAATCCCATTCCGACCAAAAACTGGAAAACTCTCTCTGACGACCCAACAGTAAAATGGGTACCTGATTGGTTCAGGGAAGGTAAGACGGCGAGAGGAGAGGACTGGGCACTGCCACTCATATGCCACGCCCAAGACGCAGTGGACCTTTACCTTAATACAAAGTTGACGAAAATATAAAAGTAATGACAACGTACTGTTGGTCCCCCACCGTGCATCTTCAGAGCTCGTACTGTGGCAACTAACACGACAGCGTTGGGCTGCAGACCTGAGTAACGACACTTGATGTTGAAGAACTTCTCCATGCCTATGTCAGCACCAAAGCCTGCCTCGGTCACTGTATACATCGGACACAATGAATATTACTAAGGAAATAAATGTTTGTTCCGGAGGTATTTATGACACTCTGTTTAAAACCGGTGTGAGTCTGGATGGGTAATTATCACCCATCCAGACTCACACCGGTTTTAAATAGAGTGTTTAATACCGACGGAACACATATTTATTCCATTCATAAATACCTTTTCGGTCAAAAAACAAAATCTTGTTGTCCAAAAATCAAAACAAGTCAAAAACACGCCTCTGACTATAATATGGAATGCCCCTCCACAACTTGTTACCTTATAAGAACATTTGGGAAACGCAGCTGGGCTGATGTATTGTGAATTTCGGACCATGAAATACTGATTCAATGTAGTATTGAGCATGCATACGTGAGGAATGTGATCGTTCAACCAATGAAACGTTAAAAGGCACCAGATTTCATGGGAGTCAAAATTTCATGTGACACTGGAAAAGTGTTTAAGACCAGCTAGCCATGTCTTTATCATCCGTTTAAGACCGGCCATGTGACGGGTTCTCCACCAATAGGAATGCGTAAACTGTCTTAGGTATTTATGAATAGAATATTAAACATAACAGTAACATGATTTGCATTTTTAACATGGGACTTATTAAAGTGTTCTAAAACTTGGTCTTACATGTAGACAAACTAACGTTTGTTATCGTTTAGCTATTCACATGAACAGACCTTTTTATCTCCTACATGCTAAAAATACATTATGTCAGGATCAGGTTATTATAAGATGGAATTTTGCGTCGGGTGATATAAATCAAATCAGGTTTTGCCCTTCACTGACATTTAAACACTGTATACTCAGTGTGTTAACTCCCGAGTGAAAGATGGGAAAAAAAATCACTCAGGTGTGACTCGAACCCACGACTTTCTGCTTTCTAGTGCAGATGTCTTACCACTCGACCACCAGGATCAGGTTGGCGTAGCGGTACTTTCCTCGCCTTCCACCGCTGTGACCTGGGTTTGAATCCCGCCTGGGCCAATATGTGGATTGGGTTTTCAGTCCCTAACTAATTAGTTGGGTTTACCTAGAGTATTATTCTGGAGTTTTCCTCCCACCACAAAAACTCTATTTCCTTCCACATCTTCTGCCTAGGGACCCCACTGGAAATAAGTTGAAAGATTTTCATGGGCTATCCCAACCAATTGCCGAATAACCACAAACATTGAACAATTCGTTTGAGCGAACGGCTGATTTGGTCTGTATTGTAGAAATGCAGGTAGTACGATACAAACATAAGGGAAGTTCTAATATCAGTTACCAACAAATCCATCCGGTCCAACCAACTTCAGGGCAATCTTGTCAGCTAGAATGGATGAGTTGCCATGGGCGATGTTAGCAAAAGGCCCCGCATGCACAAACACTGGGGTCCCCTAAGAGTCAAGGGGGAAAAAAGGAAGGAAGTTTTATATGATTTTGAAAAAGCTAAAGACAGTAAATCAGTTTTTTTTTCAATTGCACAAGGAAATACTTTATAATCCAATTCGTAATGGGTAGGAGGAAAGAGACATTGGAAATTTAAAATCAACTCTAGGTTTGCATAATCCACCCACGGAAACGGCTTGCGTTTGTTTATGGTGTAAATCGAGGACACATACATGCAGCATCATCAGTGAATCGAGGACAGGAACCAATCGAGGACGACCTCGATTAGAAAACATGTACAAAACCAATGAGAGCTGTTGCGAAAAAAGTTAGTACAAACAAAGGAAAAAGGAAGAGGAACAAAAGAAAATCCTCGATTTAAACCACAATCAAATGTGCTAGGGTGTGTGGGGCCCAACAACCCATTTGCTGTTGGCAACTTTTTTTCTTGCCAGAAAGAACAATTCCATGTTGGCAAGTTCTGCAATGACAAACAGCACCAACCGGTGTAAGATATTGTGCAGTCAGTCAGCACTGAAGAGCAACCCCATAGACTCTGTGCACAAGTACTCCCTCACTTGTTAACAAAGACAGAGTCAGGAGGGACTTTTGAAAGCATTTCTGCTGCTGCTGAGAATCAGAAAGATATGAATATTTATATTACACCTGGCATTTACGCGTCTCAGTTCACGTGCGTGCATATGTATTTTGCTGGGCGCATTTATGAATAACAGTCCGAATTCATATTAGTCAAGTCGTTAGACACGTCGAAGCCAGGAATTAATATAAACCCGATACACAGCACTAGCGAGCACCGTGCTAGTAAATATTGGGGGCCTCGTCTGACAAAACACGACTGTCTGACAACTTGTCCTCAAGTTTATCTATTTGATAATGACGAACCAAAATATCACCTACCTCAAGCGTCTGCATGAGATTGGGCCTTATAGCGTCTTTCATGAGCACAGTCAGAGCGCCGCTCACGCCAACGTCCTCAGCCGTCACGGGATTCCCCGACTTGTCGCTAGCCACCACGATCCTACCCAGCCTCTGCCTCATATCGCCAAGGTTCGTGGTCAACGCCAAGATGGCCATGATCTCACTGGCCACCGTGATGTCAAACTGGGCCGTCCTGGTGATGCCTTTCTCCGTCGGCGATTGGCCGATGGTGATCTTGCGCAGGTAACGGTCGTTGGTGTCCATCACTGCCACGGTTGAGATGAATAAGAAACTCACGTTCATCTGTTTCTCAAGTCATTACTCAACATAACATGACAGAAATAACTCAAGCAAAAGACATTATTAAACCCATCAACACTTGCCTTACATTTTACAACAATTGTATTTACTCTTTTATACTGTCTCAGTCTCCCGAGTCGCCTGACAATGACTAGAGCAGGCTAGTTGAAACGTTGAGACCAAAGACAAGTTCTTTTAGAACTTAAAGTAGCTAGGACTGTTCTTATCAGAACTAAAACTACTTAGCAAAAGTCGATAATACGCAGGACAAGTTCTTATCAGAACTAAATATCCACTGAGCGACAGTAGTTATTACCACATGGTGTTACCGCAAACAGAAACGACTTGTGGGGTACCATTTCTCCATAATGAAGTACCCTCTTGTAAAAACCTTTTTGGGACTGTTGTCGGACATTAAACACTGTGTAATGTCAGAACATCATGTGACAGGGCTTCATGATAGATTGGTCTATTGTACTGGTGTGATGTGGAACATGGCACTTTGCCAAGAGCGCCACATATCCTCAAGGGTCTTAAATAAACCACGGAATTCTGCACAAGCACCTGTTTCATTTTTTCGGTACAACCCAACCTACCTCTTTGCCAGGTGAGTGTTGACAGATCAATATCCAGACGGGCAAACTTACAGATCTCATCTTCGGTCAATTCATCAGGGTTTGTCTTATCAATGCCAAGTTTCTGTCATGAAAAAAGAATAGACTCGACAATCGCGTGTGTTTTCCCCAAACTACCCCCAGTAAATGTCCTCATTCATTCCTTCCTTACAAATCTGCACAAATACTCGGACAATTCAAGCAATCACAATATAAGAAACCTGCCATTGGAGGTGCAAACTTGCTTGACAGACTTCTGGTTAAAATCCGACACCTATTCATAGGCATTGGAAAACCTGGACCCAAAAGCCTCGATTTGGGTTCCATGCACGAACTTTTTTGCCACTTTCAAGAGTGGAAGGAACACACCACATGCGCATACAGAATGTGCGCGCACAAAGCCATAGTGTGGAGTGCTGTGGCCTCGTGGTTAAGGGCACTGGATTCGTGGTCTGTGGGTAAAGCTGCGGGTTGTGGGTTCAAGTCTTGGCGGGGTCATGGTGCGTGTGCCCTTGAGCAAGGCACTTTGTCACTCATTGCTTCTCTCCACCCAGGAGTAAATGGGTACCTGTGAGGGCAGAGATGGTTATGTGATTGATTTAGCTTGCTTGCGCCTAACAGGCAGCATCGAGCTGTATACTCCCCAGGCTTCGTCAGCAATGCGTTCGAGTGTCCCTCCAAAGGGGGCTCCCCAAACTCTCCCAATGAGGGGTACCTGTGCACGATGCCCTTAGGACATCATTTACACTTAGTGACTCGGTCAATAAAGTCAGGAAATGTGTTTTTAGGCCAAGTAAAAATCATCAATTTTTTAAAAGCCCAGATGATTAACTTTTTAATTTTCTTTTTATTTACATTTTTGCTTTAAATGTGCAGTAAAAGTCTGAATTTTTGTTTCTGTGAACATCATAGTTTTTGAAACAGGAACTTTCTTTGGCCTGAAAAAGGAATTGTACACTTATGAGTTTTTTGAGATTATGCAAAAATTTAAAAGCGATCCCATGGGCTATGAATATAGCCCTGCATTCATCTTCAGTGCTTATGTCAATGAAGTAGAATGATGCACAGGAGGGCTTAAAAGCATTCAAGTCACCTTGAGTCTGTTCATCTGAATCGGTGAAAATTTCCGGACTCCGTTCTTGGATGGCACTAGCCGGCCATAGAGGGCGCTGTCCGTCTGCGTGGCTTCGTGGAACATCCTGGCATCGATGGCGGCCGCTAGGAGGTTGTTGGAGGCCGTGATGGCATGGATGTCACCGGTCAGGTGCAGATTGAACTAAGACAGAAAAAAAATGGAAGCCATGATATTTTGGACAGCATTGCTTTTGTCACAAATATGTGCTGGTTTCATGGCACTACCAAGCATAAAAAACCTGCTAAGCGTAAACAAGTTTTGCTAACTTCACCTCCCAAAATGCCTAGTGATGTCAATTCCTTGTTCATAATTCTCAGCAGATTTTTAGCGCGTTTAGCGCATGCAGCTGGAATGTCGCTCGCATCTTGGAATAGCGCAATATGCAGGGTGCAATATGGACCATGCGATACGGTATAATATCACCTTGATGTTGCCATGGATCGACCAATCAGGATCGAGTATACAAGTTTGCTTGAAGATAAATAATATTTATAAACTCTAAATATTCATAGCCACAGATAGACAACAAATTTTAATTTGGACTATTCATTAAAACTCTTTCATACTCAGCATGAATGCAAATTTGCAAATTTAAATTTACAACAAACAGCATGATATTTTGCACAGCATATCATATTTGCAATATGAATTCACAAAAATTGAGCCCATTTCATCTCCGGAAAATTTTGCTGCATTTTGGCCATTTGTGTACCTCCTCCATTGGAATGACCTGTGAGTAGCCGCCCCCTGCCGCGCCCCCCTTGATGCCAAACGTGGGTCCCTGGGACGGCTGACGGACGCAGGCAAAGACATTCTTCTTGAGTTGTGCTCCTAGGGCCTGGCACAATCCGATGGTTGTAGTGCTCTTGCCTTCCCCTAGTGGTGTCGGAGTGATGCTGGAAAAAGATAGTAAGAGTTTCCTGACAATGTCAATTTGCTAACAAGAAACATGGCTTAAATTCATGACGCTGCGAAGAATTATTTTTTTAACAACTGAACCTCCATCCATTTCCTCATCAAAGCAAAGGGATTGCTAAAAAAAACAAAATAGTGAAGCAGAAATCTCAGAGCATGCACAAGTGTCAGCATATGTCTACACATATGAAATGTTGTTACCATTTGCACAAGTTTTCTTCTTAAACTCACATCAGACTGTATTCTACCATGATTGAAATGTATTGAAATGACACCGATGAAAGGCTTTTTGTACTTTTCTGAAGTGAATTTCACTTAAATTACACTTACAGTGCAGCTACATTTTCATATGCAAGGGTCAGATAGTTCCAAAAGAGATATCATCAAAGTGAAAAAAGTATTTGGGTAAAAAGATACATGTTATCTGAAATCATCTCGGGATTCATAAAAGGCCTCCAGTTTGAGACTGAGTATGCTTCTTCTTTTTTTGCATATATTTGTATATTTCTTTGTCCAACATGTCCGAAAAAAAATCGTATTCTTACCTATGCAAGCATTCAGTCAACATAGTGTTTATAACCATGACTGTTTCCTACTATACCAACTTTTTATATGTCAATATATTTTGTAATATAACTCAAAGAAGGCTTCAACTACAACACTCAGGGTGTGAGTGACCACTGATAAAAATTGCTGAAAACAGCTGGAAAAGGTGTAAAAAAAACTGAACTTTGGAAATCTCATATACTTTTGTACACAAGAAGTGAGGAAAAAAAAGCTGAAATCCAAAAAAAAAAAGAAGCTGAAATCAGCTTTAAAGCTGAGATTTCACACCCCTGAACACTGTCAATATTAGGTCAAAATGACTAAAACTGCTCATTGCAATGGCCACTACGGTACCTGTGATGGGAACTACATATACTCACCCGGCAACCACGACATACTTCCCGTTGGATTGGTCCTTGAGACGGTCAAGTATGCTCAGCGAGACCTTGGCCTTCTTCTTGCCGTAAAAGTCAATCTCAGACGGCAGGAGGCTCAGTTCTTGAGAAAGCTCTGAAACGTCTTTGGGTGTCTGGGCCCTGGAGACGTCGATATCCGAGGGAACGGGATCCAGGGGGGTCAGGGGAAGGTATCGCATCCTCCACAGGTTGCTCTATACAAAAAAGATGATAAAAGCAGGCAATTTTCAAGTAAATAGATTATCTTCACAAAATAATTCTTGGACTATCTGAGCGAAAATGGCCATAATGCATATCCTCGACAGTGATAACCACATAAACTAATCGTAACACGATACCCACTGGTAAATCTTCAATCACTCTCAAGATTAGGCAGAAATTCTGTCAAAAAAGTTTGTTTGGAAAAACTTACACCCACTTCTGTTACTAGCAAAATATTGCATAAATTTGGAATTTACTGATTTTTTTCCCTCTAAAATCCAAATATTTTCCAAAGTTTTCAATATCCCCTCCCTCCCACCTTTACGTTTAAATTGATATATGAATTTGAAACCAGGTCCTCAAATTCCCCCCCCCCAAAAAAAAAACCCCACCCTGTATGGGTATCAAATCTGAACCACACATCTGATGACTTGTTCATTTATGTCAGGCCAAAAAGTTTCTCTTCGATAATTTGTAATCACATGTAGATACAACTGATTTCAAATTTTGGGGAATGAAATAATTTAAAAACAGCAAGTGGTACATTTCAAAAATTGTTTTAGGAACTGCAAAGAATTTAAAGGATTTCTAAAAAAAAAACGTAAACTCAAAAACCTTCTAAAATGGCCGAACCTGTCTAATTTGCTGGTGTCTGTTATATATTTGAATGAAATTTCATATTGGTCAGGAAAGATATTTTTTTGTATAAAAAATAAAATAAAATGTAAAGGCAAAACAACCTTCATTTTGTGGGCTGACCCAACCATGAACTTTGCCTTAAAAATGATATTCCCATTACAAAGCTTCCATCCATGATCTGATACACTTCATAACTGTATTAATCAACACCAGGGGCAAGGGCGTAAATCCCTGGGGAGGGGAGGATATATAAGGATTTTGGGGGCAATTTTTGGATTTTTGGTCATCCCCAATCCCACCCCCCCCCCCAAACACACTCGTCGACACTGACCAGGGGCATGTTTTAGCTGTCATAACCAAAACCTGGTTTAGTTGTTTGACATTGATTGATAGTTTTGAAAACGTGGTTGTGAAGTAAAAAGTGAATTACTGCACAACCCAAGTTGCTAAAATGCTAAACCAATGAGAAACAATCGAACCAGTTTTTTGGTTACGACCGCCAAAACATGCCCCAGCTCTACAGCCAGAGAAATTCCAACTACTTGATACAAAAGAACTGAAAAAAAAAAAAAAAACACCATGAGGTCATATTGCACGTTTAGGTGATACTCCTGCAGTAATCTGAACCACACTTCCAACAGAATGGAACCTTCTTCATTCACAAAAAACATGACAAAAGGACCAAACCAGGAGTCAATGAAGCGTGTCTCTGTTGAAAGTCCAATATGCCACATGGGTTGCGCAGAGAGATGGGGCCGAGTGTTTGTGTGTAACTCTACTGAGATTAAAAAAAGTCACTTTAAAAAATTGGACATTATATTTAGTCCGAGTTGTTGACCACTACTCACCCTGTGTATCATTAAGCAGTGCCAAAGTCTCATTTTGTTGTAGAACTTTATTTAAAGGTCTTGCTAGTATGGAGAGAGCAAGAATGCACGTGCTTTTTGGATCTATCGGTGCTTATACAAAGAGACAATTCAATGCCTTGAGGTGGCATTTATAACGTCCATCGCTGGTTCCGAATTATTTAATACTTTGTGAATGAGGGAGTATTCCATTTTCTTTCAGGGGGTAGTTTGCAGTTGCATGCATCAAACCAGAATTACAAAGCAGGTTTCAATTACTCAAATAATTGAAGTAAGTGAATGACTCTCACTGCCTTTTTGTACAAAAGTGGTTTAATTTTAATATGGAAATACTTTTCAATTATGCAGAGTTGGAGGGTAGCATGTGGACATGCTGAAAATGAAGTACATCAGCATGTGGAAAATATAAGCAAGTAATGCTCTTTATTAACGCCTGCCGCACACAAGAGCTACATGCAGAGCAAAAAGTCATTCGAGGCCATTTGCTCAGCACGTAGCTCTCGGTGTGTGGTGAATTTTTGTTGAGTTTTCTGCCTTGCAAGGCCATGAGGCAAATATCTATCCTTGTTTTATTTCTTTGGCCTCGCTAGGCAAAAAACTCACTGTGTGCAGTCAACATGAGCTACGTGCTGAGTTAAAAAGACTAACTAGCTAATGAAAGCACGTTATTCTTGTATGTCGGTTGCTCATTTTTTTTAAAATGAGGAAAAAAACCAGCAGGCTTTAGAAGATTTGCACAAAAATATCTTAAAGCTACAGTCCATCATTTGCAGCTATCCAAAAAGTAACTGACGTAATTATTGTTGAAAACGTACTTGGTTGAAAGATAGTAAGGGGACTAAACTCCCTGTGAAATTATTCTTTCTGGCAAGCTGTCATTTTGAAGAAATCAAGGAAAGAAGGCCTTTCCAATGATGCCTCTAAAGACGCACAGTTGGAAATTTCGGTTAGTAATTCGTTTTTTTATTCGGCGAAGCGTGCGCAAGCGTTGGCACGACACACACACACGCGCAGTTGCTATAATTCATCGGATCGGTGTGCGACATCGCGTAGCTGCAATCGGCTCAGTGAGAACGTGTCTCGGACGCTGAATTCAGGCCCAATTCAAAACATGATTCAGCAACTTTTGATTTGAAATCGAGATCCTAGAATGCTGTTTTTCTCGAAATATACAGCTGAAGCTGAGCTGAAACTTCATCAGGTTAGTTGTTCAGCACCCTTCTTTAGATTTTGAGCACGTTTGTTGCTTCAAACGAACAAAATGCACAAATTACAAATGATGGACTGTACCTTTAAAATCACATGTACAGAGTATGTGATTTCATTGGCTCGTTAACATTTTTTAGCTGAGCACGTAGCTCAGGTTGACCACACACGGTAAGATTTTCGCCTCGTGAGGCGAAAGAAATCAAACAGGCTTAACTTGCTTAAAAAACAACGCTTTTTCTGTGCTGCAGGGGCCAACGTCAGGCGCTGATTAACAGTAGGAGAAAAGTTGTGCCAACTACCCGGTAAAGCTGAAAATTGTGCTACTTCATAGCGTGGATGTGCTAACAGTTGCGCGTGTATGGAATTTCTATTGTTACATTACTGATTTAGGCAATGTTTTCTTCTGGGGTTAAGCGTGCTTTTGCTGTGCTTACATGATTATCTTCTCCATGAAATAGATAGAGGCTCCGTTAGCAGATTATTGGGTGCTTAGCAGTGCCATGACATTGGGCCCAGGAGCTTACTGCTGACCAAATAAACACTAAAGCAGTGTGTATATGGAAATTGCCAAACAAATCTGTTGATGAGTTTTTCACAGATTTACGTACATGCATGAAAGATGCAATTAGAATTAACTTCAATATAGAAATTTAATATGTCATTACTGGCTTTTCTGCAATGTGCAGAAAAGCCTGTGTTTTTGTTCTGATTTTTTTTCTCTTCTATTTCCTTTTCTTCTTCTTGTTCTTCTATCCCAAATCCCATAGACTTTGTGTATGTTTCATTCTTGGTGTCACTTTTGACATTAAACAGACTTCAATCTTGATGAAACTTGACATAGACTGCATAGTAAAGTTGTGCATGGACAGGCGACGTCATGATGAATGCAATAAGCTTTGTAGGTCATAAAAATATGTTCAAAATTGCGAAAAAATATGTGACATTATCGTGTCATCAAAATGAACTTTTTTAAAACACATACAAGGGAATGTCCGATTGTCTTGAAACTTGGTGGGTAGTTAGCTTATGTTAATAGTATGAATAATTTGATATTACTATGTTTCTTAGATATTGATTCACTTGACTGAGACCAACAGGACAGGAGTGTAGTCTGCTAAAAGAGATCTTTAACCAGTTCACGCCGGGACTATTTTGACAAGAACGGAACGAGGCACGGGATTATTTTTCACCCAACCTCAATGCCAGGCGGGTTGAAGCCATCAACCTCGGGCAGCACACTCATATTTCCGGCCTCGCTCCCAGCGTGTTTATCCATCATCCGTTCTGAATACTGCAAAACCTTTGCGTGTATACACGTCATCTGGCGCGAACTGGTTAAACTGAGTATGATTGTCATCTATTGTAGGAACCCCCCAAAAATTAAAAATTGCAAAAAATGAAGGACGTGTATACATTAACTCCTATTTCTGATTACCCTGTATTTGAGGGATTTGTTTATTCTTTCTGAATACGTGGAAGAAATTAATATTGGCAGAGACACATTTATATGAAAGAACATTGTAAGAGAATATTTGGCAAAGTTTTTGTAAGATAATTCTTTGGGATAATATCATAAAAACCAATGCAGCATTGAATGATTATTTTATTGATTTCTCATTGTCTTTTTGGCATCGTAATACTTTCATTAAACAAATTCTTAAAAATTGAGTCATTGAAGCATTTCAGAAAAAAAAACCTTTCTCATTTGATGAGGATCAAAAATATCAAACTTACAATTAATTTAATTGAACACTATGATTCTGGCAAAATATAAGAATTACTTTCAGAAAGTTTTGAATACTTGTTCAACTTGGCAAAATGTTTATATTCACCACTTGCCACAGTGCGATTTTATACCACACGATGCAAAAGGGTTAGATGCAGCATTTTTAATTAACCAAAAAAAGTACTGGAACTGTCAAATTGGTAACAAATTTACGCATGCAGTGATTAGCTGTAAGATGGATACTGACACGGGTCACTATGCTTCATCCTCTAGAGGGCGCTGTTTAAAATTAAAAATGGCCTTTTGTAATTGAATTAAAGCACTAGTTAATTGTAAGTCAATTTAGCACAAATTGATGCTTTGTATAATGAATTTTTCATAATTAACCTGTGGATTGTTCATAATTAACCTATAGAAATTCTCTGCTGACAAAACTTACAGATGGTGTTCATACAATTTTTTTTTTTATTTAAGCACCTTTTTGCATATTTATACAATAATACCGTCTTGCAAAATCAAAAATAAGCTCACAGAACTACCACAATGTGCTATTGTTTGGATTGGCAAATGCTAGTCAGCAGCTTATCAGTCTGGTACCAAGAATGCCGACAGCATTAACTGCACCACAAGAGTGCACAGTCTGGTTCTTATATATAAAGCGCCCTCGAGGAGAACTCGGCACGAGTGACTTGTGTCGGCGATCCTCTTTTACTGACTAACGTTTTTCGCGGTCTTCAGCTCCCGCTTGGCGCCCTCTAGCGTGTTGCTCATCAGCATGGCAACGGTCATTGGTCCCACGCCGCCGGGTACCGGGGTGATCTGGGAGGCCACCTCCTTCACGTCGTTGTAGTCCACGTCCCCTACTAGACGCCGACCACTCTTGGCAGTTGCATCTTGGGGAAAGACATTGACAAATGAACTGATTGATTATAGAAAAGGGTCAGAGTTTGGCAAGTCTTCCTATTAAAAACCTGTGCCTCACTATCATTGTTTTTACCCACGATCAAACGGTCGTACTCTAAAGTACAATACACGTTTAAAAGGGCCCAAATAAAATGCAAGTATTTTCTGTCCATCAAAATGAGGTTGTTTTATATTAGATAACTTACTAGCCTTGTTGACATGATTGATTATCCATGCCCTGTGGCCAGGCCAGCTAGACTCACTATAAGGATTTTATTACAAAACATATGGTTCTTGTCAGAAGGCTGGCATTTGGCTTGGATTTTCACGTTCAATCGTTCAAGCTACTTCAATGGGGGCACTCACAATGTTATTTGGCTATGTTAGATTGGTCGCAGACAGATATTTCTGGCCTCGCTTGTTGCGTGTTTATCCGTCATCCGTTCCGAATACTGCAAAATCTTTGTGTGTATACACGCATACTGGAATTTGTATCCTTATGGAGTCATTTCTTTGTTCTCGTGTACTAAATTTTCGAGTTTGAAAGTGTAGTTTCAAAATGCTCTTATTTTAACCAAAATTAATTTCCTGGGCTGAAATTCGAACTCAATATCCCTTACATGAAATACTTCAATTTGCGGCCGACCAACCCACCTTGGAAATTCCTAGTTTTTGAGTAAAATCCATATATCTATTTCGTAATAACGTTGTGGGGACGTATTCACCTATAGAAATTGCCATGTGGAGACGTATACAATCTTCTGTTCCCTATTATACCCATGTCTCCACAGGGTACCGTGTACCAGATCACGTCATCCGACATGAACTGGTTATGAAAACTAGATCATGATTTCACAGAAAAAGACATTTTGAATTGTTCTTTTCTTATTCAAGTACTTTTGTACCAGCCAGCTCACACTTACATCTGCTGTATAAGTTGCACTGAAAGAACCCTCTTATTAATTTACCTTCAATGAAGTTGATGCCACAGTCAATAACCACAGCGCCATCTTTGATCCAGTCTCTCTTGACCATGCGCGCTTTGCCGATGGCCACAATCACAATATCTGCCTCAGCAACCTGTGGCAAGATACATCAATTCATTGGAATATTGAAAAGAAGATATGTTGCAAAATTGACAAAGCTATCAGGCAGATATTTCAAAATAGTAACAACTATTTGTCCGTCCTATGAATATCCTTTGGTGTAAGAAGTATTCCGACTACAAAATATTAAATTTATGCAACTTAAAAAAAAAAAACAATCAAGATGCAACAAAGACGTAAACAAGAACTGAACCATTTTGTTTTCTCTCCCAATCCTCTGTCTACATCAGTTTTAATCGTTTAGATGTCCACAATTGTCCTTTTCTGGGACATGCCATTTTCAGGTTTTTCTTTTCATTTACCTGAAATTACAAAATAGTCTCCCAACAAGCAGATATCAGTTTTCACAATAAGAGACATAAGTTTCTGAATGTTTCTTTTGGTCTGTTGTATTCTTTTCGGGCAGAGTTTAGTTACCTTAATCATGCGGACTAAGAAAAATAATTTCATCTAATATTTGGAAATTTCATTTTTAGGTAATTCTTAAATAAAAACCATCTGTTTATCAACGTATGACTTTTCTATGTCCACTTACCACAGAAGCTGGGACCTGGGTGCGTGAATGGCAGACGGTAACCGTTGCGTGGTGGCCTCGTAACAGGTCAGACATCGGGGCACCGACTATTTTACTGCGTCCCATCACCACAGCTCGCTTGCCTTCAACTTTCACGTCTGATTAGGAATTTCAATTTAAAAACCAAAATGACAACAATGCATCACTTTCTTTAATGCCCAGAATAAATTTCAATTGGTAAGCATTTCAATACAAAGTGTTTCTGCTCTTTTTAGAATATCAATCACAAGTCAATCATAAGTCAGTCACAAGGCAATCACATATAAAGTCCATCACACGATAAAATTTAATCACAAGTATACAGTGGAATGTCGCTATACCGAACACTGCTATACCGAACATTCGGCTATACTGAACATCAGCCTTGGCTCCCAATTTTTGTGTACAAAATGTACCGAACATTGTTGTTGAAAAATGTCAACTTCCCCAAGGAATAGAAGGAAAAAGCTACCCATGTAAGCTTAAAAAAACTGTGTAATGACCTGATTCAATTGTTGCACGTGTTCAAAGTCATCTTTTAGTAACTACCACGGCATACAGGGTCAATTTTTGCTTACGGAATTGTAAAGATGAATGGACAAGTTTGGCAAATCAACGCACCGTTTGTAAATATGCCACTTCACTTTAACAATGGTCAAAAGAGGGCGCCACTAATGTGTGAAAAACCACAAGCTGGTAAAATCGCTATACCGAGCGATCGCTATTACGAACAATTTCTGTGGATCCCGCGATGTTTGTCATAGCGGCGCTCCAATGTATCACTAGTCAATCACGACTTCTTCACAAGTCAGTCGCAAGATAATCACAAGTCGATTATAAGTCAACAAGTTACTTCCGCCAAAGAGGTTATGTTTTCATCATGTTGGTTGGTTGGTTTGTCTGTTAACAAGATAACTCAAAAAGTTATGGACGGATTTGCATGAAATATTTTTTACGGGTGGTCCTTGGTACAAGTACAAATTGATTAGATTTTGGAAGTGATCCGGATCTGAGTCTGGATCCAGGATTTTTTTAAAGGATTCTGCACAATTTATGCGAGTATTTCTTTTGGGCATACTGACAAGCATGTCAATAGATGGCGCCCTCCAACACTCGCGGTCATCGCACCTTGCGGTCGTTTCCCATCCGGGTATTTCTCATGCCCCATTGAAGGGTCCCACATTGGCACAATATGGCAGGGCGTTGTTTAGCCTTGGCGGAGGTTTGCGCTTTCCGAGTGCTTTCTTGTTCTTTGCTGTGAACTATTTCTGTACATACCGCTGCGGTCAAGGAGTACCATGCAGCCTTTGGGAGTGCAGGGAATGAAGCACGAGTCCAGCTCCCCTCTGGCCAATTTACCAGCGTTGTGCACGTGTAACCTGATGACAGAAATTAAGAACTCAGTGAACAGTTATTCTTAAATGAATTTGGCGTCGGGATATAGGCTTTGCCCTTCATGGACGTATCTTATAAACACTGTATACTAAGTGTTGTCCCGAGTGATTGCAAGAAAAATTCACAAACTACTCGGAGTGAATCGAACCCACAACCTCCTGCTTACTAGTGCAGACGTTTTACCACTCGACCAAAGGCACTGAGTTTGCCGGGGGTTGCTGACCAGTTCAAATCTGATATAGCAGCGGGTACCACAACCGACGTATTCATAAGATGGAATTGGCAGAGTTTTGTATAAACACTCTATGCCCAGTGTTGTCGCAAGTGATTGTTAGAAAAAGTTAACAAACTACCTGGGTGGGACTCGAACCCACGACCTCAGGCTTACTAGAGCAGATATCTTACCACTCAGTAAATGGTACGAAAAAAAAAATTCATGGAACTTTGAGGGGGGGGGGGGATATAAGATTATAAATCTAAATACTAGACTTTTGGCTTGGGTGAATTTGGGCAGGAATCAGGCATTTTACTTGGAAGTAGCTATTTTGTTAATTATTTTGTGCGATGGAGGAGGTTGTAGGTTCGAGTCCCACTCCAGTAAGATTGTGTATATTGTTTTTCTCATAAGCACTTGGACAGCAGTGAGCATACAGTACTTGTGAAAATTATGTCATAGATGGGCAAAAAATACAATATTAAATTTGGCAACTTGAATAGACAGCACAGTCATGGGTCCGAGTCACAGTTGTGGAACGCCGTGGTCCATGGTAATGGTGTTCGACCCATGTGCAGTGGCACTTGGGTTCGAACCCTGACGGGGAATATGGTGTTTGTGTCCTTGGGCAAGACACTTTACTACAATTGCCTCTCTCCACCCTGAAGTATAAATGGGTACCTGTGAGGGTACAGACCAGATTGCGCTGATCTCGAACTGCTGCAGAAAAAACATGGTCCCAGGGCCCGATGAACAGGGTAACAATTGTGAAGTGCTTTGAAACCTTTGGTATAAGGCTCTTTATAAGTACCACATTATTTCAAAACATTTTCTGGACATTCAAAGGGCAGATGTATCCTCGTCTACTGACCCATCAACATCCTTGGTAGGGACGACAGCATTGGCTAACGTGTCTTGGTCCATGGGCACCACTGAATCTGGTGGCATCTGCACAATGATCCCATGGACTGTAGGGTCATTGTTCAGATCCTCGATCTTGCTCAATACCTGCGGCCAAAAAATAAAGGTACCAGACATTTACTTTAAAAAAAACCAAAATTAAAATCTTGGAAGTTTCAGTTCATATTGTTTATAAAGGTCCAAAATGAACATTGGTACATCAATACAGCAAGATATCAGCATGTACACTGTACAGTGAGTTCTACAGCTTTATAGTGTAAAGTGCAACTTTCGCGAGCGTCACAAATGTGCAATGTTGGGTGCTGCGGTCCAATGGTTACAGTGTTCGACTCGTGTGCCGTGGTACATGGGTTCGAATCCTGACCGTGGGAACATGGGGCTTGTGCTCTTGAGCAAGGCACTTTACCATTATTGCTTCGCCCTTCGGATGGGACGTAAAGCCGTAGGTCCCGTGTGTTGTGTAATGCACGTTAAAGAACCCAGTAACACTTATCGCTAAGAAAAGGGGTTCGCCCCGGTGTTTCTGGCAGTGGCTGCAATATGCGCCGCAGCACCTTGTTAACCCTTATAAGGTGCTACATAATGGGTCTCATATTTCTCATAGACTTTATTTACCTTTCTTTAAAAATAGACATAATTTCCAGCGCCTTGAGTACCTAATTGTTGGTAGATACGTGCGCTATATAAGACTCCGATATTATTATTATTATTATTAGTATGTTTGGCTTTCCCTGGTTTTGATTTTGAAAATTCCCTACAAATGACATTCATAATCCTTCTTTTTCATCGTTGGAAAGGTTCCAAAGTAATTTGTAAAGTTGGTTACGGGTACTCGATTTGATAATCAGGAACCAGTTCCTGACATCAGCGGTCGGGTACTGGGATACCTGGTTCCGATGCACAGCCCTAACAAAGAGTGATCTACTTAGTGCCAGACTAACGGCAATTTCATACACTGAATTGCCTGTAAATCAGAGTTGTAATGACTCGAGTCAATGACTCGACTTGAGTCACATTTTTTTGGTGACTCGACTCGACTCGAGTCCCTAAGGGTAAATGACTCGACTCGACTTGAGTCACTGCGAGCAATTGACTCGACTCGACTCCCTCATCAGAAGACTCGACTCGACTCGACTCGAGCGAAGGCTAATAAGACTCGAGTCCCAAAAATAAAAGCAAAACTTTGCGAAAAGTATTTGCAATGACGTACGGTGCAAAATTTATGCTCACTTCGCTTTGCGAATAGCAGTCATGTATAAATATACAACGTGTCACAGACTCCCACCTCATGGTTCTAGAACGCACAAATACTATCCAGGAACCAGATTTTTAAACACATTTTCTAATTCGCTGTTTCATCATTGGCTTTGGGCGATTTCTTATAAAGCTCTTGGATTCGAAAGCTGGCTAAACTTATTGCCTCCTTTTATAAATTTTGGTATATAGTGTTCAAATATTCGTGACTCGAATTGACTCGAGCTAAATATTTTACTCGACTCGACTCGAGTCACAAATATCAGTGACTCGTTACAACTCTGCTGTAAATTTGAAAGCGAAGAAAGTTTGTAATCACGAAACATTTGCCATGTCAAATTAGCAATCAAGACAAAAAAATGGACCAGCCAGGTTCTCTGGCTCTCTATCAAACCTACATTGGATGTGAGCATGTGTTCATGAGATTCCATTCAATATTGGGTTTTGTCTTTCACTGACGTATTATAAAAACACTGTACACTCAGTGTTGTCTCGAGTAATTGTGAGAACAAAACTACTCGGGTGGGATTAGAACCCACGACCTCCTGCTTTCTAGTGCAGACGTCTTACCACTCGACCACCGAGCTTGCCTGGATCGGCTGGCTGGTTTGAATCTGATATATTAGTGGTCACTGCAACCAAACTATTCACACGATGGAATTTTGCACACGTCGGGATGATGTAAATTCAACATTGGGTTCTCCCTTTCAGAACCCAATGTTGAGTTCTTTTTTGAAAGGTCACTTTCATGGTGTGGGAAAAAGGTTGAAGGAGGGAAAAACGCTAGGGTTGGGTAAAAACAAACAAACCAAAGCTACATACCTGTTGGATTGTTGATTCCTTTGACAGCTTGTAGTGGTTAGCAGTAATACCAATCTATTATATGGGAAAAATGTTCAAAATTACTAGGACCAATTCGTGTGTTACCAATTTGAAATTTATCAAAGTACATACACTGTACATTTCACAATGGTTAGACTTTAGCGAGTTAGTCATGACACAGGACCACTGTTCATTGATAATAATTTGTGTAGTCACTGTAACTGATAATTTGTCTATCCATCCCACAACCAACATGTAGCACCTTTCATGGACTATAGGAGATTTACGAAACTCTGGTCTGATCTCCAGCACTAGCTCATCTCCTGCCAAAGATTCATAAGAATCCTGTCATATTCAAACCCCGTGAGAATATAAGACAACTACAGTCGAGTCTCGTTAATACAAACTTGTTCGGACCTAGCCAAATTGTTTGTTATATCAGAATTTTGTATTAAAGAGGATCATCAGTCCCATTCATTGTGCACATAAATGCACAGTCGGGACTAAGGCTTTATGTTTGTTATAACCAGAATTTTGTATTAACAGAGTTTGTACTATTAAACGAGATTTGACTGTATACTTTGCAAACACAGACCATAGTATTGTGCATACATGGAACCCTGTTTACCCACAATGACCCGTTGCATTTTTCGCAGTGAGATGATAAATTGTGTAATATTAGATCATACTTTTAACCATGACAAATGTTGTGTTTCATATTTAAAAACTGAATGTTTTCAGGAGAAACTCTTACCTCCTCTGCCGCAGCCAGCTTGTGCTTGATGTACCGATTGGAATCATCCCTGTCGCCAATCTGAAGAAATAATTGAATCAATCAAATTAGAAATTAAAACACATTGGATTGTGTAGTTACAGACCCCGTTCCTATAAGAGAGCGAAAACCACTTTTATGGTTATTGGAGTTTCCCAACTACATGTAGTTTGCGATGTTTAAAACCATATAGATTAAAAAAAAGAGATATCTCTTTTAAAAATAAAGATATATAGAGATATCTGCATTAGAAATAGAGATATCTCTAGAGATATCTCTATTAACTAGTTTGCGCCGGGATTATTTTTGCCGAAATGTTCGATTTTCGAAAAAGGCAAAATATAGCGGCCAACTTCTGATATATTGCCAAACGCCACAAATACTGTCATTTCAACAGTACTTGTACGATATTTCTTGACCAAACCTCATATTTTTCAACACTCTGGGGTGAACAACAGAGCGTAAATTGTAGAACAATTAGGCCGTGCACAGCGGCGGATTCAAGATCAACACACAGTCCGCCTTGACAGACTTTACGGACTTTGTGTGTACAAAAGGCACAAGGGGTTAGCGTGTTTAGACGTCACCCGTGCCGTGCCTGTGTATAAAAACAGCCAGTGCGTGTTAACACGGCCTCAGACGCGCACTGGTTAAAATAGAGATATCTCTATCAAAATACAGATATCTCTACTTCAGGATTAAATGTTAAATTTGCACGCCATAAAATTATCCTACAAACCTGCACAATGGCCAGTCCAGGTGCAAAGCCTGGATGCTCTGCTTTCAATTTTGCGACTTCATCTTTCAGTTCGGCCCGATATTCCCTGTGCAGACATAAAGAAACCAAATGCAGATCTTCATTGTAACAGCTGAGATACCAAATCAACGGCAAAGTACCCTTACTTTCTGATTTAATTTTGATGAAAACAAGTGCAAGTGCACAATAAGCTCTGTCCATCTTGCAGGAAAGTCTTGCATGAAGTCTGCTATAAAATTAGTATCCAACTGATAAATTAACAGTTAGGGCAAAAATCGAAAACTGTTTGGGGGGAAAAAAAGTGGACGTTTTGATCGGAATCGATCCACGAACCTTCCTAGTGCGAGCTCTATGCTTTTCAACTTCGCCATTGGGTGTTGCTTAATTGGCCCGGTGAATTTGTGTACAATATAGAGTATACGTAGTCGTATACAGAGGGTATACGTACCGAACATGAGTAAAAGGATCGTTTGAAGTCGCCTAAACATTGATTACCCCAGACTGTTAACAAAAGTAAACATAAGCTTTGGCCGTCTTGCATGAAAGTCTTGCACGAAATGATTGTGCGTACGTACAAGCTCGAGCCGCGGCCATGGAACGCCATGCTTTGGGTCAATTTTCACTTCCTCCTTCGGGACACCGTCCAACCTCTTCCACAAATACCACGTGACTATAACATTACTGCACATATCTTGCCTCCGTTTACAAACTTTCATAAAAAAAACTTTACGAATTGTTGCAAACAATTTTTGTGAAGTATTTAATTAATTTTGTTCGCTTTTTTTTTGTGAACATTAAAATTTTGTATTTTATGGGAAACTTAGGGGTCTCATTTTTGGTCAAATTTCCGACCGACCAACCAACCAACCACGAAGTGACATGTAAAAGCTCATGCCAGAGCTAAAAAAAAATACATGGAATATAACTTTGAAAGGAAAATTCACAATTACTCAAAGACACAAAGGGGTTGCAAACACGTCTTGGTCATATAACTCATTGCCAACAGTGACTCCATCACAGTGGCTTACCTCCCATAGTAACAACTGGCAACCTACTGTGCCAGGTTCAAGGTCCCAGTGAAAAAAAGAGTGTACAGAAAGTTCATAAGGCCGAATAAAAAAACAAAATAGTTTCTCGTCCGAACGTTTTGAGAAAAAAAATGAAGGAAGCGGGCTCTTGTTTTTGTGCTTTTCTTCCCAAGATGGCTGATTTTCCAAGATTTGTTTCTTCCATTTTCTCAACTGTTTTGCTGATACAAACATGTAACCCCTTTTTACATAGCTACAATTGTGTTGGAAACAAATAAAAAAGACAATGTATGGACAATTGACCTATCGCCGTTTGCGAGTTAGCCACTAAGACAACAGTATGGAATTGTGTACATTAATTAATTAAGTTTTGTTTGTCTCAAATTTTGCGCATTCCGCGCCCATTTGTATATCATGTGATTGGACAATATTTCAGGAGCTGCGTTGACGCGATTCTACCGCGATAGGTCAATTATATGCAAAAAAGGCATATAATGCAATTTATGCATGAATTAAAAAAAAAAAAAAAAAAGGAGGGGGCAGAAAAAAAGGAGGCAGGCAGAAAAAAAAGGAAGTGGGCAGGGATGAGAAACTGGTTTATTTTTGTACTTGGCCTAATAACAGCAATTGCTACCTGTACATTTGTGGCGTACAAAATGTACATTTACATGAATCTGAACGCCCAGACCAAATGCTACATATGTGCAATACAATACAGTCTTTCAGGGCAGGTAATTTATTCTAAATAGCTTCTCATGTCATGTTGTTACATCAAGTAAAATCATTGCTGTAACCCTAACTAAAGCTTACTTTGGGGTAAAGTATATACTACAAAATACCGGTACTATGAGTGCTGTGCACACTTACCAGTATATGTTGAAGTATTACATACTACAGTACATGTATAAAAGTAATAGCACTACTATTAGTAGTATTTTGTAGTTTTAGGTGGGGTTAGGGATGATGAGATTCTCTGTTAGCTCAAATTTATAGCCCACCAATCCACTATCTCACATTTTATTTTTGGTTGTTAACTTATGTTGTTGGTTTGTTTTTCTAAAAATATGCACCATGACCACTCCCAAAAACCAGGTGGGTGGGCAGAGGCAATTACATGTACATGGTCCCATGGGTTTGTGAATATGAAAACAGGGTAAGCCTGATAGTGATTTATCAATCTACATACAACTAACACAAATACCTGCCTGGGATGATGATCTGTAAAGGCCAAAGGTTTCTGAGATAATCACCTGATGTATGTATGCACTGTACCGGTATGTTACAGGTTCGCATTGCACAGGCTTATACAACTTGTTTGATTATACACTGAAACTAACCACATAATTTCAACAAATTACTGCGTTGGAATTTCATTTCAGAAATCGGAGGTTCCCATATCGTAAGCTGTGTCTGCACTGGACTTTCTTGGATAAAGCTCATGCAGACATTTTAATTGTTTCTTTACACACTGAGATTGACTTCTGTACATTTTTTTTTCAATGAAATTTACCTTCGGGTATTATGGACACCATTTAACATTAAAATATGCTTCATAACAAGGCATTATTGACTGTTAACTGATATTTGAAGGCAACGTTCCTTTATGTCATACATTGTGGCAAAATAAAGTTACAAAAATAGTGCAATGCAAACATAAGCCAGGGAACAGGGCCCAACACTTAAAGTTAAGGCCTAACAATTTAAAAGACAACCTACTCCCTCCCAACTAAGAAACAAATCAAACAATCTTTTTTCTTTTCTTTTTCAACGCCTTGGAATATAGGCCTATTCCTGAACATGATGAATGAACATGTCAAAACGCAGGGTACATGGTTCAGAGAAAATATCATGATACGAATGTAAAGGCCTGATCAGCAGTGGCATACTAAGGCATGTAAGGGCACCCCCCCCCCCCCCCCCCTCCCCCAACCACCACCCGGTCCTGGACGTGTGGGCGTGTGCTTCCATCCCACCCCCTCAGAATTTGACAGTGTTTGAGAAGGCAAAATAGACTCCTTCCTCCTAGACCTGTGAATGTGGCTATACATACATGATGTAGCCACGCTCCGTTCACATCCCTGGACTTTCGAAAAATGTCTACAGCGGATGTTCGTATGGGCTCCATTTTTCCTTGAATTTCTTTGGAATGACAGATCCTATGCCGCTGGAAGTTCTTGGATAAACTCTTAATGTAGTAGGCCTAAGTACTAAACAAACAGTGCTCAATAAATTTTCATATTATACATGTATATAGTGGAAGGTCTCCAGCTGGGATTTCGAACACGTCGAAAGTCCACATGGTCCAGATAATATAAACGAACCGTGGCTACTAATGTAGGCCCTAGTAATATTTTATTTAATATTATTATCAAAAAGCCACGTTTACGGGTCATGACCGTCCATGCCATGGTCAAGGCCCACGAGTTCCCACTACTGGTCGTGCAACTTGCATGCACCCAAGTTGTGACGCCGTTAACGTTAATGCTGATCGGACTTCGGAGGGTTTAATATGCACGGTTTTTCCCATCCCAAATTGGCAAATCCACAGCCTTGCACGTAATACTTGGGAAAGATTTCCATATACGAAGTTCACTAATTTTCCTCTGTATTGACTAAGTAACAAGCCCCCAGATAGCAATTTCATGTCATCAAAGTCAATTTGAGCAGTGAGAAAATACAAGCATTTTCTTAGAAAACACTTAGAATTTTTCAGTCCAATCTCATAGGGTTTGTACACAGGGTGTTGAGTGAACTTCGTATATGGAAATCTTTCCAATACTTGTTACATAAAATACTTAAATAGATACACTAGCATGACATGCATGACTAGAGCTTCTCTCCATCTGTGTTATGTTGTTCTGTTAACATGGATATGTTGTGGTCGATCCCAGACTCCATTACAACTTCACACGTACACTAGTACTACACACACTTAGACTTACGCTGAAATAGCCTTTCCGTCGATGACTTTCCCACGTGTTTCTTCCGGCATTTTTGGCTAGGAAGTTATTAACAATTCGAAAGATTTATCTGTGACCTCTCTTCCAAAACGTTACTCGCGCGCCCGCTGAACACTTTCGCGGGCGGGCCAGGCGGTGTGCGTGCTTATTTGCTGGTAGTAGTAGAGCGCCCTCTGCCCGGGATCATAATGGTCCAAACGGGTCCTCCCCTGCTAAGATGAACAGTCAAAGCAAACACGTTTACTACAGCAAAAACAAAAAACAAAAAAATTCATTCTACCATGATTCTACATATATTCCATTTGGCACTAAAAGCGAAATAAGAGCATTTTTTTCGTCCACATCTCAAGTAAGGGAGCTCCAACCCTCACACCTTCACCCACCCAGCCTCCTTAAAAAAAAAAAAAAAAGCTGTTCAAGCAAAAGTACCAAACAAAACAAACAAGAAAGTAACTAAATTGAATGGTTTTGGAATTTTTATGATTCCTTTTCAGTCAAAAATGGTCGAAAATTCAACCAGTTACCAGACCAGGTCACCAGGTAGTCACCGATAACCTGTGAATGGGTTTTTTTTTGTACACACTAGATCCTGGCTTCAGATCTAGTCCTTCTGATTTGAAAATCACAGGCGTGTGGAAAAAGGCACACCTGGATTTTTCTAGGTGTGTGGTTTTCTAGGTGTGTGGTTTTCTAGGTGTGTGATCTGTGGTCCAGGGAAATTCAGGCGTGCAATTATTTAGGTGTGCGATGGTGTGGGGGTGTGATCGCACGCCTCAAATCAGATCCCCCCCAATTTTTTCATCAACAGTTGCTCCTTTTCAGTCCAGTTCTCATGATACCCTATGGTTATGTGACAAGCCTTCAAATCCTGCATGTACTGGCCTGTGTGGATGACAAGCAGGACAAATTGCTATGGGATTTCAAATGTATGAAGATGTTATGTAGGCCTACAAATGAAACTTTTAAAAAAGGACACAAGTGATGTATCATAGGACACTTAGGATATAATCGACATTTAATTAGTTTATTGTACAACCTTTGTTTGTGCATCAAGGCAACCATTTCAACAGAATGAGAACATAATTATCATCATAACTAAATTGCCACCTTTAAATTTACAGCCAAAACAATGCGGACGCCTTTTGTTACAATGCCTGTGCTTATAATTATACCATGAACACCAGCATATGCAGGGTGTCTAAAAAAAATGTAGCATTCAAACATTTTTTTTCTAAGGAAACATCCTTTAAAAAAATTACTATGAGTTGATAGTGTTTCTTCACCCTTGGCAGGACGTTTGTTCTGTGTGATTTAGACCTTTTGTTTAAAAGTTACGACAAAGCTTGTAAAGCCTGTCAAAATTTGTTTGAGCCACTTTCTTCACCTTCTTGGTACATGTATGTGAATGCCTTTGATTAGACACCAATTGGCCCAATTTCAAGTCCTTTCATTTAATTCGTTGTATCTCTGGACTGGGGTGTCCAAATGAGATGGGATAAAGACCATTGCGTAGAGTATTTACTACACCTTCAGACTCTATAGATAAGTTTTGCAAAAAGAGGGTGCTGGTATTTTTCAACATTTTTATGGATTGACCGCTACAGTTTTTTGGAGACATCCTAAATACAATGGGGACATTTTTTATGTGTATTTATCTATTAAACAAGGCACAGTCAAAATATTGCATGTCCTTCAAAGTACAGACTTTTCTTAACAGTCAGCTTCACACAAATTGATCATTATAATTCCTCAACTCCAATATCCCTTCATTCTTCCGTTACTCATTATTTTTTTCCATCTGGGAATTTGGGTTAAGAGTAAAAACAAATCCTTGCTTTACCGTATACATTTTCCACTATGCTGTACAGTTCCACCATGTGGCTTGAGTGAGGTATAACTATTAATACAATGTACGTTTATGCTGGGAGTCAGGTAGGCGTAGCAGTACTTTTCTCGCCTTCCACCCCTGTGGCCCAGGTTCGATTCCTGCTCTAGTCAACATGTGGATTGGGTTTTCAGTCCCTGCCTGATTCTGTGGATTTTCCCCAGAATATACTTCTGGGATTTTCCTCCCACCTCTAAAACTGTAATTTCTTCTCACTGTCTTCTCTCTACAGGTTTCTTCAGGCTTGCGAGCTACAGTGCCTAGGGCGCTTTTGAGGAATCCTTGGTTTTAGTACCAGAAATATAATTTAAAAAAATATAATAATAATAAAGAATAATAATACATTCCCCTTTTAAAAATAAACCACATAGGAAAACTTACTAGGTGCATAATTATTTTTTAAAGTTGAATTAAAAAAAATTGACCGGAACAGGGTTCGAACCTGCAACCTCCGGATTACCGTTCCAGTGTTCTACCAACTGATCCAGCCTTATATTGGCGGTTTCCTATATTAGGATCTGTTTGGCATTTAACAGAAAAAGAATTGTAACATGATTGTTGCTTTACAATTACAAAGATTAATTATTAAACATTGTACCAAGACTGATCAACAAATGTATTATCTGCAGCAGGTTTTATTTGAAACACAAGGCACTTAAGAATGTCTGAAATCTTAACATACTTAATTGCATAAAAAAATACACTTTTCAAAAAGGTCACAAATCAAGGAACTAGCATTATACAGTTGGACACAGATGGTTACACTGAATTTAAGATTTACAGAAAGAAAGGAACAAAGTCTTCAAATAAAAGTTCATACAAGCCTTGGCAATTACATGTGAAAAAATTTAAGATAAATTAGTTTAAAGATCACTTAATGTTACAGTTTCAAATCATTAATGTGGGAGAGATAAAGGCTGAAGCTAAATTCCTATTGGATTAAACATTATTCTTTCACAAAGACGAACCTGAATCAAATTTAAGAACGAACAAATTTTAGGTAAAAAAATATAAGACATGTGGACGATTTCAATAGGTCTCTCTCAAATGACGTTACTTCCTGCAGATTGCCACATTTTGGGCGTCAAATTTTCATGACGCGCATCGGCTGCGCCGTATTCCAAAGAAATTTGGAGCAACACGTGCGTGTTTAGAACATTTTGCACACAGCGCGCACACGCACCTGATAGCATTGAATACGCAGTTGTAATTTTCCTACGAAGATGGCGTCCAATGAGAGAGATCTATAGACTTAGTTTGACAAACTAACAGTCTTTACAAGGCAAATAATTTAAGTGCAAAAACATGAAAAGCATTCACATTTGTAAGAAGTACTGAAGATATTTTTCAGATATGTGTAACTTTTCAATGCACATTAAAAGGCAAGAATACACTACCTGTGTGTATTGCAATAAATGCCACTTATGTGCAGTGCCTCTCCCACAGTGCTTCTAAAATATTCCATGTTAAAATAAAATAAGTGCCTAACAAGCTTTTCTCCATCAGCCACGTCCAACACCTTCCAAAAGTATTGGATTCAAGGAAAAATTGTTCCATTTTAATATATAATAAGTGAAAAAAATATATGAATCTCTATATTTGGAGAAAAATCTACATTCACTGCAGGAACTTTTTTGAACTGGTTAGCAAATCTGAAGTTTCATGAATCTGCTAACCACGGAATTCCGCACTCACTATAACCATTGTGCTTACAGCGCTATTAATAAGATCTGTGCTAACCCTGTAAGCACGGAAACCTTAGTTACAGGATGTACACATGCACATAAGCCAAAATTGGAATATGCTAAACCCTAAATTCTGTGATTAGGGTCTCTAATCACAGAATTTTCTGCTACACTAAGCAGGGATTTTTCCCTAACAGTAAGCAGTGCCATGAAACTGGGCCCATTTATGATGCAGACATGTGGATTTTGCTGTCTGGTTCACATCCAACCCTACCCAACTGCATGTTGAAAAAACTCAAACAAAACCACTTTTAATGGGAATCTAGTACCCAATAGGACTTCCAAGTTTTCCTAATTATAAACCACATTGAAATTAGTGAAAGGCACACTAGTCTGGCACAATTTTGCAGAATCCAAATAAAAAAATAAATGTAAGCTGACGCAAAATTAAAGGATATCTGGAAACTATAATTTCAAAAAAGATTTCATTGGGTTAAACTACTTTTATATATGTACAAATCCATTAAACTTTTTGTTCCTCTGAACGGTGATTTCTATCAAATATACAGCACTGGACCACATTTTATACATACATCTTTCCCCTAAATTAAGCATTCTACAAAAAAGTATTGTAATTCACTATGAGAACAGACAACCAGTTTAAGATGTTGTATCAAGCATACTGTACCGGCAAAATTTCAAGTGTTTTTATTTTCTGGGAACACGATTGCCAAGGAGTTATTAAATTTGGATATTATAAGTTATCCCGCGAGTGCGAGTGGAACAAGGAAAAATGTAGTGCGTCTGTGTCCTGCATACCACGAGGCCGAAGGCCAAGTGGTATGTGTCCCACAGACACACTACATTTTCCTTGTTCCACAAGCAAGAGGGCGATAATGAATTTATCTTCAAGCAAACTTGAAGCACAGTAAAGATGGAACTAGCATAGCGATACATGGAGTGCGATATGGACTGTGGTATAATGGGATATTATATAACTGACATACAGATCCTTGTCATTTGATTAGTGGAACTCACATCACGTGGCATTCATTATTGCTCCCATTCACGCCGCGGCTCAAAAAGTACTATTCGCCCACGGGGAATGGGAAATACTATTCAACAGTTAGGATCGTCATTGTTTCATGGCGTGGTATTTGTGTGCAAATGCATGCTGGTGTGCACGTTCAGCATTGCATGTTGCGTGTATGGTCCCAAGAGCCAGTAGCTAAGAAGTTGGGTTCAAACATTTCGCGAAGGGGTGGTTTGGAAGAGAGAAATACATTTCCCACCAATTTTATTGAAATAGAAGTTCATTTTAACTGTAAATCATATGACAAGGATCTATATGTCAGTTATATAAAACAAATAGTGAGTGGCTTTAAATTGTGAAATGGGAGGAATACTATTGCTCAGTAAAATCTGGACTACACAAAAGTCCAGATTTTCCCTTGCGATAATATCCTCCCATTCCACTCTGAGCCACTCAATATTTGTATAACACCACACTGTTATTGCCATGGATCGACCAATCGCGCTCGAAGATTCAAGTTTGCTTGGAGATAATAAATACTGACCAGCTCCTGCGAACTGTCCATGTCACATTTTTTAAAAACTTTAACAGCAGTCCAGAGGTCTGTGGTTCACATCTGGTCAAATGCCTTGGCCCAAACTAAACCAATAACATGCGATTCAACGACTGATTTTCAATTCAACAAATTGCAATTAGTGGACATTGAAACAAAATGCTTTGATGTCGACGTCGATACATGCACATATGGGGCCAATGGAGCTGCTAAGCACAAACATTTGCTTAGCACAAAAAAAGTCTGGCTTATAAAAGCAGGTTACCGACCAAATTTCCATGTGATGTATATTGCTTGTGATTGGTATTCAGCTGTTGTTTGCTTGCCATGAAAATCACATAAAGTTTTGGCTGGTAACCTGCTTTTATAAGCCAGACTTTTTTTGTGCTAAGCAAATTTTTGTGCTTAGCAGCGCCGTGAAATTGGCCCCAGGCCTCAATAATCATGTGATTATTATCTGTGGTCGTAATACTGCAAAGCTAAATTTTACAGTGGATGCAATGAAAGAAAGACTCGTGACAAATGTTATTAATTTTTATGGCGTTCTGCCAGGTGAGGAGACTGAGCAAGTTTTTTTTCCTTCCCCCTTTGAAGCGTCTCATTATTTCTCTTCTACATCACCATTCTGTAAGCCCTCCACATCCGTGGGGATGAGTTTCTCTAAGATGTGGTTGAAGACTTCCAGGCACTCCAACAGCCCCGAAGTGTGGTTGGTGTGAAGCCAGACTTTCCGGTACATATCGATGATGCTTAGAAGCCTGAAAAATCAAAAAAAAAAGTTCAGAAAAGTTTTAATATAGAGGCCTCACACTGCCACTCTTCATCAATATAGGTTTTTAATAAGGGAATAAATATGTGCTTGGCGGGTTTTTCACAAGGACGTTTATAACCGGGTAGGGGCCTTGGCGTTGATAACGGCCCAAGGGTCATCATCCACAACCAGGCCCCTAGCCTGCTTCAAACATACTTGTTTAAAGGGGAAGATACAACATTTGCAAATATCAAAAAATGAAATGATCAAATTATCATGAAATATCTTACTGGATTGCTTGGGGATGTCAGTCCAAAGCATCCTGTAAAATCGTGGCCCCTGGTGTGCTGACATTTTCAAGAAAACTTGTATTTTTCCAACGCTGGTCGGCTGACCGGCGTTGGAGAAAACTGACATTTTTTCAAAAAGGGCTGCTAATTTTTCATATTTAGTTATTCCGCATTTTCTTGCAATTGATTACACACCTGTGAAGGGGTACAAGCCTGCTAGACTGATTCTCTGACCTTACAATTTCCCAAAGTCTATAAATTGCTCCGTTGCATCTTGCTTGGGGTCAGGGAACCAGACTACAAAAATATGGTTGGTTTTCTTGGATTTTCCAGCATCTCCGAGCCCAAAACGTGAAGCAACTCAGTTAAACAACATTTGCTATTACATACCAACCCTCCAAATCCACTTATTTCTGAAAAATGCAGCAAAAGCAAATGTTGTACATTCCCTTTAATATCGGCCAAGCACATATTTATTCCCATTCATTAATGGTAAAAAGGTCAAAACAAGTCAAAAATTCACCCATTTCCAACAATTTTGTTCCAACAACTTTACTTTATGTTTTGTGAAACACCCATCTGGCCATGACTATGGTATGTGCCTTGCGCGTTTAGTGCTAAAAATCTGAAACTGGCGCGCGCGGGGCATGTACTGCGCGATGTGGCGCGGGGCATGTACTGCGCGATGTGGCGCAGAATGCAGCGGTGATTTACCGGCGGTTTAAAACCACCCACGTGACGGGCTCTCAACCAATAGGAATGGGGAAACTGTCTCAGGTATTTATGAATAGGTTTTTGTAAATCGAAATATTGAGGTAGCTTCTTAAAGGTATTTAAGTGCCGAAATATAGGCATTGATAGGTTTTGGTGTGGAAAAAAACCGTGAAAGTTTTCAGCATTACCTCATGCAAACTACCAAATTAGGGACCGTGACCATTCAGCCCTGGTATGAAAAGGGCCCCCCGGTACCTCGTCCGGCCCAAAGCCAGTCCGGTCTTCAGCCCAATCTCGTCCGGTACATGGTCCTGTCTGACCAGAAGTTTTGAAGTCAGTCAGGCGCATTAATTTATTGCCCTTCAGAGAACGTCCACAGCAGAACAATAGCAGACTTACCGGATTAAAGATAAAATCTATCCATAACGCCTAGGTAATTTACGGTCCCATTGTGCGTGAAACCGCATGGCAGGGGTTTTGATCTGTGCCGACGAAAGTGTTCTATTGTTTCGCTCTGAGAGATGAAAACCACAAGCGGGTTTCTTCTGGGATATATTACATGTGTCAATACTTGCAAACAATAGACCCCAGGATAGAGGAGTTCCTGATTAGCAACCGGACCAGCTCCTGGGCTGGTAGCTGGGACGGGGTACGAGAGGACTTCTTGGGAGGGGACGAGCTTACAGGGGGGCCCTTTTCATACCGGGGCTGAATAGTCACGGGCCCTTATGAAAAAGGGGGTGGGGTGGGGGTGGGGAAAGGGAGATTACACTTGTTAGTTAGGATCTCTCTTCGATGCTTTCTGAAAAGACTTCCTGTACTTACTTGTTGGCGGAGTCTGTCTTAGCTGTCATGTTAGCATTCGCTAGGCCAACATTGACGATATCTGAGCCTGCAGACGCTGCATCAGGTTTCTTACCGGCCACAACCAGGATACGAGCCACTCTGACAAGAAGACAAGACAAAGCCAGTGTGCAAATCAAAAGTCAACTCACAACGCTGGTTATAAGTTACAGGAGATGAACAGCAGCAAAGGGATGCCTTCGTGAAAGTTTAGTTCAACAGGTTGTGACTTAAAGCTACAGTTCATCATTTGCAGCTATCCAAAATATAACTGACAAAATTATTGTTGAAAAGCATACTTGGTTTAAAGACAGTAATGGCACTAAACTCCCTGTGAAATTAGTCCTTCTGGCAAGCTGTCATTTTGAAGAAAACAATGAAAGAAGGCCATTTCAAACGATGTGTCTAAAGACGCATTCTTCGAAATTTCCATTTTTAAAAATTCAGCGAAGCACGCACAAGCATTGACAGGACGCACACGTACACGCAGTTGCTACAATACATCGGTCCAGTGCGTGACATCGCGTAGTTGCAATCGGCTCAGTGAGAACGTGTCTCGGATGCTGAATTCAGGCCCAATTCAAACCTGACTCAGCAACTTTTGATTTGAAATCGAGATCGTAGAATATTGTTTACTCAGAAAAACAGCATTCACTGAGCTGAAACTTCATCAGGTTAGTTGTTCAGCACCCTTCTTTGGAATTTGAGCACTTTTGTTGCTTCAAACGAACATAATGCACAAATTACAAATGATGGAAGCTACCTTTAACTTGGGGCTGGATGGCTCATATACTTGTGAAGTGCATGTAGGTTCGAACTCGGGCTAACACAAATGCTGATGTAAAATCTGTGACGCCATGTGAAGTTTTTCATGATGCGAAGTACTTAACAACATTTCAACACATTTCAACTCCGGAGTGAATTCTGCTGCAGATGTTTTGCGAAGTCAACTTTGCCTGGCATTTCGCATTTGTGTGAAGTGTGAACTTGCCTTGAAGGTACAAGGGAGCATTTGCTTTTCGTGCATTTTTTGTTTGAAGAAAAAATGTTGCTCAAAATATTAAGGGTGCGCAACAATTAGCTTGGTGAAGTTTCAACTCAGTAGATACTATACATTTTGAGAAAACAGAGAAAACATACGCACGATTTTTGGGGCCTCGTAACTGGATCCATTGCTAAAGCACTTAACCCTTTCATTACCACATTGCTTATTGACTTGGCTCTCCCCAGGACCGAATTGTTTGCTCAGTCATGCGAAAATCACTCGAGCGTGAACAAAATGACCACAAGTCGAAAAATCACTTTTTTCAACCCAGATTTTCACTGCCAAGGAGTGATTAAAATCATAGGTGTTGTGTGTAAAGTTTGTTCTTTTATGTGATTTAAAAATGAAAGAATGTTATTAGTACAGGCATTATGTGAAAAAATAAGGGGTAACCTCAAACAAATTGCAACAGAAACCATTTAAAAAGGTTATTACTCAGAAAAATCTCCTCTATAACATATTAAAAGTCTTAAGAAATCTGAGTGGTGGAAAGTAGTTTTCTAATGTGTTTCTTAACCACACCCAGTACCACTTTTTTTGCTACTTTATAATGGAATATTTAGTGATGCTGCAACAATATATTTAATACTAAACACAGAGAGTTGATCTTAATTTATTATTGAGATGCCCATTGACTTCAGAAATGATCTGTACATGATTTATATTCATTTATTATGCTGTAATACTATTTGCAATATGATATATATATGAATCTATATATAACATATAGGTTCAGTCTATTCTGCTACCATTGGTTTCACGCACACGCACACTGCGTGGCGATCATCAGGCGAATTTACTCATTATTCTAGACCTTGGTAAGTTTCAATATCCCTATGTTTCCCAAATTTGCGATATGCCGATAATAATTTGCATAAATGCCATTTATTAATTTGCATAGATTAAAGTTAAAATTATGGCTGTCATGTGTGGACATGTCACAATAAAATTTTCCCTCAAAATCCAAGTCCAGTCATGTACATAAATTAATTTCACACCATGGTGCATTGCTATAAGGTTCCTTAAAAAAGGAAAGAAATCCATGGGTGGAAATATGCTTAATTTGCATGAATTCAAAATGGCCACTAATTACATTGTCCTGCATTGCTTTTTGGAGTACTTTGAACAACAATTTGTCCTTTGACATTGATTTCATCATCATTCCAGTCCGAGGTACCTTATGAGATCCTATGTTTCCTATGGGGTATAATATTTTTTGTTAAGGTTTCTAGCTCTTGTCAAAGTTGGTATAAGTGTTGGAAAATGTGATATCCCTGTGTCGCAGAGCGAACCCTTGCGCCGCTCTACTCGGACCAAAAATCAAGGAATAACTCAAGAGAACAGAGGATTCAACACAGGAGTTACAAATCACAAAAATCAATATTACGGGAAAGAAATAAACCAAAAAACCGCAAACCTCAATTCGAAAATACGTGGGCGAGAGTTTTATACCCCTCCCGCATGGATGCAAGCCCAGAATTGGTATGCAACAAAGGAAAAAGGAATTACGATTTGCATAATTCACCTAGCACCCACCTCCGAAGTTACATAACACTTTACGGCCGTAAAAAAATTAGTGATTGATGAAATAATTTTAACAGTCTTGTGACACCCTGTACATAAACACATTTCAGGGACAAAAAAATCCCTACTTTAAATCCACTAGTACACTGCATAGGGATATCACATTATGCAACGCGTATGCCAACTTTGAGATGAGCCAAAAACCGAACAAAAAATATCTTTCCCAATTTTTTGATATTTTGTAGCGAACATCTTGGGGTTTAATTTTCATCCAAGTTTGTCTCAATGTCGGGTGATCCCTAGGTCAAATTCAAGGTCAAACTAAAGGTCAAAATGTCATTATACTTAAAATAACCCCGACATGAAAAAAACAATGGTAAATTTGGATTTCTCATGATGTAACCTTTCAAAAGAAATTAAGATTAACACATTTGGCTCACAGATTATAGAAATATGGTCATTTAAAAATGGCAGCAATGTCCATTTTGACCAAAATTGCCTGGGCGGTAGCGCGAAAACTGTTTGTCCGATGGTGCTAAAACTGAAAATTTCGGCTTTTCAGCCGAAATTACCCCATAAACTAAATATGATCCAATTTGAAGAGGTTAGGGTTTCAAATTTAAAAGTTTTGGGGGGTGATTTGACACTGAATGGCCCCAATGTCAAATGACAAAATGTTGTTTAAAGTACTCCGAAAAGCAACTTAGGACGAGAGTTATTACTAGATAGCATATTATGTCATATTTTTGGCCACTGCATTTTTCTTTGCTAAAGAAGGAATTTTTCTCATAATTATTTGGATAGACTTTACCTTCCTAAGCTGGAAATCCATTGGTAACATTTTTTTTCTATCTACCATGTGGCGGTCATCTTGGAATTCAAAATGGCCGCCATTTCGGGCCTAATTTGTATATAACTTCTGACCTGATTGTCATATGAAGTTCAGTTTGGTGGCAAACCCCATGTTTTTGATACCAAGGAACCCACGAAAATCATTGTTGATGGGGTATACTCCCAGTGGAGTACCCCATCAACAATGATAAACTTGGGTTCCTTGGTATCAAGAACATATGCAGTTTGCCACCAAAATGGACTTCATACGACATTTAGGTGCCACCTTATTATTTAAATGAAATCAAAGATGGCCGATATTTTTGAATATCCAATATGGCTGTCGTCCATTTGGGATGCCTAAATGTGCTAATTGGATTCCTTGGTATCAAATTTATGGGCTTTGCCACCAATAGTGACTTCATACGACATTCAAGTGCAAAATTAATATGCAAATAGTTCAGAATGGCGGCAATTATGAAATATCAAAGATGGCTGCCATCAACTGTAAGTACCCCGTCCACAGTGATTTACTTGAGTTCATTCAAATACATGGACTTCATAGGACATTCAGGTGCAATGTTATTATAAATAAGATCCAAGATGGCGACTATTTTGAAAAAAATCCAAGATGGCTGCCATCCATCTGGGATAGATCATCAGCAATGGGTCATTAAGATTACTTGGTATCAAATGTATGGGGTTTGCTACCGAAATTGACTTCGTACGCCATTCGAGCCCAAATTTATCATGCAAATAAGCCGAAAATGGCGGTCATATATTTGAAATATCCAAGATGGCTGCCATCCATTTGGAGTACACCATAAACAATAATGTACTCAGGTTCCTTGGTATCAAAAACATGGGGTTTGCCATCAAAATAAACTTCATGTGACAATCAAGTCCGAAGATATGATACAAATTAGGCTCGAAATGGCGGCCATTTTGAAATCCAAGATGGCCGCCACACGGTAGCTGGGAAAAATGTCTCCAATGCATTTCCGGCTTAGGGAGGTAAACTCTTTCCAAATATGGCAAAAATTACTTCTTAAACAAAAAAAAGCAAAAGTACATAACGGCCTATATACTATTATGGCCGCGCCAAATCATATGAAAATCATGTAATTAGCGGCCTTTTGAATTTATGCAAATTAGGCATATTTCCACCACTTGGATTTTTAACAACTTTTTTAGGGACCTTATAGCAATGCACTGTGGTGTGAAATTTGACTTGGATTATCAGGGAACACTCAATTGGTACATGTCCACACATGGCATCCATTATTTTAACTTTAATTAGGCAAAAATATACGGCATTTATGCAAATTATACGGCATTTGGAAAATTTCGGAAACATAGGGATCTTGGAATTTACCTAGGACTTGAATAATGAGTAAATCAATGTAAAAGGACTAAATCTGTTGTTTAAAGTACCTCTAAAATCCACCTAGTATGAGAAATATGACCAAATCAAATCCGAAAGTCCTAACATATGCGGCCATTTTGGATTTATGCAAATTAGGCATATTTCCACCACCTCGATTTCTTAAGACTTTTAGTATGTCATTTTAGGGACCTTATAGAAATGTACTGTGGTGAAAAAAATTCTGTTGCAATTTGTTTGAGGTCAAACCTTATATTGCCTGTACTATATGCCTTTTTGTCCATCTGGTCCCATTTATCAAACTGCAAGCCATTTCACCACATGACCAAATGACACTCCATACCTCAAATTGTGCGTGGATACTTCTGAAGCACTTTTTCTCATTTTTTTTGTAATGGTAACACTATGAATAAACTACACCATTGAAACTTTCCAAAAACACTCTTTCAGCTGGTACATGGTTGATGTATGGGCGGCCAAACATATGAACATGCCGCCTTTCTGAAAAGTAGTCAATATATCTGCGTTGAGGGTGTTCTGTGTGTGGTTTCCTAGTCGACTAGCTAGTCGCCCATGGGAATCAGCAAGGGGGTAGTTCTTGTCGACAAAAGTCGCCCATGGTAAGGAAAGGGTTAAAAAAACTGTGCCAGGCACATTTTCTTAAACCACTGTCAATGATTGTTTTCTTCAAAATGATACCATTTCAGGCGGAATAATTTCACAAGGTAGTTGGTACCAGTCCCATCTTCACTTTGAGCAAGGATTCTCTCGTGAACTCGGTAGGTACTTTTCCGGGTAATTGCAAGTGTTCCTACGTGCCTTTAACCCTGGCCCCCTAAGGGCTCTTTGGGGGTCAAGTACCAAATACCACAGAATACTTCATGTGTTGTGCACACTTGTAGGGAAAGAAATGCACACTACAGATTACTACTCCGTAGATTAACCCTAACCCCCTAGGTCCTTTTTGCTAAAAACTGTCCTCAATCCTCCAACATTTTGCAACAGCACCTAAATTCTTCAAAACTGTCAGACAGTCCTGCCTCAAAATGCATTCATCGTGTATCCTCCAAATATCATCCTCATCTCAAAATGTTGCACTCGTGTTTAAATGAAGGATAACCAACGCCTAAATTCTTCGAAAATCACCAGACAGTCATGCCTCAAAATACATTCATCCTCAATCCTCCAAAATCATCCTCATCTTCAAACACCATTCATCCTCAATCCTCCAAAATCCTCCTATGCTTCAATCACCATTCATCCTCAATCCTCCAAAATCCTCCTATGCTTCAATCACCATTCATCCTCAATCCTCCAAAATCCTCCTATGCTTCAATCACCATTCATCCTCAATCCTCCAAAATCCTCATGTGATTCAATCACCAGTCATCCTCAATCCTCTAGAATCCTCCAAAACCGCCAGGAGTATTTTGGAGGAGTGAGGAGGGTAAGGGTTTAAGGTGAGGTGAGGGTTAAGAAGGTGCCTACCTGCTGGCCCACAGCATGATATCCGTGGCTAGCTGCAGCTCCACGATGGCAAACTCTTGTACGGGAGTCTTCTTAGCTGACTCCAGGGACCTCTGTATCTTGTGAAGGTGATTCAGAGTTTTCTGAAAGGCAAACAGAGCCAAGAGAAAGTTGGTTATTTTTTTGTTGTAAAATAACAACTGGAAAGGGTAAGGGGGACGAATCTGTGTTCACAGGACGGAGTGCCCATCTCTCTTTCGAAGCGATTGGGTGAGACTCGAGTCCATGAAATGCTGCTGTGGGGGGATCGCCACACCTCCTCCACAGTGAGTCTGTTACCTTCCCAGCACTGAGTAATGCCGGTACCCATTTAACACCTGGGTTGAGAGGAGTGATTGAGGTAAAGCGCCTTACTCAAGGGCACAACACGCATATGGCCGGGGCTCGAACCCACAATCTAACAATCATGAATCCTGTGCCCTACCGCTAGACCACCAAGCCCACTGGCAGGGGTAACAACCCAATATTGAAAGAATCTAAGTGTGGTTTCCTTTAAATACCTGTATGACGTCAGGGGTGACATGCTCCAAGTCCACCTCATCGGGCTTGCTGATGAGCTGACACAAGAAAGAGCCCTTAGGGTTAGGGATGTTGGCCAGCTGACCCTCCAGCATGTTCCACGCTGACCGGGTGATGAAGGTCTCGGCCCGGCCCAGCTCTACAATCACCTGACCCAGGACACAGTCCTCATCCATGAAGAAGTAGTGGTTGATGATGTCGGCAAGCCTGCTGGTGATGAAATCCTGTTTAGAGAAAGGCAAATTGGGCGGGAGAGTATAAGTTATAATAATAATAATAATTTGGGAGGCTAATCATCCTTACTCAGAGCTGGTATGCTGAATTGCGAAGGACGCGGCTACAACGTGGTCAGACCGCTGGCACGTAAAGGTGCCCATGGCTGCCGGCCACATCGACCCATATGACCACGGAGCACAGCCTGAGAGATCAAAAGTGTTTGATTGTTCCGGAGGGAGGAAAACCGGAGGGCCCGGAGAAAAACCCTCGTGGCACAGGAGAGAACCAACGCACAGTTCTACTCACGTGTGATCTGCGGCCAGGATTCGAACCGTGGTCACCTAGGCGAGAGGCGAGCGCTTTTATGCACAAGCCACCCATGCCACCCTAGTTACTAGCCAGGGATCCCACAGAAATCTTAAAATGAAATTCTATGACTTTTCCCAGCACAAAATAAGCGCATTGCATGACCAATTCGGGCCATTCACAATGCAGTGCGCCACCAAGAGTTTGCCATGGAGAGTCCATTTTTCATGTTGACGGTCGACAAAACACGGCCCATTCGAATGAGTGTCAGTAGACAACTTGAGCTAATTTGTTATAAACTGGGGCATAGAGTTCTGTCGCCTTACAAAAACACCACATTGGTAAAAAGAACAGAAAAGGGCAAACATTAACTGGAATCATACGCTTACAAAACTACTGACCGGAAAAAAACTAACAATTTCAAATGTCCAGCGCTGCAAATTTGTCGACCATCTCCGAAAACGCACTGGGAAAATTAACTCTCTGTGGCAAACTCTTGGTGGCGCACTGCATTGTGAATTGCTGTGACGTTTTGGATCTAAGGAGCCTATATACATGTACCATACTTGGCAAGTCCTCTCACTGAAATAAAGGTCTACACAGTGTGCATCAGACAGTATGCTCTGTAGGTCCTCATTTTGGTCCGAAATGTCGAGTTCTACACTCAACCAACCGGTTCTTTTCAGAACCACACTGCTTCCAAGAAGATATTTCTTTCGACATAACATGGTGTTACCCGCAAACTTGTCTATTTTCTGATGGATCTTGCTACACTGAGCAGGCTTCCCATTTTGACAAGTGTCGCAACTTGCTGCATCTAGCAGGGTTTCTAGCCAAAATACTTTAAAGAGGTTGTGGAATGCTCGAAGACATTTCCGTCATATTTCGGGTATGTGTAGCCTAAGGTGTGATGAAATAAAAACGACAATTGTTTCTGTCATAAAATGAGTACAAAAGGTACTTTTTGAGAGCTGTTTTTCAAGTCCTGTCATGCCTGTTTCGACCCGAACGTGCAATTTGTGTAAAAGTCGTCGTTGCGGGCAACAAACAAAACACAGTCACGGTAAATCGTGACGTAATAAACAGGACTCCCGATAAACGAGTCCTGTTTATTACGTCACGATTTACTGTGTTTTGTTTGCTGCCCGCAACGACAACTTTTACACAAATTGCACGTTCGGGTCGAAACAGGACCTGAAAAATAGCTCTCAAAAGTACCCTTTGTACTCATTTCATGACAGAAACAATAGTCGTTTTTATTTCATCACACATTAGGCTACATATACACAAAAAATGACGGAAATGTCTTCGAGCATTCCACAACCTCTTTAAGGGTTTAGGGTCAATAGAACCTTTGGTTAAAACAAAATGTCATGAGGTCATGTTATGAACATACTGTTTGTGGATGATTCTCAGCGTGCTTGGCACGCGAAACGTGCTAAGCAATATTTTGTGCTAAACAGCTTAATTTAATTGAAACCAGTGTACAACAAACTCGGGCCGAGGTTCAAACTCACCAGGGGTACGTTTTTATTCCAAGCCAGTCCGCCGGCCGTGGCGAAACCAGGGAAACTGATCGTGGGCTGGTTGATCTGCATAGTCCCTGACCAATCAGTGAGTAGCAGACCCACGGCGTTGGGGGAGGCGGCAGCCGAGAGGACCGCGTTGTGAATGTTGCGTATGGCGGCTTCTGGACAGCCAACAATGCTGCAATAGGTTGCAAAAAAGAAAGGTTACACGTCCCAATTCACACAACCTTGTGCTTTCTAGGGTTTGACCTTCACTCTTTTTTTTCACTAGCAAGCCGGGCTACTGGAACAGATTTTTAACTAGTCTAACATTTTTACTAGTCTGCATATTTTTTCTTTATAGAGTGTCTCATAAACAACAATGTACATTCATGGAAAACATGTATCCTGAAGCAATTCTGTGAGTGTTTTAAATAAACAGATCTAATAATTTCACCCTAAACAGTTAGTAAAATTAGACACAAACTGATACAGGTTTGCTTTCTGAATTTAATGATTTATTTCTTCCTGTCCTTTCATCTTTGCAGTAGCCCAATAATTTTTTACTCGCCAGCCGGGCTACTTATGAATAGTTTGCCTAGCCTGCCGCTGTTTTGACTAGCATTTGGCTAGCAGGCTACCACTTAAGTCGAACCCTGCTTTCTGTCAGTCTGGGGTGTTATAGTGGTCAGAAAATTGCAAACAGCATCACTTGAGCTCGGTGACTAGGATATGATTGATTTCCATCAGCTATGGTGAGGCCGGCCAGACTCACTATAAGGATTTTATTGCACAAACGTGGTTCTTGTCAGAGGGGCTGGGGTTTGGCTAGGAATTTTAGTATCAATAGTTCAATCCTGGCTAAAAGGGCTCTCACCACTTTATTTGGCTATGTTTAAATGAGGAACTTGCGAAATTTGAATTGTTTGACCAACAAATATCAGAGTATTTTAAAAATTAAGCAAAACGGACTTTGCTCTTATTAAGCACCATCCCTCAGCGTACAGGAATTCAGAATGTGTTGGACAATTAAAGACAAAGAAGGAAGGGAGTGAAAATTGATGAGATTTTTACCAAGGACCATGTTGTAGATAAGTCCATTCAAACAAATCTGTTCAAAAGTACAACACAAGTCCTTTAACAAGTCCAGTCACAGGCTTAGTAGCGAATGTTATTTTTCCATTGAATAAATTGTCTTGAGACGTGATGACTTGTGATGGGCTCGTGGATACAATGCTGTGTGTGGTAACGTATATGGAGGGTACCAGGTATATTGTTTCCTTTTTGAACACTGCGGACAAAAGATCCACAACAATGACATGCCGAAGCCAGAGAAACATGTTGTCTTCTGTGCCATGCACTCTCATAATGATAGCTATGGTTGAAATTAAGAATGGGTTGTGAGAACTGTAAAACAAAGAAGGTCAAGTGGGATCAGTGATGAATAGTGTCCACTATTAACTTTTAGGAAAGAAAAAAAGCAACAGACGGATCAAAAATGTTTTCAAACTTACCTGTCCCAGGCTGCAGTTCCAGGACAAACGGAGAAGGCCACTCTGAAAACAAAAAGCCAACGACATCAACAATTTATTTAAGTTTGATGTTCCTTTTGAACAATAATTCATAAATACCTCAGACAGTTTAGCCATTCCTATTGGTCGAGAGCCCGTCACGTGGCCGGTCTTAAACGGATGATAAAGACGTGGTTAGCTGGTCTTAAACACTTTTCCAGTGTCACAATAAAATGTGGACTCCTAAAAATCCAGTGCCTCTTACCGTTTCATTGGTTGAAAGTTCACAATCCTCACGTAGGCATGCGCAACACTACCAGCGAGTCAGAATTTTATAGTTCTAAATAATTTTATAGTGCGTCATGCACTATCCTCCGTAATTTCTTGAATGTGGTCCTTGGAGGGGTGACCACTGTCTCAATCCTGCAAAATTCTCCAGCAAAGCAGCAATCACTGTCAATATGTTGAGGCAGAGCCAGTGACATCCTGGAGCAGTGTGGAGGGTTTCAAGTTGAATCTAGGCCTAAATTTATGCACGGCTGAGCATAAACAACACAAGGTCCGGCCCAAGACACAGTGCATCCTCTGAAATCAGCAACACACTTTTGACATGTAGCCTCAATCCCCCATTTTGCAAAGAGGATGGGGGAGAATTTGGGAAGGTTAGGGTTAATCAAAGCTGTGATCAAAAACAACATAGAGAATCGGTCTATTGTCTGTGCACTCAGTGTTGCATGGATGTGTACGCACAGTCGTGTTTTACTATACGTCTGAGGACAACCTATTGTGTTTCCCTCTGTCCCTCTAAAATATAACACTTTCCCATAGACTAAGCACATAACCATACGATCGAGGACCAGTTTTAACAATAGGCACCGTCGTCCGAGGATCAAAGGCCCCTTTGTGCTCCTTTTGTAGTCTGTCCTTTTGTTGTCTGTCCTCGAGCGTAAAACAATACAAGAGCGCACAGTCTGACGGCTATCTGAACTTCACTGCCTTTTTAAATGGCTGTCTCAAACTTCCTTGCCATGACATCTTGACAGAAACGACAAGTTCTAACTGGCGTGTCTGGCTAGTCCATATATTGAACACTGTATGAGTGAATGCCACAGAGTGAGATTGTTTTCCTCGCAATCAATGTTGATGTGCTGGCTCATAGCTGAGGACAAAATGTTACAATGTGTTGTACTCACCCTGCCTCTGTCAGTGCTGTACACGCTGCACTGTAGTCATAGTCAACCTGGGAATGGACAGTGGAAGACTCTGCTCATTATCCCTTTCAGTCATGTGCTGTTACAATACCTCATAAATATTCATTAGGCAACCGCGGCATTTAATTGGTCCATTCCAGCAACTCAACCGTGGGAAAGTTTTAGCCATCACCCTGCGTCTTCGTACGCGCGCGTGACGCGCAAAAACCAGGGACGTACTATCACACACCTGGGTCGCAGCTCAGTACAGTACTGTGTTATCTCTTTACCAATGATGCATGTGCTTTACGTGCCTAACATGGAGAACACCAGTGAGGACAGATGCATGTGCCAGTCTATTACGGCGTACATCAAAATGGCGACCGGTGGTGCTTGCTTTGCGATTTTAACCGAGGAGGAAGTGGGTGAAATTTTACACAATGAAAATAAATGCAGTGTTTTGTGTGAATGTTAGAGTTATTAAATGACACAAAATTAACTTTCAATACTGTCTGTCTCCTTAAATTAAAATAATGTTTCCCTTTATCCAAATACTGCACGATCAAAAACATGGTGGAATGGACGAATTGAATACCGCAGCTGCCTGATGAATAAATAGCCCTAACAGTCCTGAATCCTCCAATTTCAATATGATTTTTCACACCCCCTAGGGAGTTAGGGTTAAGGGGTATAGTAAAACAAATACAACATGTTTTTGCGGGGAAATAGTGCAAACAAATGACCCCTCGGTGTTAGATGATTGGGACTATCTCCCCCGGCTCATCCAACACCTCAGGGTCATTAGGTTTTCACTATTTCCCGACAAACCATGTTGTATTTGTATAATATCCAACAGATCCCACACATTGGATACCGCGAGCAAGTTAGATGTACAGTTAGACGTGGCAGCTAAGCACAACGGCCCTTTTCAATCGTTTGCATCAAGTGAATGTGCGCATGTTCAAAATGACGCTCATGACCTGGAAATTACTGTGTGTGGTTCATCGCACAGGAGCTCAAGTCTGCTTCAACTCCTACCTCAGCACCACACTGAGATTTCATCTATCTGCAGTCATACTGACCAGTCTATGGATGACCATTCTTTGAATGGTTGTGGGTGACGGGACCCCAGACTGACCGTTAGGGGCTGCAGAATATGCGATGGTCATTTATGGTACGGTCCTTTACATGTAAAATGTCTAAACCATTTCCATTTTCTTTTCATAATTAAAAAAAACGGCTTTAAAATGTTCAAGTTGTATTTTTCATTTAAGAGTGAAAGCTTCAGATATTTCTAACAACGTTTTGAACAAACAATAAATTCTAAGCTTTTTACCTAACAGGTAGAAGCCGAAGTAGAATATCTAATAATAATAATAACTGTATTTATATAGCGCCTTTTGCCAGAGGATACAAAGCGCTGGGGGAGAATGCAACCAAAGACAAGTAAATGAAGTATATGAACATATGAGACCCATTATGTAACACCTTTTTGCTAGGTGCTGCGGCGCATAATCGCTGCCACTGCCAGAAACACCGGGGCAAACCCCTTCTCTCAGCGACAAGTGTTACTGGGTTCTTTAACGTGCATTACACAACACACGAGACCTACGGCTTTAAATGTACGTCCCATCCGAAAGGACGAAGCAATAATGGTAAAGTGCCTTGCTCAAGAGCACAAGCACCATGTTTTCACGGTCAGGATTTGAACCCATGTACCACGGCACACGAGTCGAACACCGTAACCATTGGACCACAGCGCCCCACAGAAACATGCCAGTGCTTACCTTGCATCCATAATGCATTGCCATACTGCCCACTGGTAACCTGGCGATAGTCTCTGCGCTGATGTCCACCGTGTTGGCACAGAACCGTACATTGTGGCTGTCCTTGACCCCAAGCAGGTGCAGACGGTCCCTCACGTCCAGCTGAGCCAGGTGGGAGGAATCCTTGCCGTCTTGGTCATCGTCCGAGGGAGTGGCCAGGAGTTTCTTGGTCAGCGTGGCGCCGATGTTGACCGAGCTGCACGTGGGAGAAGGAGACAAGGGCCGAGATGGATTTTAATTGGAAATTGTGGTTGTACTGTTGCTCAAAGATCAAAAACAATTAACCCTAACCCTGCCAGGTGCAACACAGGTGTAAACGTCTGTGGGAGAGTGCTGCACTGAGCCACCAACACCAGTGCATAACCGGCCAATTCTGAGACAATGAGGGCTAGTCCCATTGAACAATGCCACAGTAGTATCCTGCTGCAGTTGGTGAACACAGACTCTGAGGAAATTTAGCCTTGAGACTTTTGACCCGACGGATCTTGCCACACTGAGCAGGCTTGCCATTTTGACAAGTGTTGCATGTTGCTGCGTTTAGCAGGGTTTCTAGTCAGAATACCCTGGAGGGCTCTAAGGTTAAACATACAGATTGATTTGTACCAACTAAAAAAACAGCAATCACCAGAACAGAAAATACTAAATCTACTCGACTTCTTGAATGTAATACAGATAAACCACAATATCAAATCAGCAAACAGACATTAGGGATAATTATTATGCCACTGAGATTGACTAGTTTCTAATATTTTTTTTTTTTACAAAAAATGGTTGATTTGTTGAACCTGTCTGATAAAATTTGCCAGTTTCGAGAAGCTGGGATGTCAAGACGAATTTGCTGATTTGAGAAAATTGCCCTGAGTATAAAAAACAAAAACACAAAAGGAAAAAAAAAACCAGAAAAAAAAGAGGGTCGTTTTGCTAAACCCGGAGGCTCCCAGCTGATTTTTTATAATAACAATTGACATTTATATAGCACTTTTAACAAAGATCAAAGTGTTTTAATTTATTATCACCCCTGATCATCGGGCTAATGAAACATTTAAAAGACAATGTCAGCTCCCTGGGAGTATAAAGCTCATTGCTGCCACTTCGGCGCAAAGCAGCTAAAAATCAACCACAATAACCATCTCTGCCCTCACAGGTACCCATTTACTCCTGGGTGGGGAGAAGCAATGAGTGACAAAGCCCCTTGCCCAAGGGCACACACACCACAACCCCAGGCTGGACTCGAACCCACCACCTGCAGAATTACCCGCAGACTATGAGTTCAATGTTCCAGACCAAAAAGCCACGAGCGCTCCACATCATGCATGTTCGCCAAGCAGTACATTCAAATTATCAACTCCTGGAAAATTAATTTTCAACCTGTGAAACATTCCTCAGGTATGAAAAGGAATGACCAAACATCTCAACTCTTACCTTGTGGATCCGAACGAGGTTAAGACCTGCTTGAAGATGCCCATCTGTTTGGGAGTGAGTTCGGTCTTGGAGCTGATGTCCAGGTGGGGAATCACGTCCATGTATCGCCACCTGCAGTAAATCTCTAGATCCAGGAGTTCACTGTACATGAAAAGTAAAATACAAACCTAATTACGTGACCAGTACAATTGTTTTTTTAAAGGATTGTTAAAGCAATGAGGGGTCATATTCTACAAGGCACAGAATTTGGCTAAATATTTGTCAGGGATTCTACAGAAGTATTGAAATACAATTCCATAACTTTTTCGGGGCAAAATCGGCTTTCCATGGCCAATTCCTACGTCGGCATTTTGGGTGCCTATTGCTCTGGAGGCAAGGGATACCACTCCCTTTCAACCTTCCTGCTCGGCACAAGACCACTGAGCACCATAACAGCATGACAATAGTGCACTAAATGAGCAACAGATATAGAGATTATATACATGAAGAGGAGGTATAGTAAACTGGAATGCCAAGTGGAAGACTGCCTTAAAGGTATAGTCCATCATATGTGATTTGTGCATTTTGTTCGTTTGAAGCAACAAAAGTGCTCAATATCTGATGAAGGATGCTGAACAACTAACCTGATGCAGTTTCAGCTTAGCTTCAGCTGTATTTTTCGAGAAAAACAAATTTCTAGGATCTCGATTTTTATATCAAAAGTTGCTGAATCATGTTTTGAATTGGGCCTGAATTCAGCATCCGGGACACGTTCTCACTGAGCCGATTGCAGCTACGCGATGTCGCGCACTGATCCGACGAATTATAGCAACCGTGCACTCGTATGCGTCGTGCCAGTACTTGCGCGCTTCGCCGAATAACAAAACGAGCTACTAATTTGAATTTCCTACGGTGCTTCTTAAGAAGCACCATTGGAAAGGCCTTCTTTCGTTGATTTCTTCAAAATGACGGCTTGCCAGACAGAATAATTTAATAGTGAGTTTAGTCCCCTTACTATCTTTCAACCTTACTATCTTTCAACTAAGAATGTTTGTCAACAATAATTACGCCAGTTACTTTTTGGATAGCTGCAAATGATGGACTCTGGCTCTAACCAAATATTACACATTATCACGTATGGGTTGTACAGGATTCCAAGACTTTTCCATGACTTTTTCCCTTGTAAAATAAGGAATTCAAGGATTTTCCATGACGGTGGAAACCTTTATTTTTCTTGTGGCCACTCTTTTAGTTTGTCCTCTTGTACGGAGGAATGTTTTCTCAAAACTCAGCAAAAACTGAGAAGCACTGACCAGACAGTTCCGATGAAAACTTTACAAAATAAGTACCATTCCCCCCCCCCCCAAAAAAAGATGTTATGCGAAGAGCAAAATCGAATATATGTGATGCAATCAAGCTAAATGAGTCATTTGTCTGCAATTATGATTTTAAGATACAGCCCAAAATAGGTCAGTAGGGGTGGAAATTTTAAAATTGACTTTTTTTTTAATAAAATTGGATGGCTACATGTGTCCTCTTTCATGTCAACTGTAAGGAGATAATATTCAATAACCTGAAATAAAGCATGTTTATTGTTGCTCACTAAACACTTCGATTTTGAATCGTTGATTTCTCTGTTTTGTTCTTTCTGATCTGCCTTTGTTCAAAGTCTCATAACTTCTGAACGGAAGGTCGTATTCACATGGGGTTTTCACCAAATATATACTGAAAGATAGCTCTATTCAAAAATGTAAAAAAAAAAAAAAACCACCAAAATTTGATAAGGGCCAACAAACGACTCATTTAAACTTGATCGCATCACATATCAAAATCTCCAACACTCATTTTTTTAAAGATTTGATTAGCGTTTAGTAACTTTCTATGCATTGCTCTACATTTGGAGGTGTGGTTTTGCGTTCAGGGTGCTCACCTCTCAGAGTAAGGCATAACTCCTTCCACCTCCTCCCCTTCCACACTCTTCATGTGCAGATGAAGCTAAAAATAAGACACAAGCAGAAAACGTTAATTCACAATGAATAACAAATGCCTTTGAATGCAAAAAAGTTCTAGATATTTGATGTACTTATCAATCTTTTTTTTTTTTGGAGGGGTTATTCTTAAAGTTGAACAACGAAATTGAAAAGTAAGATTTGAGGCTTTGCATGGTGGAGATACTAAATAATGAAAGGTTTGCGGAAACACCATGTGCGAATAATTTCTCAACTAAGAAAGAAACTCTTTTTTAGAGTTTAGGCACTCTCCTGAAGATGGTCAGAGCATACTGACCGGAACGTCGAGTTTATACCTCTGGTTCTTTTCAGAACCATTCTCTTAGTTGAGAAATTATTCGCAAATAGTGTTTCCGCAAACTTTTCATTATAAAGAAATTGAACGAAGCAGGGTTTGAACCTGCGACCTCCAGATAGCTGTTCCGGTGCTCTAAGTGAGCTATCCAGCCCTATGTTGGCAGTTCCCCCATTTTGTTAATGTCTTGGTTCAAAGGGTGCTAGTAATTTTTGCCCATTTTTGTGGCACTAGCCAGGGATTTTGCCCAAAGTCACGATGCTAGCAACACTAGCAGTGCTGCAAACCTGGGAAATAGCAAACGGGATCGCAGGTTTTAATTATCAAATAAAGCACAAAGGAAAACTGACTAGGTCCATTATAATAATTTAACATTTAAACAAAGAAATTGTCTGGAGCGGATTTAATTTTGTTCCAACATTCAAACTGGACAACTCAAACCACATTCCTGTATCTGTTAGATCAATGGACGCAAAGATGGAAAGGACAAGATTCTATTGAAAAATGAAAATTAGTGCGTATTGCTACGATGACGACAATGTCCAAAACAATCTTTTTAAGTTCACTGTAACAGAACCAATTTTAATGTCAAACTATCTTTCTTTGAGAAAAAAAGGCAATAACTTACCTCGTTGAACTTCATAAGGGTTAATATATTGACGACATGCATCAGATAATCCTGGGGGGGGGGGAAGGACAAGATGACAAGCAGTTAAATTGTGTAGAACAAAACAGAAAAAGCAGTTCTACAACTACAAGTAGGTCAGTAGTCTATTAGGCCAAAAAAAAAAGTCTCCGGTTTCTGGTATGCGCGCGCGTCGCCATGCGCGTCGGCAAAATGAAAACGTTTTTTTTCCCAATGAAAGATGATGTCTCAAAACCGCCAAACTCACTGGTTTGACTGGAATCCTGCTGCTGCAAAATTTTAACGTGTTTTTAGATTGGGTTATGGTCGAGAATAAGCTTTATGTGGCCTCTCTGGACTCCCATATATTTGCACTAAGTTTAGTCGGGCACCATTTGCAGTCATCAGCCGACATTTGAAGCAAAAAAATCAGGTAAAAAAAAAAAAAAAGCTGCGTCGCCGCACAACTTTTTGGGCAAGCTCCATACCAGAAACCGGAGACTTTTTTTTTTGGTCTTAGGAGCTATTTGGTGACATGCCAGTTTATCACAGAAAAATTTTCTTTTAGCAAATTTGTCTTCTAAAAACTTCAGCTTGGAACCTGTCTAAATATTACGATGCTAATATGCACTTTTAATAATAACTGCTTCCTAGAGGACACTAGGGTTGTGCCGAATAAACCAAATATTCAAATATATATGATCATCATCACCTGAATACGCGAAAAGCATTTTTCAAATCTGAACATTTGAAAACGTGAGTGGTCTATAAGAAATGATGTAAAAAACAACCCTTACTTTTGTTTAGTTTGTCAAATGCCTCATGTTTGCCGGCATTCACTTTACACACATGATTCGAGAGCTTTCGTGAGAAATATTAGCTTTGATGTTCATCTTTAAATTGTTTCGAATATCAGCTCAGGCCTGGAGTGCTCTGAAACGTGCAAAACTTAATCAGGCTATGAACTAACTCACTCTTTAGCCAGCAATTTTCTAGAAAATCTATTGGGCAAAGAAAAGGTTCTCAGTATTTCACCAACCAAGTTTGCAGACTCAATTCATTGTTATAGGAGACATTTTTCTTCAATATTTTGCGCATGAGAGTCAAGTGATTTCAACATGAGGCTAAATACTAGACTGGTACATGTCCAACCATGGTCCAACTATTTGAAAAGACTGACCTCTTCATTCAGTGTCATTAGTCTGGTGACTGACTGTGGAGAAATGTGTAGTAAATAGAGACTAGTTGCCGGTTCATGCCACATGTTTCTTTCGGCAAATTTGGTGTCAAATTTTTCAACTTCTTGGGATACTCACTAATTTAGGTACCCTCCCACAAGAAATGTCCAGGGCCACGCCCCTGTATCGAAGATCCGGCCAATCAGAAATCTGGGAAAAAAATATACATCATTTATTAGTGTCTGTTTCAATGTATTAAAATAAGTTTACTTAGCACAGCTGTAAACAAACAAACATGGTATTGGATAACTGCTTGTTTGATTGAATTAATTTTTTTGGCATCAGAGAGATGTAACTTTATAAGTGGTTTTGCCTTTAAACCGACGTATTTTCATGTACACTGTATGCTCATTGTTGTCCAAGGACTTGCAAGAAAAACAATTTGCAAGCTTATTCGGGTGGGACTCGAACCCACAACCTCCTGCTTACAAGTGCAGATGCATTACCGTCGGCTGGTTCGAATCTCATGTTGCAGAGATGATGGAATTTTTAGCATGAAATTGTGTCAGTGAAGGGGAAACCAAATATTAACCTTTATTGAAAATGAATAAAACTACTTGCTGACTGGATTGACATGAAATATACAAATCAAACAAAAATAGGCAGCCTAACCTTTCGATCCTAGCAGAATCTCTGTCAAAGGCAAAATTTTATTGGATTGTTTTTAGAAATGTGGATTTCGTCAGCTCCTATTGTATAACCGACATACAGATCCTTGTCATTTGATTGGTGGAACTCACACCACGTGACATTCGTTATTACTCCTATTCACGCCGGGGCTCAAGAAGTCCTTTTCGCCCATGGGGAATGGGAAATACTATTGAACAGTTAGGATCATTCTTGTTGCAAGACGCGGTATTTGTGTGCAAAGGCATGCTCATGTGCGCGTTCAGCGTTGCGCGTATTGTTCCAAAGAGCCAGCGCTACAGAGTTGGGTTCAAACATTTTCCTGAAGGGGTGGTTAGGAAGAGAGCAATACATTTTCCACCAATTTTGTATTGAAATAAAAGTTCAAATATATCAAATGACAAGGATCTATATGTCAGTTATATAAAACAAATATAGTGGCTTTAAAATGTGAAATGCGAGGAATATTGTCGCTCGGTAAAAACTTTTCCAGTTCACTCGGCTTTGCCTCGTGAAATGCAAAAGTCCAGATTTTACCTTGCGATAATATTCCGCCCATTCCACGCTGAGCCACTCAATATTTGTATACTAGATCAATGATACCACTAACCTGCACTGCTGGGATGCCTTCCTCGTTAAACAGCCGAATGAGTTGTACTACAGTACAGCTAGCATTCCATAGACCACTGAAGTCAGCACACTGGACAGTCATCTGACACAGCAAAGAAATCAAAGAATAAGAAGTTTGAAACGATATTGTTTTAACCCATAAGCACCTGTACTTCATTGTATTACATTGTGTTTATTCATTGAAAACTCAATAAAACCATAGACTGCTCCAGCAGTTTCGGGCGCTACAGGGAGTAATTGGAAGAGCGGTTTTGGGCGCTACAGTGACTCAAGAATTTTAGTAGAGAACTGTTGCTTGCCGAGGCACAAAAATAATCTACATGTGTACAACATATTACAATGTTGAGTGGTGTACTCACTGTACTGCACACTGAGCATGTAGCTGTGAGGTCAACTGAAGTTGCTTGCACGCAAGATAAACCCTTTCTGACAGGATTTTACCCCCAAACTAACCAAAGTTTATAAAGGTACACAGGATCACTGTTTTTCATTTGAAGAAGGGTACACAACAACTAACCTGTTGAAGTGTCAGCTTAGCGGATAATACGCATAATGCGAAAAACAGTTGCAACAATTGTTGGCATCTCGTAGCTGGATTCCATTGCTAACGCACTTCGTAAGTGTGTCTGCAGGCACATTTTCTTAAACTACCTTCCAATGATGGGTTTTCTTCCGAATGATACCATTTCAGGGTGGAATAATTTCACAGGGTATTTGGTACCAGTGTTATCTTCACTTTCAGCAAGGATTTCTTGTGTAGACAATGAATTATACACCTGTATTTGAAGTGCTCATCATGCAATTTTCCCCAGATTGCTGCACCATCAGTGTGATGCCGGTGTGATAACGTGCACTCGATACGAACCTGACTACAACAATGGTGCCCGGGAAACTGGCTCCAAAATGACAGAAAGTTTGCTACAGGTTTTCAGTATTAAACAAAACCACTATACTAGAACTGTTGTGTTCACTGTCCATTCAGTACAAATGCTATGGGGTCTGCCATTAAATCTGAAGGGGAGACTCCACTGGCTTTACACAACGATATCTGGAGGATTATTTGGGCTCCGTACACAAGTACCCCCTCAACGGTAAGAAAGGGAGAATTGGGTGAGACCACTGGGAGAGACACTCAAATACATGTCGATGATGCCTGATGCTCGAGTGAAGACACTATGGCTTTGTGCAAATTCCATCAAAATAAGTCTTGTGTACTTTGTTCTAAATGTGTGCAAAATCCACTACGTGCATGCTGTGTGTCCCAACCACTGGACCTGCAAAAAGCGCCCTCTCTTGTTTGCGCATGGAGCCCATAGAAACAAAAGCGAGGTTCCACTTGCAAAACTGATTCACAAAGCCACAGCTTGCCCCTTAAAGGGAATATACATCATTTGCTTTTGCTGTAATTTTCAGAAACGGATGGAATTGGGGGGGTTGGAAATATATAGCAAATATAGTTACACTGACTTTTTTGAGGTTTTGGGTTCAAAAATGCTATAAAAACCAAGAAAAACAATCATTTTCCTGTAGTCTGGCTCCCTGACTCCATTTAAGAAGAAACAGAGCAATTTTTCAATTTGACAGTGACAAGCCCATACCTGTTTTTCGGTGACAGTAATCCTGTACTGGTCTTTGCCGGTGAAGAGATTGGGCACATACTGGCACAGGATGAAGGGGTCTGGGTACTCTGGTCTGACGGCACACTCTAGGATACACTTGAAGCCCATCTCGCCCAAGAGGGGGCCGTGTATACTCCAGATGTCCACCATCTGTTGCAGGTAATCTGAACGGCAGAAACACGGGAACAGAAAATAATTAACCCTAAGGCCAAAAAAAAAATATTCGGTCTCTGGTCAGACCAAAGTTCCGGAATTGACGCGGGGATGCGGCTTTTTTTTTTTTTTTTTTTTTTGCTTTTTTTGTTTTCTTCAAGCTTGGATTGTACAGACAAGGTGGGGTAATATTTTGCTTTTTTGGTGTCCTCATGTACATTGGTGTCCTCCATAATTTGCCTTGGTGCTCTCGATCATTTGCCTTGGTGCAATTCCCAGTTCCTTGGTGCTCTTTGGTAAAAAAAAAATTGAGGAGGTGCGGCAATAGAGGGCGCTGTCGGAGCTACCGCGGAACATTTTGGAAAAAAAAAAAGATTGACGCGCATGATTAAAAAATCGACGCGCGCGCTGACCAGAGACCGACTTATTTTTTTTTGGCCTAACCCTCATCATTCCTCCGAAATCAAACCAGGCGGTTTTGGAGGATTTTGGAGGATTGAGGCTGTATTCTTTTTTTGTGGCAGATGAATTTGAATGCATTGCGCCAAGGTTAGCTGCACCTAGTGTTGTTTATGCGTAGCCATGCATAAATTATGACTAGATTATACCAGATATCATCCGCGCTGCTTCTGGATATCATTGACAATTCCTCATTGTATTACAATGATTCTTGGAGGATTTTGACTGATTGAGGCAGTGGCCACCCCCTCTCTAGATTAATGCAAGAAAAAAAACGGTGATTTTGGAGGATTGAGGCTGTATCTAATTTCTACATGGTGGCAATTGGAGGAGTTTAAAGGACTGAGGATTGATCCTAGCCAAAAGGGCCTAGGCAGTTAGGGTTTTAACCCTAAAGGACCGTTCCTTCTTCACACAAATGCTAACTTGATTTGACGTCATGGAGCGTTAGTGGCAAAAATTTTCAGGATTTGAAATGTGCTCATCAGCTCTTGCGAATTCGCAGCGTGAATACATCACAAACATGACAAAGCTGTATTTATTTTTTATTTTTGCACACAAAATACCAACTGGCATTAATAAAAAATCCTTCAAATTTCAGCTGAAAGATTTTGAAGGATTTTGCAGGACTGAGGGAGGTAGAGCACAGCTCTTAATTTACATTAGACTGGTTGCATCTTAGAAGTTGAGAATACATAACATGTATCGATTTCTGCACAGCACCTGATTTTGGAGGCTTCAGGCAGCATTTATAGAGAAATTTTCCGCAGGAATTGGCGTCAAATTTGATCTCAAAATTAATATGTCAACAAGAGCAAATAAGGATGTGATGTTTACACATTTAAACAATTCTAAATCCATTTACAAATTTTCCAAAACGTTTAAACAAAACCCAAAATATAAAAAAGGGACCTCTGTCACGCGATCTTCCTTTGAGTTTAAACATACATGGCACAAATAATTAACAATGCTTTCAAACCTATTCAATTTATAAAACCTTAGAAGCACCATGGTGCTTGATTACATTTGGGGTACACGTAGTTAAGTTTTTACTTTTTCAATGACTGCCCACTATTTATTATGCCAATCATTGTTGATTTATCATGTCAGTCACACCAGCCTGCAGACATACATGTAATGGGCAGGCAACAGCCTTTATGAAATGGCTAGAACGTTATCAAAATATTTGCTTAATGCTTACAAAATTAAACGCAAATTCACATCCTTAAAGAGCAAACATACCACTATTCGCCGTCGGTCCAGCGGCCACTCGGACCAGGAAATGCGGCTTGAGTTTGAGCGGGTCCCCTGACTTCTTGATCATACTCTGCGGCTTGGGCCATAGGAGCTGGAACTTCTCATCGGTGACCGGACTAGGCTGAGACCGACCGGCAAGCTTCTGTGCATTCAGTAGGTCCGACAATTGCTGCAAGACACAAAACATGAAACAAATTAGCTTGTAAATTATTACCCAAATTAGGGCAATTCCACATCAGGTGTAAGTGCTTCTAGGGCCTGTAAACTCGGAAAGAATACAGTACTTCTACCCCTTCACTCTTATCTTGTTAATCCCCTTGTCAACAAACTGGCCCCTGTTATCAAATACTGCTGCTAATCCCATGAGAGATAGAATGGCACAATGGTTACTACCTGTGCCGTGTATGGTTGTCATAATCGTGCCGACCCAGCACTGGGTGTTGGCTCTGTGTTTCTCTCACAGTTTTTACCATCAATCACAGCTTTGAAGGCTTGCCCACTACCTACTGCACACGGCGCTTTATATATGATCTTTGCCTACTACAATGCCGATGCTGCCTTTCCGATACCCGGATGTAGGCCGCGTCACGCGGGTCTCCGAGAGAGACCTACTTTAAAGCTATAGTCCATCATTTGCAGCCATCCGAAAAGTAACTGGCGTAATTATTGTTGAAAAACAAACTTGGTTGAAAAGGGAACTAAACTCCCTGTGAAATTATTCTTTCTGGCAAGCTGTCATTTTGAAGTAATCAACGAAAGAAGGGCTTTCCAACGGTGCGTCTAAAGACGCACCGTAGGAAAATTTAAATTAGTAGTTCGTTTTGTTATTCGGCGAAGCCCGCGCAAGCATTGGCACGACGCACAAGCGTGCGCGGTTGCTATAATTCGTCGGATCAGTGCGCGACATCGCGTCTAGCTGCAATTCAAAACAATTCAACTTACATGATTCAGTAACTTTTGATTTGAAATTGAGATCCTAGAATGCTGTTTTTCTCGGAATAATGGAATATACAGCTGAAGCTTACCTGAAACTTCATCAGGTTCGTTGTTCAGTATCCTTCATTAGATTTTGAACACTTTTGTTGCTTCAAACGAACAAAATGCACAAATTACAAATGATGGACTATAAGTCACTCTTATTTGTTAGCTACAAGTTGAGTGAACACAAGAGTCTGGACCCAGGGATGTGTACCACAGTGTGTGGTTTGTTTCATGTGATATGGGAGTGAAAGAGTTTCTCACTTGTTGGATGTCTGCATCGGGTACTGGAGTGAGTGGCGTGAGTGGCGAGACAGGCTTGGTAGCTGCTGCCGCTGTTTCTGCATGTTCTGGGGGGAAAAAAACAAACTACAATTGATCACGACAGCATTGGGGGGAATTAAACTAGACACCATATCTCCTCCTGAACAAAATGTGTGAAACTATGGACAAAGTCGAGTCCAACACAAGTCCTTTAACAAGTCCAGTATAAATCACAAGCCCAGTAACAAATAAATCACAAGCCCAGTCACAAGTAAATCACAAGTCCAGTCACAAGTAACAGTGGATGAGAAATAACAAAGGAAGGTCTATATGCTAAAGCTCATTTGAATAGCTTGTGATTTGAATAGACCTAACTCAGGCCAGGGTACACCATCTTGAAAATAGAAGCGGGGCATATAACGCAAACAAACATGGCAGCGTGGTTTTGGGCTTTATATTTGTAAGATCCTTCTTGAAAATACAATGAGACGTGAACTACGTAGAATGTTGATTGATGTTTTGGGGAATTTAAGCCATCCATCCATTTATATGAGCGTCAATCTGCTGCTGGTTTGCGAGAGTCACTCATTCATCGCGCACACTATTTACGCCGCCATATTTGTTTGCATTATATGCCTCGCTTTGATTTTCAAGATGGCATACCCTGAGAAAGGTCTATGGGGACTGGAGGACTTGTGATGGACTTGCAGTGACCTGCAGGGACTTGTCGACTGGACTAACGTCCCTGATTTTAACTGAGCCCACATCTAGCACAATTTTACAAAATGCTGGCCCTGATAGAAGTAATTTAAAGCTCAGGCCGATCTCAATCAGCTGCCAGGGACAGAAATTAGCAGCTTTTCAATGATTTTGACTGAATACTCACTGACGTCACCGTTGGCAAGCTGTACACCTTCCATAGCTTTCTTGACTTTTGGTCTGTTTTCTGCCATCGACATGGGCGTCTTGCCTGCAAATTTTCTGGGAAGACGACCGAAACGAATTGGATTAACTCAGTTTGTAACAAGGGAGATTATGACTCATGAATAACAAGGGATAACAAAAATTAAGACTTGAAAAGATTGGCAGTTAAAACAAGATTGATCCGCGGCTTGCATGTGTCGCCTTTTTTCGCAGTCAATACCTATATGTTCTGTGATCTTAAAAAAAGTCACATTTTGTGCATTTTGAAACAATGACCCCTTGATCACGACGATCACGATTTGCTAGTAAAATAGGTCATTTTCAGTCGCTACGCCCTAACCTACACCACCTAAAATGACTGTGCAAGTTGCGCCATTATTTGTGGCGCAAGTCAAGGACTTACGCATGATGAAACTTTCGTGAAATTGTCACAGCTGAAATGTTGCGCAGCGTGAAATGTTGTGCAACTTACGCAGTAAATTGTGGCTCAAGTGGACTTAGGCAATTGCGTATAAAGTTTTGTGAAAGCGGCTGCTGATAGTACATGTTCCAGAATATGATTTAATGATGCTCACCCTTTCTTTGCCTTAGCGTAGCGATTGGCTCCGTTGCTGACCAGCTCGTAGATGATGCCCACATCTCCCCTGGCTACGGCATCGTGTAACGGTGTAGCTCCGTCAACATTGGCTGCATTGATGTCTGCTTTGTCGTCTAGGGAGTAGGGGGTAAAAAAAACCTTGAAGTTGCTTTCCCCGTCCTCTTCAACACATTCAGTTGTTGTTTTTCTTAACCAAAACCTTCCTCCAAAATCCTCTTTGCAAAATGGAGGCTGTATGCTATTTTTTACATGGAGGCAATTGGAGGATTTTGCAGGATTGAGGTTACCTCCTAGCAAAAATGCCTATGGAGTTATGGTTTCAATAAATTTCATTTTGTATGCTTTATTTCAGCCCCAAAAACACCTTTTTTTTGGGGGGGGGATTCTCTGCAACCCTCTGTAAAAGGTTCTTATTTTGGGGAAAAACAGATCTGCCTTGAGAGCAGACTGGTTGCTGGTACACAAATTATTGATTTGTCATTGATTGTGGGGCGGGAACCTGCCTACCCCGCAAGAATGGAATTATTGTCCAGCAGCAAGTAATTTGAAATTTGTAAATTAATAATTTAATAACTCAACGTGGGCCAATTTTCTTTTTAAGTCGGCGTCTCATTCAAAAGTTAACAACAGTTGTATTGCAAGAGCAATAGGAATCTATTTTTGGGGACAAAACTTAACATAGCATGGGAAATGCAACTTTAAATGATCTTCCAAATAGGTTGGCGCCTTTTAGATACATAGCAGTATTTCCCATAGCTGTGTGATACATAAGGTTTTTATAGACCAAGTTGCAGGTACTAAATATGCACAGGATCGGAGGACAGGACCATAACACTCAGTATTGAAAAATATACGAAGACCTACTCTAAAAGCATCCAAATGAATTCCATGGATAGTACGGGTAATTGCTCAATCTCCATAATTTTGTGATTAAGATTTGAGATTTTCACACAAGAATATGGGTTCCATTCGCAAAAAAGTTTTTTTTACCACTTTCGAGAGCCAAACGGACGGGACATACCTAATGTGCATATTGGTTTGTGCATGTATAGCGCAAAGTTCGCGCGACTAATTTCATTCTGAATGTGCACAAAGCCATAAGTCTTTGTCTGAGCGTCAGGCGTCATCGGCAATGCGTTCAAATGTCTCTCCCAGTGGTCTCCCCAAACTCTCCCGTCCTTACCGTCGAGGGCGGTAATTGTGCACAGAGCCCATTCCTTGGACCATATCGATTATTTACTGGGGTTTGGCTTGAGCAGATCTAAGACAGCAAGAAGGGACAGGCTACTCACCGATCAGGAGTTTGACTGTGTCCTTACTACCGTAGGATGCAGCCCAGTGTAGCGCTGTGTTGCCTGTGGCCTCGTCATCCTGAATATTCACATCAACTCCTGCTTTCAGTAGATTCCTGGCTAATGCCATACTGTAAATAAGCACACAATTGCAATCAAATATTGGCTCAAACATCAGGAAGTGAGAGCAAAACAGAAGTGAATTTCTTGTGGCCAAAAATCGTTGTTTCAAATTTGCTCTACTAATTTTGCTAAAATTTTGCTCACAGTATGAACAAGGCCTCAGCCTCCCAAAACATTTGAACTGCTTATCTGAAGAAAGAGTGAAGCCCTGAAATCTGGTGAAAATTCAATAAACAAGCAGCTGAAATGGTTTTGTAATTGGGCAATTCAACAGAATTGTAAACCGCAATGATGAATTTCAAAATGGTCCAAATACAACAAATGAAACGTGTATTATTTTGAAGCTTATTATCTGTATTTTATATGACTTGAAGCTTTGCATGGCGGATGAGATAAAGTAGAAAGATTGTGGGTAACACCATGTGGAAAGTAATCTCTTCTTGGAAGAAGTGTGGTTCTGAAAAGAACCGGTTGGTTGAGTGTAGAACTTGACGTTTCGGTCAGTATGCTCTGTCCGTCTACCCTCCTGAGGACGGACAGAGCACACTCTCCGAAACGTCTACACTCATCCAACCGGTTCTTTTCAGAACCACACTTCTTCCAAGAAGAGATTTCTTTCCACATGGTGTTACCCGCAATCTTTCTACTTTATCCGTATTTTATTGAAAACTTGGCAAATGCAGACGCACCTCAAATTTAAGAACATACGCAAAGTGCATGGGGGCATTGTGTGATTTCAATGTTGACTCAGTTCATATTCAGTGTGAATGCACATGAGAATTTGAAGCAAGATATATGACAGAGGGGACCCTCTCCCTCTACAATGTACATGTATTAATGCTAATTCGGGCAATTCACAATGCAGTGCGCCACCAAGAGTTTGCCACGGAGAGTTGATTTTTCCCAGTGTATTGTGGGAGATGTTTGACAAATTCGCAGCGCGGGACATTTGAAATTGTTCGTTTTTCCGGTCAGTAGTTTCGTAGGCGTATGATTCGAGTGTATGTTCGCCCTTTTCTCTGCTTTTTATCAATAACTGTGTTAAGGCGGCAGAACGCCATCCCCCAGTCTATAACAAATTAGCTCAAGTTGTTTACTGACACTCATTCAAATGGCCTGTGTTTTGTCGACCATAAACTTAAAATATGGACTCTTCATGGCAAGCTCTTGGTGGGGCACTGCACTGTGAATCGCCCGAATTGGTCACTGTGTTCCCGGAGTCTCAGAAATTTTGTTCAGATATCTAGGTGGGGGATGTGTTAGGTAATAATAGACTAGAGTGTGTATAGGGTTTAGGGACAATGGGGGGTACCCTCTGTCTCAAATCGTGCACGTTATACAAAGAAGAGCACATACCGGTATTAGAGATGTCTCACTAAACAACAAAAACAGATTTCCATAACTGGACATCACTTGTCATCCTGTGCACAAACCCTATGAGGCTGGTCTGAAAATGTGTTTACTCAGTGTTTACTCAGTAAATGCTTCAATATTTTCCCTGATAAATTGGACTTTTTAGGACATATTATCACTTTCTGATGGCTGATTGGTCACTGCAGGGGGAATTAGTGATGGCCAGGTATGGGAATCTTTCCTGAGTACCGGTACCAACAAATTTGCGAAAGTCAAACAGATTGCAACTCCAGTGAACTTTTGCTGTGAGCGGTTTGTAACATCAGCATTGCTTTACTGTATTCACCAGACAGGATTGTATTGGAAGCAATTTGTAGTATCCTGAGCAAGGAAAGCATTCATGTTGGAGCTCTATACAGAGCATTATGTGACCTACTTGGATTGCGCGACGGCTTGCAGTAGAACATCGTGGTACACTTTGGTCACTTGCTCTGAAAATGAACTGTCGTATGCTGTGATGCCTTCCTCATCAAGCACCGATGGGTCCGCACCAGATATCAACAGGGCACGCACAACATCCGCATTACCCAGCTACGATCACACAATAGGGAGTGATTTTAAACATTAAAATCTGCTCAAAATTATTATTATTATTATGCATTTAGGTACGCTATTCATAGTATAACTATATCACAGCGATTACAGTAGTAATGAGCAATATAACAACAAATCATTAAACATTATACAAACAAAACAACAATAATACATCAATTGGGAAAGAGGTATGTTTTGAGGATCTTCTTAAACACATCCACTGATGGAGCAGATTTAATATAGGAGGGAAGTTCATTCCACTCCTTAGCTGCTGTAACAGTGAATGTACGATCTCCTGCCTTACTACGAGTCCTGGGAAAAGTTAGCCGAGATGGATCTGCATTGGAGCGAAGATTAGTACGCACAGGTTGATACAACTCAAGACACTCATTAAAATACTCTGGGGCCTGATTATGAAAGAATTTGTATACAAATAAAAGAATCTTAAACACAATCCTCTGTTTAATTGGTAACCAATGAAGCGATCTTAGAAGAGGCATGGCATCATGACGGCGATCTAACTTAAAGATGACACGAGCAGCCCAGTTCTGCAAACTTTGAAGTCTCTTAATATGCATCTGTGGGACTTCTGTAAGCAACCCGTTACAATAATCTAACCGGGAAAGAACATGGCTGCGAATCACTTGATGGCATGCATCTTCAGATACATACTTCCTTATCTGTGACACATTTTTTAACTGAAATCGAACAGATTTGCAAAGCTGGTCTATTTGGTTAGACATAGACATATTGCAATCAAAATATACACCAAGGTTCTTGACTGATGTTGATGGTGCAATCTGGGTGGTTCCAAGTGTTAGAATGACGTCATTCATGTTGCCCAAGTTGTGTTTAGATCCAATTACCAAAAATTCTGTCTTTTGCTCATTAAGTTTAAGTTTATTCTTTCCCATCCAATTACTGATATCCATAACACATGCTGAAAGGGTTTGTAATGCTGTATCTAGGCTATTTGTTGGTTGCTTAGGGTCAAATGAAACATACAACTGTGTATCATCAGCATAAGTGTGATAAGAAACCTTATGATGTCTTGCAATATCTGGGACAGGTAAAGTGTATATAGTATATCCAATGGGTCCAAATACAGATCCCTGAGGTAGACCAACTGTGTTGGTAGCTACTACTGAATGTTTTCCTTTGATTTCAACGCATAAAGACCAATCATCCAAGTATGACATAAACCAACTCAGGGCTACACCCTCTATACCTAGCCTGGTTGACAAACGATTAATCAAAATATGACGATCAATGGTGTCAAACGCTGCTGACAAGTCTAATGATAAAAGTAAAACTACCTGACCTTTATCCATGGCAGACAAAATGTCATTTTGACTTTAATAAGTGCACTTTCAGTACTATGGTAGGGTCTATATGCAGACTGATTAGGATCCCACAAGTTATTTTCATTCATGTAAGCTGTGAGCCTACGACACGCAACCTTCTCAATTAACTTTCCAATAAAACTTAAATTAGAGACTGGTCTATAATTAGAAAGGCAATCATTATCAAGATTATGTTTCTTGATAAGAGGACGAATTATTGCCGACCGTGCTGCAGAAGGGAATGTGCCAGTTTGCAATGATGAATTAACAATATCTGTCAATACAGGAAGAAGACAATGTACATGTTCCTTCAAAAACCAAGTGGGAATGGGATCCAAACTACATGACTTACTAGGAGATGATATAATAATCTTCAAAACCTCATCTTCAGTTGCAGGATCTAAACAAGAGAGTGGTTTAACATGCACTCGATTATTCACATTGAGATCAGATGTGGAAAGATGTTGATCATCATTAATGCTACTCTGAATCTTCTTTACTTTATCATCAAAGAATGTTAAAAAGTTATTGCATAATGTTTCAACTGAGTCATGAACAGGGAGAGATGGTAACCTTCTATTCATCAAATAATCAACAGTCTTGTAGAGTTCCTTATGTTCACATGATGACAGGGTTCTATGAAAATATGCTATCTTTGTGCAACAGATCAGATTTGACGAATAACGTTGTTTATTCAAGAATTCGTCACGGTCCGCATCTGATTTAGTCTTCCTCCACTTTCGCTCAGCTCGACGTTTCTCCTGACGTGCCAAATGAATATCGTTGTTGTACCACAGCATCCTTCGACGTACTGGACGTTCTTTGGCAGTTGGAGGGGCATATTCATCCAGAAGTGATTGCATGGTTTCGTTGTACCACTTGAACCCAGATTCAGCATCACCTCGGTGGCTGAAACCCCGAGTTGACTCACACAAAGCTGTCGAGAATGCCTCCTTATCAATTGCCTTGAAATTACGAGATACTGTGAGAATCTTTTGTGGTTTAGGTAAAGGTATGTCTAACTGTACATCAATAACAAAATGATCCGACATTTGCACATCATACACATTGCATTTCTTAATAAAGGATTCTGTCTCTCTTGTGAATACCAAGTCCAGTGTGTGACCATGAGAGTGTGTTGGACCTATGACATGTTGACGAAGACTAGCAGAGGATGTTGCTCGAAGAAAGGTACCAACGTCAGGCTTGGCAGGTAGATCCACATGAAAGTTGAAGTCTCCAAGCAAAAGCAATTTGCCTGGGAGGCCCGATAAATCGGTTAGAAAACTTTCAAACTCATTGAAGAAGTCTGAAACAGTAAGTCCATTCACGCGCGGATCCAGATGGGGGCACACCCGGCCCGTGCCCCCCCTTTTTGCAACTGTTTTTTTTTTTTTTTTTTTTTTTTTAACGAGTCATCTTAGGGCGGGCGGGCATTAAATATATCCCTTTGAGAACATGGCTATCTTTTTCCTTTTTGAGGAGTCATTATGGCGGGCGGACGGGCGGTCATCAAATCAATCGCTTGGAACATAACTATTATACATAATTATCAACAAAAATATACAATGTATAAGTTTTGAAGGTCGCCTGTCAATCATTGTCTCAAAATTTCTTTCAAACCAAGAATATATTTTTATAAGACACTTTTTTTATTTCCCGGCTGGACTAGGGGCACATTTAATACAGCACTTGCATTTAATGCTTCATGTCAAAATGTATTCCAAATTATATTCTAGAGTAGAACCAAGGGCGGATCCAGGGGGGGGGGGGCAAAGGGGGCCATGCCCCCCCCCCCCAAAAACGAAACCATTTTTTTTTTTATGTGACATCGCAATAAAGGCAGGCAATGAGTACACCACCATCTTTTCCTCAATAAAACAGTGGTTAAAGTGGTCAGAAATTGCCTCAGATCGCACCACAGAGTATCTAGAATCCAAACAATTTTCGGGGCCCTTAAGCGGGCCCCGAACCCCACGCCGTAATTTTTTTGACCCACTTTTTTGGGGGACCAAAACTTTTCTGGGGGGACCAAAAATTTGTTTTGGCCCACCCCAAAATTGTGTTCTGGATCCACCCTTGAGTAGAACATGTACCGGTACACGAAATTATGTAGGCTATGTATTTTTTTTAATAAATGAAGAATAAAATCGCCACCCCCTTCTTTTATTTTCCCGGCCTCAGAGAGAGATTTACGTCTGGTTCTCTACAAAAACTTTTTTTTTAAAGCAAAATGATTAAAAAAAAACCTAGTTCGTTAAAGTTTGTACTCAAAGTTAATTCTTTTGTAGATTCCAGGGGAAATTTAATACGAATTATGCTCGGTTTTTCTTATTTTTAAATGAATATGATCAGGATTAACAACATCCCTCAAATAATAGCGTCAAAATATATTCCAAAATATATTCTAGAGTAAAACATTTTCACAAAATAATGTAGGCCATGCATTTTATTTTTTAGATACACGAAGAATTAATCGTCATCCCTTTTGCCTCAAATCGAGAGACATCAAATAAATAGGGGTTATTTTAATACGACTTAGTATGTCTTGTTCTCTCGATTTATTTTTAAAGTAAAACGATTTCAAAACCCTAGCCCATTAAGTTCTGAACTCTCAGTTAATTCTTTTGTAGATTCCAGGGGAAATTTTAATACGAACTATGCTTAGTTTTTCCTAATTTTAAAAGGAATACGAATAAGATTATCAACAGCCCTTTGACTTCAAACTTAATTTCAAAATGTATTCCGAAATATTTTAGAGTAACATTTACAAAAATAATGTAGGCCATGCAGTTTTATTTTTTAAATAAGCGAAGAATAAAATCGTACTACGAAAAAAGACATCGGGAGCCCTACATTTAATGAATTATTTGGACTTGGAATATCATCCCCCAATCGTTTATCTATGTGCATGTACACAACACGGAGGTGAAATTTCACGTTCAATTCAGTTTCCCACATTTTTCGCATAAAGGTTTCCCCTGTCTCTGAGAAAAAAAAATGCCCAATAAAATCTCAGCTCCGAAAAGCCTTTCCAGAGAATGATTGATAGCCGCATTGTTCAAATTGATACAATGCCACTCTTGTTCGTTACAAAGCATATATACATTTGGGTTCAGCTGTAGGCCACCGAACTTTAAGGCCTTTGATAACAGCTCAGGAATGCTGCCACTTTCGGGAAATTTGTGCAGACAAACTTTTTCATATTTTGGAATTTGGAATTTTGATGCAGTTTGCATTTCCGTTAAATTAAAGGTTGTTTTTTTTGTTTTCTATTAAAGAAAATCGGAGCCCCCCCCCCCCCAAAATACAAATAAACGATTTTCCTCAGGCCTTGACATTTCTTGAAGTGATTCGACAACACTTGCAGAATGCAGACGATTCATTTCGTCTTAAATTATTTAGCCTGCAGACTTCAAAAGAACATGGAAAAAAATGGTGGTTAAAGTGTATACAAGTGTATATACAAAGTAAGTATATATGTGACCGCAGTTACCTCACATTATACTGGGACACAGGCGGCAGTCTTTTTGAAGTCTTGACTAAACATATAAACGCTACGGGGAAATTTTGCTAATATCAATTTTTTTATGACAATCGAGATGGTTTTGAAATAAAGTTTTATTTCTTCTTTTTGTTTGTAAAGACTATTCGTAATGAAATACTCAGCAGGCTTATAAGTTATACAACATTTTTCAAAGGAATTGGGACGGAGAAATTTTCTGGGCCGGTTGATTTGCTCAGCCGTGGGGTGGGGTGGGGGTAGGGGCTGCTTTGGGCAGGCTGTCCCCTAATGAAATTCAATTTATTTTATTTTCTTTGTTTGCAAGGCAAATTTCTGGGTGGAAATGTATGTTTTAATAGTAAACATGACTTGTTTTGGCTCGCTCGCTCCGCTCGCTCGCAAAATAACACGTTCATTTTTTTCACCCGGGGGCTGTCATCAGCACCTTCTAATTTTGGGGTTCATTTTCAACTTACATCAACAGTGACTTTAAATTCTATATTTGATAGGCAAAAATAGTGTTATTAAAAGTAAAAAATAAACATTGTGAATTTTGCTCTTAATGGCTTAAAGTACTCATGATGTAGGAGAGAACATCTAAAATCGTAGAGCTTCCAGTGCCCTCAACCCTGCCCGCAAGGGATTTCGCGCTTCAGTCTCGTTATGTGTGCAACGCGCACAAAGTTTTTGTGCCCCCCCTTTTTGAAAATCCTGGATCCGCCCCTGAGTCCATTTGCAGACGAGGGTGGTGGACGGTAGATGGCAACGATGTGAAGCGTCGAGGTCCTGCTGATAATATGAATTGATTCAAATGTTGTGAAGTTAGAGACTGGCTTTGTAGAAAGATTAAGCTCTGACTTAAAGATGACTGCGATACCCCCTCCATGACCACTTTCTCGAGGCGAACTATGAAACGTGTAACCAGGTGGTGTACATTCCCCGATGATGACTTGATCGTCGTCTTTCAGCCACGACTCTGTAATGATTAATATGTCAATGTCGTGTTCAAGGATGTAATCACAAGTAAGATGAACTTTATTTCTAAGGGAACGAGCGTTCCACAGACAGAGTTTTGTGCCAGAAGAAACGTTAGTTTTCAATCTTGGGACATTGATCAGGTTATGATTAGTTCCCTGTTTTGGAGCGTTGTCCAAAGAAGGTCGATTACATGCTGTAATAATTACTGGGATGGGTCTCTGCTTTCTTCTTCCTGCTCTCTTTCCTCTGTGGCTCCTCCGATCTCTCCTCTCATTCCTCCTTTCAATACCAAGAAAACAAATGTTCTCTTTAACATCTCCCGGGAGTTCCATTCTTTGTAGATTAGTTACTTTAAACTGAAGGAGTTCATACCTGCTGTACTGCCTCGGGTTGTTTGGAGGTACGGTAGTTGATGCATGGCTCTGCTTTTCCAAGGTCGAGTCGTAGATAATAGGCCCAGGGTTCGGGTTCACATCACCAGCTATCAAAAGTTGGAGCTGAAAAGTTGATGTAGTATTTGCATAGTATGCAAGGCGGTTTCCTAGAAATTTAAGGTGCTTGGGTTTGTACTGTGCACCACTAAATAGGCCTTTATTGAATGTACAGTGTGCAGTGAATCCACATTTTCCCAGGGTAGATACAATGAGTACAAAAGTTATCAGCTTGACTAACTCCATTGCAGATCCAGGTGGCTATTCAGGAGGACAATACAAAAGACTGCTTGAGCGAACTTCAATGCTACACACATGCAACATGGTGGACGTAGTTTCAACTCCTGACTACATGAAGTCTAAACTGCAGATCTTCGTCCTCTCTTATTTCACTCAATAAGTAACTGAAATGTCTGAAATTGGTCCAGATTGATCCTGGTGTCGAAACAAACAGACTGGTGATAAATAATATGATGCCTCAATCAAAAATGCAGAAATAATAGCTACATAATGCAGAGCTTGAAGGGTCAGCCTGTTAGGCGATCACCAACGCATACATTGTATGACATTAGAAACAAAACAGCATGTCTACATAGTAAAAAAAATTATTGACAAAGTAAAATAAATGTACAATGTACAGGGGAGCATGTAATATTGATGATGTACCGTACCATAACGTGGCGTGGCTCCTAACATGGAGCATTTTGATTTTTTGCCTCAAACGCTTTGCTATAGCAAAAGTTTTACCAGAATTACACAGTAAGTGAAATTTCATCAAGCTCTAAACATCCTCGTTCATGAATCGTGACTTTATCTAGCCATTACGAAGTTAACAGAGAAATTTATTTTTGCGTGATTTTCTGATTTTATTTCGAAGTGCACAATGAAAAATTTGAAATGCCTTCAAAAATAAGAAAATAATTTTCTGAGAAAATCGGAGGTTTGGAACAGTTTAAAACTTCCGAAAAATTTGAAATGCCTTCAAAAATAAGAAAATGATTTTCTGAGAAAATCGGAGGTTTGGAACAGTTTAAAACTTCCGTAGTTCCTGCAAGAATACCCAAGGAAGATGACGGATAACCACAGAGGTACTAAAGATGAATCCGGTACTCCCACGGTTTATCACGAATTTGAAACCGTGGAGATCCGTAGCTCCAAACCGTGAACGTGTGACTGAGGCTTTAGCCAGCCTCTTTCCACTCACCAAACAATAATCTGCCTTTGCCAATGTACAACAAACAATTAAAAATTTTGAAAAATATTTCAGTTTACCTTTGAAGCCAAGTGTAGCATGGTTCCCTGTCCAGGCGTGATGTTGTTCAGCACTGTCTCTAGTTGGCTGTCTCGCTTGGACTCCTTTACCTCTGAAATAGCAACCAATAATAGAACCAGACAAGCTTGTTAAGTTGTATTCAATGTCCTATGCAGACTTTCTCTCAGTTTTTTTTTCAGCAACAAACATCTACGGAATTCGACCTCTGACACTTTTTTATTACCCTCTCAATCAAACAGCCAAAACAACGTTTACTTCAATAGAAGTCAAAGGTGTAACCCCCCACCCCAACAAAAAATAACTCAAGGTTATTTAACGGTTCATTAACTCAAAGAGGACAGTACATGTACACCACTTTATTACTTGATTGCATATCAAAGTTATCAGAGAAAACAGCTCTCAACGTTTCGGGAGAGGAAAAAAGAGCAATTTGCTTCAAACTTAAGTTAAATTCTTAACCTTTTTAGTGACTATAAACTTATATGCGATGTACAAATGAGACACAGTCTGTGACTATTTTGGTTCAAAACTTGAAACTTAAAATATCGTACAAAACAAGAATATTATCATGTATACTGCTGGTATATTTGTGTAAGGACACAATACTGGTGAACAAAATAGGGACATGGGGATCAAAAATAAAATTGGTTGTATTTATTTTGTTTCCCTTTCATAATGCTCGACCGGCCTTCCCTCATTAGAAAAGAATAATGAGAAGATAAGTTTTAAAGCATCTTTCCTTTATTAGCAGCTTTATGTTGGTGACAGGAAGTGTCCACTTCCTGCTTGTATTACCAGACCATAAATGGCAGAAATGGAGATAATTATACATGTAGTTTCTTTATTGCAATATAAGCTATTCATTGCTGAAAATGTAAAATTTAGACGATTTCTTTTTTTATATAATATTTTGTCGCAAATTTAACAAGTGGACTCCGTAACTAATGTTAAATAAAATGAGATTTAGCTGTTAAACCATTTTAATAGCAGATCAATTGCAATTTTATGACAACAGTGTCTCACAGTAAGTACCTCAGAGGGAAATTAATCCATTAAAAGTTATATTCCTGTGACGATCTTATATGGACCTCTTTTGACAATCTCTGTATCAAAATGTTACGTAAGTTACATGTGGACACCACAGAGACCTTCATTTACATAACTTTATATTATTATTGATCCCAAAACTGATATTAAATTGTTGTTCTCCATAATACCATAGGGACCCATTTTAACTAATTAACACCAATATTCCAATGGGAAGTTGTCGCTTGTAGATATTAACTATCGTATTATACAAAGTGCACATTGTAACTAATGCAACTTTGGTGTCCAGCTGTAACTAACGTTAAATCACATGCATGACATTTGTACTCCGAGTGCTCTGGATATCACAGTAAATATTTTAAACTGCTAGATATTCCTCAGAAAGTAATGTGCTGTTTAAAACCAATCAGCTATTATTTACTTTTCTATCCATGTAGCTTTATACTTACATTAGTTACATCATTTAGTGGACACCATTTATCGTTAGTTACATAGTGTAGAATGACTGATTTTTTTTATGTACCAGTAGATCAAATGTCCTAATTGTGATTAGATATACATTTATTGGTACACATGTAGGGTACAACATCACTGTTAGAGTATTTGGCCTTTCCTCCTAACACATAATGAATTAGGCATTCATTATGTTGAATAAAAACGGACACCAAAGTGGTGAGCCACCCTTAAATATGAGAAAAGGTAAAGTTTAAAAACTTATGTACATTGTGAAAAAAAAGGAACTGATATTATGCTTCTGAAGACTACCTATATCATCTGAAATTACTGTAGGATATACTAAGGAGGGTTTATACAGACCCCAGTAAATATGCTAAATAGGTGGACACCAAACGTAACTTACGTTAAATACATGCAGTTTATCTGGCGTCCCTGTGCACAAACCAGAAATATTTTGAATACAGGTTACCTGTATTTGTACAATTCATTCCATTACCAACAACTTCAATACAATATTCATCTGAGGAAATAAAATGTAAGCGTGTTTTTAAGTCATTCAAAAAGGCTTCCTTGTTATGTCCCGTTTTACAATGTAAGTGGTATTTTGAGGTAAATTTTCACCAAAAATCAAGAATTTTACCACTAAAAAATGAAAATTGTGATTTTTTTTAATTTTAATTTTTTAATTTATCCGTTCATACTTGCACCTAACATGTTAAACCACCAAAACAGACTTTACCCAACTATTTAGTTATCTGGAGTGACAACATCGAGTTCCACCCTAAAATTCAGCCAGTATTGTGTCCTTACACATTTATGAAAGCATACACATGTATACATATGGACCTGAACTGTACAACAACTCATCACAATGACATGTGCTGTTGATACAAAATATTTTTAAAACCACTAATAATAATAAAACAGAGGAGTGAAAAGGTTGGCTGTCTCGGGGCACTCTGGGATTTTCAGTTCTGTTCACTATTATACATTGTACATGTACAGTCTTCGGCTTTTGTCATTTGTTCAGTTTTTATTGTTGACTACCTTCGGAAACAGGAAATGTCTAATTATTTCACCCCTTTTTTGTCCCTAATTTCTATCAAATATACCATGAATGCAAATATTTCTCAGAAACTGGCGATGTACATGTATTACGTGGGATCCCACATTCTAGCAGCAAATTCGACGCACACCAGAAAATATGGATGGCATATGGCACAGGAACTGTTATCTGCAAATTTTAAAAAGCAGGAAATTCTGCAATTCCATGAAGACTTACATTTTTGATGAGCAAATCTATTACATTCATCCTGTGAGTAGTTTTCAGCCTTTTAACTATGGTTCATTCGATTTATAATTTGGGGTCCACTTTTTTTTCGTGAGACCCTGTTGCATCTGACATTTGTTTGTCGTCCAAGAGTGATTATGAATGGCAAACTACATGTACATGTACCTACCCAACAAATAAAAAAAAAAGTTTGAAATTATTGCTCATGATACCGGTACTTGCATGGCAAATTACAAAGTACCAAGGTAACAGGAACAGGAAAACTACATGTATGCTTTGGGCCATAAATTTGTAGCAAACCCATGAGTGGCTGTTGGAGCAATGGTGTCTTAAAGTTGTATACCCTGTGCTCTTAAAAAAAAAAAAAGGATTTTTTTTTCTCCCAACAAATTTTCAATTTTAACAAAAAAAAACACCCTAATTTATTCTGATTTTGGATGTCTGAATTCCTCCGAAAAAAGCGTTTTCATTTTGTGCAAAAATAAACCTGCCCAAAAAAATGCAATTACTAGGCCTTAACGTTGTTAAATTTTTTCGTTCAAAAGTAAATAACATATATTGCTTGGGAAAAAAGCAATTGAAAAAAAAAACTAATCTGTGTTTTGAGGTGAAACTCGAAAAATAGTGGGGAAATAACTTGATACGACACGTTCCTGGTAAGAACATCCGACACTGAGTTTTTAATTTTTTTTCATCATTTTTTTTTAAATTGCAAAACACACATTTTTTGTTATCATTGTCAAATATAAATTTATCACTGGAAATGATCGTCCAGAAAGCTGACAATATCTCAGACTCAAAGTGTGGTCAAGTTCTACACAGACAGATGAACAAGTTTGTAGAATGTTTTAGATAATGGTTTATCTTTTTGTCTCAACACGACATGTGCAAACAGAATGGAAGAGCAACAGGTGCAGACAGCTTTACACTCACCATAACATGTGTGACTCATTCATAACAAAAGAAATACACCAGTCGCCATACATCTGCTGTTCAATCCATACAAATTTAATAAGCCATCATCTGATCACAAATGCAACGTGTAGAAACACTGAGAATAACGCCAAGTAAAAAAAATAAACCAGTTTCTCATCCCCGCCTTCTTCCTTTTTTCCCCGCCCGCTTCCTCTTTTCTCGGCCGCCTCCCGGTTTTTTTAAAAATTCATACAGTTGCAGGATATACATTGTATTTTGCATTTACAATGTATTGTCTTTTTATTTGTTTCCAACAATGTTTCCAACAAAATTGTAGCTGTGAAGAAAGGGTGATGGCTCCTTAATATTGGACACAATTTTGTATCGGCAAAATAATGTAAAAAATTTAAAATCCTCCATCATGAAAAATTTGCCATCTTGGGGGAAAAATGCTCGCCTCCTCCATTTTTTTTTCAGAGAGACCGGACGAGAAACCACCTATTTTTTTTACTCGACCTAACTACAGGTGAACAATTGTACATGTACAAGTGTGGCAGGAACACTCCCTTTTTACTGTCGACTATTTACATTGTATAGGCCAACTAGGACTTGAACGACAGAGTCAGCTAAGTTTTGACTTTATGTCCTGTTATTGTGCTAACTTCCAAAATTTGACACGCAGCTTAAAATTGGCATAAAACCTGTCAGGGAAGATCATTTTTTCACAGGAGAAAACTCACTTGTTGAAGAACTGTCAATCTAGCTCTACGTATTTTTGGTTGTGACTCCAATTTTTGTTACCATGTCCATTACATGTACGTACATGTGTATTTACCTTAAATGATGGCATTGTCACCAAGTGTACATGCACAGTACAAGTGCTATGATACATGTACCGGTAGGTTAAAGATGATGCAGCTTGCAGAATGTTTACATATGTATGTACATGTAGCTACAATTCCAATTTCAAAATAGTGTACCGGTACATGTAACTGACATTTTCAGAAAAGCGAAGTTACCAGCCCCTTTCATCGCTTATACACATTTACATTTACATGTACAATCCTAATTTATTCAATATGCACACATGCATTGTTACGTGAACGAATACAGATATTTGGCGTTGATAATGTCAGTGCAATATCTCGCTGCCATAGAACTAGAGAGTGCACTTGCTATGCTACATGCACTACGAGGACGCGCGGCGGGCGTTTTCTAAGTGGGAAAAATGCAAAGATTTTACGCACTGAAAGAAGGCACATCTTGGTATTTCATATTCGTTCTACTAATGCACTACATGTATGTTCTAACACTCTACATTTGTACGTTTTGTAAGTGGTTTTGCCCACTTAGAAAATGGCCTACGCGTGTCCTTCTAAGCTTGTCCGTGTCGCGTATAGTGAGTGCGCTCTCTAGTTTTTTTTTTAAACTCTATATGGACTCCACCAAAACGAAAAGTACAAAAACAGAACAAAAACCACATGAGCTTACGTCTTCGGTGCGGTACAGCGAAGTCCCTGTCCAACGCAACTCTCATACCACCAACGCTACCGAGGGTAGTGCACGTGGAAGGGAACTCGTAGCCAGAACTACTGTCAAACCCAGGAATAGTTGGCTTGTTCACAGACATTGTGCCAAAAATGCAACCACTGCTGGCACAATCCTGCACACTATATGACGACACACCCAACCCGACACGTACACAATGTACTGTACGTCGGTCTGTAGGCCACGTAACAATACAACGCTGTCTCAGTTCAGTGATCAATCAGCAAAACTGGTTAAAAAATAACCCAGTGTGCTTTGAAATCGAAAGGATACTTTTGTACGCGTGAAGTGCACACGCTAAACCTGTGCATGCTGAGCTAGTCATTCAGGCATCACTCCCCAAAACCCAAATTGTATTATTAAGCATGTACACAATGAATTCCCCATTACACATGCATCACTAGTTCACCAAAGGTCACACATCACACAATCAATTCAATGGGTATTTTTTTAATCAAATGAGCCCATGTATTGAACTTTTATCCAGCTGGACTCTATTTTTTTTTCTCCATCAACTACATGTACAAAGGTTGTCAACATTTTGAAAGGTACAACATTTGCTTTTGCGGTGATGTTTAGAAATGGATGGATTTGAGGGCGAGTATTTTATTGCAAATATTGTTACCCTGACCTGTTTAAAGTTTTGTGTTAATCATAGATGCTGGTCAAACCAAAACAAAAATGTTGTTCTTGCTGTCTAAATTTCAAATTTGTTTGCTGATGAAAAGACTCCCCTGCAAAAACTCCTGGATCCTGAATTGTTCTCTCTAAGCATGGGTAAAATAAAAATTAAAAAACACAAAAAACCTACACATTGGGTGGAATGGACACAGATGAATTTTGAAGAAACAAATTCTAAAATTTTTCCAGGAAAAATCAGATACCAATCAAAACCGAATAGTGGAATTCAAACCGAACTTTGAAAAATCTGAATTTAAAACCCATCACTACTGGTATGCCCACGGAGGAAATAGATGGTATGCCACACCAAGAGTGCAGACCTTATCCGTTAAGGCGGAGTTAGAGGTCAATGGTTTTGAATCTCTAGAATAGACAATGAGTGATCCTTTTGTACATTTCTAGTCAAAACAATGAAGAAAACCCTCGGCGACACCAGCAACGCATAACGTCTATTTACACATGTATGTACCCACATCAACATATGTGATGTATCCATAGCAACTTGATGCCCCGATCTGAGTGTTGCACTATACACATTTGCAAGAGAGATCTGTACATACTGATGTTTGTTTGCAGAGGCGCTGATTGTTAGGTTGACATTTTATTGGAAACTTAACTACCGTTTCTGGTTGATGACAACATAGGCGTAGGCAGTGGAAAGGGGGGGGGGGGGAGGTAGTATTTACCCCCCCCCATATTTTTTAAAGACTGCCCTTTTCCATTCAAATGCCCTTTGGACACCAACACTTATCCCCCCCCCCAATATTTTGTAACGAGTGCCCTTTTTTTCCACAAGTGCCCTTTTTGTCTGAACAAGTGCCCTTTTTAAAAAGAAGTCGTTTTCTTTTTGTGTCCCATCGGCCGTTCCGGGTGCTTTTTTTGTGTGAATTATGTGCATGTATCGCCCTGAAAAGCACCATATAGTGTCTATTAGTGTGCACGATCATCGGTTTTGAAGAGCGCCCCCATCAACAGATGGTACCAGCCCCCCCCCCCCCCCCCCCCCCTTTTTGATTGTACGGAGGCCAAGTGTCCAGGGAAAAAAAAAACTTGTCAATACTGGTAGATTCTGAGTCCTGTGCCTGCGTGTGCACCTGTAACCATAGTAACTGTTTATCATCATTTGGGAGTTGCTGCGGAAACGAGCATCAATGACACTTTGGTATTAACCCATATAACCCAAATGATTTAGTCTTGATTTATTATTATTATTATTTATTCGGCCAAATTACAAGATACAACAAGCAATCCACAAAAGTAAACAAAAGTAAACAAAAACAATCCAATCTGGCTAGGATTGACAAAAGTATAATAAAACACTGTGACTCGAAAGCCTGCCAATCCTAACTTGAATGGTACATGTAACATACAAAATATATTAAAAGGTACAAAATTCAATGAAAAATAAGACCGCCTTAAAAATAAAACTTACAAAGATAATTAGATTCAAAGGATTAACAGTTAAAACCCTGACAAAAGTTTTCAAAGGCAAGAATAGCTGGTGTAAAAACATAACAACATGCAGATTATACAAGACTGGGGGAAAAACAGACAAACAAACCAAAACAAAACCAACCAACCAACCAACCAACAAACAAAAACAACATAAATACAAATCAAAACAAAACAAAACAAAGCAAAACAAGACATGATAAGACTAAACAAAATGAAACAAAACAAGACAATTGTTTCGGGCTTGTAATTTTATTTTTTTACCCAGGGTATGCCCACACAGTTAAAGTGGTTTCCATTGGGGCCCCTGATACATTACACAATATTTTAGATAGTGGATATTTTGCCGTGACCGGCAAACCAACTAACGCAATTTTGCCTTGAGTGCGCAGTGATTGGCAATTTTGATGGGAAAGTTATGTTTATTCATTGAGTAAGGAAGATAACGTCATGCTACTGTTATTAGTCAACTAGTAAGGCCAAAAAAATATACACTTCTGCTTCGGATTACATGGCATTTGAAAATAGGGTAGGCAGGTAGCAAGGCATGCAACTGGGAAATCACATAAAAAGAGGAAATTCAAATGTTTCCCAGACTTTGTACAGTGTTTTTCTATTTTCAATGGCACAAATGGGAAGTAAAAAAAGAGGAAATCAGCTGATCCGAGGAAAAGTTAGATGCCTGAGGTAGGGATTTTTTTTTTGGCCAAATTTTTGTACGATCATATGCAGGCATCTGCGTGTAGTCAAGGGTAAAAGGTAGATATTGATGGTTTGGGGTGTCTTTTCTCATTTTTGCAATAAAAAAATAAGGGTATCGGCTGTTAGAATAGAGAAGGTATTGGAAACCGGAAGCAGAAATATTCTTATTTTTGGCCTTAGCTATGGATCGAAAGATTCCTGGTTCAAACACACCAATGCCCATTTTTCATCTACTATTTTTCTTTTTCAAATTTATAAAATGTAAAAGTAGAGTACGACAACAACCAGTTAGTGTCTTGCAGTCATTCCACCAAAACTACTGACATGGGTTCTCAGAGTGCACTCACGGCAAATTAGCATTATGGTGACGACTAAATACACTCAACCCAAACAAGAAAGCCCCCCCCCAAAAAAAAATATCTGTTTGTTTAACTCAAAAACTACTGAACATCTTTCGCTCAAATATCGACTAATCAGTACAGAAATTCCTTAGCAATCCAGCCATACTCCTTTATTTGGCCCAAAACAGTGATAATGTGTACAAAACTACGCAATTTATGACAAATGATGCCAAAAAAGTTGCACTTTTGTATACATGCAAGTTGAGTGTGAACATCATATTAATAAACAAAATGGAAAAAGTTCATGGCATTGGTGAAACAGACTAGCTACAAGTATTTTATTACACAAAAGAAAGCTATAGAGCAAGTTCATTTTTAACGTGTTATACAAAATGTACAAGCATTGTAACAATTAGAATAAGTTTTTCAGTCTTTCTTTTCGTTAAATTATTCTGTTGTTAAAAGATACATGTACATGTAGAATGCAGCACTACTTGTACAAATGTTTAGTGGGGGGGGGGGGAGTGGTGTGGGTTAACTACTTCTAGAACAAGAAGTTGCACAGGTACCTTCTAGTTCTAGAAGTATGGCGATGATAAGCAATTTACAGCATCACCTCCACCCATTTTCAAAAGATGTTGCTACATCATGTACATGAAGGCCTAGGCCTGTATTCGATAGTTACATGTACATATAGGCCTACATATTGTAACATTGACCGGATCCTGGGTTTTCACACGCCGGACAAAGGAAACCACGGACACTATTCTTCAGGGTTTCGGGTCTCCAGGCCATTTATTCTGACCGCTTTGTTACACAAGGCTCTCTTTTTATACAACTCACCACCAAGACATGTTATACAAAAATGTCGCACTACTGAGTCGGCGCAGTCTGGCAATGGGTCTCCCTGGCCAAGCGTGGGGTCCAGACACTACGGTTGCACCATAAGTCCGTACTGGCGCCCTCTGCCCGTGGCCCGGCACCGACGTTACATCGCCCCCTCTGAGGATCCTTGTTCGTCCCCGAACAAGGCAGCGCCTCCGCTAGGGGTCTCCTGGTCTCCGCTGGGGTCACCTCTAGATCTGGGTCTCCTCTGGGTTCTCCTTTGGGGTCTCCTCCCCTCTGGCTTCTCCTCTGGATTCTCCTTTGGGGTCTCCTCTGGGTTCTCCCGTGGGGTCACCTCTGGGGTCACTTCTGGGGTCTCCTCTGGGTTCTCCCCTGGGGTCTCCTTTGGGGTCTCCTCTGGGGTCTCCTTTGGGGTCTCCTCCTCTCTGGCTTCTCCTCTGGATTCTCCTTTGGGGTCTCCTCTGGGTTCTCCTGTGGGGTCTCCTCTGGGTTCTCCATTGGGGTCTCCTCTGGGGTCTCCTTTGGGGTCTCCTCCCCTCTGGCTTCTCCTCTGGATTCTCCTTTGGGGTCTCCTCTGGGTTCTCCTGTTGGGTCTCCCCTGGGTTCTCCTGTGGGGTCTCCCCTGGGTTCTCCTTTGGGTTCTTCTCTGGGGTCTCCTCTGGGGTCTCCTCTGGGTTCTCCTTTGGGGTCTCCTCTTGGTTCTCCTTTGGGGTCTCCTCAGGGGGCTCCTCTGCAAAGCAGCTCTGTCGGCTCCACCGACTCCGCTCCATATACTCCCATGCAGAGCAACTCCACCGGCTCAACTGGCTCCGTTCCATAGACTCCTGTGCTGAGCAACTGCGCCGGCTCGGCTCCATTGAATCCCTAACACTTTGCTGGCCATCTCACTAGGTTGGTCTGTGCTCTGGGAGGCCCTGATCCAGTGTGTGTACCCACCGCATGGCGACTCGGACGCCAAACTAAATTGACCTGGTGTATTCATGGTGAAAGACACTCTGTTTTTCCTTCGTCAAATGTGCCGCCACTGCCACCAAAGTAACGTCGACCGGATCCTTTTTTTTACACGCCAGATGAAGGAAACCAATATACTAGTAGGTACTCCTCAAACAGACCTACATATATACACACAGCCTTAACCTGCTCTGAAGAGGAATTATAAAAGCAATGAACACCATATTCATATTTTTTTAGGTCGAGATCAATATGTGCAAAGACAAGCTTAAATCTCAGCAAACACGGCTGAATCTTAAGTCGGCATTATAATAAATTGTATCACGTCTGTGCCACTTTTTCTAATTGTGTACACAACATCAAATTTTAGGGATAATGGCCTCCTTCCCTTTTTCCAAAAACCCGTAAAGGCCGTATGCTCAACACTTTTTTTTAACTTGGCATTTATAAACATCATAAAATGGGCTTGCCTGTTCAATTTTTTTATACTTAAACATAATTACTCTTACAACGTGGACCATCCAACGTGGCTTTTATGGCCCGTTGGTGCTTAATTTAATTATAATTGCTAGCAGTTTAAAGGTAGCTTCCTAGCTCCATGCCTAAATGTACAATGAAAAAAAAGATGAGAGTCCACCCACCGTTTGTCATGTTTGTATTGCCGCCGATTACTGCCCGCAAGATGTCAGTTCGGCCTTTCTCAACTGCCACCCGCAGGTTTTGATGTGTCTCTGCGCTTTTCTTGTCCATAATAAATTCACCTATCACCTTCAACCCTCAATACTCTGTAGTAGTTTGGGGGATTCAGTGTCTATTCATTGACTACAGTCTACAGACTAGTGAAGCACGAAAAGCAGTCAACGGTAACAAGCAAAGTACGTGGCACTGGCAATCCCATCGGCGCGGCATGATCGGCAGAATTGGGCATGCACGCATCCGTTATATGTATGCATCAAAATGGGGCAGGGTTTCAGACCACATAATATTGTATTATACAAGGGCGATAGCACCTGGCACCTTGCTTGACGGGGAAGGTCAAAGGCAAACTCGATCGATCATGCGTAACATACGAAACATCATCACAGGAAAAAGTGCTCTATGGTTGAACTCGGTCGTAAAAGTCGCCAAAAATATTCATCAAACGAATAAAAACCGACACGATGAGTAGTTTAATTACAAAGCTTTTGGTGCGGCCCCGGACCTACAGGTTTCTCCTGCAGCAGAGATTTTACGCGGCGAATGCCGGCAGCAGAGAAAACATCGAGAAACTCGTGCAGAGCGACAAGGTGGTGGTGTTCATGAAGGGAGTTCCCACACAGCCCATGTGTGGATTCAGCAATGCTGTGGTGCAGATCCTCAGGATGCATGGAGTAGATAGTTACAGCAGTCATAATGTGCTGGAGGATGAGGATCTCAGGCAAGGTACGCAAGATTTTCATCTTGCGTATTTGTACGCATAAAATATTGGCAGTGGATATTTGGGTAATCCTTACTTTTAGGACACCTCTATTTTTTACGAGTTCTGTTCAAAACTGACTTTTGCAGATGTCTGTCCAGTACCAAAGTGACTTTTGCAGGCTAAAGCAGTCTTTTTTCTTCATAAACTCATGTTAGTTGTAATTTTGAAAGCACTTTCAAAGAAAATGTGACTTTCCTACCTTTTTTTGCAGTCAGACGTGCATGTTGTAGTTCTCACAACACAGTGAAAGCCCTACATAATGAAAGCCCGATGCTGATTGGCTGCTAAAAAAAAAAAATAAGATGTTTATTTTTTATCAGCCAATCAGCATCGAGCTTTCATCGCATCGAGCTTTCACGTTTGCCATCTTGGTTTTTGAGTCTGTTTTCTGGTTGTCATCGTCGTCTTTTACCCCTGAATTTCCCTCATAAATCAAAGCCCTGCCCTCTTTCCACAAAATTAAACCTGCTGATATTCAAGAAGGTGTCATTGCCAATTGTTCAGATATGCCAAGAAGTATCAGAATGTCAATTTTGAGTGTCATTTAGTCAACTGTTTTGGTGAGTCTTTCCCTTCCTATATAGGAACGGGGTCCTAAAAGTAAGGATTACCGATATTTGACTGTGAACTACCGCGACTGTTGTTAGGCCTTATTGTACCGGCATGGCACTGCGCAGTGACTGGGTTTTTTTTGAAAATTTTACTGTTAGTGTGAGAGTGAAGAATCTTCATCTGGTTCCGCGCTAACACTAGCCTTTAGTCAAGTCTCACGCGCCTATAGTAGGCCGGACCATCCGGACACGTAACGCACCCCGGATGCTGGCACGTAAAAAGACTAGCACGAGCGGTGAAGCCGCGAGGGCCTTTACTATCTCCTGGAACTAAGCACTTATTCATTTATTCACGTAATATAAATCAAGCAATATAATTATAAACCAATCATCTAACGGTGGTTTGCGGAAGATGAAATGCTCTGCAATTAAATGTCAGGAAAAGAAGACAATCTTACTTTTTGGGACACAACAAATAAAGTTTCAAAAACAACTTAATCGCCTTAACATTAATCACAGATGTGTTGGTCAATGCGCGATGGCCAGGGCAGGGCTTAAATATTTTGTAATAAGCCTCTGTACTGATGACGTCACACTTTGTTTACGTGTGTGCTTTCCTATGGTGCTCAGTGGGCCCCACTGGCTCCTATAGGAAAGTGCACATCAGTACAGAGGCTTACCGTATTGCCCAAATTCATTTGCTGTGTGATCTTGTGATGACCGATGCTTTCGCAATGTGGTGCATGACGTCACTCGCACTCGCAGGGTGGTAAACCACTATAACCTATTCCCACAGTAGAACAAAATATTAAACATCTCCAAATATGGGCTCAATGCCCTGTTGTTCCAATTTTTTTGTTATAGTTTCACCTCAAGAGTATAAATCTTCTTTTGTACCTGTCCATAGGTATCAAAGAATACTCCGAGTGGCCCACCATCCCTCAGATTTTCTTCAATGGTGAGTTTATCGGTGGCTGCGACATCATGCTCCAGATGCATCAGAACGGGGACTTGGTGGAGGAGTTGGAAAAGTTGGGCATCCGATCGGCGTTACTGGACGCCCCGCAGGAGGAGACCAAGTCATAGTGCAGGAGAAAGGGACTTTGCCAGTCTGGACTTGACATGAAACCCTCACGCTGTTTGATCAGTCACAAAATTTCGTCCGCTTCCTCTGCCATACCGGTACATTTGTACACAGGCCAGTATAGGAGCAGTCAGATCACATTCGAGCATAAAACACTGTGACTAGTCAAATTCCAGACAGGGCTCTGGAGTGCTCTGAAACCTGCAAAACTAAATCAGGCCCACTTTACTCACAGTTTAGCCAGCAAATTTCTCCGAAAATTTCACTGGAGCAAAGAAAATGTCCTCAGTATTTCACCAACCAAGTGTGCAGACTGAATTCAATTTTTAAAGGAGACTTTTCTTCAATATTTTGCACATGAGAGGGAAGTCAAGTGATTTCAAAATGGAGCTAAATACTAGACTGGTACATGTGTCCAACCATGGTCCAACTATTTGAAAAGACTGACCACTTCATTCAGTGTCAATAGTCTGGTGGCTTGACTATGGAAATATGTGTAGTAAATTGAGACTAGTTCCCGCTTCATGCCACATTTTTTTAAAATTCTTTTGGCATGGTTGATTGATGCAGTACTGAAGCTGTGTTGGAGTGGTTGTTTTAGGTGCCAGTCTACTTTCTAGTTTTGCATGTTTTCAATACCTTAAGTTTTGGGACTCTCATACACAGTATTGAGAGTCCCAAATTTTCGGACTAGTCAAATTCCATCAACAGACAAGAGAGGTAACTGGTAGGTGCAGCTGGCATATCAATCACCTCCAGTCAAAGCATGGATAACAAATTAACAAGCGAGTTCTAAAGTGTTAAAACAGTCACTTTATTATTTTGACTGCTGGCTGTGATGGCGTAGCTGAATTTGCCAGCTAGAGGGGGAGGGTTTTAGAAGTTTAATTTAATTTACTGGATCTGTGCATGTTGCTGTTGGCTTTCCAGCAAATAAAACTAGCGTGTTTGAAATCAGGTGCATCACCTTCAGAGCTCAAACATACACATGTACATGTATGACGAGAACCTGTGGTATTTGCTCCAGTAGCTCATATAATTGATCGCAACTTAAAGAGGTTGTGGAATGCTCGAAGACATTTCCGTCATTTTGGGGGTATATGTAGCCTAAGGTGTGATGAAATAAAAGCGACTATTGTGTCTGTCATGAAATGAGTACAAAAGGTACTTTTGAGAGGTGTTTTTCAGGTCCTGTTTCGACCCGAGCGTGCAATTTGTGTAAAAGTTGTCGTTGGGGGCAGCAAACAAAACATAGTAAATCGTGCCGTAATAAACAGGACTCGTTTATACTACGCTGCATCGGGAGTCCTGTTTATACGTCACGATTTACTATGTTTTGTTTGCTGCCCCCAACGACAACTTTTACACAAATTGCACGTTCGGGTCGAAACAGGACCTGAAAAACAGCTCTCAAAAGTACCTTTTGTACTCATTTCTTGACAGACACAATAGTCGTTTTTATTTCACCACACCTTATGTTACATATACCCGAAAAATGACGGAACTGTCTTCAAGCATTCCACAACCTCCTTAAAGTTTCTAATCTAAGGTATTAAAATATTTGCAGTTTAAACCATTCACTCTCAAAGGATACTGTGTAAAGTACGGTATGTACAGTGGAACGTTGCTATAAGGAACACCGCTATGCCGAACATTCGGCTATACTGAACATCATCTTTGGCTATAGAGTTTTGTGTTTCATAACGTACCAAACATTGTTGTTGAAAGCTGTCAACAGAAGAGTGAAAAGTGGCTATAATTTCCCCAAGGAATAAAAGGGACAAAGCCACCCGTATAAGCGAAAACACTGTGTAATTTCGTGATTCAACAGTTGGCACGTGTATACCGGAGCACTGGCAGCTTAAAATCGCTGTACCGAACGATCACCATTGCAAACATTTTCTGTGGATCCTGCCATGTGCATTATAGCGACGTCCAACTGTATGTACTGTGGCTTGGTCTGTTCTTAAATTTGACTGGTCTGAAGCTCTGCCTTTAAACTACAGTGCAAGGGGAATCTAGGTTTGGGAAAAAAGGGGGGTGTAGCTGCCAAGGGGAGGGGGGGTAGCAGGCATTTGCTGTGTGTTTTCTGCATGATTTTCCTATATTTTTATGGCCCTGGGGAGGGGGGGGGGGTTAGACTCCCTAAACCTCCCGTGGATCAACCACTGGAGAATGGCAACAATGGGCGATTCCAGTGCTGTGTAATGTCCGTGACAGAACTGTTAAGTGCTCTGTGAATTAACCTGAAAATGTATTTTTCAAACTTTATACAATCATCTAGTAATGCTCAAGAAGATTACAGCCAGAGTCGGTATCATCAAAATACAGTGTGTATCAAAGCAAAGGTGTGATAGTAGCCCATTTGCAACCCATCAGAAATATAAAATGCCACGGACTACTGCACCACAGCAGGCAACAATTGCATAATGTTTAGATAACATCTGTACATGTACCATCAAGGACGGTTCACGTGAATGCTACAGTATCGTGAATGGTTTTTGTAATGTCATGGCAAGAGTTCACAAAAGTTGAACAACTGAAAGTCAAATGGCTTCCTGGTAGCATTTGTATTCCAATTGAACTCTCCTTGGTCATGATAAGGCCAAAAAAAAAATACTTCTGCTTCTGGTTACCCTACCTACCCTGTTTTGACAGCCCCTACCTTAATTTTCTTTTGGAAAAAATGAGGAAAAAAACCTGAAAACCATCAATTACTACCTTTTACCCTTGGCTACATGCAGACGCCTCCGTATGATCGTACACAACCAAGAAATTGGCCCCCCCCAAAAAAAAAAAATGTCCCCTACCTACCCTAGTTTCAAATGCCATGTAATCGGAAGCAAAAACAATTTTGACGTTCTACCTAAATGCATGAAACACACAATAAACTACACAGTTTTTTTTTATATTTTGTTTTATTTAACCAAAAGAACTTGATTAGTTGAATAACTAACTGCATTTGATTTAAATCAGATCATATCAAATTTACTCATAAAGATAACCATATTTCAATAACACTTCTTTTAGACTGGAGTTCCAAAATTTCAGCCAACTAAGTTACTGAAAACAAAAGATTTAGTCAGAAGGGTGAACAACTATGGAGCATAAAGGAATACTAGTTCATCATGTTTGCCTCCTTGAAACCTAACAACTATTTTTGGGTTTGACCAGTGGCTCAATATTTCGTTTAACCAGACTTTGGAATGTTGGGCTGAAACAGTGTTAATTACTCTGTGTATATATGACCTTGAAAGGGTTAAGAATAACCAAATTTAGAGGAATTTTCGAAATTTGTTAAATAAAACCAAACTAACATACGTGTCACTGGAGATATCGATCATTCTTGGCAGTTGCCTACAGGCTATAGTGGAATCTGGCGACCAGAATTGAAAGCCGTTACTACGGTGGTGCCATGCGTTCGACGTGTATTTTCTAGCTTCAACAATGAAAGTACTTAAAGTTAAACAAGCTTTTGAAACTTCAGTGGCATCTTTGGGGACTGATGAATAGCATTTGTTCGTCGTCTTTTGTTGTTGATCAAGATACATGTAGTCTTACCGGCTGGCCAAGGTGCGCTGAATGCTAATCTTCACAGCGCGCCAGGGCGGGCCGAACGTCAGGCTGAGTTGTGAGCCTGATTAACGTATCAATGCTGGCAAAAAAAATGCCGCAAAGGCGCCGCAGTGCGCCCCGGCGCGCTGAGTAAACTATTAAGGACGCTGGACCTTAAAGACAAGGCAGACATTCATTTTTGGTTTATACAACACCTGAATAAAACCTCGTCATCTGATTGGTCAGAGCCACAAATCATGTGACTGTATAATGGAACTTCTATTTAACATGGAATGGAACTTCCTTTTTTTGCGATGCAGGCAGGCAGTGGCTTGGGACAAATAATTCAGTGACATGTGATCAACGACCTACCAATCAGACGACAGGGATTTATCCAGGTGTTGTATAATACAATATAATGTAAACTTAAAGGGAATATACATCATTTGCTTTTGCTGTAATTTTCAGAAATGGATGGAATTGGGGGGTTGGAAATGTATAGCAAATATAGTTACACTGACTTTTTTGAGGTTTTGGGTTCGAAAATGCTATAAAAACCAAGAAAAACAATCATTTTCCTGTAGTCTGGTTCCCTGACTCCATATAAGAAGAAACAGAGCAGTTTACATACATTGGGGAATTGTAAGGTCAGGGAACCAGACTAGCTGGCTCGTACCCGTTCATAGGTTTGTAATCGATTGCAAACAAGTGCGATGGTCAATTGGGGCCAGTATTTGAAAAAAAGCCAGTTTTTTCCAACGCTGATCGGCCGATCAGCGTTGGAAATTGATACAAAAATACCACTTTTCTTGAAAATGACAGTATACCACGTGCCGTGATTTTACAGGATGCTTTACACTGTCATTCACTAACAGTCCAGCAAGATATTTCAAAACGATTTGGTAGTTTTATATTTTGATGTTTGCAAATGTTGTATTTTCCCTTTAACAGGTGGTGAACTTGAGGGGGTGCTTTGAAAAAAAATCTTTTGCGGTTATGCTCTCTCACTTTCGGATCCTCTTTTACACAATGTCCCTCACCGTTGCTCAACAGTAATACCAACTGAAATGTTTCCTCACATCTTCAGTTTCTCATTTCAGTACCCAGCTGCTTCAAGCCATGTAGAAAGAGAAAAGGCCATTTTGAACTCTTTTAGACAAAGTATTCTTCGGTCATTACAATGTCGTCACTTTCTTCAACAAAGTGAATAGATGGGATATTAAATAACTGGCCAGAGGAACTCTCATCGTTGTACAACTCTATGGGGGCACCATCACCTGTTGGCGTTGGGTCGCGTATATCACCGGACTGTTTGTCACGGCGCTCATCAAACTCTGAAACGGGATCCGGTATTGTTCCCTCATAGGAATGGGTACCGTGAGATGACACAGACCTTTGTTCAGACATGTTCTCTCTTTTCACCTGCGGTTGTATTTCGAGGAGGGAAGCACTTTCACTTATCGGCTGGTCACATTCAGGCATTTCTCTGTCAAAGCAGTGGGATAAGAAAGGGGTTGTTTCTGGTGGGTCTAGTGCCTGTGGATGTGGGTTGATGAGGGGAACTGATTCATCTACAGATACGTCACTTTCGACAAGCGGGTCTGGTATCATTCCATCGTACGAGTGCGTACTGTCGGACGGCTCAAAGGGGATTCTCTCAACATCCACTTGGACTGTCATCTGAGGGGGAGTAGCTGTTGGGGTAATAGCCGCACCTTTGGGTGTAGTGTTGGAATCGCCCAAACTGGGAAATTGGACGACTTCTGTCCCGCTGTCGCAGGTGCAGGAACTGCAGGTGTGAGATCGGCAGTCGGAGGAATCTGAGGCGCTGCTGCAAGAAGTACATGAGGAGCAGCTGCTGCTGCTTTGTGATTGGCCAGGTATGGCGCTGTTGTCATGGGAGCCAAGACTGCTCTCTTGGGGGCTAGCTTTGCTGCCCTGAGGACTGAGGATTCCATCATGGGTGCCAGGGATTCCATCATGGGTGCCAGGGATTCCATCATGGGTGCCAGGGATGCCACCATGGGTGCCAGGGATGCCATCATGGGTGCCAGGGATTCCACCATGGGTGCCAGGGATTCCATCATGGGTGCCAGGGATTCCATCATGGGTGCCAGAGATGCCATCATGGGTGTCAGGGATTCCATCATGGGTGCCAGGGATTCCACCATGGGTGCCAGGGATTCCATCATGGGTGCCAGGGATTCCACCATGGGTGCCAGGGACTTCATTGCGGGGTCTAGTGCTGCCATCATGGGGTCTCGCACTACCTTCATGGGGGCCAACCATGCTGTCATGGGCACCAAGCCTGCCCCCAGGTCTCCCCTCTGACTGATCCAAAGGAGATTCTTCCCTGCTGTCTTCCAAGTGGATCCGTATGTGGCTATCACTCTCGGCCGGGCTCAGCTCATCTTCTCCTTGTGAGGTGTATCCCAGGTCGTCGCTGGTCACCATATGTGTACCCCTTGGCACCTCAGCGGGGCTGTCAGCGAAGACATGCAAGGGAATGCTGGCTTCACTGTAACAAGAGAGAAATCTGGTAACAGATTTTTTTTAAAGGGCACGTCAGCATATGTCCTTTTAGAACATCACTGAGCAAGTACCGGTAGTTAGCATGGAAATCGTGAGTGGGGGGGGGGTGTTTGTTTACCTGTTTTTGCAACCCCTTTTGTTAATGTCCATGTTTGTTGCGTCAGGTTAGTGATGCGGTACTTTCCTCGCTTCCACCGTTGTTACCCGGGTTCGATTCCTGCCTGGGCCAATATGTGGATTGGGTTTTCAGTCCCTACTTGATTCTGCGGGTTTTCCCCAGAATTTTCTTCTTGGGTTTTGCTCCCACCTCTAAAATTGTAATTTCTTCTGTAGGTTTCTTCAGGCTTGTGAGCTACACTGCCTAGGGTGCTTTTGAGGAATCCTTGGTTTTATTTACCAGAAAGAGTTAATGATAGCAATAATAAGAATGCTTATGTGTCACCTGCATGTGAACCTTACATTGCAGTGTGTGATGTGCAGATCTGATACACCGTGCCCTCTGGAGACATGCACACAATATGTAACAACAGATTGTATACGTCTCCACAGGGCAATTTCTATAGATGCATACGTCTCCACAAGGTTTTCACGAAATAGGTATGTTGATGTGTCAAAAATGGTAGAGTTTTTGAAAAGGAATATTAAGTCTGAATTTCAGCCAAGGAAATTAATTCTGGTTAAAATAAGAGCATTTTGAAACTGTACTTTCAAACTCGAAAACTTTTAGTACACGAGAATAAAGAAGTGTCTCCACAAGGATACAAATTTCAGTATGTGTGTTTACACACTCGCGTTTGTTTATGGTGTAAATCGAGGATACACACACGCAACATCATCTGTGAATCGAGGACAGGACTCCTCAGTTGGAAAACGTGTACAAAATCAATGAGAGCTGTTGCGAAAAAGAGTACAAAGAAAAGGGAAGAGGAACAATAGGAAATCCTCGATTTACACCATAAACAAATTTGTCTGTGCATGGATCTGTGCGATTGACAAGATAGATTTAATCAAGAATCAGAGATGCCAGTGGTTTTTTTTTGCCCCAAGGCCGGAAAAAAATGTTGCCACACACTGTTAAGCCACGCGTGGATCAAGATGGGGGCACACCCGGCCCGTGCCCCCCCTTTTTGCAACTGTTTTTTTTTTTTTTTTTTTTTTTTTTAACGAGTCATCTTAGGGCGGGCGGGCATTAAATACATCCCTTTGAGAACATGGCTATCTTTTTCCTTTTTGAGGAGTCATTATGGCGGGCGGACGGGCGGTCATCAAATCAATCGCTTGGAACATAACTATTATACATAATTATCAACAAAAATATACAATGTATAAGTTTTGAAGGTCGCCTGTCAATCATTGTCTCAAAATTTCTTTCAAAGCAAGAATATATTTTTATAAGACACTTTTTTATTTCCCGGCTGGACTAGGGGCACATTTAATACAGCACTTGCATTTAATGCTTCATGTCAAAATGTATTCCAAATTATATTCTAGAGTAGAACCAAGGGCGGATCCAGGGGGGGGGGGCAAAGGGGGCCATGCCCCCCCCCCCCCAAAAAAAACGAAACCATTTTTTTTTTTTATGTGACATCGCAATAAAGGCAGGCAATGAGTACACCACCATCTTTTCCTCAATAAAACAGTGGTTAAAGTGGTCAGAAATTGCCTCAGATCGCACCACAGAGTATCTAGAATCCAAAAAATTTTCGGGGCCCTTAAGCGGGCCCTGAACCCCACGCCGTAATTTTTTTGACCCACTTTTTGGGGGGACCAAAACTTTTTTGGGGGGGACCAAAAATTTGTTTTGGCCCACCCCAAAATTGTGTTCTGGATCCACCCTTGAGTAGAACATGTACCGGTACACGAAATTATGTAGGCTATGTATTTTTTTTAATAAATGAAGAATAAAATCGCCACCCCCTTCTTTTATTTTCCCGGCCTCAGAGAGAGATTTACGTCTGGTTCTCTACAAAAACTTTTTTTTTAAAGCAAAATGATTTAAAAAAAACCTAGTTCGTTAAAGTTTGTACTCGAAGTTAATTCTTTTGTAGATTCCAGGGGAAATTTAATACGAATTATGCTCGGTTTTTCTTATTTTTAAATGAATATGATCAGGATTAACAACATCCCTCAAATAATAGCGTCAAAATATATTCCAAAATATATTCTAGAGTAAAACATTTTCACAAAATAATGTAGGCCATGCATTTTATTTTTTAGATACACGAAGAATTAATCGTCATCCCTTTTGCCTCAAATCGAGAGACATCAAATAAATAGGAATTATTTTAATACGACTTAGTATGTCTTGTTCTCTCGATTTATTTTTAAAGTAAAACGATTTCAAAACCCTAGCCCATTAAGTTCTGAACTCTCAGTTAATTCTTTTGTAGATTCCAGGGGAAATTTTAATACGAACTATGCTTAGTTTTTCCTAATTTTAAAAGGAATACGAATAAGATTATCAACAGCCCTTTGACTTCAAACTTAATTTCAAAATGTATTCCGAAATATTTTACAGTAACATTTACAAAAATAATGTAGGCCATGCAGTTTTATTTTTTAAATAAGCGAAGAATAAAATCGTACTACGAAAAAAGACATCGGGAGCCCTACATTTAATGAATTATTTGGACTTGGAATATCATCCCCCAATCGTTTATCTATGTGCATGTACACAACACGGAGGTGAAATTTCACGTTCAATTCAGTTTCCCACATTTTTCGCATAAAGGTTTCCCCTGTCTCTGAGAAAAAAAAATGCCCAATAAAATCTCAGCTCCGAAAAGCCTTTCCAGAGAATGATTGATAGCCGCATTGTTCAAATTGATACAATGCCACTCTTGTTCGTTACAAAGCATATATACATTTGGGTTCAGCTGTAGGCCACCGAACTTTAAGGCCTTTGATAACAGCTCAGGAATGCTGCCACATTCGGGAAATTTGTGCAGACAAACTTTTTCATATTTTGGAATTTGGAATTTTGATGCAGTTTGCATTTCCGTTAAATTAAAGGTTGTTTTTTTGTTTTCTATTAAAGAAAATCGGAGCCCCCCCCCCAAAAAAAATACAAATAAACGATTTTCCTCAGGCCTTGACATTTCTTGAAGTGATTCGACAACACTTGCAGAATGCAGACGATTCATTTCGTCTTAAATTATTTAGCCTGCAGACTTCAAAAGAACATGGAAAAAAATGGTGGTTAAAGTGTATACAAGTGTATATACAAAGTAAGTATATATGTGACCGCAGTTACCTCACATTATACTGGGACACAGGCGGCAGTCTTTTTGAAGTCTTGACTAAACATATAAACGCTACGGGGAAATTTTGCTAATATCAATTTTTTTTATGACAATCGAGATGGTTTTGAAATAAAGTTTTATTTCTTCTTTTTGTTTGTAAAGACTATTCGTAATGAAATACTCAGCAGGCTTATAAGTTATACAACATTTTTCAAAGGAATTGGGACGGAGAAATTTTCTGGGCCGGTTGATTTGCTCAGCCGTGGGGTGGGGTGGGGGTAGGGGCTGCTTGGGGCAGGCTGTCCCCTAATGAAATTCAATTTATTTTATTTTCTTTGTTTGCAAGGCAAATTTCTGGGTGGAAATGTATGTTTTAATAGTAAACATGACTTGTTTTGGCTCGCTCGCTCCGCTCGCTCGCAAAATAACACGTTCATTTTTTTCACCCGGGGGCTGTCATCAGCACCTTCTAATTTTGGGGTTCATTTTCAACTTACATCAACAGTGACTTTAAATTCTATATTTGATAGGCAAAAATAGTGTTATTAAAAGTAAAAAATAAACATTGTGAATTTTGCTCTAAATGGCTTAAAGTACTCATGATGTAGGAGAGAACATCTAAAATCGTAGAGCTTCCAGTGCCCTCAACCCTGCCCGCAAGGGATTTCGCGCTTCAGTTTCGTTATGTGTGCAACGCGCACAAAGTTTTTGTGCCCCCCCTTTTTGAAAATCCTGGATCCGCCCCTGGTTAAGCAAGTCAACAATGAACATACAATTATCAATTCAGGGCATGAATGATATGATCCGAGACTTGCACATCAGTATACCTGTCTTTCGTATGCCAACAAAATGTGATTGCGTTGAGTCGAATGCATAACAATGAAACTAAATGTACACGCGACTATCGAACAACGCTACACATTTTCCTAGTGGCTGAACGACGACATGTAGTGATATCGTTGTTAAAAAAAAAAAATTCTGATTTCATACAGATTTCCGGTCTGTGAAGGTCTGGTATGCCGGAGTTGTTTAAAAAAAAAAATGAAAAAGCCAGAATTTGGGTTATAGCCTGAAAATTGACATCCATGAAGAGTAAGGCCTACCACTCACTCACCCTTTCCTACGTCTCCTGCACCTGAATGCAATGCAGTACATAGCCAACATTCCCAACATGATGGCGGCCCACACACCCCCAAGGGAGATGATAGTCAGCTGTTTGCCTGTATCACAGTAGAAATGGTCATTCCATGCTTAATTTGAATGTGAATGCAACGTGAAATTGGTATCCCCAAATGTTTGTGGCAAAGTTCGCCCGAGACGGAATGTGCTCAACTTTGCAAAATTGCAGAAACTGCAAACACTTTCTGCAACACAAGTTCACAAACTGCTGTATCACAAAGTCATGTTCAGTCGTTAGCTTTTGTGCTGGAAATGAACCAGCCCTAAAAAGAATTTAAAACTGGGAAAGAAGTATGGACAGCATGGCTATGCCCTTAACGACACAAATGTGAATCGTAATGTTTTCAAAGGACACTCGCACCCCATCACCAACAAAAATCTGGTGGACGTGTCATTATACTTGTTTCTTCTGCCAAGGAGGTTATAATGTTTGTTTTCATTGGATTTAGCTGATTGATTGGTTGGCTGGTTGGTTTGTCTGTTAACAAGATAACTCAAAAATAAGATATGGATGTATTTGCCTGAAATTTTTTTTGGGGGTGGTCCTTGGTACAAGTACAAATTGATTAGATTTTGGAGGTGATCTGGATCTGGGTCTGGATCCAGGATTTCTCAAGGGATTCGTCACCATTTATGCAAGTACCGGTATTTCTTTGAGCATACTGACAATATGGCGGGCTGGAATTGTTTAGCCTTGGCAGAGGTTTGCACTGTCTGAGTGCTTTCTAGTTTGGCCATAAAACCATGACCGTTGTAGAGTTTATGTACACTCTCTTTTTCCCAAAATTGTATCTTTTCACTTTTACTTGAGCATCTGAAAACAGCACCACTTCTTCTTGCGTGTCTGTTCTTACTGGCTATCTGAATTAAAAGTCATGTGGTAAAACAAAAGAATTCAAAACATTAGGTCAAAAAAAAAGTCTCTGGTTTCTGGTATGCGCCCGCGTCGCTGTAGCCATGCGCGTCGGCAAAATTAAAAAGTTTTTTTTTTCAGTGTAAGATGATGTCTCAAAACCGCCAAACTCACTGGTTTGATTGGAATCCTGCTGCTGCACAATTTTAACGTGTTTTTAGATGGGGTTACGATCGAGTATAAGCTTTATGCCGTGTCTCTGCACCACTTTTGGGGCAAGCTCCATACCAGAAATTGGTGACTTTTTTATTTTTTGGCCTTAGGGAAAAATCCCTTATTTAGTGTTGACTTCAATGGATTTGATTGGCTGGGTATGCCAAATGACCCAAATAGTTCGGTGCCTCAAGCATATCATGCTGTCGTCACATCCGTTTATTATGCTCAGGTGCAATCCTTGCATGCAAAGATGGTACTGATTTGTTCACATTCAGCGGAAAACTGGTTGCCTGCACTTTGCACAACGTCACATGTACATGGGAGGCTAATTAACACTTACTAGCCTCCCCCTTCTGTGGAACTCCACCCCAAAATATTTGAAAGCCATCCAGGGAGGCACGCTTACCAGATAAGGCCATTCTTGTCAAATCACACCTGTCACCAGAGTACGTGTACACTTGATTTTCACCGTGGCAGCTGAAGAACAATGAAGAAGGAGGAAAAGTCACAGTGAGAATCAAGTCCATGTTCCGAACATACACTTCGTACAATTGTGGGGGAGTGTAGCCTAGTGGTTAGGGTTCTTGGCTCATGATCAGAGGATCAGGGGTTCGAATCCAGCTGCTGGTCATATGTTGTGTCCTTGGGCAAGCCACTTCACCTACACTTGCCTCTCTCCACCCAGGAGTACAAATGGGTGCCGGCATTAACCAGGGAGTAACCTGTGATGGACTGGCATCCCATCCAGTGGGAATAGAAATATTTTCAGTTGTTTCGTGTCAAGGAAACGGGACATAAATGCTGGCCTGATGGGCCATGTTGGCTCGTGACGGACATTTCTTTTACTTTGTACAATGGTGATAGGCAAACTCCAAACAAAGTAGTGGTTGAAAAAGATGTTATGTTGTAACATTAGCTCAATCGCAAATATCTTGTAAGCTGCGGGCCAACAAATCTGTGTTCATGCACAAGTCGCATGATTGTGCCATGTAATTTCTGGAAGTAGTGTTTTGAGTAAACAAATCAGGTTTTTGACCCCAGTGACCCCATGATGACCTTTGACCCTAGTTTGGTCATGTGGCATGTTGGGGTTGGGCTACTGATACTTTTGACAAAGTTTGGTTGAAATCGGTCAAAATATGCAGGAGCAATTATCAACGTTTGTATACTAACTAAACTAACTAAACTAACTATCTAACTTAAACTCCCCAACGGACTATGCGGAGAGACATGATGATTTGTTGAGCTGCTTTCCTGCAGCTAAAAAGGACTGTAAACAGCTGTTGGCAAACTAAGGAATGATATTTAATTTACAGTTGCTTAAAGATAACTTCTAGAACAACAATTTTCACTTGCCATCTCCAAGATAATGTCAGAGAAATGTACAGAATCAAAAAAACTAACTTTGAAGAATTTTTAAAAAGTTATATTTGAACTTGTAAAAGTTTTATAATGTTTGAACTTACTTGCATGTAATAAGGTTCTGTTCATTGGTCCCACAGTGACCACCATTCAGGCAATACTCTGCATTATCAGTACACATGGCAATGCACTGAAGGCCAATTGCCCTGCAATTCATGGTGGCCGGGCATGGCGAAAGTGTGCAAGCATCTAAAATCTGAAACTTGCCTGCAGAAAAAAATATAATACACAATTTCAAACTTGAGAAACAGGTATCAGGGATCACTCAAAAAAAATTCAGCAATTACATTTCATTATTTTAAATTTTCAAATAAACCACAAAGTGAAACTGACTAGGTGCATTATAGTAATTTTTAAGGGGTTGAACAGAGAAATTGACTGGAGCAGGGTTTGAACCTGTGACATCTGGATTACCGTTCCGGTGCTCTACCAACTGAGCTATCCAGCCTTATATTGGCGGGCCCTCATTTTTGTCAATGTCTTTGTTCAACGAGCACTAGTCAGAAGCCGTAAACTCGTATATGCCGTATAGCCAGTTGGCAGAGCACCGGAACAGCAATCCGGAGGTCGAACTCCTCACAAGTCAATTTCTTTGATCAACTAAAAAAATATTATAGTGCACCTAGTCAGTTTTCCTTTCATAATGGAAAACTGACTAGATTTATTTTTTTTAACTGAACAATTGGTGGATTTTAACCTCCAAAATACTTGCACGTTTCTTGTTACATACGAGTCAAGTTATTATGGTTAAAAAGGGAAACAATCAGTGTCTCCATTTGGGTTTTTTGCTTTTGCTAGAAGTGTCAGCCTATGGGCTCCTTGTGCAAACAAGAGAGGCATTTTTATTTACGCGAGCCCCGTGGACAGCTAGGACAAACCGCAACGCCAATCAGCAATGTGTTCAAATGTTTCTCCCAGTGGTCTCCCCCAAGTCTCCTTTTCTTAACGTTGAGGGGGTACTTGTGCACGGAGCCCATTGTCCCTTGACTGACTAAATCATTGACTGACTGACGATTAGACTTTTGGTTGCCAACGGCGGATCCATGGGGGGGGGGGGCCAAAGGGGGCCATGGCCCCCCCCCCAAAAAAAAACGAGACCAATTTTTTTTTTTTTTAATGTGACATCGCAATAAAGGCAGGCAATGAGTACACCACCATCTTTTCCTCAAAAAAACATTGGTTAAAGTGGTCAGAAATTGCCTCAGATCGCACCACAGAGCATCTAGAATCCAAAAATTTTTCGGGGCCCTTAAGCGGGCCCCAAACCCCACGCCGTAATTTTTTTGACCCACTTTTTGGGGGGTCCAAAAAAATGTTTGGCCCCCCAAAAAATTGTGTTCTGGATCCGCCCTTGTTGGCTTCATGTCAACTAGGCATTGGCTTCATGTCAACTAGGCATGTAAGCTTAATCTTGTTTTAAAAATATGTTTGGTTCAAAATATAGTTTTTTCTTGGTATAACATGCAAAGACCCAACCAGAGGAGCAGCAAGGATGCAATACCCACCATTATCTTGCTCGAGTTTAACTTTTGCCACGTTTGCCAGTACTCTGTTCAGAATAGCCGCAAGAATCGCATGCAATTTACTCTGTTGATCTTCATGGTTAAGAGGCTCGGAGAATCCTATCTTCACATCAGCAGCTACACCATCATCCGTGTCAGACCTGCCAAAGAAATGAATCAAAGCTTATTTAATCCTGAAAATGAAAATATATTAAACTGCTGCAAATTGCTATTAACTGACTGGACTGACCAGAAATATGCAAATCATAAAGTTTAAATGGCCCGATATTACAGCCTTAGCAAGGCCTTTTTCAGAGGCAAAATATTTTTTTTATTCTGTTAGATTATCCGAGTGGGGCTCAAAATCTCCTAATTTTGAAATCAACTTAATTTTTTACTTTCGGAAAATGATAAAAAAAACTGCAACATGTAATTATTTCCTTTAATAGTAAAATTTCTTTGGCAATATCCTTTACAATTTTTCTAGCAGTTTCCTGATTTTTTTTGTTAACTAGCAAGAATTGGTCACTTAATTCAATTATTCAACTAAGAAATGTCAAGTAAATTATACTAAAGCTCACCTGAACCGATCTATTTTAACACCCAATACTGTACCATCATCACGGAAGATGTTTAAAACCTGAAGAAAAAAATGAAGTGATAGATTTTATTCAAAGTGGCCATAAGGTAAGAGTTCTGGGGGTCCATAATTTTTGGGGGTGGGCAACACCTTTTGAGGACGTACTTTTAAAAAAAAAAACCGGCTTTGCATCATTCAGTAACTATCTATTTAAAGAAGCACCATCCAAAAGTACAGCATGCAATACACAAAAAACAAATATGGTTAACATTGTATCCACATTTAGTTACTGATGCAAAAAAGTCTCATGTACATTGTGTAATTTGTAAGATTTTCATATCTACTTTAAGTGTGAATTAAGATTTGTTTTTTGCAAAAGTAATTTTATTTTGAAAACGAATGAGACACTTATAGATAAGGAGATACATTTATTAGATAAGGAGTGTATAAAGCATGCATTGATGGAATGTACGATAAGAAATCATATCAATTTTTCTGTCGGCAAAATCGATCATTCAAAATAAAAAACATAATACTTCGAGAAATATGAAATAATAAAAAGGAAAACCTGTAATCACATCTTTCTCAATTGTGGAGGCTAATTTCTGGAATTCCACTGAGTTGTTGTCCTGCAGGGCATCAGAGTAAGTGATGTTGTGAAGTACCAGGTGAAGCCAAATATAATTGGAGTCTGTTTAAGTCGAAGAAAAAAAGAAACACATTTTATAATCTGGGAGAAAGGAGACTGAAGATTTTCTTGAATTCAACATTTTCTTAATTTTCAGGATTTTACAATATGTTTACATGTTAAAACGGGGGAAGGCTAGATCACATTTCATGTTTAAACAACACAAAACAACGCTAATTATTTCATTTCAACACAGTCAAGAAATTATCAGATTTTAAACCTTTGAAGGGTTCTCCGGTGATTTTTTTTTTCAACATTCTCTTCAATGATAAAGGCTTCCAACCGACTCAATTTATTTCTTTATCTAGGTTTACTTTTAACGGTATAAGCAGCCTATTGTTTGAATTACAGAGTTTATTAAAAATAATAATAAAAAACACACTTACAGAAAACAAACTACATAAAATATTAAGAATGAAAAACAATGAGCTATTAAATATTTTTGAAAAGTCAACCCTATAAGGGGTGTCTCAAAAAAAAAAAATGCAGCAGTCAATCCATAAATATTAAAAATACTAGCACTCTCTTTTGCAAAACTTATCTATAGAGTGTGAAGGTATAGTAAATACTCTACACTTTATCCCATCTCAATTAAACACCCCAGTCCAGAGATACAGCTAATTAAATGAAATGACTTGAATTCCAAGTTGGGCCACTTGGTATCTAATGAAAGGCATTCACATACCAAGAAGGGGAAGAAAGTGGCCCAAACAGATTTTGACAAGTCTTTACAAGATTCACTGTAACTTTTAAACCAAACGTCCAAATCACACAGAGCAAAAACTTAATTGTCAAGGATAAAGAAACACTCTATCATCTCATGGTAAATTTTTTCCAAAAAAAAAAAATCCTCAGAAAAAAAAATGTTGTTGACTACTACTTTTGTTTGGAGACACCCTGTATAGAAAAATGCTAGCGTGCGATCACTTTTTACTCACGAGGCCCCTTGAATGGAGAAACAAGCGTGTTTGTTACTGTACAAAGCAACTGCCCCATGATGGATTATCTGAACAATAGCTAGCACAATGCTTTCGCCATTGCAGGGGGCCTTCTTGATAGTGTGCTCGGATTTGTCTATAACATCAACAAAACATACCTGGAATGTCCTCCACGAGAATGACAAAAGAACATTCTGCCCGGTTCCCCGCATTGTCCCGAGCACTGTATGTTACAGTGGTGGAACCAGGTGGGAACCAATTGCCTGGTCGGTGATTACTACTCATCAGCTGAGGGGGTCCCAAGTTGTCGGTTGCCGTGGGCTCTACCCATGATGCTTTAACTGCTTCCTGGTCACTCGTAACCTTGGTGATGTTCTGCGGACAATTGCTTATGATGGGAGGCTCTTCATCTGAAAACACATAATGATACCACAGTTGTAATTTGGTTACAAAGGCTACACATAATTCAAATCACTTGTAAAGCTCAAAATCACGTTAAAAGGTCAGTACTCACACAATTCATATGAAAAGCATGTAACTTGAATTGAGACGGGATAACTTTTGACTTGACTTGTGACTGACTTGTGTTTGACTTGTGAGGATGATCTGCATCCTCATTTTTGTAGTCAGTCATCGCAAGTCCTTCAGTCTGAATTCACAAGCCGATTCCATTGATCTGTGACAATGGCAATTCCCTTGTCATTTGGTATCACAAGCTACATGTGACCTACTTGTGATTGACTCACAGATGACTTGTGATCACTTACGATGAACTGTGACGACTTTGTTACAACCCTGTCGACCCATTACAATACTGCTTTTTGTAATATTCCATCAATTTCTGATTTTTAAAACAATTTTGTATCCAAACATTTAGAAGCGAAATGCAGTTAGATAACAGAAGAAAAGACTGATACCAGACATGTAGTCTGTCATATTTTTGTGTGATGAAAGCATTTTTTAAATAATTGACTGCTATTCGCAGTTCTTAATAAATACAGAAGCTTATTTGAAACAATTATGCTGTGACATTTTGTGCAACATCATTACAAATGTCACTATTATTGCTTTGTTGACCCCAAATCCTCCTTATGGTAACACTGGCAATTTAGATATTTTATCAAATAACAATTTCAATATTGGACATTTTAAGTTATTGTAAAAATGATCAGCCACTTAACATCACATGATCAAATGATGAACAAGTTTAGGTTAAGGGTTTATGATAACAAAAATGCAAACTTTTCCGGAATTTCTAACAACTCACTGAGGATGAAATCAATTACAAACATGGTGTCCAAAAACCAACCGAACCCTAAAGGCAACCTTCTTTTTCACAGCTTTTAAAAAAAAAAAAGCATCCCAAATCTTGATACATATTTGACAAGTTTTGCTCATTAGCTTTTCAACAACGAAAACATCTTTTCCAATTTTGGAGAAAAACATTTATTGAGTTATGGCCACAATTCAAATTTTTTTTTTTTAAATTTTGTCCATGGTCTTAATTCGTCACCGACACCACGAAGTGACCTTAACCCCCGCGAAGTGGAAAATGTGTGTTTTGAGATACAAGCGATTTAAGTTGGCGATGTTTTGAAACGGTGATCTGAACATCGTTTTAGCCTCAAAATTCATATTTTTTTACAGTGTCTGAAAGCTGGGATCTTGAATGTCACGTTAATGTATGATTTTCATTGAAATAAATTACTATTAATGAGTTATCAAACTAATTAACCATAACGTCACTTCGTGAAAACTCAAAATTCAGATTACGCTGTGTTCGCGTTTTCACGAAGTGACACTAACCACGTGTATAATGGGTTAGCGCTACTTCATGAAAACGCCAGAAGTGAGTCGCGCATATCACGTAACATTTGTGTCACTTCGTGAAAACGCAAAACCCGTTTTTGACACGTAGTGTGCAGGCACTTTACACGCGAAAGAATGGTATATCTTCGTGAAAACGCATTTTCCGGTTTTGACCCATTAAGTTGCAAATGTAAATTAATGTTAATTAATGTTTTGACAAAACTAATTAACTATGTGTTGAGTAACTTCTTGAGGTGATAGATTATGTGTATTTTTTTTAATCACAAATCAGGAAAAAAAATCGAAATCACAAAATATCGATTTTTCGAGGTTAGTGTCACTCCGTGGTGATGGTGACGAATTGTCACTTACATGTATTAGGAATGTAATGGATTTCTTCTATCTTCCTTTATTTGTTATTTTTGGTATTTTCGCCAAAATGGTCATTTCTCTTTTTGGAAGAAATGGTCGTCCTGAAAAGGACCGTTTCATTTAACTTCTTAGATGTTTACTCGATGTTTAGCCCTTGTTCTCACTGCAGCAGGCAAACATTAGCTCTCTGTGGACAAAATGAAAAAGCAGCACTTTTTTTTGAACTGGCCATAACTTGATAAATATTCTTCTGATTGGAAGGAACTTTTCATGGTTGAAAAGCTAATGAACGATGCTTGTCAAATATGAATTTGCGATGCGTTTAAAAAAAAAAAAAAAACTGTGAAAAAGAGGGTGCTTTGAGGGTTCAGTTTTTTGGGGGACACCCTGTAAAAGTGACTTTTAACACACCCTTGATGGTCACAAAGAAGTCGCAGCTTAGAGTATTCCCTGTGCTGTCACTGGTTGTGTACACCACTCTCGTCGCTCCGACGTAGAACCTGGACTTCGGAGAGTGAGTGCCTTTGATCACGGCTGGTTCCCCGTCACTCATGGTTGGTTCCCGCCAGCTGACAGTGGCATAAGCCTGACCAGCTTCGGTTGGTAGTGTCATGTGTTGTGGGCAGCCGATCAAAACAGGCCTGGTACCCTCTGTAGTTAAGGGGATAAATATCACACAGACATAAAATTAACACAGTATACAAATCTAATAAGTATGATGTTAAAAGTGTTAGACAGGGATTAAGAATTATTTGAAAGTGTTCCTCATAACCATGTAGACACATGCAGATTCAGACCCCAAAAGAACATTTCAGCCAACATGCAGGAATAAGGGGTTCTTTTTTTGTTTTGTTTTAAGTACTTAATTAGATGTTATACTGACTTGTATGGATCAATAAACATTCTACAGATACATTTATTACCCATTTAAAATAAATTTGAGAGATATTACAGGTCAAATCAATTAAGGTTTACTGAAAGTTCACTGATTGAAGTTGTGTTTTGCAAATACTGCCAGGTAGTTATCAAATTGAGAACAAAATTATTTCCCACATAAATTTTTAGCAAAATTATAACAATTTAAAATACCTCCAAAACAAATATACTTAAAAGCTTTCTTAGTACCATTTTGTTCACTGATTGGTTTTTAACACTTAATCATTCATTTTTACTACTTCTTTCCAAAAAGAATATGAAAAAACCTGGCAAAAACCTTAACCTTGCCACAAGCAGCATGTGAGAGTCAACAGAACCTGAGATTGACTGCAGTACAAGTCGGTCATGTTAAGCCAAAAAAATATATATTTTTGCTTCCAGTTTCCCTACCTACCCTATTCTGACAGCCCCTACCCTAATTTTTTTTATGGGAAAATGAGAAAAGAAAACAACCAAACCCATCATTTACTATCTTTTACCCTTGACTATACATGCAGACGCCTCCATATGATCGTACATAGAAAAAAAAAATGCCTAAAAAAAAATCCCTACCTAACTACCCTATTTTCAAATGCCATGTAATTTGAAGCAGAAATATTTTTTTGGCCTTAGCTCATGAAATAATTTACAAAGCAATGCATTTTCCTCTTGGCATTGCTTTGTAAATGAATATCATTTGCTTTTTGCGAATTGTTTCGCTTGCGGCTTTGCTGAAAAAGAGCGCATAACCTGCTGACGTTTCCCCTCAGAAGATACTATACATTTTGAGAAAACAAAAACGCTTTACAACTTTCGACCAGTGCAGTTGCAGCTGGCGTGTGTAAAACTTGATCGGCGAGTTTCGAATATTTGAAAATTCGGTCAAATGCAGTTTCGAATAATCGAATACTAAATTATTCGAAAATGGACAGCCCTAATGTCGAACCTTAACAAAGTGTACCCGCGAGCACCCCAAACAATACCATTTCAGGCAGGGTAATTTCACTGGGCATTTGACTAGTTCTATCTTCACTTTGAGCAAGACTGTCTTTCAATTGGTAGATATTTCCTGGGTAATTGCAAATGATCCTATATGTGCCTTTAAATGGTGAAAAGATGGAGAAATTGACTGAAAGAAACTCAGAAGCATAACACCTACCCATCAGTCTCTCGTAGTGAGCGAAGCCCTCATGTTTGGCTAGTATCCCCCACAGATCAGCCGCTGTGGTGCGACTCAGCATACACTTCTCCTTAGCACTGAAATCTACGGACTGGCAGACAAATGACTCCTCCTTGATGCAGGCAATGAGGCATTCCTCCACGCTGGAATGTAACAGGATGCGGTCATCACGGCCAGGGAGGAAGGAGTCTTCGATAAGGACAAAATGGTTGTAGGGATATCCTGGAGAAAAAAAACAAACATGTCATGGACCTGAAAACAAAACGGATCTAAATCAAATTAGGTTTTGCCCTTCGCCGACGTTTAAACACTGTATACTCAGTGTGTTACTTTCAGAGTGAAAGTTGGAAAAAAACCAGCCAACCGATCCCTGTTAGCTTGGTGGTCGAGTGTTAAGACATCTGCACTAGAAAACAGGAGGTCGTGGAATCGAGTCCCACCCGATTTTTTGATTTTTTCCAACTTTCACTCGGGAGGTAACACACTGTGTTTTACAGTGTTTAAACGTCGGTGAAGGGCAAAACCTAATTTGATTTATATCACCCCGACGCAAAAATTCCATTTTATAAAACGGATCTACACGATGCAGGCTTCTGTGGGCTAAGCCAAGTCCACACGAGCTTTTCCCCCTCTACGAAAAACAGCTTTAGGGGCGCCTTTGGGTTAGGGTTATCTGTCGTAAATATATGAAGAGGAACACTCAAGAAAGTCATTCAAAGAGTATTCACAGTGACAGTAAAATATTGTTTTTCTCCAGTTTTTCTTAACTACACGAAAAAAAAGGAATGTCCACATAGCGTATGTAAAACAAGCACAGGTGTGTGTGGGTGTGCAAGGGCATACATAGATTACAGTCCCTGTGTGGACCCGCGAACAAAATACATTTATGTCCACACAATGTAGAACCTTAAGATGTTCTGCCACTTGCACAGGCCAACACAATGTTTTCTTAGAGGCATTTTTGGGTTATGGTTATCCGTCGCAAAAATAGTGCAGTAGAAAGTTCAAGGAAATCGAAGTTCAAATTCAGTTTCAGTGTAAGTAGTAACTCTATGACACGCGTTTTCTCTTAACTGCTCAAGAACAAAGGAATGTCAACAAGTTTATCTGCAAGGAGAAGCTGCAGACAGGTTGTGAGTTAACAAGTACAGTGAAATCTCGAAAAGTCAAAACCTGTCAACTCAAGAAAACCTTTCTAACTCAAAGTAAAAACTTATTCCAATCAATTGTTGTTGAATAGAAAATCCATTGGATAACTCAAAACTCAAAATTTAAGCCAATTCCCACGAGGTTTGACTTATCGAGATTCCACTGTACATGCATTGAAAAAACAACTGCACAAAACAAAAAAGAAGAGATTCTTACCAGTGACAATGACAATGAAGTTGCAATATGCAGAGTTCCCCAGAGTATCCACGGCAGTGTAGCTGACCTCTGTGCGACCCAGGTCAAACAACTCGCCCGGCCTGTGATTGGCTGTAACAGAGACCTCTCTGCCTTCCAGCGAGATGATTGGCTCTCGCCACGCGGCCACATCTCTGGATTGGCCGCTCTGCAGGATTTGAGTGATGTCTGTGGGGCAATTGCTGAACTCGAGAACTCTCAAATCTGTTTGAAAAAAAAATGTTAGTCACAAGAAGGCTGGGTTGAGAGCAGAGGGTTCATGGGGAGTCAGTGTGGGGTAACGGTACTTTCCTCGCCTTCCACCGCTGTGATCTGGGTTCGATTCCAGCCCCGGTCCACATGTGGATTGGGTTTTCAGTCCCTGCCTGATTCCGTTGGTTTCCCCAGAATATTCTTCTGAGGTTTTCCTCCCACTTCTAAAACTGTAATTTCTTCTCATAGTCTTCTCTCCACAGGTTTCTTCAGGCTTGCAAGCTACAGTGCCTTGGAGCTTTTGAGGAATCCTTGGTTTCATTACCAGAAATAATTAATAATGATAATTGTATGAGAAATATCCACGTGAACAATGGATACTGTGGCAATCTCACTCACACAGTGTTTCAATGATCTAAATGATAGTTGGAAAGAGGATGCTTCGGACAAGCCAATTACAGGGTAAGATTACAAATAACTTGGGAAGAACAATGACAAAAGAATGCCCTGGTCAGTCTATTGAAATAAATTTTCACTTGACTTGTAATTTGACAATGTGTGATAGACTAGTGACTAATTGTGAAGATTTGAGTATGTACAACAAATCTGGATACGAACTAGTTCTGTAGCCTAAAATGCTGTTTGAAATCGCTGTCTTTAGCTTGTTTGCAGTGCAACAATCACATTGCAAATTCAGATATTATACCATGATATTTTTAAGGTGTACATGTTTTGCCTTAAACGAGACTTGTAGGTATTGCATATTGGACATGAACAGAGCATGGACAATTTGCGGTAACACCAAGTGAATATATCTCTCTTGAGTTGTGGGGTTCAGAGAAGAACCATTTTTTTCAATTTGACTGTTCGTAATCAGTATCCTGATGACGAAGACAGCATACTGTTTGAAACGTCGAGTTAAAACAACTGTTTCTTCTCAAAACCACACAACTCAAAAGAGATAATATTCAAACGGTGTTACCGCAAATCTTCCATACTTTGCCTTTTCTCCCATTGTGTTACAATTGATGAAAATACTTGTACTCAAGTTCTTACACAAATTTTAAAGCAATCACTATAACATAGTTACCTTTTACGCTGACAACAAATTCACAAGTTGCAGTATTGCTGGATGCATCTGTAGCAGTATAATGCACAGTGGTGTCTCCTATAGGAAATACATCTCCCGAGCTGTGATCCGAGGTGAAGTTGTAATCACCCGAGGTGTCTGATATTTCGGGAGGTTGCCATGTGGCTACAGCCTCTGCTTTTACCAATGTGAGGTTTATGGTGATATTTGGTGGGCAACTGAGAAACACATGGTCTTCATAATCTGAAGGGAAAACAAATCAGGGAAGTCAAAATGTAGTCGGTGTTACTTGTTACGAACTGTTTGATTCTGACATTATATTGTAGAAAAGGAGTCATATTACCACATGTATATCAGCTTTAACATTGATTCTTTGGCCAATGTAAACAATCCTTCTTTTTTTTATGTGTGGTATCTGACTATAGTATGCCAACCGTGAATATTTGTAAGTTTCCTAACCAGTGAACCTTTTATGAGCACTGTTTGTCATTCATGAGTACATACTGCCATCCATGAGTATTGTGCGTTGTCCATAAATCTTGAGTGCTGTCCATGAGTACTTTGTGCCATCCATGGTTAGTGTGTGCTGTTCTTGAGTACTCCGTGCTGTCCATATACTTTGTGCCGTCCGTGAGTACTTTGTGCCGTCCGTGAGTACTTTGTGCCGTCCGTGAGTACTTTGTGCCGTCCGTGAGTACTTTGTGCCGTCCGTGAGTACTTTGTGCCGTCCCTGAGTACTTTGTGCCGTCCCTGAGTACTTTGTGCCATCCGTGAGTACTTTGTGCCATCCGTGAGTACTTTGTGCCATCCAGGGTTAGTGTGTGCTGTTCTTGAGTACTCCATGCCATCCATATACTTTGTGCCATCCATGAGTACTTTGTGCTGTCCCTGAGTACTTTGTGCCGTCCCCGAGTACTTTGTGCCGTCCGCGAGTACGTTGTGTTGTCCATGAGTACTTTGTGCCATCCATGAGTACATTGTGCTGTCCATGAATACTCTGTGCCATCTATGAATACTTTGTGTTGTCCAAGAGTACTTTGTGCTGTCCATGAGTACGTTGTGCCGTTCTGACCAGACCACCCTTTTTCCATTGTTTTACACAATGGAAAAACATCACCCCAGAAGGGAATCTTTAGAAAAAGGGATAATGGGAACACAATGCTATCACCCCACAAGTCTGTCTGGCTAGAACGTCCGTCCATGAGTACGTTGTCCGTCCATGAGTACTTTGTGCAGTCCATCAGTACGTTGTGCTGTCCATGAGTACTTTGTGCCACCAATGAGTACTTTGTGCTGTCCATGGGTACTCTGTGCCGTCCATGAGTACTTTGTGCCGTCCATCAGTATGTTGTGCCATCCATGAGTACTCTGTGCCGTCCATGAGTACTCTGTGCTGTCCATGAATACTTTGTGCCATCCATGAGTACTTTGTGCCATCCATGAGTACTGTGTGCTGTCCACGAGTACTTTGTGTCATCCATGAGTACTTTGTGCCATCCATGAGTACTGTGTGCCGTCCATGAGTACTTTGTGTCATCCATGAGTACTGTGTGCTGTCCACGAGTACTTTGTGTCATCCATGAGTACTTTGTGCCATCCATGAGTACTGTGTGCCGTCCATGAGTACTTTGTGTCATCCATGAGTACGTTGTGTTGTCCACGAGTACTTTGTGCCATCCATGAGTACTGTGTGCTGTCCACGAGTACTTTGTGTCATCCATGAGTACTTTGTGCCATCCATGAGTACTGTGTGCTGTCCACGAGTACTTTGTGCCGTCCATGAGTACTTTGTGTCATCCATGAGTACTTTGTGCCATCCACGAGTACTGTGTGCTGTCCACGAGTACTTTGTGTCATCCACGAGTACTTTGTGCCGTCTACGAGTACTTTGTGCTGTCCATGAGTACTTTGTGCCATCCACGAGTACTTTGTCCTGGCCACGAGTACTTTGTGCCGTCCGTGAGTACTTTGTGCCATCCATTAGTACTTTGTGCCATCCACGAGTACTTTGTGCCATCCACGAGTACTCTGTGCCGTCCAAGAGTACTTTGTGCTGGCTGTGAGTACTTTGTGCCGTCCACGGGTACTTTGTGTCATCCAGGAGTACTTTGTGCTGTCCACGAGTACTTTGTGTCATCCAGGAGTACTTTGTGCTGTCCACGAGTACTTTGTGCCATCCAGGAGTACTTTGTGCCGTCCACAGGTACTTTGTGTCATCCAGGAGTACTTTGTGCCGTCCATGAGTACTTTGTGCTGTCCACGAGTACTTTGTGCCATCCAGGAGTACTTTGTGCTGTCCACGAGTACTTTGTGCCATCCATGAGTACTTTGTGCTGTCCACTAGTACTTTGTGCCATCCAGGAGTACTTTGTGCCGTCCACGAGTACTTTGTGCCATCCAGGAGTACTTTGTGCCATCCACGAGTACTTTGTGCCATCCATGAGTACTTTGTGCTGTCCACGAGTACTTTGTGCCATCCATGAGTACTTTGTGCCGTCCATGAGTACTTTGTGCCATCCATGAGTATTTTGTGCTGTCCATGAGTACTTTGTGCCGTCCATGAGTACTGTGTGCTGTCCATTAGTACTTTGTGCCCGCAATGAGTACTTTGTGACGTCCATGAGTACTGTGTGCTGTCCATTAGTACTTTGTGCCCGCAATGAGTACTTTGTGCCATCCATGAGTACTTTGTGCCATCCATGAGTACTTTGTGCCATTAGTACCGTGTGCCATCCATGAGTACTTTGTGCCCGCCATGAGTACTTTGTGCCATCCATGAGTACTTTGTGCCGTCCATGAGTACTTTGTGCCATCCATGAGTATTGTGTGCTGTCCATGAGCACTTTGTGACGTCCATGAGTACTTTGTGCCATCCATGAGTACTGTGTGCTGTCCATGAGTACTTTGTGCCGTCCATGAGTACTGTGTGCCATCCATGAGTACTGTGTGCCATCCATGAGTACTTTGTGCCGTCCATGAGTACTGTGTGCCATCCATGATTATTGTGTGCTGTCCATGAGCACTTTGTGACGTCCATGAGTACTGTGTGCCATCCATGAGTACTGTGTGCTGTCCATGAGTACTGTGTGCCGTCCATGAGTACTGTGTGCCGTCCATGAGTACTTTGTGCCGTCCATGAGTACTTTGAGCCGTCCATGAGTATTTTGTGCTGTCCATGAGTACTGTGTGCTGTCCATGAGTACTTTGTGCCGTCCATGAGTACTGTGTGCCATCCATGAGTACTGTGTGCCATCCATGAGTATTTTGTGCTGTCCATGAGTACTGTGTGCCGTCCATGAGTACTGTGTGCCGTCCATGAGTACTGTGTGCTGTCCATGAGTACTGTGTGCTGTCCATGAGTACTTTGTGCCGTCCATGAGTACTTTGTGCCGTCCATGAGTACTTTGAGCCGTCCATGAGTATTTTGTGCTGTCCATGAGTACTTTGTGCCATCCATGAGTACTTTGTGCCGTCCATGAGTACTGTGTGCCATCCATGAGTATTGTGTGCTGTCCATGAGCACTTTGTGACGTCCATGAGTACTGTGTGCCATCCATGAGTACTGTGTGCTGTCCATGAGTACTGTGTGCCGTCCATGAGTACTGTGTGCCGTCCATGAGTACTTTGTGCCGTCCATGAGTACTTTGAGCCGTCCATGAGTATTTTGTGCTGTCCATGAGTACTGTGTGCTGTCCATGAGTACTTTGTGCCGTCCATGAGTACTGTGTGCCATCCATGAGTACTGTGTGCCATCCATGAGTATTTTGTGCTGTCCATGAGTACTGTGTGCCGTCCATGAGTACTGTGTGCCGTCCATGAGTACTGTGTGCTGTCCATGAGTACTGTGTGCTGTCCATGAGTACTTTGTGCCGTCCATGAGTACTTTGTGCCGTCCATGAGTACTTTGAGCCGTCCATGAGTATTTTGTGCTGTCCATGAGTACTTTGTGCTGTCCATGAGTACTTTGTGCCGTCCATGAGTACTTTGTGCCATCCATTAGTACTGTGTGCCATCCATGAGTATTTTGTGCTGTCCATGAGTACTTTGTGCTGTCCATAAGAACTTTGAAGAAATTGTATTGTTCAATTGCCACTTCTCATTTTACACAGTCATTTTTACACAGTACGAACGTAAAGTTATCAAATGGATGAAAATCATTGTAAATGGGTAAAACTACTGTACAGTGTTGATTGTTTTTTCCCCCAAGAAAATACCAAATGCAACAAATGTCCTCTACTTTAAACTTGCGAAGTTTCAATTACTAATTATATTTAACCTCTAAAGGGAATGTACAACATTGGCTTTTGCTGCAATTTTCAGAAATAAATGGATTGGAGGATTATTATGTTATATAAAATATTGTTAAACCGACTTGTTTCATGTTTTGGGCTTGTAGATGCTGGAAAAACCAAGAAAACCTATCATGTTCTTGTAGTCTGGTTCCCTGACCCCACTTAAGATGAAACGAAGCAATTAATACACTTTGGGGAATTGTAAGGTCAGATAATCAGTCTAGCAGGCTTGTACCCCTTCACAGGTGTGTGATCAATTGCAAAGAAAAGTCAGAATAACTAAATATGAAAAATTAAGAACAGTTTTTGAAAAAAGCCAGTTTTCTCCAACGCTGGTCGGCCGACCAGCGTTGGAAAAATACAGTTTTTCTTGAAAATGTCAGCCCACCAGGAGCCACGATTTTAAAGGATGCTTTAGACTGTCAGTCCCCAACAATTTAGTAAGGTATTTTGTGATAATTTGATCATTTCGTTTTTTTGATGTTTGCAAATGTTGTATTTTCCCTTTAATGTGGTAACCCATTACCGGTATATATATATTCTTTTAAAATAATGAATTTATTGATGAGAAGCATTTAAAATCTACTTGTTAAAATGATGACTAAAAAAACCCATTTATATACAACCACGAGGCCACGATATTTCTATTTATTATATATATATGCTAAAATATAATATTTTAAGAATGTAGTATCCACACGCCATTTCTTTGATTGTGTGCAAAGTCTATGGACAGTCGAGTGCATTTTCAAATTATTTCTAACAAAATTGGAAATGTTTTTCACTCAGTCCCGGTTTCATGTCTTTTCAACATTTTTGTAGCGACTGACCTTCATTGAGATAATACATGATGAAAAAGTGGCATCAGGATGCAACATTCTTTCCTGACTTTACTTGCCCCGGCAACGTACCTACCCAAGTAAAACAAAATCAAGGCCTAGTGTCCGCATACCTTCACAACGCGCCACAGGTGCCCACAGCAGAGCGAATCCCGCCAGCAGTCCTATCAATGCCGATCGATTCCAAGTCACGATCATGATCATTTTCCCGGAGTTTCTATCAACTACCTTCTAACTGTTTTCAACGATTGTCATGTCGTACCCAAAACTTGCGAAAGGGACCTTCATTCCCGAAAATCATGTCCTATTCAGCGAACTTCGCAGAGCCTTACAAAACGAGAAAGTTTAAATTAAAGAACCTTGTTGAAAAAAATTCACCACGAAATGATGGCCGAGTCCGGGCTTGGTTTAACACATAACCACTGATGGCGCAATTTGACCAATTTGAATGGCGCCCGCATTTGTGGGATTCCTCATTTCGATCGAAAGAAAACAATCCCCGACAGACAAATGGAAAGGAGAACAAATGAGAGTGGCAGCAGAAGGAAGTTTGCGAGAGGAGGGGGTGATGCATCATGATGGGAGGTGATAATTATAGCGGGGGGGGGGGGACGACACAAAGGAGTGCGACAGTGGGTAATTTATAGCTCCATGGGGTAACATATATGGGAGGACAATGGAGGTGATAAACCCCAAGAGGATTTGCCAGGAAGGAGGAGTTCAGTCTCAGTTGATCTGTGACCATAACATGTAAACGCTTCTTTAGTAAGCTCTTGATCTCCCCGGCATACTGGAAACCACAAACCCTGCAAGAGATGAGATACATGACATTAGTGTCGCAAAGTATGTTACCATCTGTGAGCAGTTTCAGATGGAAGAGTGGCCAGAAAAGGAGTCAGTCTCCTGGACGTGGATCTGACAATTACAACACTACAACTGCACTTAAAAGCGCCATGCTGGGTGGGAGGATGCATCCAAGGCGGGGACTTCAGCTAACAATCAGGTCTCGTAGACTTGCCTCATCACTCAGTGGTCCAGATGAAAAAAATACATCACCAGTGTACCTCCAACCATAGAGCAAGGATGCTCTGTTCCAGCAGATCCTGGGGTGACATGCATAGCAAGCATGCGTTCTTCAAGTCACAGTAACCCACGGAGAGACATGCAAAGGATCAGAGGGCGGCATGCGAGTACCCATTGCTGTGCCATCATGTACCTGTAAATAATGTTAACATGTACCCAGGAAGGAAACATTCTTATGCACCATTTTGAGCAATTTTATTGCTCCAAACGAAAATAAAAGCACAAAGAGCAAATTGATCCTACGCTCCGACTAAGCTGGCCTATAATCTTCGAATGGGGAGGTCCCCAACAGTAACGTCTTATTCGTTGTTTGATGAACAGTAAACTGCACTAGGAAATATTTCGCACTGCACAAGTCAAACAATAAATGATAAAAGGCGATTCTCAATTCTTTTTCAATATGTTTATTTTATTTACAACTAATAGTAATAGCATCACAATTCTAATGATTTCTGTTTAACTACAGAGACTAAATATTACAAATCTTTCATTCAATCAGTAAAGAAACCAGGAATAAAATTCAACAGTTTGTACATGTATTTGATATCAATTTTTTGTTCTAAAAATGGTGCCTGAATAAATATTTTCTTTTCAAAGAGAAAGCAATATCTTTAGACTTGCTTCCTCTTCTGTCACCGATTGTACCAATTAATGTATCAATCATATGCAGACAACCTGTAACTATAGCCGTTTGTTGTTTCTTTTGTAAAACTGGGGACACAGCAAATATTTTCCTTAGGTGACTCTGAACCAAAAAGAACAAGAATCATAGGGGCCTAAGCATGCCTGTCAAATATTGTCTGGGGGGAAAAAAGTTCAGTGGTTTTGTTCGTATATGTTGAAGCTTAAAGTTTTGTTCCTCATGCTATTTTCGAGTGTCATCCGAAAAAAATATATTCCTTATCTAAATTGCTATATTTCTAGCATAAAACAAAAGTTATTCAATTTTAAATTAGACATCGACCGAAATAAATCGGCTCACATTTAGTTGCTATATTATTACTTTACAATTTTGAATTATTGGTTGCCAGACGATAATTTCGTACTCGCGAGGTAGGTAGGTTCCCGCCCCACAATCAGAGAAATCGATAATGTACGGATCGGGAGCCAGTTTGCTCGCAAAACATACCAAGTTGAAAATTTATGAATACATGTAGAAAAAAACTTTGAATTGGTTGAAGAGCACCAGGAACTCAACTTTAAGCACACTAATAATAACCCATATCAAATTAACATACAATTGCTATGTTGCCTATGTATACACCTAATGATTACCAAATTCTGGTGCATGCACATGTACAAAATCTATACTACTTTTGGGATTTTGTTCAAGGTCCAAAATATATTTGGGGATAACAGGGCTTGGCCCCGCCCAAAGTGTATTGGAACAAATATCTTTATTTATTTTTAAGATATTCCTTGGCTGTACAACACTGTTTGATTGGAGCCCTTTCTCTGCCTCAATAAAATCCTGCTTTTTCTCTCCAAGGTTCTAAACATACCTGTTTCCGTTCTACCTTATCATAACATCCCACTGAATACGTTGTACAATAGAGTCTTACTTGAGTACCTAATCTCTGATTTTAACCATTCAAAAATTAAAGCTCCTAAATACAGTTGAACCCTGATAAGAAGCGCACTGTTAATACAAGCTTATAACAAGCAAAATTTTAGGTTCCTGGGCTTTGTTTTTCATTACTGTTAATACAAGGTACCTGTTATAACAAGGTACAAAGTCCCAAGGATCTTGTTGTAAAGGTGTTCGACTGTAATGACACATGTACATTCTTAACATTATGTTACGTTTTGAAAAAAAATTGCCAACTCATAAAATCTAACTTTTGAGGTGGATGTTGTTGATAAAGGTAGAACCAGTTGATGAAAGAGCCGTCTCAGCTTTCATACTGTATTTAAAAAAAAAAAAGTTAACCTTGCTCTCTAAGTGCAATTGCACCAGTCAGTTTGACATGGTGCATGGGTGTGTTGAAGCTGACCAGCAAAGAAACTTCAAATGAAGTGAGTTAGCAGGTTCTTAATCCTTGGAGTGTGTGGCTGCTTACCACTGTTATGTCAATGCATTTACACGTAATGTGGATGCATTAACATTGGACATTTTCTTAAGAAAAATACTAAATTATCTTGGACAGTCTGGAAGGACACTCTCTAAATTCCAAAGAGTGAAATTAGGGACAAGACATTTTAGAGTAAAAATCACTCTCATTTTCGATTGAAATAGTCTGAAAAATGAGCCACTTCAGTCGAAGCTCGAGTGAAAACTCGATCTTTACAATTGAAGAAATTGCACTCTAAAATGTCTAGTCCCTAGTTTCCGACTGGGGGAGTGAATCTTCACTTAAATGGAAAGAATTTTCACTCTTTGGAATTTAGAGAGCAAGGGTTCATATAAGACATTTTTACTCATGTTAATAGTTTTCACAGATCACATCGTAATTCAAATGCACACATTAATATCTGTACAAATAATGGCTGATCCACTGAAGTTTTGTTTACTTTGGCCTTCAAGTTCAAGCAAATGATTTATATTATTTCCTTAAGATTATACTCTTCAGATCTTATACTAAAAAGTGTCACTGTGATCACTGATAGGCTCTGAATTGTTGAAATCATCAGAGTAGCTGTTTGAAGATTCGTCTTGCTTCGTCCACTGTCCAGGATTGAGAGAGTCTTCCGTCTTGAACTCCGACGAGGGAACAGTGGACTGAAGCAAGGAGGTCTCTGAAAAGGAACTGGCAGACCTCAAGAGGGAAGGTCTTGGTTTAGGAGTTGGAGGAGTCTGAGATCGCTTGGTCTCTGAAGGAGGGTCGGGGGTTACGACTGCCGTGTTGATGGAGAGGGTTGACGTCTTGGAGGTCTTTCGGACCGGCACAGGTGATATGCTGGAGAGTTTGGGTTTGGGGATGCTGAGGCGTCTGGTCTGGGGATTGGCAGGCTTCCCACTGGGTCTCGGGCCAGACGCTTCAGGAGTTTTCCCCGCAATCTGAGTGGTTTGAGACTTGGTGGTTCTCACGCTGCTGCTCCTTGATGTGCCTGACACGCTTGAATGAGTTGAATGGTAAGAATCAGAATGGTTGGATGCAAGAGGAGCCAGCTCTTGCTCCCCCGTCGAGGCGAGATTGTCAGATCCCACAAAGTCATCCGAGTACTGTATGTCTGTCGGATCATCAGATTGATTCACAGCCTCCTGTGGCAAGTCCTGTTCTGATGGCAGGCCAGGTATCTGGATTGCTTTGGGATGCTTGACATAACTCGATGCAGATGAAAACTGTAAGTCGGTGTCAGTTGAATCATCACTGTTGCTCCCTGAGTCAGACTCAGGAACTGATGCACTTGGCAGATAGACGTCAATACTCCTGGCGCTCTTTTCACTGCTGCTTAAATCTACATCAGTTAAAAAAAACACAAAGGTGATATCAAATAAAACATTCACACAACACTGCACCTAATCAGCTATGTTAACCCTTACCCTACTTGACCCTCCAACGCATGCCAATATGTGCCTCAAGAAAATCTCCTATGTTTTTTGCATGGCCCTCCAATATCTGCCATGTCATTTCAAGGGTAACTGGACAGGCACTCCAATACATGCCACAGAGAACAATGAGAGTCCTCTGATAACAAAGTGAGTGCCCCCAGCTGGTCAGTATCAGGCACCCTCCAGGGCCTCCAACTCCTGCCAATTGGAGCCTTCACTGCTAAGACTTGTTATCTGCCAAATAACTGCAGCTGGAGGGCATTGGCATAACCAACTGACATGCAGTAAACTACCCTCAGAGAGTAAGGGTTAAAGAGGTTGTGGAATGCTCGAAGACATTTCCGTCATTTTTCGGGTATATGTAGCCTAAGGTGTGATGAAATAAAAACGACTATTGTGTCTGTAATGAAATGAGTACAAAAGGTACCAACAAATTACTGGATGAATTTCAGTTTTATAAAAATATAAACGCACATACAAAAGAATGGGACTTTGTCATTATGATATATATGGGTCTACTCTACAATAAGAAAAAAAAAAAAAATGACTTTCAGCATTCCACAATCTCTTTAACCCTAACCCCCTAGTAGTTCCCAGGACTACCCTGCAAAATCCAACAGAGTCTGACGGTTACTCATATGAGTTTCCTGCTCAATCAATCCAACACATTCCAACGCAACCCAACTTGCCAAGTTGTTGGGTTCTTGAAAGTATAAAATGACTGGCATGCTCAATCCAAAATCCAACTGTGCCTCATTTTTCAGTCGTCTGCTGTCTCCAACCGAGTCCAACATAACGTTATTTACCAGTATCCAACAGAATCCGACTCTGAATGTTTTCAGTTGCCTGCTGATCCAACACATTTTAACAGGAATATCTACAAGGGGTTTATTACTCAATCCAACAGGCACCAGCGGGTATGTCAAATAGTTGGATCCTGTTGGATTGAGCAGGTTTAGGGATGGTAACTTTCACATTCCTTGAAATATAGATTTACATCCTGTAAGTTTTCATACCAGAGGTGAAACTATGATGGCATGATATCAATGGCTGAGATAGGAAATAAAAGCATCCCAAACCACTGTAAAAGAAAACAGTGACATTCCTTGCCACATCAAAGTTCTGTTGTATGTTAATAACATGAGTTTTCATTTTCTTGAAATCGGCAGGCTTCGTACTTTTGTATTAAACTGAACGATTGAGTTTGGTAATTCAACAGTTATCATTTTGCATCTTTAACTCTATCATTTTAAAATAATTTACCAATTTCCACCACAGTTACATTTCTACAGCAGTTATAATAAGTTTTCTCCTTTGATGCCTTTTCAGCTGCTTTCAATTTCCATAACATTAAAACCCTAACTCCCTAGCGTATTTTACAAGGAACTGGACCAAGTCCATCAAAATCCATCACTCACTGTGCGTCCAACACAAAACTGTACATGACATAATGAAATCCACCACCGACGCACTGGTTGACATTCATGGACTTGCTACACATGGCTTTTATCACAATAGCAGTACAGGAAGCTAGGCAAAATCAATCGGATACCCCTAGCACTGCTTCAGGCCATTAGGCCCAAGTCCATCATACTCCATCAATATTTAGTCACACCAGGCCTTCTGGACCAAGTCCCCCAAAATCCACCAAATGGGGGGATGGATTTTGATGGAGTTGGGATGGTTAGGGTTAAATGATAAAACATGTACATGTATCTGTTTATGGGAACTAATGATGGATAGACAGAAAAATAAACAAAAACTTAAAAAACCCCAGAGAGAATTTAGATTTGCTGTACCTTTTTGTACCACCGATCCCCTGCTGTCCCTTCTGCTCCCGTCGAACCGAAAGTCACTAGCTTCTGTTCCACTGGCCCCTATTCCATCATCAGCTGCTTCCTGGTCAGTTCCCATTCCATCCTCTGAGTGAGGAGAGGATTTATCTGCCCAGGAATATGTTGCTCCTTTGGGTCTGCGGGGCGCCGCCACAGGGGGCTGCTCTGGGCTGACGATCTGGCGGTTTCTCTGGTCTGAGTGCTCTGTGTTTGAATTGAAACAAAAATGGATATCAAGTGAGAAAAATATTATTCGTACAAAAAATGAACTTATGATGCAGCCAAATTGGAACATGATAGGATGAACACTAAACAGTTCAAAAAGTGGATATAAACAATGAGTTTAATTAAAACCCAACAATTTCAATAAAAATCAAATACAGTATACACAAATTTGTTGCAAATTCCCAAATTCCAGTCCTGTTTTGAGGCGTGCGATCACACCCCCGCGCCATCACACGCATAAGTGCTTCCTGCGAAGTGCGAATAATCGCACGCCTGAATCCCTCTGTACCGCACACCTCGGCATACATTTACGGCATAATTATACTTCATAATTTGTGAAAAATAAAGTACGTTGGTGAAGACTGAAGAGAATATGGCTTTATTGTAAACCAAGATGAATATTTTCGAAAACAATACCAGATTGTTCAGCCCCAGCTTGGACCACAGAATCACACGCCTAGAAAAATCACACAGCTACAAAATTCCAGGTGATTTTTCAAATCAGAAGGACTGAAATTCAGAATAAACAATGAAACACATGAAGTGATAAAAAAAACCCATGTAATGAGAATTTTGGGACTTGGTGCACAATTTTTGTTAGGATCTGGATTCCTCAAGTGAAAGCATCAATAAAACGAACCCTTTCTCCTTTTCTGTTGCGCTGCTTTCGTTTGAGATGCAGACGACTTTCCACTATCAGCTCTTGACGGCAATTTCTTCTGCGGATGTCGTGCGTGAACAGCCTGATCCTCCCCCTCAAAATGGTGGGCAATCTCTGTTGAGATGTCATGTTCATTGACGGCATCAATGAAGTCCAGTTCATCTGTGACATGATGATTCTTTATCGCTTTCTCTTTCTCCTCCTGGTAGGCTCGCATCCTTGCTTCCTGAATCTCCATCTCCCTGAGGAGCTCGGGATTGTTCTTCTGCAATCTTAACTTCTGCGAGTTTGTCATGCCAAAGCGCAACTTCGTCCTGCGTTTGACCTTCGGGACCGGCTTCTGTTGCCTCAGCCATCCCTTAGTCGGTGGGACTCCCTGTGGGGGCTTAGCGCACTCCCTGTGCTTGTGACGATATGGCTTGGTTTGATGTACAACTTTTGGTTGGTTTACGTGAACGTTTTCTTTCTCATCTGTTGGTTCCTTTATAGTCACTTGATTTTTGGCAACAGCATGTTGTACGTGAACTTGGGCAGGTGTTCTTGATAGAGTTGCAGCTCTATTGTGAAGGGAGTTTCCATGGAGTAGACTCAATTCTTGAAGTAAAGCCTCAAGAACCGGCAGCTGGGAGCGCTGATTGGGCTCAAGCTTTAACTGACACCTGTTACAGATATCTGATGCTTGATAACCAGCTTCTTGAGCTGACTCAGTTTCACTCTTTGTTTTTCTCTCCTCGGGTTGCCTTTCCATTCTTTTCGCATGTGATTTTTCCTTCCTCAGTGCCCGATGGGTCTTTCGTACACTCCAACTTGGTGAAGCTGTACTCTGTTCCTCTGAGGGGAACTTGTAGTGTGTCTCAATCTGATGAACAATGTCGTCAGACTGAGTCTGACTTGATGAACTCAAGTCCTCACTAAAACTTTCAGCTCTCGTTTTGGGTTCAGCGTTTCTACCTGATAGGAAATACTGAATGTCCTGATCAATCCTCCTCACTGACTCAACATGCCTGTGCTGATCTGAGGATGCTGGTACATCTTCATTTGCTGTGTTGAAGAACAAAGGAGGTGGACAATGGGTATTGTTAACAATAAGGTCATCATTTCTAATTAACTGTGTTGACCTCTGAAATACATTTTTACGGTGGCCACTTCCTTTTGTGGTTTTTATTGTTTGCGTTGCTTGTTGTTTCTTCTCTGAACCAGCAGGTTTAGGAATAAAATCACGATCATCAATAGTGGATACGGCCACAGAAATGCCTTTTGGTTGACCTTGCACTTCCAAGTCCTCCAGCACAACGTCCGTCTCCTTGTTTCCCTTTTTCGTATCACGAACAACTCCATCATCTTTGCTCTTTCTTGGGGTCACTGCCAGTGCCAGGTCAACAGTCTCGGACCCTCTCTTTGTAATTTCTGATTGAGGAATATGTGGAATCAGACTAGCACCCATGCTGAGCATCCGGTATCGCACCACGATCCATCCCACCTCACTTCCCATCAGATTGTACAACTTGTAACTGTCTCGATCGCCATGAACCGACGGAACATCTGAACCATTTTGCTCAATGTCATGCGAAATCTCCTCCATTGTAGTCTGCAAGGAAACTGTACAATTCGCAACCAGTTTGGGGACCTTGGGCCAGACGTCGATGAGCATTACGTACAGGGGCGTGTTCCTCAAGTACGACAGAAGCATTTGCGGGTCCATCTTGAACAAGGAAGATTTACATTTGTTGATGCAAAAGTTGCCCCGGTGGTCTTTCAGTTCCTGCAGCTGGCATGGAATGTCTCCAAAGCTGTCCAGAATGATCTTTTCTTTGATATTCTGCGCCTCTTCCGGGTCCACATGGTGAAGGAGCAGCGTGGGAAAGTCGAGCAGGCGAAATGCAACGGACGGCAGGTGGCACACAACAGTGGACGAGTTTATGCGCAGTGATTCCACTGCCAGTTCCAACGAAAATAATGTCTCATTTGAACCCATATTCAACACCTAGAAAGGGTTCCACGTTGTACTCTTTTTAACTGTCGAATCAAAAGGGTTTTTCGGCGTTTTTTTCCGCAGAAAATTAGCCTGATATACGGACGATCTAGGCCTGCCTTTCGCCCTTTCATGCCTTTCGGAATGTGCGCCAACAATGTAGATAGCGCCCTCACGTGACAACAATTGGTTTAATTCTAGGCCGACTATCGTCGAGAATCAACATCTGCCACCGATTGTGCACGTGTTTCTACATGATTATGTACGATTAATTGTAAACAGTCGTGTATAGGACTACCTATAGTTTTACAATCATGTTGTCGCGATTCACCAGAATCTCACGGCTGTGCAACAACTGTTCAGTCTTTCGAAATTTCTCGGATCCTCCAAGAATACGAAAGGTTAGTGCATTAACTCTTGTCACTGCATGCCAGTGCAGTGTGCCACAGCATTTGCACAGGGAAGAATTGAACCAACCATCGGATGGGACGGAAGGTTGGGTGCTGAACCTGCTGAAAGTGAAAAATTCCAAGATTTCTAAAACCTTTAATAAAAGGGAAGGGAATTATCTCTTGTATGACTGAGAATTGAAGCTGTTTTTGCGTAATTTAGCAGTGAGAATAAAATTTCAGATTTGCAATAGCATCAACAATTTTTGGAAAGGCTTTTTTTATTTTTCGTTGGTTTATACATTATAGGCAGTTTCTCGTCCCCGCCCACTTCCTTTTTTCCCTGCCCGCTGCTTTTTTTAAAATTTATTTATTTGTAATTCATATGTCACGTACTTTGAACCCTACATTTAGGCCTATCATGCCTATACAATGACCCAGTTGAGATATGCTCCGTTATCAGAATTATCAGCAGTCCTTTTTCTTTAACCTCAACAGAGTCTTTTCACAACAGCCAGACATCTACAACAGTCTGACCAAGGGACAAACCAGGGCGAGAACTTAATACAGGTTGTCAATACAGGTGAGAAAGATGTTGTGATTCAGTGCAGGAGTGCTGGCCAAAATTAGAGATATTGTTCGGTCCTAATAAAAGTCAATCATAAAGCAAGTTCGGCGAGGACCATTAGTCGACTCTCGGTTGATTTGTGACAGAACTTACGCCAAACAATGTTCAAAACATCATCACAAAATTTCATGATCCTGGTGCCCTGCCATGCTGTATGATACGCGCGGCTATTGGTAACCAGCGATGGAACCATACCCCAGGCTGCAGTTCCAAATAATCGACTAGAGGAGCCCAACTATCCTGCGTTTGAGTGAAGTTAGTCCAACTATGGTTAACTCTACTTCACACCCGAACTTGCTTGCAAGTGATCATACATAAGTCTCGAGTACAGTGACATGCTATTCAACTGAAATGTGACATCAACATTCCTTTGTCTTTTTTCAAAATTTTTCGTTGTAAAGGATTCCATTATCCCTAACCCTTTCAGATCCTTAGTATGATTTAGCAGGAGTGAGGAAGGCCCAGTTGATCTTACTTAAAGGGAAAATACAACATTTGCAAACATCAAAAATTAAAACTACCAAATCATTTTGAACTACCTTGCTGGACTGTTAGTGAATGACAGTGTAAAGCATCCTGTAAAATCATGGCACCTGGTATACTGTAATTTTCAAGAAAAGTGGTATTATTGTATCAATTTCCAACGCTGATCGGCCGATCAGCGTTGGAAACAACTGGCTTTTTTTTCAAATACGGGCCCCAATTGACCATCGCACTTGTTTGCAATCGATTACAAACCTATGAACGGGTACGAGCCAGCTAGAGTGGTTCCCTGACCTTACAATTCCCCAATGTATGTAAACTGCTCTGTTTCTTCTTATATGGAGTCAGGGAACCAGACTACAGGAAAATGATCGTTTTTCTTGGTTTTTATAGCATTTTCGAACCCAAAATCTCAAAAAAGTCAGTGTAACTATATTTGCTATATATTTCCAACCCCCCAATTCCATCCATTTCTGAAAATTACAGCAAAAGCAAATGATGTATATTCCCTTTAACCAAGGATGTAGTCAAGACCATCACAAGTCCCTGCAAGTCCCTGCAAGTCCATCACAAGTCATCCAAGCTCACAAAGAGTATTTAAAGGAACTGTGACGAAAGCATTCCCTTGTTACTGTCCATCCACTGTTGCTTGTGATGGACTTGTGATTGACTTGTGATGGACTTGTGACTGGACTTGTGATGGACTTGTGATGGACTTGTGACTGGACTTGTGACTGGACTTGTGACTGGACTTGTGATGGACTTGTGATGGACTTGTGATGGACTTGTGATGGACTTATGATGGACTTGTGACTGGACTTGTGATGGACCTGTGATGGGCTTGTGATGGACTTGTGATGGACTTGTGATGGACTTGTGATGGACTTGTGATGGACTTGTGATGGACTTGTGACAGGACTTGTGATGGACTTGTGATGGACTTGTGATGGACTTGTGATGGACTTGTGATGGACTTGTGATGGACTTGTGACTGGACTTGTGATGGACTTGTAACTGGACTCAACTTCATCCCTGTACTTGACAAGGAGGTTTGGGGACCTTAAAAAGTGAAGTACAAAGAATGTGACAATGTTTGGTTCCTACTCAGTGGATGAATTTGGAGGATTCATGGAGGTTCTTATATACAAAAAATGGCAAGGGAATAAAGGTTTATGTTCAAATCAAAGTGGATCCAGTTGTCTCCAGGCCAGTTCCGACTTTTTTGTGTGGCTGTGTAACGTTTAAAAGAGACTATCGCGTCACGATCACATCTACATGTGGTGAGAGTAATCTAATGGCCCTGTTACAGTATTCCAAGTCTCTAAAACAGAAACTGGACCAAAATTGCATAAAATAAAGTTTGGGGCTGAAGCCAAATTCTGAGAGAAAGCCAAAAACTTGTTAACCCCCACTAGAGAATTCTCATGTTCTACTTTGTGGCAGAGTTTGAGAGTCCTGAGAGATGGCAGAATCTACCCCTGATGACAGGGAGGCCGGTGGATGCCCCGGCGTGTCTAGAGAAGCCCCAGGCCTGGCTGGAGACAATCAGCACCCTGGAGAATATCAAGCTAGGCATGGTAGATCTACATCCTGATGTCTTCGCAACCATGCCCAGGTAGGCGTAGAAAAGATAGGGTTTTTCTTCAGATTTAGGTTCTTGACCATTATAGTCGTGTTCCCTAACGTGGCGCACCTCGAAGCTTACCCGACTTTCCTCGTGTAGTGTTGCCAAACCTCTTTGTTGACAAACCTCGAATTCATACAGTAAAATACCAGTACTTTTACCTTATTAATGCTTGCTATTTAACCTCTGTGAACAATCCAAAATTCAAAAACGGTGGCGTCCTGAAATTGGGCACAAATTGGCAGAGTGTTCCCTAACGTGGCGCACTTGAACAAATCTCGGAAAATTCCAAATTAACATTTAAGAATTTCTGTAAATCTGATAAATTCTGATAAATAATTATTATCTTTACTTGCATACCCAGCTAGATGTTTGTCAGAAAATTATTTTCTTATTTTTCGGGGCTTTTTCAAAGGGTTCACTTTGCACTTGAAAATGAAATCAGAAAATCACGCCAAAATAAATTTTCTTCTAACTTTGTTACGGGTAAATAAACTCGCGATTTATGAACGGGAGTCTTTAGAACTTGATGAAATTTCACTTTCTGTGAAATTTCAGTTAAAACTTTTGCTCTAGGTAGGCGCTACAGGCGAAAAATCAAAGTGCGCCACGTTGGGGGCCGCGCCACGTTAGGGTACATCAACAATACTGGGAAACTCCAAACTTCCACAGCTGACATTAAAAAGATTTCACACAACACATTTGGCTTCAGTGCCATGGTCAGAACTTTACATAAAAATGCAGCTGGAGTTTAAGGCAGCCCTCGGGTCAACCTTGCTATGACTGTCGGAGAAAAAAACCACAGGAGAAGCCATGAAAGAAACCATGGATTATTGACAAGGAACCATGATCCATAGGAAAATCTATTCATAAGATGGAATTTTTGCGTCGGGGTGATGTAAATCAAATTAGGTTTTGCCCTTCACCGACGTATAAACACTGTATACTCAGTGTGTTACCTCCCGAGTGAAAGTTGAAAAAAAACCAGTCGGGTGGGACTCGAACCCACGACCTCCTGCTTTCTAGTGCAGAGTCTTACCACTAGGAAAATCTAGTAACAGTTTTCAGTGTTTTGTTTTGCTATTTTATAAAATTGCTGTGAAAACTTAAAAATCAATACCTGATGTTTTTTTTCTTTTTCAGAATTGATGTTTTGTATCGGAATGTTTTATGGCAAAGGGACTACAAAAGAATAGTAAGTGTCTTTAAACATACGATTGCTTCATTTCTTATGAATAAAAAATAAGTGTGTTTTTTTTTTACCCCATGCATGATGAAGGAAAGTTCTAAAAAGTAAATGGGTCAAATTTAGGATTACAATAAATTTCAGATCATGCCCGTGGCTAAAATTTATTACAAATGAAAGAGAATGAATGTGATGAATTAATTGTCAGTTCAGGTGCAGGCCTTCACTTGTTCTTGGTTTCTTTGAATTGGAAAAGATAGTAGACAAAATTTTGTCTTGCCAGATCATGGCTTCCTAAAAGTGTATCATCTAAACAATATAATCAGCAAATTTGTGCGTTTTTAACCCTAACCGCCCTGAATCCTTCAAAATCCTCTTTGCCAAAGTGGAGGAATTTGGAGGATTGAGGTTACATGGCAAAAGTGCATTACTGATTTCGTAGGATGCACTTTGTCAAGGTCTTGGGCCAGACCGTGTGTTGTTTTTGCTCAGCCATGCATAAATATAGGCCTGGATTATGCTTGAAATCCTCCGTACTGCTCCAGGATGTCACTGGTCAAGCCTCAACATATTGACAGTCACTGCCGCAGGATTTTGCAGGATTCAGGCAGTGGTCACCCCTCCACGGACCATATTCAAGAAATAATGGAAGAACTTGCAGGATTGAGGCTATATATACGCTATTTTTCCATGAGGCCAATTGGAGGATTTTGCAGGGTTGAGGCTACATCTCAGCAGGGAGTTAGGGTTAAATAATACCCTGAATTGTAAAAACTGAAATTGTAAGTTGCTCTCTGACAGAGTTTAGCCAAGACTAAGACCAGGGCCGAGGTGAGAGGGGGAGGACGGAAACCATGGCGACAGAAGGGAACAGGAAGAGCAAGGCATGGTAGCATCCGTTCACCGATCTGGAAGGGAGGTAGGTAATCACTCTAATTACCTCCCTTGGGTGTTTTTACCGTGAATCTTCTTGATTGAATCCTCCTGACTGCTGTGCAAAAACCCAATGGAATATTCATTGCGTTTGAAACCCTGAGGAATTATGTCCCATGTAAAGTAATAGATGCTAGTTCCATTAATCCTCCGATATCTGTAAAACTTGTTGGTGGATTTTTGAAGGATATGGGTTAGGGTTAATCGGTATGGCTATGGATCGGTTTTCAAAATTTCCATATTGACATTTCAGAAAAATGTCAACCAAGCTCGTATTCATTTATAAATTTCAACCTCAACCAAAATTACAAATCCCCCTAAAAAAAACTTTCTAGTGAATTTGTGCCCCAAAAAAGCACCATTAAACAATGTCGGCTTAACCCATGATGAACTGCATGAAAAAAAAAGTGCTCAGACTTGTAGTCAACTTCACAGCAAGTCACCAAAAAGTCTAATCGTAAATAAGGCAAAAAAAAAAAAAATTACTCGATCTCTGGTCAGCGCGCGCGTCGATTTTAATCATGCGCGTCAACCTTTTTTTTCTTCAAATTAACACGGAAGCTACAACAACGCCCTCTATTGCAAAGGAGCACCAAGGAATGGGGAAATTGCACCAAGGCAAATGATAAAGGGCACCAAGGCAAATTATGGAGGACACCAATGTATAATGAGGACACAAAAAAGCAAAGTAGTACCCACCTTGTCTGTACAATACAAGCCACCCCCCCCCCAAAAAAAACGCGTCGCCGCATCAATTCCGGAACTTCGGTCTGACCAGAGACCGACTATTTTTTTTTTTTTGCCTGAGTTCCATGTTACAGGGGATGAACAATGACAAAGAAATGCCTTGTCACAGTTCACTTAAATAGCCGGTCAGTTGGCTTGAAACTGGATGAATTGTGATTGACTTGCCAGAACTTGAAAGTACTCTACCACTCCATGGTAACCTCTTTGTGGTACGTGTACATTCTATTTTTTGAATGATCCTTTTTCCTGGTCCTTTTCAGGTGGTCGAGCCAAAGGTCCCCGCGGCCCAAGAAGCTATTGGTACGAGTTGCCTGTCAAGGTGCGAGCCCACGGTCTGAGGGTTGCCCTGACCGTCAAGCTGGCCCAGGACAACCTGCACATAGTGGACTCCTTGGACCTACCATCACCTGAACCCCAGGTAATTAAACGCAGGTTCATGCTTCACACGCAAATGTTAATGCAAGGCAAAGTTCGGAACAGTCGCAGCAACATTTACTGGAGTTGAATATTTGCAGGAGTGCAGTGCAACTATTTGTCGAGACATCACAAATGCATGTCCAGATTTGCTCCTCAAATAACCGACCATATAAAGCATAATTTCAGGTTTAAAACTGACTTTTGAGCATGCATCTGCTTTATACTGGGTTTGCCCTTCACCGACGTATTTTATAAACACTGTATACTCAGTGTTCAGGCATGCAACTGGGAAGTCACAAAAAAAGAGGAAATTCAAATCTTTCCCAGACTTTGTACAGTGTTTTTCTATTTTCAATGGCACACATTGGAAGTGAAAAAAAGAGGAAATCAGCTGATCCGAGGAAAAGTTGCATGCCTGAGTGTTGTCCGAAGGTTCGTGAGAAAAAAATCACAAGCTCAGGTGGGACTCGAACCCACGACCCCCTGCTTACTAGTGCAGGCGTCTTAAGTACCACTCGACCTCCGAGCTTGCCAGGGTTGGCTGGCTGGTTGGAGCCTGATGTAGCAGCGGGTACCCCGACCAAAACGTACCCTCAGTAAATCAGGGCCTGTTATTTGTTCTTTACTTTCTTTTTTTACCTGAAGTTTCTGGAAGATGTGGCCATGCAAAGGCACTGGGGAGGATCTGTTCTCTTCGTAGACAAGTGAGTAAATGTTTTACATTGTATTAAAAGTAGTATTACTGACACCCTCCTTGTTGCCGAATCTCTCCTCCATAAAGTAGAAGCTTGCTGCAAGTCCGTTGGTCTCTCTCTTAACGCAAAGAAGACTAAGTACATGGTCATCAACCCATCTACCTCTGATGACGTCACTGCACTAGATGGCAGTAAGCTCGATAAAGTTGATGACTTCAAGTATCTGGGCTCCTACACCAACACAGCTCATGACATCGAGTGTAGAAAAGCTCAAGCTTGGTCTGCTCTGTTCTCACTGACCAAAGTATGGAGATCCTCGATCTCCAAGACCACCAAACTTAAGATCTTCAAGACCTCAGTAGAATCCATCCTCCTCTACGGTTGCGAGTCCTGGACCCTGACCAAACAGATCTCTGTGTCCATTGATGGTACCTATACACGGATGTTGCGGGCTGTTCAGAACGTTCCTTGGCAACAACATCTCCCTAACTCTGTTCTGTATGGTGCCCTTCCCCCTATCTCCACCACCATCAGACAGCGTCGCCTTCGGCTAGCTGGTCACATTTATCGACATAATGAGCCAGCTAGTCAAGTTCTCCTCTGGAATCCTGAAGCCCCTCGACGAAAAGGTCATCCCAACATGACCCTGAAAACATCCATCGAGCTAGAAACTGGTCTGAGTGGTCCATCTCTTTCCAACACTATGCTCGACAGGGAGAGTTGGGCCCAACTCATCAAGTCATCATGAAAATGAATGAATGAAGAAGAAGAAGAATTACTGTGTGTGATTGTCATTGTGTACTAATTGTAATGGCTTGTGATGATCTCATTGAAAAGCTTGTCTTGGATGCTTGGGTCATTTGACTCACTGCTGGCTGTGATGGGTGTGGGTCCACGGCTGCAGCAGAGTTTTCTTAAACACCCGAGCCTCATCTCATCGCATAGCAAAGTTTCGTAATTGTGTTTCAGTATTGTGGCTGTTGGCCTTTATCTGCCATCAAATTCTGAGAAGTCTAAACATTGCATCAGGCTTAATATAAAATTGTCCTTGTCATTCGGAAGAGATGCAGCATTTCCGCCAATATGTGTCTCCCATAAATTGATCTTGATTTTTTCTTTACTCTTGCTTCTATCTTTGGCGACCAAAGAAAATGCCAAAAATGTCCCCAATTTGACCCGAACCTCAACACGAATTGTTTTAGTTTTTAATTTTGAAAAAAAAAAAAATGTCAATGAGTTTCGATTGTACAAGCTGGGATAACCCAAATGCCAGCAGTATTGATACATTTTTACAATTCGGTCATTCTTTTTTTTGTTATAATCAGCAAACCTATTCAAGAAATGCCCGAGAATTTCCTACAGGCAGTCAGCGGGATCAAGACGTACAATGTGCTATCCACGGAAGGTGAGTGTCTTCATCGTCCTGTTATATCGGTACCATGTTCAATTGTACATACCGTGGTTATTAGGATGTGAAATTGTGTTCATACAGTTATATTTCAAATTATAACACCTCACCAACAGGTTCTGTATCTTGAGTGGCCGAGAGCGAATCACATGGCATTCGCTATTTTTGCTGTCTTGCTGTGCACTGCCGAAAGTACTATACCCGTAGCAGCCAAGGTACTATACACATAACCAGTACTGTTTGCAAATGCATGTGTATGGGTGTGCGCGTTGCGCGTATTGTTCCAAAGCGCTACCATTTTAGTTGTATTTAGATGAAATTAATCAGTTGTCGCTGAAAATCAAGCAGAATCTGTGGGAGAGGTGTTATAAAACAAAATATTGACTGCTTTATCTCGTGGTGTAGTAAAACTAGCCTCCCTCGGTGATCCATGGAGCATTCTATGTTCCCTCGGCTTATATTATCTATAAACCAAGTTACTATTTTCTATATTAAACAACGCAAGTCTGTTTTTGGACAAGCCCAAATGTTAATACAGACCTTTAACATGAACACACTTTCTTTATTCCTTGAAGGCATGAACGTGTACAGCATGTTGAAGCACCACACGTTGGTCTTGACGCTGGATGCAGCAGAATTCCTGGAGGAGAGGCTCCTGTTCTACATGAGATGCTACCGAAAGAAAGACATTGTGGACACCCACAAAATCCTGTTTGGTCAACTGAAAATCCTTCCCTCCAAGAAAATCACAACGGAAAACTGAATGACAGCCCCAGAGAGGGATATCTGAAAAAATTTTGTGAGCTTGTTTTGTCAGTTTTGGAGGCCTTCATGCGAAACCTGGAACTGGAAGAGCGAACTCTACAATAGTCAGTGTCTGCTCTTGCTATAACTGCAGGTTGTTAAAACTGAGAAGTCCAGATCTTCTACGGCCTTTTATAGTTCTGCCAGTGACAGCGCTAGACTCGCAATTTTAGGGCCAAGTAGAGGGCACACATTATGTTTTGGGTCAGTCAATATTATTCAAATATTGACTGCTTCGAGTGGTGTAGTAAAACTAGCCTCCCGAGTTGATCCATGAAGCACCGCCGAGGGAAAATAGAATGCTCCCTGGTTCACCGAGGGAGGCTAGTTTTACTACATCAGGAGATAATGCAGTCAATATTTGTTTTAGAACACCTCTCCCACAGATTCTGCTTTATTTTAAGCGATAACTGATTAATTTAATCTGGAAACAATTAAAATTTACTTCTATTTGAATACGAAATTAGTTGAAAATTGACTTGGACCAACGAGCATGTAATAATTCCACATCACATGATCATGTAAAGGTAAAGAACAGTGTACTTTGTACAATGCCTGAATAAATTCCAGTTATCTGAATGATGGGTCGTTAGTCATGCGACACTGAATCAGGGACCTTTTACTAATAAATTCATAATTATGCATGCATTTGCATAAATGGGCCTGGCAACAAAAGCAAAAGCGGTCTATTGTAAATGTACAAGGGTCCAAATTTTTTGGACATTTTCTCTCAATATGTCCAGGATTTGTCGTCTTTTTTTTTCTCAACAAAATCCACTAAAAGCGTCATACATGTAGCCATTACTTTTCGGCCTAAGTGTGTTTTGGGGGGGGGAACGGAATAAAAACTTTTGTCCCGTGCACACGAGGCGAAGGAAATCATCAGGGCTCCTTTCCACTCCTTTTCCCTTGTTGTATCGCGGTGCCCAATTGCGGTGGGCTTCACCGTGGCCGAGTTCCAGTGATTCAGTGATGTTTGGGCGTTTTCTACTTACCCCGCCCCTTTGTCCAAATACTCACATTTCTACCAATAATCAAAAGCTCAAATACTCGGTCCACTTCATCTTGTTCCTCAGGTTTTAATTCTCATTGAAAAAGCTCATACTCCAGAGGTTAAAAGCAATTACATAATACATGTACCCAAGTAAATCCTTGTCATTTGATTGGAGGATTGTAGGTCACACGGCATTCATTAATCGAACCATTGCACGGCCTACGTCATAGCCATGCATTTTTGGTTCCATTCACCGTGCATTTTCGTTCCATCTCTTTTGATCTATTGCACGCTGAGATGCGCAGCGGCCCAGTGTTATCTTTGCGCTATTTAGACCATGTCATAGCAGTTCAAAACTTGCCTTTGAAGTGGATGCAGTTGCATTGATGAGTTTTTTTTTTACATTATTTTAAGAACTTACGTAATTTCAAACCATAGTTAGCCTTGAACAAGCTAAAAAAAAGTAGTGGATATGATAACATTTTGTGAGTTTTGTTTGTTCTTAAAGTTTTATCCTCCAATCAAATGACAAAGATCTACTTGGATGTTATATCAAACAAATAATGAATGATTTTTCATTCGTGCAATGGTGAGAATATTTTCATTCATTGAAAGATGCAATGTTCCATTCAACTCGGCTTCGCCTCGTTGAATGGAACCTTCAATCTTTCAACTCATAAAAATATTCTCACCATTGCACTCATAAACATTCATTATTTGTATAATAATGAACATTTGCAAAATATGTTCATATACTTCAACCAGTTTGAGTTTAGATTTTCAAATAAACAGAATTAAAAAAAAAACATGTTTTCCCTCAATTTCCTTGAATATGTTGCATTATACAAAGCCTTAATAAAGACATGTCGTCTGATTGGTGGGTCATTGATTAGGTGTCATCGGAATATTCATCTCGATGCACGGCAAAATAGAAATCCCAATCCAGGGTAAGTGGAAGTTTCATTGCACGGTCACACTTTTGGCGGCTCTGACAAGTCAGATGACAAGGATTTATTCTGGTGTTGCATAAAACAAATAATGAATGTTACACATTCGTGCAATGGAAAGAATTTCACGAGGTGACAGATGGAATGTTCCATTCCACATGGCTTCACCTCGTGGAATGGAACATTCCATCTGTCACCTCATGAAATTATTCTTAGCATTGCACTCACAAACATTCATTATTTTACATGTATATACCATGACCTTATCTGGGACGTAACGTAATTCATTTGCCCAATACCATAATCCAAGAAATTTAGAATTTGAGAAATTATCACAATTTAATACAAAATAAATTGTGTTTTTTTTTTTTTTTTTTTTTAAATTCAGTACAAGTTACTGTCCACCAACAGGATTCAAAATTGAAAATTCCTCTTCTTGAGGTAAAGATACACTTAAAAGATCAGCTTTAAAATAACACCAAACTGATTATATTGCTACATTCTTACATTAGATGTTTTTTTCCTTCAAAATTGACCCGCATATTAATTTACAATTTTGATCAGGCTTTATAAGTCAATCAACTGAAATTTGTCTTTTCTTTTAACAGTTAATAATTTCTTGAAGTTGGACGGTCATTTTCGTCAAATTTTGTCACCTTACTTGGTTTCAACAGTATATACATAGCACTTTGAAAAGAAATGCACACTTTGACTCCCAAATCCACAATCTATGCTTGCTGAAGCAGTTGTCCATTTATAACACAATTAAAGTTGGCAATTAACTTGCAACGTCAACTTCATCCTGTGAAATGTTGAAGGCCATAATTGACAACAGATAAATTACACTCATTTTTGAACACCAAAAAGCTAACAGTGTGGCACCTTATTTTGATATTAAAAAAAGCCTTGGAATACTTTATTTCAAATATTAAAGTGAGATGTACACTGCTACAGGCTGGATGAATCTATGGTTGAACTTTGCAGCTCTAAATGTCCAAATCTACCTGTGCGAGAAGTAAAAGGAAAGGATGGAAAGTACATAATGTTATGTCAATGGCACTAGACCACAAAATGGTAAGCGTGTAGGTCTTTGGAGTCAAAACAGTTGTAATGCGTCCCAACTTCGCCAGCCCCCCCCCCCCCCCCAAAAAATGTATGATCCAACCAAGAGCAGTAGATTCTCATTTTACCATTTGGTCATACCCTACCATGGCCCAAAACCCAAAGACACTTGTGTTGGAGTCAAAACAGTTGTAATGCGTCCCAACTTTGCCAGCCCCGCCCCCCCCCCCCCCCCAAAAAAAAATGTTCAAAGAAAGCAAGGGAAAAATGTATGATCCAACCAAGAGCAGTAGATTCTCATTTTACCATTTGGTCATACCCTACCATGGTCCAAAACCCAAAGACAATTGTGTTGGAGTCAAAACAGTTGTAATGCGTCCCAACTTTGCCAGCCCCGCCCCCCCCCCCCCAAAAAAAAATGTTCAAAGAAAGTAAGGGAAAAATGTATGATCCAACCAAGAGCAGTAGATTCTCATTTTACCATTTGGTCATACCCTACCATGGTCCAAAACCCAAAGACAATTGTGTTGGAGTCAAAACAGTTGTAATGCGTCCCAACTTTGCCAGCCCCGCCCCCCCCCCCCAAAAAAAAATGTTCAAAGAAAGTAAGGGAAAATGTATGATCGAACCAGTGGCGTAGCCGGGGGGGGGGGGGGGGGGGGGGGGGGGCGATAGCCCCCATGAAACCTTGTCCCCCCCAGTCGCCCCCCCCCCCACTGAGATTTTGAGTTTCTAAAAAAATTATCGTTGATCTACATGACGCCCCCCCCCCCCCATGAAATGTTCCAGCCCCCCCCCCCTGAAAAATTCCGGGCTACGCCACTGGATCCAACCAAGAGCAGTAGATTCTCATTTTAACATTTGGTCATACCCTATCATGGTCCAAAACGCAAAGACACTGTTGCATTGTGCACATTCAGAATAAAATTAGTCATGCATATTTCACGTGTGAACCAGTATGCACACACATTGTGTCTCGTCCATGGGGCTTTCAAAAGTAGTCAAAAAGCGCCCTCTCTTGTTTGCGCATGGAGCCCATGGCGATAGTAGTATAGCACAACATTTCTTTGCGAGTACTGTAAACATGGTTTGGTTTTGGGCAGCCATGAAATTGGGCCCACATCTTTGTTACTTCTCTTTGTGTTAGCACCCTTGTTGTGACATAAGTCTTCCCCCATGTTAAACTTTTCCCCTCCTGATGTTTTACTACAGGGATGTACATGAACATGTACAAGACATGGAAAATAATGATACCCCAGATGTCAGCTTCAGGGTGGATTTTATGAAGATGGTGTATGGTATTTGTTTGCATACTGCACAAGCTCAGCATTTCTCCCAGTAAAAAACAGATACTCAATGGGTAAAATTCTCCAATTTCTCTATTTGGTTAGAAAAAGCATCTATTTCATGTAATTTTCTCACTGATGGACCTAAATCAAATTAGGTTTTTGCCCTTCACCGACGTTTAAACACTGTATACTCGGTGTGTTACCTCCCGAGTAAAAGTTGGAAAAAATCACTCAGGTGGGACTCGAACCCACGACCTCCTGCTTTCTAGTGCAGATGTCTTACCACTCGACCACCGAGTTAACAGGATCGGTTGGCTGGTTCAAATCTGATGTACATAGCAGCGGGTACCGCATAAACTATTATAAGGTGGAATTTTGCGTCGGGGTGATATAAATCAAATTAGGTTTGCCCTGGTTCAAACCAGCCAACCGATCCGTTAGCTCGGTGGTCGAGTGGTAAGACATCTGCACTAGAAAGCAGGAGGTCGTGGGTTCGAGTCCCACCAGAGTGATTTTTTCCAACTTTCACTCGGGAGGTAACACACTGAGTATACAGTGTTTAAACGTCTGTGAAGGGCAAAAAAAAAAAAAAAACCTAACTTGATTTATATCACCCCGACGCAAAATTCCATCTTATAACTGATGGACCTATTCACACAGCAAGCTCAAAGAGCAACTACAACAAGAGTGAAACAAACATTTTGTTTTTGCCAAAATTATGTTTGTTACTGTATACTTCAGTTAGATGCTATTAAAATCCAACATGGACATCAATACTTGGAAATGGTGGGGGTATTGCATTTACACATCTGCAAAAATTCCTGGGAGAATTACAGCATCGTTCTCCAGCCATAAACCATCAAAATCAAAATATCTAAAAAGCATTACTAGGCAGAATGTTTCTACACAAATCAGAGATAAATAGGTGTCATACATCCCACAACTTTGATTTTTTTAATGAAAAATAACTTGGTGTCCAAGTCAGCACGCTTTTTTTTTAAATCATTTTCTATTCATCATTAGAGTTGGCCTTTAAGATGAGTCATGTACTGGTACACTGAACATGTATGAACTCACATTGTGAGAGATGATTTCAACGGTGTTGGATTCATGTTATTGAGGTGGTTTAGGTGTCTCCATAAATCGAGGATTCGTTACCTTCGCTAGCTGGTTGCCTTGCAAGGTTGTAGGCTGTGTTTCCCTTTTGAAGATCATGGACCCACCTTAAGCATAAAACAAGGTTTGGAAGTGTTAAAAAGTCGAAAAAAGTATGACACAAAAGGTTGAATATTCTTTATCCTTTAAATGTTGTTACAAAGAAACACATTCCCTGGGGTAAATTTACCATAGGCAGCACGTGGAGACCTAATTTTTCATTTCATGACACGAGATTTCCTTCATAAATGTTTATTGCGGGTTCTGTACCCAACTTCGCACTCTAGTTAATGCACAAAGTATTATGAGTTGGGGGGACTTGAGCAACATTTCCGACCGAACAATCCCAACCGACTGACCCTTTAATATTTTGGCGATGTTAACGGAAACCCAACATCTATTTTCCGTTTGGCAGGTCCTGGTAGGGCCAATTAAAAAAACCCAAAATATTAAGTGTCCCCGCCCGCTTCCTTTTTGAAGGGCGCTCCTTTTTTTCCCTTTTTTTTTAAACGAAAAAATGATAAATTTTCAACAGTGACATCATTTGGGCCTCTTTGTCTGTTGCATGTAGCCCATATAAAGCTGGTGTGTCATTTCCTGAGTTTAAGTGGCGGCCATTAAAGAAAAAAACTTGCGGCCATCTTGAAAAATAGCCGGGCTGCGTAATTTTTATTCCTAGGAGGGTTAGGGGCAATGTCATGAATAATTCATGTTTATCCATGAGAACGGACAATGACATCAACAGCATTGTTGTTAGTTACTCAACTAGTTACAATACATTTAAGCATTTTAAAGAACGGTTGTCGTCGAGCTACCACACAGTAGCCTAGTGGATAGCGAGATGAGCTATGGATACAAAGATCCCTGGTTCGAATCCACGTCGTCGCTGCTCATTTTCATCAGCTATTTTTCTTCTCCAAATTTATCACTGAGATAATTTTAAATTAAGGGGAAAATAGAACGAGAACCTAAGTCTTGCAATGATTCAAAGGAAAAACTGAATTATTCATGACATTGCCCCTAACCCTCCTAGGAAAAAAAATTACGCAGCCCGGCCGGGCAGCCATTTTGGAGAAAAAAAAAGGGCCTCCTTCCTTTTTTTCAAAAAGGCAAGACTAAACATTTTTTTTTTTTACTTGGCCTTATTGGGCCATCTGTACCTCTGAGGGATAACTTACATCATCAACAGCATGGGTATGATGAGTAGGACTGCCATGACAATGAAGACAAAGCCTCCCCCAATGATGCTCTTGGTGGCAGGGTACAGGGCGTTGAAGATTGCAGAGGAGAGCAAGGTTGTCATGGTTTCAAGGGCACCAGTCAGGGAGAACAGCCCACCTGAAGAGATGTGAACAAGTACATGTAATAATCAATTACTATACCTCATACATATTCATGACCGAGAGCCGAATTCGCACTGGTCCATCCACCCTTATGTTTCAGCTGCTAGTTTTGCTGTTTACCAAGCGCGTACGCAAGGAATCACACTCAGGGCAAATTACAAAAGCATAGTAGACTATCGCACGGGTTACCTGTGCGCTAGTCCACTACGCATGCGCTTTGCGAAACTATTGTGGAATTAGCGCACGGGGTAGCACTTGCCCACGTTATATGAAAAGATGTGGGTACACGCACATCAACATTTTGCTGAGATACATGTAACTAATGCGTATATAACTTGACTAAATTTTGGTGAATATGTATGAGGTATAACAAAACAAATATAACATTGTTAATTTCGAGTCGATAGTTAATAATATCTCTCCTCAGTATTGGAAGTTGATATTCTAGTTCCATCGGCTTCACCTCAGGAACTATCGGTACATTTAGTTCGTCAACTTCCAATACGTTATACCTCAGGAAGCTAATATCGACTATTCACCAAAATTAACCATGTTATTGTCAACTAGTTTGATTCTCTAACTATGCATGAACACATCACAATTTGACTAATTTCCCATTTGCATAAAACAAACCAGATAAATCAGTGCTTATTCTGTGGAAGGCAATGGTAAGCATTTAGTCAGCTATCTTCAATTTTCCACAAAATCAAAAAAAAAGGGTTCATACTGTTGTTCATTGGCCTAGAAATCTATATTCAACGTGCCAGAGCCTGTGCTTTACAGTGGCAGGTTTCTGAATACTCTTGCTCCAAAACATTCCCCTGTATTTTATTGTATTCAACAAAGCAGATTGTTTTTGCCAGCCTGAAAATCGTCGAATCTTGATGTGGAGGTGAACTGGCAAAAACTGGCTGATTATCAGACATTGTTGTTGACACTGGTCATTTTAATAGTGGCCATTTCGGGTTGATTTTTGAGGGAATGGTAATAGTGGCAGGTTTGATTAAAAGTGAACGGGAAAAAAAAAAGGAATTGTAATATCTGTACATTATCGAATCTGTAAATATAAAGGACCATACTCTCCTTATTTGAGCATTTTTTTTCTATACAAATGCAATCCTCCTCGCATAGCATGGTTCAGGCATGCAACTAGGAAGTAACCACACAAAAAAGAGGAAAATCCAAATGTTGACAAGACTTTATACACTGTTTTTCAATTTTTAATGGCATAAATGTGAAGTAAAAAAAAGACGAAATCAGCTGATCCAAAAAAAAAACTTGCACGCCTGATGGTTGGAAAGATCTTTTCAAAGTAGTGTCCATGCATGACAGCTGGTCAGTGCAGCTCTGCTGAAGGCCCAGTCAGGCCGAAAATTCAGCCAGAATAATTCCCGGCGGGCACTGCTTTAACTTTTGTTTTCATTACTTATACATTCCTTCAGTGCTATGCAGTTCCGCTTTATTATGACAGCAACAGTTGCATTGGAAAGCTTAGGGACCGTGACCATTCAGCCCTGGTATGAAAAGGGCCCCCCGTTACCTCGTCCGGTCCAAAGCCAGTCCGGTCTTCAGCCCAATCTCGTCCGGTACATGGTCCTGTCTGACCAGAAGTTTTGAAGTCAGTCAGGCGCATCAATTTATTGCCCTTCAGAGAACGTCCACAGCAGAACAATTGCAGAAATACCGGATTAAAGATAAAATCCTTCCATAACGCCTAGGTAATTTACGGTGCCATTGTGCGTGAAACCGCATGGCAGGGGTTTTGTTCTGTGCCGACGAAAGTGTTCTATTGTTTTGCGCTGAGAGATGAAAACCACAAGCGGGTTTCTTCTGGGATATATTACATGTGTCAATACTTGCAAACAATGGACCCCAGGATAGAGGAGTTCCTGATTAGCAACCGGACCAGCTCCTGGGCCGGTAGCTGGGACGGTACGAGAGGACTTCTTGGGAGGGGACGAGCATACTGGGGGGCCCTTTTCATACCGGGGCTGAATGGTCACGGGCCCTTACCTTGTTCGTTGAGTCCCACATTTTTGGAGAGAAGGGCTCGTGTGACGGCGGCAGGGATGCCAGAGGGACAGTAGAGAATCGGCACTGAAGTAAGGACAAGAAAAAAACCAAGAAGAATGGACTGTTTACAAGAAAAATATTGATTCAAAATTAATGTGAAACTATTAAATCTAAAATATAATCATGCATGCATGTGTATATATACTGAAATGTTGTGCAAACCCAACCCAAAACCGACACGACCCGACCTGAAAACGACTTCGGTCGGGTCAGTTCGGTTAAGTCATCTTGTGAAAAACCTAAAATAAACCGGGAAAAAAATTCTGTCCCTGTTAGGCCAAAAAAAATTAAATACTCGGTCTCTGGTCAGCGCGCGCGTCGATTTTAATCATGCGCGTCAAACTTTTTTTTTCTTGAAATTAACACGGAAGCTACAACATTGCCGCGCCTCCTCAAATTTTTGTACCAAGGAGCACCAAGAAATGGGGAAATTGCACCAAGGCAAATGATAAAGGGCACCAAGGCAAATTATGGAGGACACCAATGTATAATGAGGACACAAAAAAGCAAAATAGTACCCACCTTGTCTGTACAATACAAGCTTGAAAAAAAAAAAGCCACAAAAAAAACCCTGCGTCACCGCATCAATTCCGGAACTTCGGTCTGACCAGAGACCGACTATTTTTTGTTGTTGGCCTTACCTTGGTACTTTGTAATTTGCCATTCAAGTATCATTCCCCTAACCAACCCCAACCCTGCAAAATTAAACTACATGTTTTGTTGTATTCTAGCTGTTTGAGTGAGTACTGCACTAGTATAACTGATTATGTTTTACATGGGACCAGGCATACCACCATAATCAGAGTCCAACAGTTTGGGTGTTGAGTTACCATGTGGTGTTGGATTTTGTAAGAGTGAGGAAGGTTCCTAGTAAATCACTCAAGGGGGTAAGGGTTAACAATGACTTCAAACCATTTCTGATTTGTTGTGTAGGTAGTTGGCTATTCATAATCACTCTTGAAGTCTACTGCCTCCATCAGAAGTGCATGCAGAATGACAAAATCATAGATGTCAGATGTAACAGAGACAGGGAAAACAAAAGTGGACCCTATATTTATAGAATGACCAAGTGGCAGAGAATTCCCAATTTGAAGTCCAAGGTTAGGTCATTTACTTACTCAGGAATACTGTCAGACGTTGACGAGCGAAGGCTATCATAACGAATGCCCCGCTGCGGAACAGCAGCGCTACGAAGGCAATGACCGTGTCGTGGAGTCTGGTCAATCTCAGTAACGGCATTCCGACGATCAGGGTCAACGCTGTCAGGCCGTTCTTGAGACCCTGGAAAAATCCTAGAGAGCCAGTACAAAAAAAAAATGTTAGGATGCTACAATCCCGGCCAAAATGGTTGGGACACGTCCACACAATGAGCATACCCTCCCCTGCTCCCCGGTCAATGTTGTTCTACTGCAGCTTTGTGACATCTTAAAGCAATTTGACATCCGGAGGCTACAACTCAACAAATATGTGCAGTGTTTTTCTTTTTAACAGAAAACAGACCGGGTTTTAAAAAGTATGGTGCAGCACTGGTAGTAGCAGTACATTGTACTTACCGATTGTTGAGGCATCAAATTCAAGCGGATCCTTCTTGAGATACAGAATGATTGTGTCAGTAAATCCTGAAAGAATCAAAACAAAATCTAACTGTCAAAAGTCAAGCCTGAAACACCATGTGCAAATAACCCGACTACAATCTATGGGTGTGTAATTATGGCATAGAGCTATATTTAATTACTAGAGCGCTAACTCGTCATTCTGCGTGCGGAGACGCTTTGAAGCGGTCCTGGGCGCAGACATTTTGAATTCATGTGCGTGTTTGTAGAACATAATGAAATTAGATGGATTGAATTTTAAAAGTGTACTCTACATGCAACGCGCAAGTAGAACTTACGCAAACAACGTGCATTGACGGTTCAAAAAAACGTGATGGAAAAGAGCATCTGCAGCGAATACGCGCACGCGTCGCACTGTTTGCGTAAAGTAAAATGACACGCTCATTTGCTAATCGTGCGTTTCGGTTTGGAATACAAACGCAGATATGCAAATAGCCGTACAAAAGCCGTACAAAATTTCTAGGTCTCCAAAGGTTTGCGTACAAACATGGATGCGCCCAGCAGGCATTACTTTGTACACGAAGTTAGCGCTCTAGTAATTTAATATAGCTCTATGATTTACGGAATACGGGAACTGGGTACACAATTGGAAAAAAAAAAAAATCACGGGTACCTGGGCACCTATCTAACCTCAAAATTCAAATCTCGGAAGTTGCTGTTCGGATTGTTGATAAAGGTCCATATTTCAAACTCGGCTGGTGAAATACTGAAGACCAGGGGCCAATTTCACAGAGCTGTTTAAGCAAAAAATTTGCTTAAGCACAAAAACGTCTTGCTTTATTAAATCAGGTTACCGGCCAAAACTCTTTGCGATTGTTATGCTAAGTAAACAACAGCTAAATACCAGTCACAAGCAATGTACATCACATGGAGTTTTGGCCGGTAACCTAATTTTACTAAGCAATGTTTTTTCGTGCTTAAGCAAATTATCTGCTGAAAGACAGAGTCCATCATTTGCAGCTATCCAAAAAGTAACTGGCGTAATTATTGTTGAAAAACAAACTTGGTTGAAAGATAGTAAGGGAACTAAACTCCCTGTGAAATTATTCTTTCCGGCAAGCTGTCATTTTGAAGAAATCAACGAAAGAAGGCCTTTCCAATGGTGAGTCTTCGCGTAGCGACATCGCGTAGCTGCAATCGGCTCAGTGAGAACGTGTCTCAGACGCTGAATTCAGGCCCAATTCAAAACAGATTCAGCAACTTTTGATTTGAAATTGAGATCCTCAGAATGCTGTTTTTCTCGGAATGTACTACAGCTGAAGCTGGGCTGAAACTTCATGAGGTAAACTTAGTTGTTCAGTACCCTTCTTAAGATTTTGAGCACTTTTGTTGCTTCAAACAAACAAAATGCACAAATTAAAAATGATGGACTATATACTGTATCTTTAAGCAGCTCTATGAAATTGGGCCCTTGTCTTTGGCTAATGAAAATTTTTAGGAATTTTGTATGCTAAAGAGTGAGTGAAGTTGGCCTGAATTGGTTTTGCATGTTTTCTGGGCTCAAGGTCCCGGACTGCAATGATGCATAAGTTCTTCTCTCCATGGTCTTACAGGTTTTACATCTGCAAAAACTCGACATAAATTGAGGGGCTGAAGAACGTATGGGGCATTTTTACCTTCTCCAACTAGCTGAAGAGTGAACAGGCATGATATCAGTAGAAATATCTGCAGCCGTCCGTAATGTGGCCTCTTTTTAATGAGAATCCGTACGATGCTTTTGACGTTCTCAAACCGAACCAGCTCCCGGCAACAACCCTTGGGTGCGGCATCCGGCGTCCCCAGGTCCGTTTCGACTTGACTGTCTATGTCATCGACGAGCACCTTGATGTCACTGTCTGTGGCAGCGTTCGAAGGGGACGAACTGGGAACCGACTCCCGCAACCAGAATATGGTGTAGAGAACCACCACGACATTGCAGGCGATGTAGTAAGCAAAGGCTGCGATATAGCCGGCATTATCGATGACCACACCGGCCGTGATGAGCCCGATGAAGCTGCCGGAGAAGGTCATGGCTTCCAGAATGCTGAATCTCATGGTCCTGTTGTCGGAGTTGGTCACATCCCCCATGTAACTGAACACGGCGGTGGTGAGGGTGGGGAAGCTGCCAAACAGCCCCATCAAGGCAGTCCCCACAACGACATACCAAGGTGACGATAGCATGAACCTTGCGCAAAGGATCAAGACGATGCCGTTAATAATAGAACCGACGGCTGGAAGGATGATTGTGACCCGTCGTCCGACTCGATCCGACCACGCGCCGTAGAACAGAGTGCTGGCTATCGAAGCCACCGTCAGGAAAGCGTTGAGGATGATCAGCCAGTTGGACCCTGCGTCCTGCGTGTATTTCTCCATATCCGGGTGACTGCTGAGACTCTGACACGCCGAAGTATCGTTGAACTTGATCACACAGAGCTTGAGGTACAGCAGTTGTATGACAGCCGAGTACTGGAGGAAACTGCCGAGCATGTAAAACAACATGACAGGTTCCACGGTCACATACTGGCGAACCTGGCGTCCAAACCACAGCGTGGCACTGCCCACCTTGTGTGGGCATGAGCGGAGTCCTTCCATGCCAACTTTAGGTATCACTATCTTGGGAGAAACATATCTGGTCGCCTGTTAGGTAAGGAAAAAGTGCACTCTCTTAATAAAATTTGTGATCTGAAATGGACACGTTTACACGATTGTTTAATTACTTAAGGCCAAATAATTTGTTCTTAGATGTTTAGCATCCCAGCCGCTTCCTTTTTGGAGGCCGCACTTTAATATGATCACACTCACGATCGGACACTCCTCATGTGTTCTTACATGCGCATTCACGGGACTACTTTTTCGCGATCTATTTTCCCTTTTTGAGCTTGGTGCCGATGTGCGTGAGGTATTTTTTAAATAATTGTTTTGAATTGAATTGAATTGAAGGTTTTTTTTTTAATTGTTCCTACCATTCTCGCAGTCCAAAGACTGAATTGCAATGCTTTACAGTTTACATCTTAACAGAAATCATTTCACCCATGGACAGCTCAATGTCCCATCAGTTTTTAAAATTCAATATGGCGTGTCATGGCCTAGCGGTTAAGAGCACCGGACTCGTGTTCTGGTGTTTAGTCAACAGTGACGTGGGTTCGAGCCCGCCGGCAGACACTTGTGCCCTTAAGCAAGGCACTTAACCATTCTTGCTTCGTCCTTCGGATGGAACGTAAAGCCGTAAGTCCCGTGTGTTGTCTAATGCACGTTAAAGAACCCAGTAACACTTGTCGCTAAGAGAAGGGGTTCGCCCCGGTGTCCTGGCAGTGGCCGCAGCACCTTGTAAACTCTTAAAAGGTGCTACATAATGGGTCTCATATAACTCATGTACTTCATTCATCAAATAATAGACATAACTCCCAGTGCCTTGAGTACCTATACTCCGTTGCGATAATGTCTGAATAGGTTTCTGCAACGTAACCATACAGATACAGATCCAACATTGTGTACTGTAACTACTGTTCAATGAAAAAAGAGAGATATTTTCAGAGCAGCCCTGACCTCCCCATGCCTTTTACGTTACGGATTTTCAGTTTGGGTCACATGAGCCTCCCCCCTGGCCCCTCATGCCACTGCAAAATCACGATTTCAAGCAAGATGGCAATAGCTGCGAAACGGGTTATGTCAGTCTAACATTTTAGGGGAAAAAAGGAAAGAATGTTGCAACCTGACACCTTTTTTTTCATACATCATCTCCATGAAGGAAATGTTCCCATAAATATATCTGGCCATCACTTGTCACCCTGTGCACAAACCGTATGAGAGAGTGGTCTGAAAGTTTCCTCTTAGTGTTTTCTCAATAAACAATAAAACAGGGCATCGTCAGACTCAGACCCCCTAAAACTACGCGGCCCTTTTTCTACGCACTCACCTTCCTAGTCCGAAAATTTGGGACTCTCAATACTGTGTATGAGAGTCCCAAAACTTAAGGTATCCATAATGTGCAAAAGTTTGTGCTGCATAACAATACCAGTGTGAATCACATGTGCAAGCTTCTTACTCACTACAGTTTCTTCAATAATCCCTGAAACTTCTGCCCTGCAAAGTTGCTGTTGTGAGCATTGCATCACCAAAAATGCAGCGTTTAATTCTATTTTTGCAGGGAGTTATCGAAATCCAAACGCAAACATCACGTTTATGTGTACTGCAATGCATTGTGCAAAAAGACTCCTCAGCTAAAACATTTTCATCGTGTAGATAAAACAGCGCCCTCTTGTTGGTCTGAGTGAATGCAGAATGTTTCATTTTTTAACAGAGGGCGCTATGTTCATTTGGCCATCGATTAAAAAACAAGTAAGCTGCAAGGCTCTTCCTACACCTACCCAGAATACCTTGGGAATTCACACGACCATTTCTAGAGCATGGAGAATGACAAGGATAGTTTTTGAACTGTCAAAAACTTGCCTTAAAATTGGATTTAAGGTCTCAAATTTCGCAGGTGACATGCTTGCAACTTAAGCATTTTGATGTATGTGTTGTGTGGGCATTAATTAGCTGAATGGCGAGTAAAAAAACGTCAGTAGTAATTTTGCACGTTTTTATGCACTCACGGTCCCAGTCTGTCACCTTCCATGCCTTCAATTTGTGTGTGACAACGCGCGCGCGTATGCAAGCGTTACCTGTGCAGATAATGGACTTTTTAGGACATTATTATCACTCTCTGATGGCTGATAGATCACTGAAACTTGTGAAAGGAAAAATTAGTGATGGCCAGATCTAGATATGATATGGGAATCTTTCCGGAAAGAGGCCCCCTCCCTACTTTAACTTAGACCGAGTAACTTGGCCCCAACTTATCACCTTTTTAACATTCGAATGTTAAAAAGACAATAAGTTGGGTCCACCAAGTTACTCGGACTAAAACTTGAACATAGTTTAGAAAATGTTCTTGACTCTCCATAGCTTGAGTAACTCCAGCTGACATGCTCCATATTCATTCACATGTTGTGAATTAAAGGGAATATACATCATTTGCTTTTGCTGTAATTTTCAGAAATGGATGGAATTGGGGGGTTGGAATTATAAAGCAAATATAGTTACACTGACTTTTTGGAGGTTTTGGGTTCGAAAATGCTATAAAAACCAAGAAAAACGATCATTTTCCTGTAGTCTGGTTCCCTGACTCCATATAAGAAGAAACAGAGCAGTTTACATACATTGGGGAATTGTAAGGTCAGGGAACCAGTCTAGCTGCCTCGTACCCGTTCATAGGTTTGTAATCGATTGCAGACAAGTGCAATGGTCAATTGGGGCCAGTATTTGAAAAAAAGCCAGTTGTTTCCAACGCTGATCGGCCGATCAGCGTTGGAAATTGATACAAAAATACCACTTTTCTTGAAAATGACAGTATACCAGGTGCCATAATTTTACAGGATGCTTTAGACTGTCATTTACCAACATCCTTTTAAGGTATTTCGCAAAAACTTGGTAGTTTTATTTTCCGATGTTTGCAAATGTTGTATATTCCCTTTAATATGGAGCATGTCAGCTGGAGTTACTCAAGCTAGACTCTCCCGACTTTGTACACAACCGCTGAGTGGCGTCAGGTTGCTGCAACATTCTTTCCCATTTTAGTTTTAATATAATGAACAATTCGAATCAATAAAACCTAAGTAGGCTATACCAGAAAACACTATACTAGAGCTCACACTCACTTAACATTTACATCATAATGATAACTGTAAAGTGTTTTAGCAGACTTCAAAATTCAAGCTTCACGACTGACTGTTCACTCCGAGTCGCAGCCGCATATTAAAGTTCACACACTCCGTCAAATCTTGCGGCTATGGCCGGGCCGTCGGTAACGTTGTTGTTGCAATTCGCACGTTACAGCGAATAGTCGTAGCCGCCGACAAAAAAAGCTTCTACTATGTCTGTTACCTAGACCTGTTATGCTTACTTTTCATAAATGTGTCGTCTTGTTACCCTACTAATGGGCTGACATATTCGAAACATTGTATTATTTTCAGCTTCGGATAGAGTCCAAAGACCAAACCATGGGGGCGCTACCTACTTGGTACAGTGGCACGTGTCTTGGGCTTGTCGATCTAGTCGAGTCGTGTCGATCTAGTGTACATGTACATGTAAGTTCAAGCAAGTAATTTACAATCTACATTTCTAAACTTCAGGTCCTAACTCAGTCATGTTAGAAACAGTAGTCCGCGTTTGGGTTGGCATTGTAGGTCTGACGGCTTTAGTCACTTCGCTGCAATGTTTCGTGGACAGCTCCTTCCTAGCAGAAAGGATTTACACACTGGAAAAGGATGCAGGTAGGTAGTGCATGTATTGTAGGCAAAACTCCATGGTGTTGCAGGCGAGTACATGTAGTAATGTTGGCCTACATACAGTACATTTTATTACGTGAACATTTAAGAGTTGAAGGAAGTATAGGATTTACAATGTACATTGCTGTACCTGCATGCATTAAGTGCAATCACATTAGATCCTGTGCAGTGTAGTTGTAGTGTAGCTCAGAAAAAATAATAAATACAAGGATTGAAACAGGCAAAAACTCAAGGGTTGGATGGGCATCTTTCCAAAAAATACTAAGGAAAAATAAAACAGTTTCAGTTTGTTTGTTTTTTTTTACCTTGAAAGGGTCAGAAGCCGACAAAACAGAAGAAAAAGTCAGTCCGACACTATTAATAATATTGCAGAACATCCCACCACATATTTTTTCAATTGGTACTATAGTTATAGCCAGCTCTGAGCTTCGCGGTCATGCTCTTGTTGCATGAAATTATTATGCATTTCCCACTTCGACCACAGATCTGTTGAACCCCTCTGGTTTTACATCCAGTTACAGGAATGCGACTTAGACTTTTTACGCAGACCCAAAATGAGTTCACGTCACGGTAGCTTTGGAGGAGTTTCTTCTCCAAGGGAAAGTGAAGTCTGAATTAGGTCCAACTTTATTAAACCACTACGTACAGAGCCTGAGCCCAAGGGTAGTCAGGCTAAAGACGTTTTGGAAAGGGCCCCAAGATCAAACAGCTGACAATGATGAAGATACAGCTGACAAGTTCCCACGTACAGTATGCATCATTGTACAAATGCCAATAGATCCCCTCACAGCATGTATGGGCTCTGTGCACTGACGAAAGAGGGCGCCCTTTTACCTATCAACGACGTCCTGTGGGCGGGACACATACATTTTGCTGGTTGACGCGCGTGCACCGTTCCTTGTGTGTGATGCATGTACACCAGGGGATTTGTACTATGCACACGCAGTGGCCACGCTTCGCGGCAAAATATTGCAGTCAGGCAAGATACGATGGCGTCGTTCGGTCACCCTCAACTGTACTTTCTTTGCCGGTGAGGGGGTACTTGTGTACAGAGCGGATAGTCTCAAAATTGGTAATCATTTCTTAAGAAATTCATGACCACAATGTCAAGCAAAGCACGTTTAATAACCTCCTCAATTATTTTGGCAGTCACCCCAGCCTTAGGCAGACTGTTTGGCACCTGGACTTGTCTTGCTGGTGTTGTCCGAGCGATGTGCGCCCTGAACATCAATAGCAAACCGTAAGTACTCTAGCAGTTTTCCTCCATGCTTATTGCAACATTGCAATAAGGAGAGATGAAAGAGAAGTAGTACATGTAAATGTAGGAGAAACATATTGTAAGTCTCTTTTCTAGTTCTTACAGATTTGATACTGAGCACAGTAAAACACAGTTCTCAGTTAAAACAAAAAATTAGCTAATACAGCATTACTTGAAAATCCACATTAAAAAAATGCTTGAATTGCCGCACCTCAAATCCATAAGCAGTATCGCAAATAGCAAAATCCGAGAGCATCACGGGAAGACTCAGGGACATTGACCAGGTACGTACGCTGTCAACGCATATGCCGCATGGCTTAACAAGGCGTGCGCGTTCGAACACAGCTTTGGTGCGTGGTTCTTTGCCCCCTTATCCTGCCCATAATGCTTTGCGCAGTAGTTTAATTTGCTATTTGTGATCAGGCTTATAGCAACACGTGGCATTTGGAGAAAATCTTTCAAAAGTTTCTCTCGCCATTGCTCCCAATGTTCCTGGGCAGACACTGTGTATTATTAATAGGAGTGTTCTCGTGACCTTTCACCCCTGACCACAGTTCAAGGGTCAGCCTAACAAACACCATCATTTGACATAGGCTCTGCAATCTGTGCCTGATTCTTCAGCATTGTGGTATACAGTACTTTAATCAAATGAACATAGCTAGACTGCGTGGCAACTTATTTTGTGGCAACTAATTTTTGTTCCTCTTCACCAACAGGTTATACATAGCTACATTGTTTTCCTTTGTGCTAGCCCTTGCCTATTTTGCTGCCGAGTTCCTCATATTCAAGACGGCTGCCCTTACAGTTGGAGTAATATCACCTCTCATCGTGGCAGGTTTGTTGTACTGCAAAAAAATGCCCAAAATAAAGTCACGAATTACAGTAGGCTTGAGCAAAATTTTCAGTTATTATGTGAAAGAGTGAACATTTAGCCACAGTATTGAAATTGTTACAACATTTGCAAACATCAAAAAACAAAACTACTGAATTATTATGAAGTACATTACCGGACTGTTGAATGAGTGAATGACAGTCTTAATCATCCTGTAAAATCATGGCACCTGGTGTGCTGACATTTTCAAGAAAAGCGTTATTTTTGTATCAATTTCCAATGCTCATGAACTGTACATGTAGTGCGTGCCTGACTGGGCGTGGCTTAGCCCTCACAGTGACTGAATGCACGTACATTATTGGTCCCCATAGGTTAAGTACATGTACATTATGTTTGTACAGCATTTGCATGTTTACGTGAGGGATACTCACGTGATTGCCTGGGTGAGTTGAGTCATGGACAGCGGACATTAATGTAGTGTTTTGCTCCCGCTCTGTTTTCTGTGTATGCTGACGCGCAGCCGTACAAGTGAATGTACTGTACGATGCCGACGCTAGCTTGCATGGGTAAACGTAATCAGTTGAGGCTGAACGGCGTGTATTGTTAACATTGGCGTACCGTACTTACATTGGCGTGTATTGTTTACATCGGCGTACGTTACTTACATTGGCGTGTATTGTTTACATTGGCGTACATTACTTACATTGGCGTGTATTGTTTACGTTGATGTGTATTGTTTACTTTGGTGTTTGTTTCTTACATTGGTGTGTATTACTTACATTGTTGCCTTAACAGTGTATTGTTTACATTGGGCACATTGTTCAGGCTGTGCGCCTATCGTTCGCTGCCTTTGTGAGCTGTTAGTTGTCTCCAAGTGTAAATAAATGAACCTGATAATTAGCAACCTCATGAAGACTCAATCACTACTGTATATTTCTTGATTATTGTATAATAAATTACAAAAAATTACGATCACATTGGTTGTGCCGAAAATCCTGATTATCAAGGTGTATTTCTTGCTGATTTATTGTGCAATTAACAGAGAGTAATGACAATCATCATAATCAGTGGTATATTTCCTCCAAAACTGACCTGCTCCCTAAGCCTTGAGGTCGCTCATCTTGGGAAAGATTGGTGCTCGCTGCCATGCAGTTGCAGTTGGGTGGTTCCCCAAAGAGAGGGAACCCCAGCACGCCAGGTGGGAGCCAGAGTATCTTCCATCAGGTAGATACCGATGTTGAGCTAAGGTTGCCTGAAGAGACTACTTTGTATGTCTCTAGAGCAACGGGGAGACGAGAGTCAGGCACAAAGGTGGTGCCTGAATGGGTCCCAAAATTTGGGATGTAAGTGAGCTTTAAGAGAGTACACCTCTGAAGGACTCAGACTAAAGGAAAAACCCCTAGCAGGGTTGGCGCCAATCACCTTGGAACGTGTGAGTCTAGACGACCTGATGCTGTTCCTGTCCGGGAAAGGTGGTGTGGAACAGGGTAGGCCAAGTACTAACCCGTTCGTTCAGGAAAAAGGTGACCCCTACACAGGAGCACAGTGAACTGCAAAGTTTTGCAACTCAACCAGTCGAGGCGAAAGACGGCAGTTCAGCTGAAAGATTGGACACCTCATCAGTAGGTCCTTGGCCACTGAAATGAGAGGCACATGTCCATGTGGTGACTTAGGTCCAAAGGGAAGTTTGGAGCCACCAAATTAAATCTTAGGCCAAACTTAACCCCTGACGGTATAGTGGGAAAGTGCTCTGGAAGGAGTACTTCTGCCATTTTGAGTCATGGCGTGAGCTAAACCAGTGGAGCAAAGAGCAAGCTGTGAAGTGGTTATCAGCAAGCTTGCAAGGGAATGCTCTACGGTTGGTGGATGACTTGGGTCAAAAGCACACGTACAGTGCGCTGTTCAAGTTGCTTGAGCGTAGGCTTGGGTCAGCTTGACAGAGTGAGAGGTATCTCGTTGAGCTCAGACACCGGCGCAAAAAGCCGAAAGAGGGATTGCTAGAGTTACGGCAGGCAATCCATGAGTTAATGTTGCGAGCGAACCCTGAAATACCAGAAGATGCTCGAGAGAAGTTGGCAAAGAACCACTTCATAGATGCCATTGACAGACACTCAATTAGAGAGGGCATCAATAGAGCCCGTCCAAAAACTTTGGACAAAGCAGTCCAGGCTGCCCTGGAAACTGATAATTTTGAGGTCGAACAGCACAGATTGCTGGACCGAAAGCCCGCCAAATTGGCGACGGCTATAGACTCGGTAACACAGCAGAGGTTAGGAACCCTAGAAGAAAGTCTCAACGAGCAGGCCAAGACATTGAAATATGTGGCCGAGGTGGTCAAGTCATTGTTCGACCAGAGCAAAGGCCAGGGACATGCAAGGGAGTGCTGTCTCCCAAGACAAACAAGCCCGGGAAAGCTGAACCTGGAACCCTTTTAGTGTTTCAAGTGCGGTGAGAAAGGACAATTTGTCCAGGATCAGTGTAAAGGGAAATGACAGTCAGCCCCCCCCCCCCCCTCCCCCGAGGACCCGCGGGAAGGCTGAGTGGTCGAGAGGGTTCAAAAGTAGACTCGGTACAACCAAAAATGGAAATGTGAGGTCCAAATGTGAGGATGGGCAACGAGTAATAACTGTGCCTGATCCAAGCCATGGTCCTCGGTATGGGTTGCTTGTGGATGGGTTGGTAAGAGCAACCAAGTGTCGATTCTTGATTGACACGGGGTCCACCGACACTTTAATAAGTAGTGGGGTGTTTTACCAAATCCCAAAAGAGAAAAGACCCATCTTGGAGATGGTAGACGTCCAGGTATAACAGGTGGACGGAAGCCAGTAAGCTGTGCTAGGCATAGCTTTGGTTGAGGTGCAAGTTGGTAGGACCACGCACCAAGTGATGGCAGTATTTGCTGAAATCAAAAATAGTGGTATCCTGGGCATGGATTTTCTCATGCCACCAGGTGGAAACATAGACTTCCAATTAAAGGAGTGGAGGCTCAATGATGAGCAAATTTAGTGCACAAATGGTGCAGGCCAGCCCTTTGTGGGATGCGTTGTAGTTTCTAGAACTACGGTAATCCCGCCAGGTCATGAAGCTGTGGTCCCCGGCAAAATTGCTTGGAAGGGTCCTGACTTGCTTGGGCCAGCCATGGTCCAAGTGGAAGGTGGCGGTGACCTTGCCAAGAAAGGCTTGGTGTTGGCCAGATCTCTGGTTGAGACTGAAGCCGATGTTCCGCTGCTGGTCTTTAATCCCGGAAGGGAGAAAAGAGTTGCCCGTAAGGGAACGACAGCGGAAGTGAACTCCCAGGTTGAGGTTAGTTCAATTCATGATGAGTTGGATGTGATGGCATACACAGGGAAGGGGTTGCCCCTGTATTTACAAGAGAAGGGTTGCACCCTTACAGCAGTACCGAGTCGGAGTGCCAATGAAGCGAGTATCAATAGGCTTGTGAGGGCTATTGGGCGTTTCGTTGAAATTCCCAGCAAAGTTTTGTAAATAATGCCGTGAATCTCTTTTAAAAGAAAACCCAAATACATTGGCCCTATAAGTCGGTTTTTTCATCGAGACTGTACCAGGCTTTCTTATCTCTCTTTTATCTCAAGATTTATTTTCCTTAAGGCAGTTCAGCACCAGTTGAATGCCTACTACCAGCAGGGAACAATTAGTATAGCTTGAGTTAACGACTTGTTTGACATGCCTGAGTCATTCTTCGCACCTAGATCTTTCATAAATTTAATATGAAGCCTAATATTTGTTTTTGATGGGTAATGAAACCATGTTTTCTTTCTTTGATGCAAAAATAACAAAAATGCCTTTTCATGTATTTAAACATGTACATGTACATGTTTTCAAAAAGGTAGATCCAACAGGAACTAAACAGTACCATTTGGACTGGCCTCCAGATGGCAAGGGAGTCACCATCAAGGAGCACAAGGGGTTTACTTCAGGCTGGTCAAGTCTAGGCAGACGAAGAGAGCGCGATGGGAAACCAGCGCAATGGGAAACCAGCTTTGAACAATCTAACTGTTTAAAATGTTGAGTTGGTTTTCACTAAAATTAAATGTTTATTGTCATTAGGAAAAATCACTTAATCAAAATCCCCCCATTTTCATAATTTTCAAAATCTTGTTGATTTGTAACTGGCCTAAATTGAACAGGTAAAGTATGTGTACAAATCACTTCAAATTATCCAACCATTCTTCCTCTAAATTGTATAAAATCATGGTGTATTCTGTAAACATTCTTGTGAATATTTAATCAACAAAATTTGATTCAATTTCTGTATATTAAAACGTCAGTGCCAGGCTGCCGGCAGAGGGTGCCAGCACGGACTCATGGTGCAACCGTAGTGTCCAGACCCCTGCGCTTGGCCAGGGGAACCCGTTGCAGGACTACTCCGACTCAGAAGTGTGACATTTTGTATAACGTGAGCCCCGTGTAAGAAAGTGGCAAAAATAAATGGCCTACAGCCCCGAAACCCTGAAAATAATGCCTGTGGTTTCCTTTGTCTAGCATGTGAAAACCCAGGATCCTGTCGATGTTACATTGGTGCAGCCGTGGCATATGTCTGACGGAGGAAAAAAAGGTAGAATTTGGAGTGTTTTTCGCCATGAATACACCAAGTTAGTCTGGCGTCTGACTCGTCACACGGCGGGTACGCATGCTGGATCAGGGCCTCACAGAGCGTAGACCAATTAGAGATGGCCAGCAAAGCGTTCGTCACATTGGATGACTCTGAGGTTGTCAGGCTGTGCCTGTCGATGCAGCAGGGGCGGGGCTTCATTTTGGGAGGCTACAGGATGGTTGTGCCAGTAAGCCTAGTGCCAAGTCCCAAGGGGGTATCGCCCCACGCTGTGTAAGTGGCGCAACAGACGCTCTGTTCCATTCAGAACACTGCCGAGTTGTGCCTGTTGATGCAGCAGGGGTGGCCGGGCTTGGTCATCCAGAGATGCCCCTTCTGCATCAACACAAGTGCCAGGGCCCACGATGGAAACAGCCCCGTAACACACACATTCATACAATGGATGCATGTTTCCCTCCGGAACAGCCTGTAACACACACATTCATAAGACAGACGCACGTTTCCTTTCGGAAACGGCTCCGTTCCGTGCATCTCCATGCGTCGGATGCGTGTTCCCCTGTGGGTCGGCTCCACACAGGAGGCAATGGAGCGGAGCGGGCGCAGTTGCTCCGCGCGGGAGTCAATGGAGTGGAGCTTTTGGAGTTGCTCAGCACGGGAGTCAATTGGAGCGGAGCCCGTGCAGTTGCTCTGCACAGGAGTCAATGGAGCAGAGCCGATGGAGTTGCTCAGCACGGGAGTCAATGGAGTGGAGCCGGTGCAGTTGCTCCGCAAGGAAGTCTATGGAGCAGAGTTGGTGGAGCTGACAGAGCTGCTCAAGACCGGAAGTTATGAGCAGGCTCAGTTGCTCCGCACAGGAGTCAATAAAGGAGAACCCAGAGGAGACCCCAAAGGAGACCCCGGAGGAGACCCCAGAGGAGACCCCAGAGGAGACCCCAGAGGAGACCCCTGAGGAGACCCCGGAGGAGACCCCAGAGGAGACCCCAGAGGAGAACCCAGAGGAGACCCCTGAGGAGACCCCGGAGGAGAATCCAGAGGAGACCCCAGCGGAAACCCCAGAGGAGAACCCAGAGGAGAACCCAAAGGAGAATCCAGAGGAGACCCCAGAGGAGAACCCAGAGGAGAACCCAGAGGAGACCCCAGAGGTGACCACAGCAGAGACCAGGAGACCCCAGTGGAGGTGCCGCCTTGTTCGGGGACAAACAAGGGTCCTTGGAGGGGGTAGAGGGGGCAGAGGGGCCAGCACGGACTCACGGTGCAACCGTAGCGTCGGGACCCCTGCGCTTGGCCAGGGAGACCCGTTGCCAGACCGCGTCGACTCAGTTGTGTGACATTTTTGTATAATGTGTCTTCGTGGTGAGTTCTATGAAAAGAGAGCCTCGTGTAAGAAAGTGGCAAAAATAAATGGCCAAGAGCCCGGAAACCCTGAAGAATAGTTTCTGTGGTTTCCTTCGTCTGGTGAGTGAAAACCCAGGATCCGGTCGACATCAATGGAGCAGAGCCAGCGCAGTTGCTCCCCACATTACAGTATTCTTTCCCTGTGAAATTTTGTGAATATTTAATTAGGTAAAATTTGGTGTTCTTGTGCCCCTATACCGTGTACAATATATTGTGATCATTTAATGAGCTTCGAAATCAGCGATTCCCTTATGTTTTATATTGAAATATAAAGGGAAAGTTAAGCTTTTGGTACACTTTCCTTTTATTTTGTATTAGGTTATGGAGTATGAGATCATACCCCACCATGCTCGGTTGCTATTGGAACGTGATCGTATTCTAATGTCATGAACTATAAATGTAGTGCGTGCGTGACTGGGCGTGGCGTAGTGCTCACAGTGACTGAATGCACGTTCGCAGAGGCCCATAGGTTAAGTACATGCAAATATGCTTGTACAGCATTTGCGTGTTTACGTGAGGGGTAGTCTCACGTGATCGCGCGGGTGAGTTGAGTCGTGGACATTAAGGTAGTGTATTGCTCGCGCTCTGTGTTTTGTGTATGCTGACTTGCACTGTGTACATGCCCAGATTGCTCAAGTTTTGCTGTGTGATGCTGACGCGCAATGTACGATGCTGACGCTAGCTTGCATGGTAAAGCGTAATCAGGTTCAGGCTGAACAGCAAGTATTGTTTACATTGGCGTACATTACTTACAGTGGCATGCGTTGTTAACATTGGTGTTCATTACTTATATTGGCGTGCATTGTTTACATTGGTGTACTACTTACATTGGTGTACATGTACATTGCGCACATTGTTCGGGCTGTGCGCGTAAAGTTTGCTGCATATGTGAGCTGTTAGTTGTCTCACAAGAGTAATTAATTAACAACCTCATAAAGACTCAATCACTGCTGTGTATTTCTTGATTATTGTATAATAAATTACGATCACATTGGTTGTGCCGACAATCCTGTTATCAAGGTGTATTTCTTGCTGGTTTATTGTGCAATTAACAGAGAGTAATAACAATCTTTATAATCAGCGGTACATTTCCTTCAACACTGACCTGCTCCCCAATAAGCCTTGAGGTCGCTCTGAGTGGTCTCTCGTCTTGGGAAAGCTTGGGTTCAGGAAGATCAGCTACACCCTAATAGGTGTCAGACTTGGTCCCAACGAACTTATAGGTTTGGCCCGGGGAGTTTCGCCCCCCCTCCCCCCCCCCCCCAACAGTACTTTGGGAATAGTACCCGGACTGTGCAATATATTATTTATTATTACATAGACATAGTTTTTTTCTTGTATCTCTCTCAAAGCTGTCCAATATATTATTATTTGCATGCAAGAATATGGTACTTCAGCCAGCTATCGGTTTTGGGGACAAGGAGAATAATACAGTGGAGTCTCGTTAATACAAACTCGTTCGGATCTAGCCAAATTGTTTGTTATATCAAAAGTTTGTATTAAGAGGAACATCAGTCCCATTCATTGTGCATATAAAAGCAAAGTCAGGACCAAGGCTTTATGTTTGTTATAACCAGAATTTGTATTAATAGAGTTTGTACTAACAAGAGTCAACTGTATGTCAAACCAGGAAGGGGAAACATAAATACAGCAAACCTAAGATAATTTGGGCAGGAAATCTTAGAAATTATTCATGTTTGATTGATTTATTGAATCTCTGGATAATTTCTTTTTCATTTTGTTTTTAATTTAAACTGTATATAGGTGGTTCAACAGTCCTGATGCTAATCGCCTACCCAGGAATATTCAACAAGCAGGACATGTCAGCAGAATCGACCAAACCTCAATCAAAGAAACATTGATTTCACATTTATTTTCGATCAAATTTGAAACTTTGATTAAAAACCAGATTTAAAAGGTGCTTTCGATTTTAGAAATGTGTTTATCTCCAAAAGCACACTTTTTGAAAGTACTTTAAGCCACAGTACAAAATTGTTCCTTAGGCCGTAGACAGAGCTCGGATTTGCAATATTGAATGACCTTTTTTTTTTTTTTAAAGGGGAGATTTTAAGGGTATTTTGTATGTGATAAATTATTGAGATGAAACTTAATAAGGAGACGGGGTAGGTTAACCTCTTTGAATTTTGGACAGTCGTAGTTGTGCAATATAATTATATTCACTGAAAATAATTCTTAACTTGGGAATTTTTGAGTAACTTCAACTTGGCCACGAGCAGTGTTGTATTCGAGTCCCTGTTTGGACATTTCTCCGTGAACAAAATAAAAAATCCGAAATACATGTATACGTTTTGTCATGGAAACTTTCCAGTTCAATGTGATACCTGTACTTGGGAACGCTGTGTAAGAAATAACGAGAGCATTAGCGCTGAAGCTCCTTAAAGAGGTTGTGGAATGCTCGAAGACATTTCCGTCATTTTTCGGGTATATGTAGCCTAAGGTGTGATGAAATAAAAACGACTATTGTTTCTGTCATGAAATGAATACAAAAGGTACTTTTGAGAGCTGTTTTTCAGGTCCTGTTTCGACCCGAACGTGCAATTTGTGTAAAAGTCGTCGTTGGGGGCAGCAAACAAAACATAGTAAATCGTGACGTAATAAACAGGACTCCCTATGCAGCGTAGTATAAACGAGTCCTGTTTATTACGTCACGATTTTTCTGATTTTACGAAGAACCCGACGACTGTTGATTTCAATTATGCGCTCGCCGACCAACAAATTACTCGATGAATTTCAGTTTTATAAACATATAAACGCACATTACAAAAGAATGGGAGTTTGTCATTATGATATATATGGGTCTACTCTACAATAAAAAAATATATAAAAAACAAAACGACTTTCAGCATTCCACAACCTCTTAAAACCCCAAAACTAAAAGTTGCACTTTTAGTGAGATTTTCAATGGGCATTGCAACACACAATTGCGGGCCTGCATCATTGCATTCAATTGTGTGTTGCAATTCCCATTGAAAATCGCAACCGCAAAGTTTCCGTCACAGAACATATATTTGTTATGTTTTGTTCACCAATTAATGTCCAAACAAGGACGATTATAAAAACTGCTTAGTTTCTTTCTGTGCCAGTTGTATACCAAGACAAAGTGTATCAAAAAAAGTTAATAAATATAAATTAAAAATGAGTTTGTATGCACTACGTTAACATGAATTAAAAAAAAACTTTCCGGGGGTTGCCTATTCCAAAGCACTTCATGAGCTCTGTATTTGTAATCCCTGTGGTCATTTGGATGACCGAGCACATGCACCTACCTCAGATTTAACAATGTAGGCCTACAACTAAAAAAAACCCAGAAAGTTTGGTTGATTCAGAGATGAGATGATGAGTGGTCCTAACAATGGGGCATCCATGGGCTGTACTGAGAGGAGCCAGGTTTTAAAAGGTATGCATTTAAAACAAAATCCATTGGTGTATGTTCTTCGAGATTGTGGTATTGTGAATAAACATATCAAGCGTTAGCAATTATTTGAAATTGTCGGCATAATTTCATTTTCTGTACCAGGCATTGATAAGCAACCTAAAATTCACAAAACGGGACATTCTGGGCAGAGGTAGCCATCGAGATATTGGCAACTAAATTGATGCAAAGTCCTTTTTTCCATCCTCGCCTGTATGCCATAGTAGGCCATCAGCCTGGAAGTTTGGTCGGTATCAAATGAGGGGAATAATGCTCATTATGATTTGTGGCACTGGTATGCGCCCCTCAGTAGTTTGATTCTGGAAAATATGTGATAGCATAGGGCAAGTTCGCGCAAGAACTATTAGTGATCAATGGTTAACCGTAGTTAGACTAAAGTTATAGCCCGAACTCTGTCTAGTCGACGATGGTAGACTACGCTAGTCGACTACATTTCGTATTTGGAACCAGCCTACTGCGGCTGATCGCGCAATGCTTTTTTGAGCAGTGTTGTAGTCGAAGCCACAACTGTGAGGCCGAGGCCGCGGCCACAAACTCCAAGGAGCATTCTATTTTCCCTCGGCTTCGCCTCGGGAAAAAATTAATAGAATGCTTCATGGATCACCTCGGGAGTCTAGTTTTACTACACAACTCGAAGCAGTCAATATTTGTATGCTATAGCATAGTGCAGAGGGGACCATCTATCAACAAAAATGGCGGAAAACGAAACTGTGAGCGCTAAATTACATTTTCATTGCACAGTTTTTCGATGTTAGTTTACGATTATGTCACTTTGTCACCTTTGTGCAATAATTGGCGATTATCCTATATATAACTATACACAATCACTCTTTTTGTGTAAATAAAGAGAAACAACAAATGTTGAATAATTCGTCACCGGTTTCACGAAGGGACGGGCATGTCAAAATTGACAATTTTTTTCGATTTCGAGTTTTTTCACTATTTTGCTTTAAAACATGGTACTTTATCATTCTGACATGTTTCCGTAAGCCAAACATCATCAATTCCTGAATAACATTAATGACGCTGTTGTGCCCATTCTTGAAAATCACGCATTCTCGAGAATGGGCATGCACATTCTTGAGAATGTGCAACTGGATCCTTGCTCAATCTTGGCAAAAAATAACTCTTCCAGATTGAGCGCACATTCTCGAGAATGCGCGACAAGATAACGGTCTTGTCGATGCCGAGCACCGGCTGCGCTTGGCAAGTCTAGCTGAATCCTCGTTCACTGATTCTCAATAATTATACTGTTGCAACGCAAGGCGCTGAAAAGTAGAGTGGATATGATAAGTAAAGGCGTATTGATATGGGGGGGGGGGACCGGGAAAATATAAGAGACATAATAATACTAGTGCAAAGAATTCTGATTTTTGGGATAATAAAAGCGGGGGGGGGGGGGGACGTAAGAATGAAGAATGTGAAGAATGAGAATGAATACTGCGACATCCCATAGTGCTAATGCTATTTCCCATTTAAATTGCCACCAATTTATTGTTCACATCCCACCATAACGTCGCAGAGCTGGATTCTATCTAGTCAAAAGAGCAATTTTGGCAGCTTCTGGACATCGTTTTTTTTCGTGGCACGCATATGATACATGCAGGGACTTGTAACTTGTCTAGCCTAAACAAAGCACTTCCCAGACTAGTTCCCAGTCCTCCGTTATTACAAAACTTCTCATAGTGGGCAGAAAAAAAGCAATAATAACAGGTTTAATTTGATTCAAATTATCGTAGTTATACGAGTACAGAAGCATAGCACATTTTCTTTCCTCTTTATGTGAATTGTTTCCCTTTTAACCGCTATACAATTCATTTAACATAATTATGTCGTGCAATGTTTATTAAGATTGGGCAAAATTCATAAATTGTGCACATGATATTCCCACCCAATCTTAAGAATGAGCGCTCATTCTTAAGAACGCGTGCTCGTTCTTAAGAATGGGCGCTCATTCTTAAGAATGCGCGCCCATTCTCGAGAATGTGCATGCCCATTCTCGAGAATGCGTGATTTTCAAGAATGGGCACAACAACGCCAGGGGCAGGCATCTCGATAATTGCATTTGCGATTTCACGAAGAGACGCGATCATGCCTGCCCCTTGAACACGTACAACACGTATTGCACGGAAAGGCGTAAAGTAGGTCAACGGCGATTTTCGTTTTCACGAAGGGACGGGCATCTTTGTTGCATTCTCAGCTGCGCGCGCGTAATCACGCGCACCCCATTCCCTATGGAAAAACACATTGAACAAAAAGGGCGTAGGCCTAAGTGTGGAAAAGTGAGATTTTCGATTTCACGAAAAGACGGGCATCTTTACTTATTAATTTTGGCTAATTAACCACTGTATTAATTATAATTACTGGGTTCAAATTAATTAAAGTTTACCTGTCAAAGAATTACGTCAAGGTTTCCTTATTGCATAAAGTTGTTGCAAAGAAGTAGTTTTCGCAGTTTAAAAAACGGAGAAACTTCTCTTGCGATTATCTCGAAAACGGTTTTACTTCAAAATCCACATGCCCGTCCCGTCGTGAAACCGGTGACGAATTGTGCGATCGCCATTTTTTGACGGTCATTGACATGGCAATAGGTCGACTAGAGTCGTTCGCACTTCTACTTCAGAACGCATGCGCTAGGTACGTCACGAACCAACCAACCAGCCACTAGTCCTTGCTTGAACTTGCCCCGGGCTTAATCGAACGCTCAACTGCGGGCCGATCACGATCCTCACATGGCGCCTTTATAAGCCGTACACGGAAGTAGCCACTGACAAAGCGCCAAAAAGTTTTAGATTTACTGCTTTTTAGTCAACTGCAAAACTCAAAAAATAGTTGGGCTGAAATAATAGCCTCAAAAGTCGCAATGAACTCAATAAATGAGTACCTTTGGACTTCACATAAAGTCAACTTTTAACCGTCCACTTGAGATTTCCGCTGTCCGGCCGCCATATTTGTCCGTTTCTAGGGAATGGACAACGCATGCATGACGTATACTTCCACCAGTGACTCTGCTCCACGAGCAGGGTCTGTGGTGGCTGACCCAGGTGAGCCCCGTGAATAACGTCAGAGCTAATGGAACGCGTATAACGGCACGGGGCTGACCCGCGTCGACCTGGGTGAGCTAAACGAACGCACCATGTACTGACATGATGAGTAGTACAGCACTGAGTTACTTCCGGACACAACTACCAACATGACCGACCGGCTCTCATGTCTCCCCATGCTGTCCTAAGCCGCCGAATCTCAACGCCAACTTGCGGAGCGGCTGTCATCCTTGTAAATGTAAGAAGTTCGCATCTGTACTTTTTTGTTGAAAAGAAATGCGGTCACATACAACGATTGAACGAACGACGTCCAGAAAGTAGGTCGCTTTTTGTTATGTGCACATGCATCGCGGGGAATCCAACGTTCCTCCTGTATACATGTGCACTGTTCGGATGTCTGGTTTGTAAATCATCGTTGTGACCTCTATTAATTCAAAATTGTTCATGAAGAAAAATATTGTATAGGCTACAATCCGTCCATACACATATTTAGTTCACCCCAAAAGGGTACGCGTAAACTGTCGCTGCCTGTCCAGCTGTTTTGTTGGTCGGTTGATTTGAAGATAGACAGAACGCGTCTCCGCTTTTTTCTTCAAACGTAATTATACAGACGACAAATTTTGCTGATTTATTTATTCAGTTCCTTTAATGTAGAGTCATTTAAGAGCCTTTAATGTACAGACACGTATAACATGTATTACCGTCCCGCCTGCAGGTTACTACGTACATAATGTGATGGATGGTTTCCAAGGCCTCTTCCTAATCCTATTGTATTCTGCACGGTATAGGGCCCTACATTACAATTCCCAGGGTGTATTGTTGTTGGTCATTGCTCGGTATACCTAGATCGGTGTAACAAAGGTTGAGATCATTTCACTTGATTGTAAAAAAAAAAAAGTATACATGTACAGTGACCCTGTTGAGCAGTCTTCCATTACACATTGTGGAGTACGCCATTTTTTTTCATTTCTGTATGATCAGAATGCATTTTTCGCAAGTATAAGGCCGGTTTAGGGTCAGCACAAAATAAACAATTACAAAAATGAGCCTACAACTTATGCAGTTCACCGAATCATACAAGACACAGTCGATATTAAGTGCAATTTCAATTAACCACCGCCTATGTTGGATATGCTTTTAATATACCATCTGTCACATGCGTGCAACACAACAATAGACCACAATCATAACAGTGTTTGAATTTGCAAGAACTGACCCAGCCTCGACTCCATGGGCGCGTGCGCGTTCCTAAGATCGCGCAAGGCATGATGGGAACCAACATATGGCGCAGCAAGATCGTATCCATGGAAACGAGGTCGGAACTGACCCGGAATCTATAAATCACATAGCCAGTATCAACGTATAACTTGTTTATCTGTTTTACTGTGGTCTTGGACGAGGACTCGAGCCTGCATTTAACCTCATCACAATCTCACCATGTCTAAAGGAAGGCTACCAAAAGTTTCACTACCTTTTCCAATTTGCGACTTTTCAACTCACACACGACATATGGCATTAATTACTTGTCCTTCCATTTAATTTCCTCCCGGAAATGATGGATCAGAGGCCTGTGACGGAATTTTTTTTGGGAGAAAACTGTAGAATTAGAATTTTGAGGGGAAGTGCACGTGATCAACCGTGCGGCGTGCGGACTGAAAGAAAATCCCAAACTGTCCGGCGGAAATCGAAACCAGTTCATAAGGAACCATTGTGCTATTAACATGCTCGATTAGTTTGCAATTGCATATGTTTATTTTGGCGGTTTGCTTGTTGAGGTTATGGCAATTATAATATATAAATGCCATGATGGTTCAATTTTGTTTAACGCCCAACTTCTGAGGTAGTGGCGTTCCTACTTTTGCTGGTATCCAGACTGATCTCAACATATGAACTCCATGATCTCACAGTGTCTCTTGTGGATTAGACTGGTTACCTACTTCACTCACCGACTATCACTTGTGAATTAGACTGGTTATCACTCACTGACTGTCACACCTGGCACCGCTTGATTCATGCACTTTCACGACACGTGTAGGCAATTAGTGAAGTCTCCATGATGAGCGAAAGTGGATTGTTCATGTCAATCACGTGACCACTGAAGCTTATATTTTACGAACTTTTTAGCCGCCCTAAATCATTTGAATAAAAAATTGTGCACACTGTGGGACCAGCTTTACTGTTTGCCCAGTCTTGTTTGTAGGTCTTGCTCTTTTGCCATCACCGCAAAATAACCATGGTGTTAATTGGGACATGCTGCTGTTATTTAGACAACACTGTCTCAGAAAAGACCTTGCATGATTATCTCTCAACGGTTAAAATGCAAAAGCATTAGAATTTATTGTCGAATGGTCTTCAGCGCGCTGTGGGTGTGATTCCGTTTAACACAGCGAGTCCACGGGTTTTTGCACGGGTTTAGGCAGGATAGAAAATCGCGCCCATGTATACGTTATATCGATTTCAGATGTGACGTCATCGGGTTTTTATTTCTCATAATGTGATTACGAAAACGTGACGAGGGAACGGTCTTTAAAAAATCTGAATATTTTAGTGTATTATTGAGACCTTTTTTTGTTTTTGAAATTGCTTTGTTCCTTGCTCTATTATGTGGAGACAAAGCTTGTTACCCATTCGCCAATGGAGCCCATCGTACCTATACCTTGTCAAACCCTCATTGGTATGATGCACCGGTGTACTGCGAGGCCAAAGACGACTTGCTTTCGAGTGTACATTAGTATAAATCCAGTTATAAACGACATGTCCTTGATCAGTATTGCTGGTAGACCTGTATATAAGCCATGCATGGCCAGTTATTACGAACATGTTTTATTTACGTTGTTTATGATTATCACTTGAACTGCTTTTGCACGTACCTAGTTCTATTTGTCCTCATTGCACTTCCCCCTGTATTGCGTAAATGGAGCATCGTGGCTATATAATGTTCCGTAGCAATTTATCGTTATCGCAACAATTTTTCACACGGAAAACAGAATCGATTGGCAAACAAATTTATGAATATAAACAAACACTTGTCACGGGTGCAACAGGTGCGTATAGTTTTAAATTACTATTTATACCTTGAACATTGAACTCACGTTGATTTTGTTTGCGAAACCATTTTCGCGTACATGTTTTATGATAGATAGAGCCTAACTGAGTGAATTTTACCTACAGCGAAGCCGAGAGTCTTGTGGAGAAGTGTTATTCCTCTTGGTGAAGTAGACCAAGAAGCACTACTCCGAAAATGAGGGATTTCAGCAAGGTTCTGGGAGGTAGCCTGCAGGGCACCAGATCGCGCACTACATCGGCCAAATTGCTTGTTTTGATTCTTGCGTGGGCGTTTGCTCCAGCCGCACGTTGTGGCGACGCGGAATCTCGTCCGCCGAACGTTGTACTTTTCATAATGGATGATGTCGGGATGGGAGACATTGGATGCTTTGGTAACGACACGATCAAGACGCCTAACCTCGACAACTTGGCCCAGGAAGGAGCCAAACTGACACAGCACATGGCCCTGCCGTTATGCACGCCCAGTCGAGCTGCGCTGATAACTGGTCGGCTGCCAGTCCGATATGGTAAGTCGTTGCTCGTGTAAAAGGAATGTCACTGATTGCAACACAAATACGTTTCTTATTACCATTCAAAAGTCTTTTAGGAACAAAAGACCGAAGTTGTTAAAATAAATCCAGTTAGCTTGGTTCCACGCGGTAACTTTTAAAGGCATAGAAAATAGCACTGTATACACCACGAGATATTACTGTATGGCTTAGGCCCAATACATCTTAAAATGTGTGTGCTAAATGCTATATAAGCCATTTCACACTATCAAAAATTCCCGTATTGGACCCGGGTCGAAAACGGAGATTTTAGCAATCCCTTTCACACTAGCAAGAATCCGACACGGCTCCTACACAGGGTACAGTGCTCTACCCGGGTAAAATCCTACCCTGGTCGGGACCAGTGTAGACTGAGGCTCTTCCTGGGTAGACAATCGAAATTTGTAGCTTACCCGTGTAAAGATTGGTAGTGTGAACGATCTCCGTGTTGCGCTTGACACGGTTTGCTCCTCCCCATTACTAGGGAGACAAGCAACAGTTATACGCGGGACAAAGGCGAAATCTGCACACGTGCCAGTGATCAATTTAACATGCACAGTGTCGCGACCAAATTCGGTATTTCATTGTAGCATGGAGCTATTTAATAGCTCCATGATTGTAGCAACCGTGACAGTTGTAGCCCAAAAATCGAGCTACGCCGGACCTCGACAGAAGAATGGTTCTAAGTCCCTCAATATTCTTTGTCAGGACCCAGTCTTACCGCGGTTCCATTCACTCGTACCCGTGTTGGCTATGCGTAGTGTGAACGTTTCACGTGTTGCACACGGGTAAAACGGCCCGTTATACACGGCCAACGTTAGTTAGTGTGGACTCGCTAAAGGTAGTGAGGACGTTATGGCTTTCCAACCCGTGTTCGATCTTACCCGGGTGCGCTATCGGCCTATTAGAAGTGTAGATATCTACACGGGTATACATGGTAGTGTGAAAATGCCCATAGACACGGAACAAAAGGCTGATATGTTTCTTAAGACCTTCCGATGTTATCATTAAATGAATTTGTTCATGATAACGAAACAAATTCTTCGTCAAAACAAAATGTCACCGAGGTAGAAATATAAGCGAGAAAGGTACCACTGCATGCACAAAACTGATTTATGACTCATTAATGATATTTGATTAATGAATACATAGATTGGTTGCGGTACCCGCTGCTATATCAGATTCAAACCAGCCAGCCGACCCCGGCAAGATCGGTGGTCGAGTGGTAAGACGTCTGCAGTAGTAAGCAGGAGGTCCGATGGTGGATTCGAGTCCCACCCGAGTGTTTTTTTCTCAAAATCACTTGGGACAACACTGAGTATACAGTGTCTGGCAAACCTAATATTGAATTAATGATATTGTGTTTCCTTGTATAGGTCTAACTGATTAGGATTCTCGATACTGCTATCGAATTGATAAGAGTCTGGATTGTAGGTGCACTTACCGACGACAGTCCGACTTTAATCAATGGTCTACCTTTGTAATCAAACAAAACCAAAGAGTTACATGAAATTACTACAGCTCGGAACAAAACCTTAGTTATAAACTGTAACGGCATTAGATAGTTGGTGAACCGTTGCAGAAGGCCTTGGGCCTGGTTTCTGCCGTAGGCCTTAACTTAAGTTTCTTCCTCAACAAAAATGTAGAATCTTTGAACTATGTCTTTTTACAACCCCCCCCCCCCCAAAGGGGCATTGAAAGAATTACATGGATTTATCAAAGTTCGCTTAACAAGTTTGGTCGTCTTATAGGTATGGGGGCCGAAGGAAGGATGAGGGTGTTTATTTACATATCGGCGCGTGGTGGTGTACCTTCTAACGAAACCACGGTTGCCGAATTATTGAAAGACGCTGGATACGCTACGGCCATGATAGGTAGGTGTGTTAGGCAGTGGTGTAAGGGTGGGAGGGGGAGCATTTGGATCCCCACTCAAGGCCTGTAGCCCTACCCCTTGTGTCCCCACTCAAAATTTAGAGAAAGGCAAAGGTAAGCTTTTTGTTGTTAAAACCCATTGAAGCCCCATTTAAGAAAACGAGGCCTAATAGTGATCTGCAAATTGGACTCCAGTTTACTGGTACTTTAATAAACGCATAGATTTTCACGTGACTTTTTTTTAATAAAGAAGTGATACGATTTTGGACCCAGGTGATAAAAATACAACTTTTAACAGTTTCATTTAATGGAAACCAGATCGGTCAATCTTGATAAGAGGGATATTGGTGCGTCCACTTGGGTTAACTACGAAGAATTCTGGCCGTGCTGTTTTGGAAAAAAGCCTTATTGCAAGTTTACCCCCATTTCACACAAAATCCTTTTTTGTTTGTTGTGAATATAGTTCTTGATGTCGTTTCCTCAATACTTTCCCTTTCCAACAGGCAAGTGGCACTTGGGCATTTCATGCACCGATGAGAATTCCTGCTCCGATCCTAATTCGCAAGGATTTGACTATTTCTACGGCCTTCCCGTGACTAACCTACGGGACTGCGGAACGGAGAGCACCGTCTCCTATGCCTGGGCCAAGCCGCGAAGGGTATACGCCAAGATGGCGTACTCGGTACTTGGCGCACTGGCAGCCGCCATGCTCCTCAAGTGGATGGAATTAATTGGCTACAGGAGCGTTGTGCTGTTCCTGTTTGTAGCCCTCGCTGCCAACGGTTCACTCTTGATGTACTGGAAGGCAATCAGGATCAACTGCGTCCTGATGGAGAACCGTGAGATCGTGGAGCAGCCACTCCAGTACGATCACCTGACCGAGCGCCTGCACAGCCGCGCCGTCCAATTCATGGAGAGCCACCAGCAGCAGCCCTTCCTGCTTGTCATGTCCTTCGTACAGGCTCACACGGCGCTTTACAACAACGACCTGTTCCGCAACCACAGCGTGCACGGCAGCTACGGGGACAACCTGGAGGAGATGGATTGGAGCGTCGGGGAGGTTCTGTCGTCACTCAAGAAACTGGGCCTGGAGAGAAACACCTTTGTGTATCTGACGTCAGATAATGGAGGTCACGTGGAGGAGTTCACAGACGATGGCGAACGAGAAGGCGGCTGGAACGGAATCTATAAAGGTATTGCAAACTCGATATGTGAATCAGGTGTCCCTATACAATCCAGCTTTTTAATAAATCGCCGATCATAATAACACATTTAAAAGGTAGATTGATTAGTTTGTTCAAACTCAACAATTAGGGCACAGCGAGTTTGATTCCAGCAGGTTGTCTGCCCACTCAGAAGCAATATCATCATTGCACTTTATTCGCTTTCCAAAGCCAGAAAAACTGAACACAAGTGGTTTCATCATAATATCGAGACAACCATATAGCAGTCGTTATATATACGGCAATGAGAGTGATCACTGAGTAAAATCTTGAAGAGTAAGCATATGACTTTGAAAATAGAACCCGTGACTTTGGGAATTTCTTATATAGGAGGCAAAGGTAACACATGGGAGGGTGGCATCCGAGTTCCTGCCATCGTCAAACTGCCTGGCGTCATCCCGCCAGGCACCGTGGTGTCTCAACCCACCCACCTACCGGACGTCTTACCAACAGTGGGCCGAGTCACCGGAGTCAAGCTGCCCACTGACAGGATCTACGATGGTCGGGACCTCATGCCATTACTGACTAAAGACAGTAGCGAGATGACACATGAGTTTATGTTCCATTACTGTGGAGTCTTCATCAACGCTGTGCGGTACACGCCAGAAGGGGGTAAGTAATTGCATGATGGAGGAATAAGAAGGTGAATGTCATTTACTATAATTTTATAGTGAATGAAAGAGTACAATGCATTCATCTTATTCTACCGTAGAACTGACCCCGTAGTTGGGATAGGAATACGTCATCACAGTATAAATGTTTCGTTGCAATAATAGGCCTACTTCTCATCGTGTACCACAGCTCGGAATTGATCGATTCACTGTGTTTATTGACAGGTATTGTTTATGCCTCTTACGCAGGTGACACCACGTACAAGGTTCACTACACAACCAGTCGTCTCATTCCAGGGCCCCATGGCGTGCTGGGCTGCTTCCAAACCTACACGTGTGATTGCACGGGCTGGAGCACGGACCAGCACGACCCGCCCCTAGTGTACGACCTAACCAGGGACCCCTCGGAGGCTAGCCCGCTGGACAGCAAGGACCCAATAGTCGTAGAGGTCATCGGCAAGGTGGAGGAGGCGGTGTCCAGACACCGTCTGACGATTCCCGAGCAGCAGTCGCATCAGTTCAGCGTTCTGCAGACGTTCCCCCGCCCCTGGGATCGCCCGCGCTGTGGGAGCTTTCCCTTCTACACCTGCACCGATCCGTACCTGAATCATTTTAAAGCTGACAAGAAAAAGACTCCGAGATAGTAGATATTTTGGATTCCATCTATTCTAGCACTAGCGTATCCGTATTTCCAGTCAGGGAAGGCACAACTTCTGAAAAAAAACCCACTTTTTGTCGTTCGTAAAAAAAACACATGTTAAAACGGGGGAAGTATTTCTTTCATTTCCTAAAAAGAAATGAAAAAAAGGACGAAATGCCCTTCTGGATACGCTGAGCTTAGTCGCAACGTCCTGGGTCAAAATTACATGGTTATTACTGAGTAGTTAATTTCAATCAAAGTAAAGATTTGGTATTTTCACTGAACATAAAGCTATTAACAGAGGCTGAGCGACGACATTCAGTGTAGCTATGGAAACCCTACTCCCGTTAGTTGCAACTTGGAAAATAGTTAATAGTCGTCGGTGATTTAAACACCATTATTCCTTGTTATAAAACTTATTCTCTAAAGCCCTGGACATCATGAATAAACATAAAGCAGAGAGAGGACGCCCTCTTTTTATATTGTGGGATCTCGTTTTGGGAAAAATATCACCCTTTTTGACGGCTTCATTATTGGTCGATACCGAGACCCAAGCCAAGTCACGCCGAGTGACGCTAATGAATATGCTAATACATGTGTGCCTTTCGTCACTGTGTTGCCGGGCCGAAATCGGTCAACCGTAGCGCCTGTATCTCGACATCTCAGCTGTGTAGCATTTCCTTGGAAAATACTTCCTGCTGTTGCCGATTAAAAACAAAATTAATTTCAAATAATTAAAAAAGCTAACAAAGATGAACCCTAGTTTGTATCACAAGTGATTAACAGTACATATAATTTTAGGCTTCAAGCATAATAATGTACCCGGTGCCGTGTTCAGAAATACAAGTACTCGTACTCGTACTCGGAATACAAGTACTTGTACTCGTAAGTGGAAGTGCTCGTACTCGAACTCGTACTCGGACGTTCAAGTACTCGTACTCGGAGACCTGTTCTTGTACTCGGAAGCAAAAGTATACTCGCACTTGTACTCGTACTCGGCATCCTAGGTACTCGGCAGTACTCGGTACTCAGAAAAAAAGTACTCGACTACAACACTGCTCTGTTACAGCGTCTAAAACTGCGTAATCGGATAAGCTTTGCTTGACAACCGTGACTTGTGACGGATTATCTGAACATTCGCCATTTATAAGGGGCCTTCGTGATAGAATTGATAGCGTGCCCAGATTGGTTTATAGTTGCCTGTTAAGCATCACGATCTCTTGTTCTGTCTGATATGGGATTTAAAAAAAAAAAGTTCTTCTCATTATGAAGATTAAAATGTAAATTGTTATTGCTACCTTTTGCATTTGAAATTAAGCAATAATTATGAGAAAAATTAAACATTTTGAATGGGATCGTTCTTCTATAGATTAAAGAGTGACAACGCGAGTTTTTTTTATTAATAAAATAAAATAGGTTTGTACATTTTTATGAGCCTTGGGACTGGTACGAGATTTCCCGGTGCAATGGAATAACACTGAGACAAATGAACAAAATTATATAGTAACGACTTTATTGTGTCGCCTAAACGAAGTTTTGGGAAACACTAACCGTTACTAAATTCTGTATGACCGTAGACCCGTACTTACCAGAGCTACTTGTGGGGTACTCACACAAATGTTACCCCACCACCCTTAGAAAAACGGTACCCCAGAAGTGAAATTTTAAATAAAAGGGATAATAGGACAACAACGCATGTACCCCAGAACTCTCATCTGCTCGGATGTCAGTAGGCCTATGTATGTTAAAAATTCGGTTAAGTTTTTGAAAAAAATGTACAACTTCTACATGCTTTCTTGCATTTTGATGAAACTGGAGTGGTCATCGAATCACTCCAAATATTGAGTGGTATAGTGGCTCACTCGATAAAGAGTGATTTCCCTTAGATGACTTTGTAGCATTTCTTCACTCGAATCAGAGCGAATTCCACTGGAAAAAAAGAGTTAATGCGTTAACACTCGGGCGAGAGAGTGATGTTTTCACTCTTTTGCATAGAGAGTAGGTATTGAGGAATAGGTATTGGGGAACATAATGCACCCTATTGCCCCACGGATCCTAGACACCAGGATAAACGACTGTTCTGAGCTATAGTACAAAATGCACTCAATGGACTTGCCTTAATTGGTTAGACGCGTGATAACGGGCATTAATACCCGTTGGCGCGTAATCGCGAATTTCCAGATGTGCCATTGTGTTGGGTTTTTGCACGACATCTAAAACGGAAATATTCATAAAACTGTAAGTTAAACTACTTCTTATTTAAGATTTAATTGTTCCAAAATTGTTTAAAAATAAATACTTCAGGATATAACAGATGGTATTGTGCAGATTTTGTCGTCATAGATGAAGTATTTACCCGGGAAATAAACGTCAAATTTCGAGGAGAACACCGTTTAATACTCAAATTTCGTTTTTAATTAGGCTTTTATTAAAACGTTTTAGAGAGATAAGATGCCGAACCGATGAAGCAAAAGCGACATTTCATTGTTCATCTTAAAGCTAAAGATATTGTGCTCGGCATTACCATGGTTATGTAGTTATCACTTATCAGAACTCAATAATAAAGACCAAAAACGTAGACTCATGAATACTCAAAAATATAATTCGCTGGCTTGACAGACTTCGAGGCCAGATCGGGCGCAGAGCCTTGCAAATCTGAAAGCCACCGCGCGCAGTGGTCTTTGTTGAAAAGTATTCATGGTATTTGCCACCAGTACGGGCCGTTATCACGCGTCTGTTCACGACCATTATGTCCGTTTGGTCGATTACGTCCGACAACAGATTTTGACGAGCGACGGCCGATTATGTCCGACCCATTATGTCCGACAGCCGATTATGTCCGACCCATAATGTCCGACGTACAATTCGTCGCTTTGTTCACGAAGTGACAAAAACCTCGAAAATCGATAATTATTTGATTTTGAGTTTTACTAGCCATTTTATTATAGTTGTCTCAAGGAACAATTTGACCAAGTTTCAAGGCAAAATATTGTATACTTTCTTAATTATTGTAAACAAACAATTGACAAAAAGCCTGAAATCGGCGATTTTCATTTTCACCAAGTGTAAAAATGTGTAAAATGTTCTCACGAAGTGACAAAAAGTCACTTCGTGAGCAGGGCCAGAAATTATACAATGGTCTACACCACTGATCTCTATATAAAGACTGGATAGCTAATAAAGAGCCGCACAATGTACGAATTTGACGCCATATTGGTGAGACCGGCTGGTGATCTACAAAGGACAAGTTGCCGTCTTTATAGACAGCATGATTTCTTTTGTAACGTCGCGGTTCACTCACTTGACTTATATTTTGGCCACCACCACTGACCAACTGACCAAGGTTTACTACAATTTTTCTAACGTCGTGATTACTTTTATAATGCCGCAAATCACTTTTTCGGCGTTTTTGAAATAATAACCACCACGGAAATGTGTCCTTTTTAGAACATCATAATATGTGTACGTGACCAAAATGCGCGTCAACTGTTGATACAACGCGCGCGTATTTACGCGTAGAACGTTCGTATATACGCGGCCATCTTCGTGAGACCGGGGGCGAATTGGTCAATATGCAAAGTCTACTGTGTGAATGTTGTATGCATATCCGCTATCCAGTCTTTATATAGAGATCAGTGGTCTACACGCGGAAGGATGGGAGCTTACACGCGCGCGCGAACGATGTTGAAAAAGAACAGACGCGCGCGCGCTCAACTGTCGTGACGCACAAAAGTAACAAGTTTGTTGCGTCAAAAAAAGTCCCACGAAGTAAAAAAAATTGTGTACAAAGTAAATGGCAAAATATGGGACCCAAAGTTTTGATGTTCTCACGAAGTGCAAAAAAGTTTTATTAATGAATTACTGTTTAATTACGGACTATTTTTAACAAACAACTATGAATTAACAAAGAGCAAATCATATCCTATCGGACAATGCAAAAGATTCCGAATTCTGTTACTGCAAAGTGGTCGAAAATGTCTTTTGAAATAATGAATAACTTCAAATGTGATTATCTCAGAATGAACTTTTGTCAAATTTTTAGGTTTTTGTCACTTCGTGAGCAAAGCGACGAATTATGTCCGACCCATTGTGTCTGACGGCGGATTATGTCCGACCCATTGTGTTCGACGAACGATTATGTCCGACCCATTGTGTCCGACGGCGGATTATGTCCGACCCATTGTGTCCGACGAACGATTATGTCCGACCCATTGTGTCCGACGAACGATTATGTCCGACCCATTGTGTCCGACGGCCGATCGAGGATTTGTTTAATTTCCATGTAGGTCTACATTGCTGATAATGTGGAAGACAATTCTTATCTTTACCACGTCCTATGGAATCTGATTTATTTTATCCTCTATTTGGGCTCCAATTACTCTCACAAGTGACTTTTTAATGTCCTTATTATGTTTTGCAATTGCCACACTGGGTGCAATTGCAACACTTATCGGAGTCAGGACCCTGTTAATGTTATAAAAGGAGGTGGGTAAAAGTAAAAAAAAAAAAAAAAATTCAAATGAAGCGCCGCTCGAATGAGGGCGCCCTATCCCCAGGGCGTGCCGAGGACTGCATTGACCAGAGGCAAGCTTTTTCTGTACCACAAAGTCGGTCCTACATGGATGATTGCCGCGTATGGCGCAATACATGTACATGCAATAATATAATGAATACAACAACTCAGTGGAAGGAGTCACTCATGTAGTCTAGTGGATACTACGTGAACTGTCATTGCTTTTCTTTTCATTCATTATTTGTTTAATTTCGTTCCCTTAAAGGGAATATACAACATTTGCAAACATCGAAAAATAAAACTACCAAGTTTTTGCGAAATACCTTAATAGGATGTTGGTAAATGACAGTCTAAAGCATCCTGTAAAATTATGGCACCTGGTATACTGTCATTTTCAAGAAAAGTGGTATTTTTGTATCAATTTCCAACGCTGATCGGCCGATCAGCGTTGGAAACAACTGGCTTTTTTTCAAATACTGGCCCCAATTGACCATCGCACTTGTTTGCAATCGATTACAAACCTATGAACGGGTACGAGCCAGCTAGACTGGTTCCCTGACCTTACAATTCCCCAATGTATGTAAACTGCTCTGTTTCTTCTTATATGGAGTCAGGGAACCAGACTACAGGAAAATGATCGTTTTTCTTGGTTTTTATAGCATTTTCGAACCCAAAACCTCCAAAAAGTCAGTGTAACTATATTTGCTTTATATTTCCAACCCCCCAATCCCATCCATTTCTGAAAATTACAGCAAAAGCAAATGATGTATATTCCCTTTAAATAGGTTTTTTTTACAGCAATTTAGGGCATTTTGTTTAGTAGTTTGGAAATGTGGTTTGGAGAATTTTGTTTCTCAAAGTAAAACAAGTATTCAATATTGTACATAATAGTGGTAAAGATCTGGCGATCGATTTTTCGTTTAAGCAGAAGGGCACAACTTTCAAAGTGAGAGACCTAAAATTAGAGATAATCTTGGAAGATAAGAAGGGTATAATAAAACAAAAGGTCACGTATTGTAATAAGGTTGTGCGTTTACAATTTGTTTAATGGATGTGACCTTCAACAGGAGTGTGGTTTCGTTTTGGAATAAACTGACGTGAAGGGATAACTATAGTGGCGAAAACATATAGTTACACGTTGACCTTTAGGCTATTTTTGCCCTTCTGCAAGTTCTGGTAGCTACTTCGAGGCAACCTTATGG